ATTTAAGCATTAATTCTAATATCTTAATAATTTCTAAGGTTTCTAAATTATAAACAGTTTCTTCTCCTAAATTTAACTCTAATTTTTCTGATTAACCTTCCAAATATACAAGCATCTTTAGTTTCAACTTTTATATATCAAACTCTCCTTTTTCTTGTTTTTGACTGGATACTTCATCAAATAAGAATAAAGATTTTTAAGTTGTTTTTTCTTCTAAAATCCTAACTAATTCTGGTTTAGGTGTTGTTGTATAAGGTTCTCTATCAATATATAATGTTCGAATCATTCTAAAGAAGTATGCTCGAACTTATTTATTGACGAATTGATGCTCTCCACTCAAATTATCTTCTTAATCATTTTTTTATTCAGCATAAGATAATAAAATAGAGTAAGTAAATGTTTTGGATATCAATTCTCTTGCTGCTGTATTTCTATGAAAACAAATATTTGAAAAAAAAGCCAGTTATTCAATTAAATAATTATATTACACTACATATAAATGATCCAGGTCTTTTTATGATTGATAGTCATTTAAAAAATCATTTAACATTTTTGTTACATAGGTCTTATTTGAGGTTCTATAAGTAATATAGAATTCTTTATAATTTCCTTCATTTTCTTATATTGGTTCTAAATGCATAAAAACCTTCTCTTCCCCTTAATCATTTTTAACCTTTTGATTTAACAATTAAATGTTATTTAATAAATATTCTTAATTATTAAAAACAGGTTCACCATTAGCCTCACAAGTTTCTGATAGAAAATGTAATAAATCTGGTAAAAGTTAATCACTTTTAGAAAGTACCTCTAATAATCTTGATAGAATAGTGCTTTAGCTTTTTTAATTTTTTTAGTCTGCTGTATTGACATTCATTGTTGATTTCATATCATAAGCTAATTCTTATTTATTTAATTAGCTCAATATTTAATAATTATTTGTTATACATTAACATATTGTTGTACAAATGTAATCATGTGTAATTTACTTTTCAAAATGTTTAAAAAATTTCATTAGAATTTCTTAATTCTATTAATTATTATGACAAGCAATTTTGATAGTTTAAAATAATTTTAATTATAACAATCGTTTCCTTTTTCTATGATTCTCTTCTAGTTATTCTTTTAATTTTTAAACTTTTTTTTCATATACAGCATCATTAGTTTTATCTATTTATTATTAAATCATATTTTAAACTCTTAAAATGATTGAACTCTCACCACCTAAATCACTTATTAAATTTGCCTCACTTCCTTCTACTTTTTCATCAGGATTAGGGAATGTTTTACATATTAACCATATTAATAAAGGTAATATGTTTTCTTCTCTAATAATATCTTATCTATTTTATGAAACAAAAGAGAAATCTTAAGTTGTTTATATGTTACTTACTAATTTGTTATACATAAATTGATTTAAAATTTCAAGTAAAGAATTAAGTTTTTCAAAAAGGTAATAAAATTCAATTCTCTCTTAAACTTCACTCTTTTTCATGCAAGCAATACTTGTAAGAGGTTAAGCTATTTCAAAATAAGAGATAGCCTCCTTTAAAATAGGTACTAAGAATACTAAAAATCTCTTTTCCCAAATATCCTCATAATCAGTTTTTCTAAATTTAATGCAATTAATTAAATTGATATCTTAGGTTATACATACAGATCCATAAGGAATATCAGGTTCATTTCTTAAATTTAAATAGCTTCCAGTCAAAAAATGTTTAATTAAAAAATAAGATTCTTTGTCAACAAATTTAGAATTTTTCTTAATAGGCACAAATTAAAATAATGTATTTTTTGTTACTTATTCTGTAAGTTTGACTTACCTCATTATATTGACATCTAAATATTAACCAGTTTAAAAATGTCTAATACGATAACACTTATCCCATTTAACTTCTCCTCCAGTAAAATTTTCTGATTCTATTCTCCAATAAGCACTAAAAGGAATAGTAATTTTATCTGATTTGTTACCAATAAAATTACTAAAATATAACTTAAGTTCTGAATAAAGAGCCTTATCAATTTCTCTGATGTTTTTAGATGCCTAAATAACTTGAGATGAACGAGATTACATTGATCTCTACTTCTCATAAATATGACTATTTTATGAATCGGATTTATAGTTTTTTGATTCATTTTTTCCTACTTCTTCACTTACTTACCTTGAAATAGCTGGCTATTACCCTGGAAAAAGAGTCTGCTATTTAGTATATAGGAATTTATCTTAAATCATATTACTTATATCATCTACAGTATTACGGTCTAAAATTTCTTTGACTTTTTCTTGGATGTCTTAGGTTTTCTTTGCATTTAAATATAACTATCGATTATAACTTTGTTACATTCAGTTCTGGTAAATGAAATATGGCCACATCACCTACAAACAAGGCTTCATCATTATCTTATTGATTCTAAAATATTTTGATTCTCCATTAAGTTTAATCTTCAACAGATGCTATAACTTTTGCTCTACATACTTCATCCTCATATTTTTATGGTTCATCTTGTAATTCATAATAATTTAATCCCCAATAATCAGTAAATAGATTTGCTGTTCTATTACATACTTATTTATTTGCAGATATACAGACTACATCTCCACTGTATACCTAATTTGTTCTTAATTTTTGAAAATTCAAACAAGGATTAAATTTTAATAATGTATTATTATTGGGAAAGTCAATCAATTTAAATTATAATGCTTCCAAATTTTGATCATCAAATGCTAAAAATTTCAATGAAGAAACATGAACTAAGTGAAATATTGATGAACTAAAAACTAAAGGTGTGCCTGCTAACTTCTTTGTAAGTGAAATATTTGAGGTTAGTTCATTCTCTAAATTCAGCAATATAGTTTAAATTTTTTGTTTTCTTTGACTTTATTCATACTTTTCTAAATCATTAAAACTAGAATCTTTAAATTAACATAAAAGATTATCTTGAGCCTTATAATTTAAAACAGGAAGTATTTTAAAAACACAATTCTAATAATCTTGATCTAAGTCACCTCTTAATTGGTGAAATGATCTCAAATTAAAATTCTATGTACTGAATCCATTTGAATATAATGATAAGTTTGGAAAGGCACTCATATTAAGTACAATTAAGGATGAATAAGTAATAGGTTCTGGATTCATAAATTTAATTATTATATAACTAAAGCTTATTTATTAAAACTAAAAGTATTTTACCTTTTTACCCAACTATAAGATTATGATTTCTATAAGAGAGTTAAATTAATTTATAAAAGTTATAAAAAGTAGTACTTTTTTGAAATAAGCATCAATTAATTAAGAATATATATGATAATGATTACAATTCATTTAATTAAATTATATATATGATTATATTCAGGGCTAGTTTTGCATTTGCGAGGAGAATTAAATAACTAAGAACATCCTCAATCAATAATTCTAAAATAAAAGATGATGAAAATATTTCTGATGAATCAATTGAATCAAAGAAGAAAGAGGAATAAGTAGATATCACATAAAATTAAGAAAATTTGGAAAATAATTAAAAAAAAGTATTTGAGAAAAAATTCATAAAATCTTAAGAATTTTTGATGGCTTGCAGTCATTAACCAGCACTTTCTTTACCAGAGGAAATATTAAAAAAAGCTAGAAAAGTATTTTCAAAATATCCTCCTGATGAATTAAGAGAAGCATCTTATAAATATATGAGAATGTATTAATTATTGCATGCACTTGAGAAACCAGTATCTATAACTATTAAAAGAAATAATTTATTTGAAAATCCAGAAAATTTATAAAAATTAACAGAGAAAAAAGTTATTCATTTATATAAATAAGGAACAAGTGAATAATAAATATTAGAAAAGATATTCGAAAGAAGATAAAAGAAGGATATAAATGTAGATAGAATAAATAGTGCTGAAGAAAAATTAGAAGAATTTCATAATTTTGCATCTGCAATTGATTATGATTAAATATTAACAGTATCATACTTTTTAAGAAAAGTTCCTGGATCTTTTGCAGTTGGTTAAAAAATAATGACAGAAATATAAAAAAGAAATCCAAATTTTAATCCAAAATCTATGCTTGATTATGGAAGTGGAATAGGAACATGGGCATGGAGTTTCAAGAAATTGTATCCTGATGTTAAAAACATAGTTTGTGTTGAACCAAATTTATATATGAGAAAATTAGGAAAATTTGTTACTTAAGATTATATTAAGGATATTAAATTTTATGAAAGTTTATCACATACACTAGAATTAAGTTATGATTATTTTGATTTTATAAGCATAGCATTTGTTTTAGAAGAAATTAATCATCCTGAAGCAAGATTATTAGCACTTTAATCTTTATGGGCTAAATTATCTGATGATGGTATTATGGTTTTAGCATGTCCTGGATCACCAACAGGATTCCGTTTTGTTAATGATTTTAGAGAATGGATATTGAAATAAAAAGGGTTTATTGTTGCACCATGTTAACATTAATAATCATGTCCTATGGCTAAAGAAGGATTTTAATGGTGTCATTTTAAATAAATGTTTACTGCTTGGCCAAAGGATGGTAATCTTAATTATATAACTAAGAGTATTCCCAAAGTACATTTATGAAAATACTGCAGTGACAGAGAAATTCTCATATTTGGCTGTATCTAAGAAACCTTTGATTTAAGAGGGATAAGAATGGCCAAGAATTACATTTGATCCTTTAAAAAGAGGAAAGCATCTTATTCTTGATATGTGTACAGAATAAGGATAATTGGAGAGGTATTTAAATATATAAATAAACATAGACGTATAGTTGCCAAATCTCATGGTAAAGAAGGTGGTTATTATGAGGCCAAACACTTAAATGGAGGAGATCTTTGGAGATTCCCAAAATTACCTCCATCAAAAGTAGGAAAAAAGAAAAGAAAATAATCAGTTAAAATTATTTGAAGCATTTGTATGTAGATCTGTATAATAATATTATTAAACTTTTTATTTCTCATATAATGAATAANTAAGAGAAGCATCTTATAAATATATGAGAATGTATTAATTATTGCATGCACTTGAGAAACCAGTATCTATAACTATTAAAAGAAATAATTTATTTGAAAATCCAGAAAATTTATAAAAATTAACAGAGAAAAAAGTTATTCATTTATATAAATAAGGAACAAGTGAATAATAAATATTAGAAAAGATATTCGAAAGAAGATAAAAGAAGGATATAAATGTAGATAGAATAAATAGTGCTGAAGAAAAATTAGAAGAATTTCATAATTTTGCATCTGCAATTGATTATGATTAAATATTAACAGTATCATACTTTTTAAGAAAAGTTCCTGGATCTTTTGCAGTTGGTTAAAAAATAATGACAGAAATATAAAAAAGAAATCCAAATTTTAATCCAAAATCTATGCTTGATTATGGAAGTGGAATAGGAACATGGGCATGGAGTTTCAAGAAATTGTATCCTGATGTTAAAAACATAGTTTGTGTTGAACCAAATTTATATATGAGAAAATTAGGAAAATTTGTTACTTAAGATTATATTAAGGATATTAAATTTTATGAAAGTTTATCACATACACTAGAATTAAGTTATGATTATTTTGATTTTATAAGCATAGCATTTGTTTTAGAAGAAATTAATCATCCTGAAGCAAGATTATTAGCACTTTAATCTTTATGGGCTAAATTATCTGATGATGGTATTATGGTTTTAGCATGTCCTGGATCACCAACAGGATTCCGTTTTGTTAATGATTTTAGAGAATGGATATTGAAATAAAAAGGGTTTATTGTTGCACCATGTTAACATTAATAATCATGTCCTATGGCTAAAGAAGGATTTTAATGGTGTCATTTTAAATAAATGTTTACTGCTTGGCCAAAGGATGGTAATCTTAATTATATAACTAAGAGTATTCCCAAAGTACATTTATGAAAATACTGCAGTGACAGAGAAATTCTCATATTTGGCTGTATCTAAGAAACCTTTGATTTAAGAGGGATAAGAATGGCCAAGAATTACATTTGATCCTTTAAAAAGAGGAAAGCATCTTATTCTTGATATGTGTACAGAATAAGGGTAATTGGAGAGGTATTTAAATATATTAATAAATTTAGACGAATAGTTGCCAAATCTCATGGTAAAGAGGGTGGCTATTATGAGGCCAAACACTTAAATGGAGGAGATCTTTGGAGATTCCCAAAATTACCTCCATCAAAAGTAGGAAAAAAGAAAAGAAAATAATCAGTTAAAATTATTTGAAGCATTTGTATGTAGATCTGTATAATAATATTATTAAACTTTTTATTTCTCATATAATGAATAATAGTAATATAGTAATAAAGATTTTTATCGAAATTAATACTACAATTAATTCATATCAAAATAATTATAAATTGATATCTAATTATTAAATTAGTATAGTCATCCAAGAATTATAAAAGGAAATTCTAAATTCATATAATAATTTAATATATTGTTTCGAATTGATAATAAAACTAAAAAGCCTTTGTAAAAANGATTATGATTAAATATTAACAGTATCATACTTTTTAAGAAAAGTTCCTGGATCTTTTGCAGTTGGTTAAAAAATAATGACAGAAATATAAAAAAGAAATCCAAATTTTAATCCAAAATCTATGCTTGATTATGGAAGTGGAATAGGAACATGGGCATGGAGTTTCAAGAAATTGTATCCTGATGTTAAAAACATAGTTTGTGTTGAACCAAATTTATATATGAGAAAATTAGGAAAATTTGTTACTTAAGATTATATTAAGGATATTAAATTTTATGAAAGTTTATCACATACACTAGAATTAAGTTATGATTATTTTGATTTTATAAGCATAGCATTTGTTTTAGAAGAAATTAATCATCCTGAAGCAAGATTATTAGCACTTTAATCTTTATGGGCTAAATTATCTGATGATGGTATTATGGTTTTAGCATGTCCTGGATCACCAACAGGATTCCGTTTTGTTAATGATTTTAGAGAATGGATATTGAAATAAAAAGGGTTTATTGTTGCACCATGTTAACATTAATAATCATGTCCTATGGCTAAAGAAGGATTTTAATGGTGTCATTTTAAATAAATGTTTACTGCTTGGCCAAAGGATGGTAATCTTAATTATATAACTAAGAGTATTCCCAAAGTACATTTATGAAAATACTGCAGTGACAGAGAAATTCTCATATTTGGCTGTATCTAAGAAACCTTTGATTTAAGAGGGATAAGAATGGCCAAGAATTACATTTGATCCTTTAAAAAGAGGAAAGCATCTTATTCTTGATATGTGTACAGAATAAGGGTAATTGGAGAGGTATTTAAATATATTAATAAATTTAGACGAATAGTTGCCAAATCTCATGGTAAAGAGGGTGGCTATTATGAGGCCAAACACTTAAATGGAGGAGATCTTTGGAGATTCCCAAAATTACCTCCATCAAAAGTAGGAAAAAAGAAAAGAAAATAATCAGTTAAAATTATTTGAAGCATTTGTATGTAGATCTGTATAATAATATTATTAAACTTTTTATTTCTTATATAATGAATACAAAATCACATCATAGCTCTTAATGATTCTATTGTTCCCAGCACCATTGCTAAGATAGCTACTATTAAAACAAATGTATATGTTCCTTTAGGTTAAGGTTCAGAGGTCTTTTAAAAATGAATCATGTGGGCCAATACAGGGAAACAAAACTTATAAATAAATCTATTATACTTATAATAAGGATCCAAAAATACTACCCATAAAATTCAAAAAATGAGATAGATGTGGAACATAGTATGCTATAAAATATATAGACATCATAGCCAAAGTTCTAATCACAATTTAGATTTTGGTATCTGCAAACATGGAATTTTCTGTATCATTTTGAATTTAATTATTTTCAAATTCATTAATTTATGGTTATTATTAAAGTTCCTAATAAGATTATTTCTCTAAAATCATTCTTTCTATTATTTACACAGCTGGGAATAATTACAAAGGATAAGTTAATAATAAACTGATAGAATAAAATACTATTGAAATGAATTATAGATAAGGATTCTATATTTATTATAGGAATTACTTCTAAATTGAAAATAAGAATGGGTTTTATTTCTGATTAATAAATTGGAACAGTAATCAGAGCAATAAAAATGGAAATTCCAAATGCAGTAATCATACTATTAATTGCAACCATTTTGAAATCAAGTTTATTGACCATACTGTCTCTGATTGGTAGTATTGTCAATATACCTTCGCAACAAAGAATAGCAACTCCAACATAATGAAAAGAGTCTTTATTATAAAATCTGTTAAATTACTTCTAATATTAATGGCATTATCAAAGCTATATAATCCTTTAGAGAACCTTAAATAACAATCATACAGCACTACTACAAAGCCCATAATGGCAGCATAGAACCCGTATTTACTTGTTAAATGAAAGAAATGGATGTTCTTTATATAAGATAAAGGAAATATAATGAGCAATGTCATACATAATGATTGCCATTTCTCAAATTCAACTCCAATCGATAACAGAGATTGTGTTACAGATTCAGTCAAAAATATTAAATAGGCTATGCATATGCCAACCAATTGTAATACAATTGCTATATCCAATGAAAATGCCCATTTAAGACCCAAAGTTATACGGATTACATCAGCATATAAAATTTTATCTACTGCCAAATGATCAGCAACTGCAATCAATAAAATACTGGATCTAAAATTATTAATAGATATATATCACTAAACACAACTATAGGCAACTGGTAAAAATAAAAATATTGACCAAAACCATCCAACAGAATAAGTTACAAAAGGTAATACAATAGCTCCTGCATATGTTGTTTTAAAATCATATACCAATTCCTAAATTAGATTTAACAAAGTTAAAATAAGCTTATATTGGAGTTGATTTATGTCTATCAGATTTTTTAGAATTAGCACTCAGTTCTTCAAATTCTCTATTCTCCATTATTCGTTTTTATAAATATAATATTGTTTTATATTTTTATAATAAAAAAGTTCTTATAAAGTTGCATAAACATAAATATATCACATTTATTTCAATCAGTCTATGAGTTAACAGTTGGCAACTCGACTTAATAGAATTATTTATCTTCTTTAGACTTAGTGACGGACTAAGAAAACAATCTTCTGTTTAAATACACCAATTTATTTGACACATGGCTAAATAACACATTAGAGATATTTTTTAAGAATGAACCCCTAAGTTAAGTATTAAATATGCTTACTTATCATATGGATTTCCACTGTCTAAAGTCCAAATTTGCTTTAAGTGTTCATTTGTAGTTTAATTCTTGCAAATTAGAAATGTATGATAGGAGAACAAAGTAATAGTTAAAATTGTAATAAAAACTAAAGCAACCATCATAACTAGACTATATATACAGATAGTTGATTAGATAATAGAAAGTTAAACTATTTCTAAAATAAACTAAGTATTTAGAGTGAGTAAAAAAAATAAAAAAGATCTTACATTTCTCTTTCCTATACATGTGCCAATCCAATTACAATGATGATCAAATCTTAAAACACAATTATTGCAAAAACCACAATGAGAAAGTCTCGAAGGTCTGTATATTTTACAAGTTGGACAATATTTTAATCTTATTGTATGAGTTTCTAATCTGACAATTATATGTTAGATGTCTTTTTTCTTAGTTGATTAAGGTATTTACAACTTCTCTATATCATCTTCATGTTTATAAAACTATCTTCATATATGTTGATATTTTACAATTTTAGGCATTATTCCAGGATCAGTACAATAAGTTATGATCTATAAGTATATAGATAAAAGTGATAGAAATAATTCATAATATTATATCTTCATCTAAAAGTTACAATGGAATTTACATATATCATCTGATATAGAATAGCTTCAATAAACAAGAGTAAAAGAACTATAAGAAATTTGGTACTTTAGTTAGTATAAAATATTGTATCATCACAACAAGAATTATTTCTGCCTGTTCATTTGAATCGAATGGGAGTAGAATTCTCATCAATTGATATTTCTAATTACTAAATCTATATTTTAATACTTCTTGATGGTAATTCATAAATATGCTTTATAAATAAAAGTATAAATTATAGAATAATATAATAAAATTATCAAATTTCAGAATCGTTTACTATTTTAAAATGGTGTAATAATGTAAGTAAATTATTAATAAGAAGATATAGATGATTCTGGTTCTATCATATCTTATTCAATATTATCATAATCTTTTTCTCTTGGTTTTATTTTCTTAATGAATTTCATTTTTTATAAGCATTCATAATTAATAATATTTGGAATATTAGACTTTATTAATATCTTTTCGCATCTACCATAATTAGTATTTATCCAATAATAAATTTAGTCATTCAACTAAAATATTGATTCTGCATAATTAGCAATATCATAAATTAGATTATTGCTCAATCTCTATCTCAATTCATTAATTATTATTAAATCTTTTACAAGTAAATCTTAATGTAATTAAGGATTCTAACATACAAGTTGCATTTTTTCTATATGAAACTATATTTTAGATGTCTCATTTTTTGATTGATCTTTATTTACATTAATTAATTCTTTAATAATTTTTGCTATTATATTTTTAATTATATACATTTTTAATCTTAAGGAATTCCTTTAAATTAAAATTCACTTAAATTTAGATTCATACTATTTCTTAAATATGATTACATTTCCACTTTTGAATATTTCATTTTAAATTATATCACTTGTAAATAATCTTTATATTTTAATCTTTCAGATAATGGGAGCATATCACTTAATAAAGCATATTTAAGCTTTTGAAGAGCTACATCATAATTATGATTTCTCAATAGTTTTTATATTTCAGGCATATGATCTGCAAAATCTGTAGTATCTAAAGTAGACATATTTTATTTTTCTAATTGCATTCTTGTCATTTCTTTGTTAGCTAATCTTTAAAATATAGGAGCTGATTCACTTGCAATATCTTTTATTGAACTTTCACTAGCTATTCTTAAAGAACTATCATCTATATCAATATTATCATCTTCATTTTCTATTAACTTTTAAGCAATATTTAAATGTTTTTTATTCATATTTTTTTCAATTTAATTTTTCATTTGAAATACATTTTTCTCTGTTTATGATACTGAAACAGAATCATGTAATACATTTCTAATAATTTATCTTTTTTCTAATTTCCTCATATTTTTTAACATAGTTAAACTTTATATTGCTAAATGTCTTGGTAATCTATTGCACTTACTTACTTAAAATAAATCTATGTTAATCTTTTATATATAGTCTAAATACCTAACTTAGCAATTCTAATATTTCAATATTACCAACACTTGCAGCAACATGACCCAATGACCATTCACTTATACCAGATTTTTTTTAGAAATCAAATAATTACTAATGGGATCTTAACTAATATAATCTCTTATTATATTCAGCTGCATATTAAATTGCACTAACTTAACCTTTTCTAACAGCTAAATCTAAAGGTGTCCAACCTTCATTATTTTCACTATTTGGATCAGCATCTAATAATAAAAGTAAATTTGCCATTTCTTTTGCATCTGGACCCTTTGAATAATTCATAAATAATTGATGTAAAGGTGTATTACCATCAATATTTCTAAAATTAATTAGATTTAAATCTGTATGTTATGTAATTGAATTATCTTCTTCATTAAGATTTAAAATTATTTTGAAAAATACTAAATCTACTCTTTAACAAATAACATGGATTGTTTAAGGAGCAAATTTTCCACCCAAACTTCTTAATACTTTGACTGATCTTTATAAAAGTATATTTTTACCTTGTTTTTGTTTCATTATAACAAGCACTCAAAGGTGTATTTTAATCAAAATCTAAATTATTGATTTATTCTGGTATAATTTACATTAAATTTTAAAGAATACCTATTTCATTTGATGAACCTGCTTAAAAAAATAAATTTCTGTATCTATAAAATAGTATTTAATATACTTATAATCAGTTTAAGAGAAATTAGGTTCAGAAATACTCAAAAATTTAACAAAACCTTCAAAAGTAAGACTTGTAGTCTATAAAATAGATATTAATTTATCCTTTATATGCTAATATTTCTCAAAGTTAATCTTCATTGGTAATGCTGGTTTGCAATATTTAAACCAATCAAATTCAAAATATTGCATTCCATAAAGCACTTTATGAAATCCCTTAGGTATAGTAGAGAAACAATTCATTTAGATACATAAATGTTCTAGATTAGGGAAGTATAGTTATTCTATATAATTATTTGATAAATTTAAGTATTTAAGTTCAGGAGGATTGATATTAAAGACTTTGATTAAATTATCTTGCATATCTAAATATTCTAAATATTTTAAAGTTTGTAAAAATATTGGTAAGACATTAATTTAGTTACTGCTCAAAATCAATTTTTGTAAATTAGTCATACGCCTAAAATTAAAAAATAAATAATAATTACATTATTTAAGGAGGTACAGTTGTTAATTAATTTTAAGATAAGTTCAATAACTTTATATTAACTAAATTTTATTGTAATTTAGGAATTTATCTAAGTTGTTAAGATGGCAATTCTAATTTTTCTTCAGTATAAAGTGAATCCTAAATCTATTATATTTTTAGTTAATACTGTTTCATATGGTTATTTTTATTTGTGTTGGTTATTTTTACCATTAACATTTAAGTTAGTTTCTCCATATTAATCTTTTGCTTCTTAAAAACTAAAAAATGGCTTTTCTTTTAATTGATGTATACTAAGATTTCCATCATGTTCATCTTGAATCGCATATGAATCAAATGAAGAATAACTTAGTACTGATGGTTTCTGTTCATTTTATCTATTATCCATTGTATTAAAAAATCACTAAATATATTAAATTAAATAATATCAATCATTATCATCTTTAAATTCATCGTCATTTACTTTATGATTTAAAATTTAAATATCAATTAAATTCATTTAATCATCATTCTAAAAGACATTTGAATTTTAATTCAATATATCTTCTTATACATGTAGAAGAAACAAATCTTCAAATTATTGAACATCTCCTAATTTTTCATTCAATTTTTTGATCTTAAAGTTTTATTTTTTATCTTTAATTGGACGACTTGAAATAAAATTTAATGGATCTTTAGCTCCTGCTAAATATTGTTCTATAAATTTAATATATTTTTCAGCATCATTTATCCTATTAGAATTAATTAAATCCAAGAATAAAACATTTTCGACATAAAATTGAAACCAATAATTGGTTTAAAGACAATGAAAAATATTTCTAAAATCTTGAATTGTATAATCAGCTGATTTGGATGTCTTTTTTTTATTAATAAAATTTGCCAATGATTTTGAAATAGGATTTTCTTAAAAATATTTTTCATTTTCTTATATTTTATCCTTCATAAACTTTTTAAAGTTATTTCCAAATGTTTTTGGAATATTTTTAGTATCTGCATCTAAACTCATCAAAGTTTAATATCTATCAACTTAAACTTGTGTGTTTAATTTAGGATTTTCAGTATGAAAGCAATATTATTCATTTTGATAACATGATAAATTTCCATTTTATTCCTCTCTATCCTAAGACTAATCAAAAAATTCTCCATCAAAATCATTATAGAATTAAAACATTTACAATATTTAAAATTTTAGAAATTAATTACATTTTGTAAATAATACATAAATTTATTAATAGATATCCAATCAGAATTTTGTATCCATTAGTATAATCTTTTAAAGTATTAAAGAATAACAAACAATTTTAAAATATTGGTGTATAAATTGGATGATATCACTTTAGGATATATTCCTTTAAATAGTTTTGCATGAGTATTCAATAATTTAAACTTAGTTTTTTTAGTAAACATAGTATTAATAACATTTGCTATTGGATTGATTTGTAAGAACTTTAAATTTCAACAGCAATATTCAATAATTCAATATAGACATTTATATATTAATATGATAAGAAGATTAAGAAATTCTTTTCCTTTTTATGAATCCAAAATTATGATTTAATATTAGATTTATGAAAAAATCAAAAGTGTATGGGATAAATCATCAGATACAATTGAATAAGCTTCAAAAGAAAATATTAGGAGAAGTAGTTGGTGATTAATTAAAAAAAAATGAATTCTGTTATATATATATATTAATATAAAAATATCATTATCTAAGTATATTGAGCATCATCTAATATGTTTTTGCACTAATAGGTTTTGTTTAGTAATTTGGAGGGGCATTTTTTGGAAGAATAGTCTTACAAAATTTTCTAAATTTCATTTCTGGAGTAGCCTTAGGTTATTAATAAAATAAATCAATTAGATTAAAGTCACTTTGTTAAATTAATTATTATTTTTAAATTTCGAGATCTGGTTAAGAAAGATCTGCTTTAACAGGTGTTTTGTAAATGAATTATTTTGATCGTACATTAGTAAATGAATTCTAAGGTTTTGGGGAATTATCAATTCTTCTATATTTTTTAGGAGTGCTATAAAATGCTCTTTCTCTATCTTTTAATATTTATGAAGGATGAAAAGGTTTAATTACATAGTTAAATTCTACAATAGATATTTTATTATCTTCATCTCTATCTGAAGCATGAAAGAATGCACAAATATCTTGTTTATCATATTGAATATAATTGGTTTTAAAATAATTTTCTAAACTAAGTTTAATATATAAAATATATAAAATACTGTTATGCAGTGAAATATCCAAGTTAGTAATGATCTATCATTTAGAATGCTTATTAGACTGATTCTTTGCATAAGTCTTTGATAATTTTGAGATGTTTAAAATTAGACAATTCTTAATGGAGTATTTTGTACAAACCCCATTCAATTTCATTTGGTAATGTTTTATTGGCTAATACAAAATATGAATCTCTAGCAGCAGCTGTTTCTTTAAGAATAAGATCAGTTTTTGGTAATATTTATTTAGCAAAACTACATAATGATTATAAAAATACTCTGTATAGGTTACTCTTCCATCTCTATTGAAATCCAAATATTAAAGTAAATATGATGCTTCTAAACTTGTGAGACTACAATTATTATCTAACATAAAATCAATGATATCTTGATAAGAAATTTCTCCACATCTACTTTTGTCCATTCTTTTGAATGCTCTAATTTGATAAAACAATTTACCAGCATAAGGTTCAAATTATGATAATTAAGAAAGTAATTTTCTGACAGTTTCTGTTCTTCTTTCACATTCACAGATTTCAATTATAAGTTCTGTTAACATTTATTAATAAAATAATAATACTTAATATTAATATATATTATTATTATTATCAACAGTCACTTGGTCTGTAATAATCAGGAGCTTAACTTGGACATCTTTCATTCATATGTTCATATGGATCAATTGTATTGTATCCATCTAATTCCATTCTATGAGTTCCCATAATTTAACAATATGGTAAATCTGGATCATTAATCTTACATTTATCAGGAACAACATAATTTTTATCAAAGAAATTTAATTAATAAACATCTTTTGGAGTAAATCTATAAAATATATAAAATATAATTACTCTGTTGCTTCAACATGATATTATCCAAATAAACCAGCTGCCTTATATAATCCAATAACAAATGAAGAACATACTTAACTTGGTCCATCACTGTAAATCCATTCATCCTTTTCAACCATAGCATATAAATCAGCCTTAATTTAGATATATGAGTAATACAATTTCTATTCCTCTTTTAGCAGCTTCTATTGTGATTTCTGGGATTGTCAATCCTTCAGTTCCTAATCTCTTATTTAATCCTTCTCCAACCATTTTTGATGAAATACTTGGTGCAAATTTTTCAATAAATGAAAATATATAAGTAGCTAATTCAGCACTTAATAAAGTGGGATAATTATCTTTAGGTGTATCTATCCATCCAAAAATAAAATTATGATAACCATATGGTTATCCTTCCATAAAATTCCAAAATTTAAGAGCACCTTCTTAATCCCATTATGCTCTCTTCTCTGGACTCAATGGTAATATGGCTACATTAAATCCTGCATTTTTAGCATAAACTTTCCAATCTTCCCATCTATTCTTTTATATATTCTTTTTAGGCCAATACCATGCATCTTATGATTCTACTACCCATTTAACACCATCTATTTCAAAAATCACTGCACTATGTTCTGATCTACTACCTGTTCCCCATTCAATAATTTAATCTAATCCATCAAATCTAGTAATAGCCAAAAAATCTCCTTAATGAACCTCTTCTTCAGACCAATCTACTTAAACATTAGGTCTCTCTTTCCATCTATANGACAGTTTCTGTTCTTCTTTCACATTCACAAATTTCAATTATTAGTTCTGTTAACATTTATTAATAAAATAATAATACTTAATATTAATATATATTATTATTAAATCAACAGCCATCAGGTCTATAATAATCAGGAGCTTAACTTGGACATCTTTCATTCATATGTTCATATGGATCAATTGTATTGTATCCATCTAATTCCATTCTATGAGTTCCCATAATTTAACAATATGGTAAATCTGGATCATTAATCTTACATTTATCAGGAACAACATAATTTTTATCAAAGAAATTTAATTAATAAACATCTTTTGGAGTAAATCTATAAAATATATAAAATATAATTACTCTGTTGCTTCAACATGATATTATCCAAATAAACCAGCTGCCTTATATAATCCAATAACAAATGAAGAACATACTTAACTTGGTCCATCACTGTAAATCCATTCATCCTTTTCAACCATAGCATATAAATCAGCCTTAATTTAGATATATGAGTAATACAATTTCTATTCCTCTTTTAGCAGCTTCTATTGTGATTTCTGGGATTGTCAATCCTTCAGTTCCTAATCTCTTATTTAATCCTTCTCCAACCATTTTTGATGAAATACTTGGTGCAAATTTTTCAATAAATGAAAATATATAAGTAGCTAATTCAGCACTTAATAAAGTGGGATAATTATCTTTAGGTGTATCTATCCATCCAAAAATAAAATTATGATAACCATATGGTTATCCTTCCATAAAATTCCAAAATTTAAGAGCACCTTCTTAATCCCATTAAGCCCTCTTCTCTGGACTCAATGGTAATATGGCTACATTAAATCCTGCATTTTTAGCATAAACTTTCCAATCTTCCCATCTATTCTTTTAAATATTCTTTTTAGGCCAATACCATGCATCTTATGATTCTACTACCCATTTAACACCATCTATTTCAAAAATCACTGCACTATGTCCTGATCTACTACCTGTTCCCCATTCAATAATTTAATCTAATCCATCAAATCTAGTAATAGCCAAAAAATCTCCTTAATGAACCTCTTCTTCAGACCAATCTACTTAAACATTAGGTCTCTCTTTCCATCTATACCCTGTTGCTTTTTCTATAAATTCTATATTTGATCTAATCATCCAATTTGGTGGATAACTACCAAAAATTGAACCTAAATAAGGATTTGCAGAAAACCCACCAAAAAATAATTCAACTGTAGTTAATAAATCTCCAATCCAATAATCAAAATGATCACATGTTCTAAAAATATAAGCACCAGCCAATCTAAATGCTTACTTTTATTATTCATTTCTGAAATGGAAATAAACCTTATAATCCTATTCTATATTAATTTTATATAATATAATACCTTTCTTAATTTTTACAATATTATAATTCAAAGTTGTTCCAATCATGTAAAATTCTGAACATTGTTTTCCATTTTTATATTTTCCTGGCATGAAGGTCACTTATACTTTGCTTTCAGCATCATTGTATTCATAACTCACTCTCATCTAAGTGAAACAATCATCCTCAAATGATTTAAGTTTTAAATTTTTAATATCATTGTTTATTCTTCCAACGTTTTGGAATGACATACCGAAAAATTCATGACTGTCACTCTTTTTACAAGTTAAAAGTTGTGTTTGATCTTAATTAAATCAAAATTTACTTAAACTCAACAAATTGTTCATCAATTATTCATATTTTTCTTTTGGGTCCTCATCCTCATAATAATGAATATTATATATTGTTTCATTCTCTCCTTCCTCTACAACCTAAGTACCCTGCAATCTATCAATTACTGTTCTTTATTGGCAGAGGCTTACACCAAGAATCAAACCAATTATAAAGATTTTATTCATATTATTATTACGTCATTCACTTCACTGTTAATCTCTATAGATTTAATTATTTCTCATAACTCAACAATAACTATATATTATAAAATAAATTATGGCTTAATAAGAAATTTAAAGAAAAGCTAAAGCATACTTAGATAAACATTAAATTGAGGAAATATTGGGAGATTTGGTAACTACTCTATCCTATCACCAAATGAAAAATCCCATTATATATATTGTACTACATTGAATTTATTATATTTTAGATTAAATATTTGTGCACTGTTCACTGTACACCAAAAGAATTATAAGAGGCAGGTATACAAATAGATAACAGAGAAAAAGTAGAATAACCAATTCTTTGCTTACCATTTCCAAATTTATCCCAACATTAAGGTTCGATCAAAAAATTGACAAAAGAATAATTTTATGCTTGCAAAAATAAAATCACTGATTAAGGAAATAATTTTAGATCTATTTGCAAACTCATACAAGATAATCCTAAATCTAAACCTGGTCTTTTTGCTGTTGATCCAAGTTCATATCTAATTTATAGTGATCTTTTTGATTCCATAGTTAAAGAAAAAGGTTATTTAGGCACACCTATTAAAGACATGTCATATACACTTACATCCTCCATTTTAGAAGATGTAAAACCATTTTTAGAAGAATCTATTTTTGTTCTCAGAAGAAATGTTCCAAAATAGAGATTTGGTTCTACTTTATAAAATAGACAAGCTCTAACCAAAGAATTACTCTAAGTTCTGTCGAAATAATCAATTATTAACTATTCCTTACATAATGATTTATCAGCCATGGCACAAGAAGATGTTAGAAAATTATAAATTAATGATAAATTATTTAAGAAAAAAGATCCAAATCAAGCAATCATCAATCAAATATTTAAAGGTTTGCGTCATCCAGATTGGCCTTCTGATAGAATGGTACTTTAATCAAATGATAAATAAAATATAGTTTGGATTAACAGAGAAGATCATCTTAAATTCAAGTTTCTCAATTTGGAAAAATCATCTATTATTGATGCTTTGGATACATGTTGCAAAATGAACTAATACTTAGATTCAAAAGATTTAGTCAGTTTTGATGATAAATTTGGATATCATACTGTTAAACCATAATTTAGTGGTCTAGGACTCACCTTTACATTAAAATTTAAATTAGATCCATAATCAATTAATAAAATTAAATCAAATAATAATAACTTAAGTTCTAAAATACAAAACAAAGTGTTCAATGTTTAAACTAAAGAAAAAGATAAGTACTTTACAATTAAATCAGAAAGATGTACAGGATTAACAATGAAATAATATGTAGAATAGTTATGTTAAATTCTCTCCATATTATTTGAAGGAGTAATAAAAAAGCCAGAAACTTAAACTATTGAAAAGTAATTTAAGAATGAATTACAAATTTAATAACAATAATAACAATAACAATAATAATAACAATAATAATAATAACAATAATAACAATAATAATAATAATAATAACAATAATAATAACAATAACAATCAATGGCAAAATTATAAGATGAAAATAATACTATGTCTCCTTCAAAACCTGCTTCATCACCCTCGCATGTAGCAATTGATATTTTATAAAATCAACCTGAAGAATAGGAATATGCAACTTTACACAAAAAAAGATTAGAAACATTTTCAAAAAAATAAAAAGAAATAAATAAAACTAGGTGGAACAAAATATGTGAATTGAAAGAATTAATAGGATTGTTAAAGGATGATACTTTTTATTTTTAAAATATAAATAAAAAATTCATGATTGTTAGAAGAAATCTAAAAATTAGACGAAAAAATGTTGAAGAGATTATTGGATTAAAGAACTAATAAGTATCAGATTAAATTTTAAAGGAATGTAATTTAAATGGTAATTGTGATAAGGGCATATTTCAGTACAAATATAAGGGTTATGAATATTATGTGGCAATTGAGCTTGATGACGATTTAACCTTTATATTTCCTATTATCAAGATTTCGATCTCCTAATAATTATAAAAAATACAAAGAATAGTTGATTAATTCTTACCTAAAGACTAACAATATGCTTGGGATAATTAATATGGATATTTAACTAATAATAATAATTATTTAGGCAGTGGAATAAGCATTACTTGTGATTTTCCATAATTTATTCAAAATGAAATTCCTGGAATTTTGAAAGAATTGATTTAAGATGATTCTATATAAAACTCGAATAATTAATTTTTAACTCTTACTTCTTTAGATGAATACAATCTTCAAATTTACAGAAATGCTGTAAATGAGATATTGCTCAAGTAAAAATAGCATAATTAATTAATAAAAAAAGCAGCAGATAATTAAATATGTGAGAGTGATTGCTATATAAATGATCAATTATGGGCACCTTCAAAGAAATGCTTTGAAGACTTTGAAGCATTGTATACATAATATATTTGGAATTAAGGTAAAAATTGATTTATAACAAAGCTATAGCATATTTTAATGGAAAACATGTTACTCCTTTCAAAAATTATGATAAAATCAAGCCTGATTCTTATAAACTTAATATACCTCAAAATCCTACCATAATAAATATCAAATGCACATTTTACAGAAACTTTGAATCATAAAAATACAAACATGAAATGTCGATTTAAGATAAAATAAAAATGAAAGTAAGATTACTCTATTAAATGTTTAGACTAAATACAATGAATTTATGAAAAATAATGGGTGGAAATTTGGAAAAACTCATCATTTGGAAATTAGTTTTGACAGTAAACCTGAAGAATTTATTTAGAATTTCTGTAATCATTGGAATTCACTTATTGAGTAAGGTTAAGAATTTTAAAAAAATGGCAATATAGGATTCTATGGGCCAAATTTAAATTAAAGTTTATTAGAAGGATTCCAATTAGAAATAAAAACAAATAAACCAATTAATCCAGAATTAATTAAGAGTTTTAATTATAAACCTTATTATCAAAAAAATGGAATGATTAATTAGGAAGATGCAATTATAACAATTATTAGTAATAGACCTTGCGTTCTAGAATTCGAATTAAATTTGATTTAAGAATTATTGTGAATATTATTTCAAACAATTAAAACAAAACAATAATTTACTTTTGCTTTCATTTTAAATATTACTGAAGTGCATCGTTCTCAATTTCTATATTATTCATTTATAGATGAAATTTTTTTTATTTTTTTTACTTTTTTTTTCTTTGATAAATTCAGTTACGTATCCTCATTTATGTTTTAAGGTTGACATTATAATCTTAAGGATAAATAAATTTAAATAATTTATAAGCTTACCTATAAAACAGAGCTCTTCTACTGAAACTAAGATCTTAATTATATTTATTTTATTTTCAAGAATCTCAACAAGAAGGATTTTATAATTAACATAGATTTCAAAGCTTCGATACATCGCAAATGTGAGTACTCTTTAATAGCTATTAATCATAACATTTTCTAATGTATTCTCTATATAAAATGTCTAAAATTAAGTACTTAATGAATCAATGTTTATGACAGATTTTTAACTTAAATCTCCTTAATAAAAATTATTCTCATATAAATTTCAAATAAAATATTTATAATTCCAAATAATAAAGTTCTTTCTTCTATATTAGATACTCTCTTTTACCAATTTTACTAACTTTATTAATTTCCTCAATAGTAAATTACTTTTTTTAATTAGAATAGATAAATTAATATTTCATTTTCTCATTTATTTTCAAGTAAATCATAAAAATAATCATCTTTGTCAAATTATTATTAAATATATATTAGTGTCATAAATCTTCTATATTAATTAAATATCTATTTAGAAACTAGAATAGTAATTTATTAGTTTTGCAAGTTATTCAGAATATTTAAGATATTCATTAAATGTTAATTATAGTAAATATGGTAAAGGAAAAAACTAAATTAACTACCAATCATACTGAATTTTCATTACTAGGCTTAACATAAGGTAGTTTAAGTTTTCTTAAGATATGGTCTTCTTCTTATTCAATTAAAAATTCAGGAGTAATAAGAGGCAGTAATTAAAATTATTAATTATCAAGTTATATAAATGATTAAAGACTATGCTCTCTAAATCTATGATTTTATTTAACTTTCACATATTATTTTCAATCAATTTTCTTCATTTTATTTATCAAACTTTATTATGAAAAATTAAGGTTTAGTCTTGATATAATAATAATTTAGACAACATAATTATCCAATTAGTTTAATAAGACATTGATGGTAATATTAAATAGTTATAAATATTAATGGACAATAAGTCAGTGATCATTAAAATATTAAGAACTAATACTGAATATAATGATAATAAAAATGAATTTAGTAATTATCTTTGAACTTTATAGGGTATAAATAGATTAAGTAAAGTTTAAATTTTGATTATATATTTGTAAAAGTCATATAAATATCAAAATTTGATTGTTCGTAATACTATTAAGAATTTAATATTATAAATATATATAAAAACGGATGATTGATCGTCTGATAATATGTTTGGCAATATTGTTAATGGTTGGAAATAATTATGCTTTTGATATTCCTCAAGCACTAGAGATTCCAATCGAAAAAGAGTTTAAATTAACATAAACATAATTCAATTTGTTATACAGCATATTTGCAGTTCCAAACATAGGATTATCTATAGGAGGAGGTATTATGATAGATAGGATGGGAGGAAGATGGGGAGTACATTTAATACAATAAATAGGTATTTACATTTTCATTAATGCTTGGACTGTCATAATTATTTATAGCATTTGGTGGATGCTATTAAAAATATTATATGATGTTAGTAGGGAGAGCTATATTTGGAATAGCAAGTGACTTATTACACATAGCAGTATTTAAAGTGATTGCAAGAAGGATGCCACATTGTTTAGGAACAGCAATGGGATTGATTTTAACAGTTCCAGAATTGGCAGCAGCATTGAATTCTTTTTTATCACCATATCTATTTGAGAAAACTCATTCTTTAGAGTTGCCTTTACTTTTTGGATTATCGTTGTGTATATTGGTATATTGAATAATCCTAACATTAAAGTCATTCTTATCTGGATTACTAATGATATATTTAGACACAAAATATGATGCATGTTTAGTAGAAGAACCAGATGAAGAAGTTTCATTATCTAAATGTAAGTGATCAAACTAAAATAGTTAAGCTTACTAAACCATTTGTTAGAATGAGTCTAATAACAACATTGATGTTAGCAGCTTATGTTCNTAATTTAGACAACATAATTATCCAATTAGTTTAATAAGACATTGATGGTAATATTAAATAGTTATAAATATTAATGGACAATAAGTCAGTGATCATTAAAATATTAAGAACTAATACTGAATATAATGATAATAAAAATGAATTTAGTAATTATCTTTGAACTTTATAGGGTATAAATAGATTAAGTAAAGTTTAAATTTTGATTATATATTTGTAAAAGTCATATAAATATCAAAATTTGATTGTTCGTAATACTATTAAGAATTTAATATTATAAATATATATAAAAACGGATGATTGATCGTCTGATAATATGTTTGGCAATATTGTTAATGGTTGGAAATAATTATGCTTTTGATATTCCTCAAGCACTAGAGATTCCAATCGAAAAAGAGTTTAAATTAACATAAACATAATTCAATTTGTTATACAGCATATTTGCAGTTCCAAACATAGGATTATCTATAGGAGGAGGTATTATGATAGATAGGATGGGAGGAAGATGGGGAGTACATTTAATACAATAAATAGGTATTTACATTTTCATTAATGCTTGGACTGTCATAATTATTTATAGCATTTGGTGGATGCTATTAAAAATATTATATGATGTTAGTAGGGAGAGCTATATTTGGAATAGCAAGTGACTTATTACACATAGCAGTATTTAAAGTGATTGCAAGAAGGATGCCACATTGTTTAGGAACAGCAATGGGATTGATTTTAACAGTTCCAGAATTGGCAGCAGCATTGAATTCTTTTTTATCACCATATCTATTTGAGAAAACTCATTCTTTAGAGTTGCCTTTACTTTTTGGATTATCGTTGTGTATATTGGTATATTGAATAATCCTAACATTAAAGTCATTCTTATCTGGATTACTAATGATATATTTAGACACAAAATATGATGCATGTTTAGTAGAAGAACCAGATGAAGAAGTTTCATTATCTAAATGTAAGTGATCAAACTAAAATAGTTAAGCTTACTAAACCATTTGTTAGAATGAGTCTAATAACAACATTGATGTTAGCAGCTTATGTTCCATTTTTAGATAATGCTAATAAATTTTATCATGAGAGATTTGGATTCAGTATTATGCATGCTGGTAGAATAGTTACTGTTGGATATATTGTAGCAGGTATTATAATATTTATAATAATTCTAGCAATATCATCTCCAATAATTGGAAAAATAAGTGACTCTTTTACTCACAAACGCCAAGCTCTAATTTTCATATCGACTTTAATGTTCTTTCTATCGCATTTACAACTCTATTATATGCCTCATTCTACACATCCAAATTATATGTCAGTTTTCGCGTAATTTATATTTTCTATCTATGTAAAGTTTGATAACTTTGGGATTGTCTTATGCTTGCTATTCAAGTATTCTGATGCCTGCATTGTAATCAACTGTACCTGAAAATATGCTAGGTATTTTACTTATATTATTAAGAGCTACTGCATTGGGAATATTGGGAATAATAGAAAATATTTGTATGGCTGCAGTTCCAATGTTATCAGGGTTTGTTTACACTTTTTTAAAGGGAGAAAAAGATAGAATGAAAGATGTTGATATTATTTATTTAGTATTAGCAGGAATAGGGGTTTGTTTATCTATAGGAGCATTACCGAATTAAGATAAATATTTTAAGAATTAAAAAGATGCAATTAAACAGTTATATCAAAAACATGAAGAAAATAACAATTTAATTTGAATTTACAATAAATACATTTCATTTTCTAATATAATTCTATTCTAGATGTTCTAAATTAATATTCAAATCTTCATCTAACATATGAATTTTATATCCAAACCTGTTTATATTTCTATTAATAATATTTTGAATATTAATGAAGTAAAAGAATATTTTTATGAATTTACTAGTAATATATAATCTGTATTTTCATTTGTAATTTAATTATAGTAATAGATTTACAATAATATGATTTCTTCAAATAGAATTAGAAATAATAAATTATATATGATATAAGTTCAAAAATGATATCTTTTAATACAAATATTTAGTTCATAAAAGTCCTGAAACTTAGAAATTAATCAATTCTATTTGTTGTTTTAATTTGGAAATGTCCTCTTAAAAGAACCTTATTTTATTGAGATAATTTGATACTTAGTTTATACACAAAAATATTATTCAATTGAATTAATATTAAATTATTGAGGGGATTTGATTTATTGTAAATTAGATTTGAAAATTTATGAATTTTGAATGAATTATTATTTGATTTCCTGTTATTCTCTTTTTAAAAGGGATAGTTTTTGTTTAATCTAATAGAGATTGATAAAAATTGGTTTACTTATTTGAGAGTAGTCTTAAATTTTATTTCTCTTGGAGTTGGTTTATTATTAAGATTCTTTTGTTTGGTAGGCGCTAAAGATTGGCCATGAACAAAAAAAGAAATGGGAGTTTAAAGAGAAGGCTGACATTATTAATGTCTTCTAATTATAGCTGCTGATTCATTTCTAATAATAAAAAATTGTCTATGGGAGGAGTTTTTATTTGTTTGAGTTTTCATTAATAATTTAATAATATGCATGTCTCATTAAAAGACATAATGCCACCTCAGAATTCGTAACATAATCCATTGTCAAAGATCAAGTTTAAGATTAGTAAGAAGGTGGAATCTCTTTGTCAATGCAATTAAAAAAGTTGCTTAATCTGTGCTCGAAAAAGATCATCATCCATGTTGAGTATCAAAAATTCTTTAGTGGTTGATGAAAGTTCACCTGTTTCTAAAAGAACAATTGATCAGAAGGCAATTTTAGTATAATAAGCTATCGTCTCAAAATAAATATCAAGACAATAATCAAATCATGTTATTCATCACAGTTATTATAGTGGAAAATAAATCAATAATACTACTTCAACTACAATGGTTAATAATTCTCGGACTAGAAAGACATCTCTTGAATCATCCCCTCCTAAAGAAAATGGTAAACTTATTAGAATCTATTATAGTAATCGGAAGACATTCTTTCAAATTTTTATATGTAATTGGAAAAGGTGGGTTTGGAAAAGTTTGGAGAGTAGAAATGAAAGCCAATCGTTAAGAATATGCACTTAAAGAAATGCTAAAATCTAAGTATCCTTCTTATTTGAATGATTATTAGAATCATCTCAAAAAGGTCTGTTAATTCTGTGATGAATGAAAAGTATTTACTCGAACATCTCAAACATCCTTTTCTAGTCAATATGCATTATGCATATTAAGATAGAGAAAACTTATATCTAGTATTGGATTTATTAAGAGGAGGAGATCTAAGATATCATATTGGTAGAAATACTAGATTCTCTGAAGAATAAACAAGTATTCATTATATTATATTTAAAGAGTTTTTTGTATGTTGTATTTTATTGGCTCTCTAATATTTACATTAAAATGGTATAATACATAGAGATGTAAAGCCTGAAAATCTTGTTTTTGATAAAGATGGATTCTTAAGATTAACTGATTTGGGAGTTGCAAGATTAAATAAGGATTCTGCTGCTACTGATACCTCAGGAACTCCAGGATATATGGCTCCTGAAGTTATGTGTAGACTTGATCATTCCTTTCCTGTTGATTATTATGCACTCGGAGTTATTGCCTATGAGTTATTGCTTGGCAAAAGACCATATAATGGCAAAAATAGATAAGAAATTAGAGATTAAATTTTAGCTAAATAAGTTTAAATTAAAGATGAAAGATTCTCTCATAAAGCATAAGACTTTATAAATAGAGTAACCTTTATTTTATAATTATATAGTTACTAATTAGAAAGCCGTAATAAAGATTAGGCCATAATGGAATTGAAGAAATATTTGAACACTAGTGGCTGAAAGGATATCCTTGGGGAAAGTTGATCAACAAAGAAATCAAATCATAATATATTCCTGGAGTATAATTTTTGTGTTATTTTTAAGAGTATAGATGGCAATTTCGATTTTCAAAGTTAGATCTCTGCTGATAGTGAACCATAAGAAGATGCAGCCTCTCTTATCAGAAGAAAAAGTGTTTAATGCTTATTTGAGGGATACAAATTTCAATGAATTATCTTTTATATTGTAATCAATCCTTATTCCCCTCTCTTTCCAATAGGTATCATTAAATATTGTTATAAGTTTTGTTATTAATTTATACAGTCTGTGGCTGAGGTATTATTTGATTTATTTTATCTCTCTTTATGTAATCATAGGATGATGATTAGATAGTCATTTAAGAAATGGAAATCTGTAATTTATTTAAATTTTTCTATCTAGACATTCTAATTTTATATTTTAGTTTAAAACAATATTTTTACTAAATGATTTATAATTCATTAACTTTAAATAAAGTGAGTAATATAATATGAATCTTAATAAATTATATTTTAATTCATTTATGAATATTTTCAAAGATGATCAAGAAAACGAAATTATTTTTTTAAACATTTATAGTGATATTTTCCTTATAAATAAATATCTCTATTAGTTATGGTATTATCCACACAGATTTTTCAAAAATTTCACTAATTCAAAGTATAGAATTGTAACTATTAGATTAATTAAAAAAAATTATTTACTAATAAAATTTGAATCTTTTATTAATTTCAGTATTAAATTCTAGAAAATTAATTATGATTGATAGATTTCCAAAAGGATATATAGAAAGAAGAAAATTATTTAAAATCATAAGAGATAATGCTCTTTATCATTATTAAACAAAATTTAAAAAGAAGCTTTAAGATACTTTTCTATTTTAATGTATAAATTATTATCCAGATTTCAAATAATGTATATAAGCTATATAAAATTTTTAGAATACAGATAAAAGGCTAATTAATTAAAGCTAATCAGAAGTCAATGTTCTAAATACTTTATAGGTATTGAAATAAAAACATATCAATTTATCATCTATTATTTTGCATTCTTATAAAATTATAAGATTTATAATTATTCAAATTTAATCTTAAAAATATCAATTTTTTAGATTAAAATATAAAAATCAAATATAGTAATGATTACTTATTAATAGAAATGATTTTAATTATTCATTCATTATAATTATAGTGTTAATATTATATATGTTTTCTAATCAGAAAAAGTGATAAAGTTATATTTGCAAAAATTTAAAATTTCTTTTTAAAATCAACATTTAAATAGTACTAATTATTGAAATGATATAATTTATCAATAATTCAATAATTTTAATAGCTAATCTTACAAAAATGGTTTATCCTTTTGATTATAAAGAGTTTTAAAATAAAACAAATTTTTGTCTGATTTAGAATTAATTTTAAATGGAAATAATATAAGTATTTTCTATAATATAATTTAGATTTATTGTCTTGAGTTTAACTATATATATATTATTGAATGAAATATTTAAATAATTTTATAAGTATTTAAAAGTTTCTTAATCTGAGGAATTCAATTTATATTCCATAAAGTGAAAATGTATGAAAGATGTTCATTTTATTGTGTATTTTATGTTTTTTTCTTGATAAAGTTGTCATTTTTTGAAATCTCCTAATTTTTTCTACGTCATTTGATATAAATTTAGGTTCGTGTAGCATTCGTAATTTTTCATAAATATTTTGTATTTAAGAATGGATACTTAAGAGCAAATAAATCCTAATTATGATGTTGTAGTGTGCGGAACTGGTTTAATCGAGTGCATTCTTAGTGGATTACTAAGTATGGAAGGCAAGAGAGTATTTCATATGGATCGTAACCCTTATTATGGAGGAGAGGGTGCATCTCTAAATCTAACCAACCTTTGGAAATTGTTTAAAGCTGGATAACAATTCCCATAATAATTAGGTATTTATTAGATGCTAATTTGAAAAGGTTAGAATAGAGATTGGAATATCGATTTGATTCCAAAGTTTGTGATGGCTAATGGATAGCTTGTTAAAATATTACTTAAGACCAAAGTGGCTCGTTATTTAGAATGGAAAGCTATTGATGGCACATATGTATTCTAAATGAAAGAGGCAGGTTTGTTTAGCAAGGGAGGTGGCAAAATTGAGAAAGTAAATATCATATAATAATATCAATAGGTTCCAGCAACAGCTTCAGAAGCTCTTAAATCTGATTTAATGGGTATGTTTGAAAAGAGAAGATGTTAGAAATTCTTGGCCTATGTGTCCAATTATGAAGCAAGCAACCCAAAGACTCATGATGGTAAAATGTGATTAATATTATAGGATTAAATCTCAATCAAATGTCATGTGCTCAATTACTTAAGAAATTTGAATTAGAGCCAAATACAATTGATTTCATTGGTCATGCTGTTGCATTATACTCAAATGATCTATTCTTAGATAAGCCAGCAATTTAAACAATTGAAAAGATCAAATTGTATATGGATAGTATTGGCAGATATGGAGATAGTCCATTCATATATCCAATTTATGGATTGGGTGGTATTCCAGAAGGATTTTCTAGAATGGCTGCTGTAAATGGTGGTACATTTATGTTAAATGCTGATTTGGATGAAGTATTATTTGATGGGGATGGAAAAGTATAAAAAATATTTAATTTTAGGTATGCGGATTAAAATCAGAGAAAGTTAAGGAATTGATGGGAATAGAATAAATTAATTGTAAGATGATTATTGCTGATCCATCATATGCATTAAAAGCAAAATTATCAAATAAAGTGAAATCTATTGGAAAGATAGTTAGATGCATTTGTATTCTTAATCATCCAATTCCAAATACAAAGAATTTACCATCTGTTTAAGTTATTATTCCTTAAAGATAAACAGGCAGAAAGAATGGTAGATATATTATATTAATTAGATTAGATATTTATGTTATGATGGTGAGTGATGTTCATAATGTTTGTAAGAAAGGATTCTTTATTGCCATTTTAAGTACTAATGTTGAAACCAACAATCCAGAAAAAGAATTAGAACCAGCATTTGAAATTGTTGGACCAGTCTTAGAAAAGTTTATTACTGTAATATTAATAATAAATATTATAGGTTTCTGATGTTTATGTTCCAACAGATGATGGATCTAAAGATAATATCTTCATTTCAAGTTCATTTGATCCATAATCCCATTTTGAAGGTGAAACTTAATAAGTGTTGAATGCCTACAAAAAAATAACAGGAAAAGATTTAGATTTAACCAATTTACCATTAGATTAGGATGATTAATGATATATAAATAAAAGTAAAGCAAATATATATATTTATTAAATGATGGAATTCTAAATAATTAAAACATCTACAAAAACTTAGCTTATTTATATATAAACATTCAAATGCTACCATACTTGCTTTCTTAATTATCAACTAATCTTCCTATTTTAAATTCAGATTCAACATCTTCATCTTTTTCAGTTGCCTTATAATTAAATTTCTATCTCTATGTAAACATTCTTCTAATATCATTTAAACTAATAGTATGCACTTCAAATGTAAATAGCATAAATCCTACAACTCCAAAACAGATCAAATAAAATAAAATTGATAAAATTGAACTAAGCATTTAAAAATAAATAATTACAATGAACTTTATGGCGTAACTACACATTGTTTCTAAAATACCATAGTAATATCTTAGAAATATTATAAAGGAATATTTAATTCTATAGTTGTATTTCCATTTTCAACACAATTATACTCTACAATTAAAGTTGAAGGTTCATCTGTAACTATTCCTCCTTTAAATAAATCTCCTCTAATTATAGGTTTTGTTATTGTATGATCTGCATCAACATATGGTGGAGAGATATGCACTTCTGGAATTAATTTTAGTATTGCTTCCAAAACTTGAAACTCTTCTTATGTTGTTTCAGTGTCTGATTTTGATTAATCAACTGCATTAAAGAAATCTTTTGTCTCTTCTTTATTCAAAACACTTTCTTCATCAGTATTTTTAGTTAAATTCATATAAACATAAAAGATGGAGTAATTCAGATTTCCTGGGACAGTAAATACAAAATTATCAAAGTCTTTGTCCCAATAAGCTTTGTTTACTAATTCTCCATCCTTCACAACTGTTTAATTATATGATTTAATAAGAGCATCCACATTTAAACCATGTCGTTTTATTAATGGACTTCCACATAATTTTTACCAATAAATCTTTGCAGACCCACATTATGGTATATTAAAAAATACTTCATATTGGATTAATCTACCACCATATTATTTACATCTGTAATCAATTTTTAATGAATAGACATTGCTTTAATGATGCTCTATTTTAAGTGTACTATTTGCAAAATAATGATCATCAAATTCTAATTATACCATATCTTATGTTAATTAGATCTTATTATCCATAGAAACATATAAATAGTCCATTTGAACTGAATTATTCACCAATTGAAATGTGTCTATTTATATGATAGAATTATTATACCTGCTTCCAATACCCATTATTTAGCAGGAACACCAGCTTTAATTATATCATCTCTACTTTTATCTATGTCAGTTGAAACATGTAAATATTTGCATGTTGACTCAAAACATTTGACGAAAGAGATTAGAAACACGTATATTAATAAATTCATGATGTTTTATTATTTTAAATCAAATTCTTCTTTACCCAACTAATTTATTTATAGTAAAAGCATCATTTTCTTTAAGAATGGCTTCAACTTGCATGAAAGATTCATTGGATTCACCTAAATTATAATTAATATTAATATTTACTATCATCATATTGCAAACAGAAACAAACTCTTGATGGATTAATACCTAATTCTGGAACATGACCAGAAGCTAGTTAAGCTAAATACTCTGAAATAGCACATAAAATATCTGCAGCATTCTCTTTAGTTACATCAATTGTTGCTTCACATCTAAAAATTCATAAATAAATATATAATACTCTTTAACAACTGGAACTTAAGGTTCAGAAGGAGGAGCTGGTCCTGGAGCTGGTTTAGGTGCAGGTACAGGTTCTGGTTCAGGCTAAGGTTAAGGTTCTGGTTCTGGAAGTGGTTCTGGTTGTACTTCATCAGGTATTACAGGTGGAGTTTCAGGTGGTGGTGGAGGAACAAATTCTTCTTCTTCTTCAGGCCAAATAGATTCTTCTTCAGGAATCAAAGTTGGAGGAGGAGGAACAAATTCTTCCTCTTCTTCTGGCCAAATTGATTCTTCTTCAGATGGAATGTCTTATGGTTTAATTGGAACAAATTCTTCTTCTTCTTCTGGCCAAAATGGTTCTTCTTCTTCAGAGAATACTTCTGGTTATGGTAAGGGTTCATCACCTGTAGGTTTAGGAGTGTATCCAAAAATGATATCCTTTGGTGGAGTTACAACATCGATAGCAACATCACCAATACAAGAATTTACACGCCAATTAAAGAATTTACCATTGAAGGCAGGATATAAACCATCATTACCAATATAGAGTCTTCTTTAAGGAACAAGATAATGGCGGACATCATGAATTTAATTGGAAGGCATTTCTGACTCTGATAAATAAATAGCATAATTAGCATATCTGGTTCTTCTGCTGTAACCAAAGTAAATATAATGCCATTGACCCAATGTTGAACCATATTCAACTGAATCCCATAAATTAGGATTACCAGATCCTGAATATGTATAAGTAGTAACTTAATATCGATTGCCAACCAATTCATTACCAAGATAAAGAGCCAAATCTCTATCTCCTAATTAAATATCATCCAAATCAGCATTTGTATTTTCTGATAATCTAAAGACAGTGTGCCAAACATCTTAATCTTATAAGGATTCCCATTTGAACCAACCAGAAACTGAATAACCTGAATCCCATGTTGAAAAGTCATATCTTTCTTCAGAACTGTCATCAAATCCTGAAAATTCAAAATCTCCTAATTCATGTGTATCCAATTCACAAACTTCTTCAGGAGGATTATTGCATGAATCAACAATTTATTTATATGTTTTTTCATCTTGGAAATGTAGATTTGGTGCTGAAACTGCAAAATGTCCATAAACTTATCCTTAGAATGATGGATGAGAATCTTATTCACCACCAATAATGAATTCTAAAGTACTGAAACTTGGATGAGAAGCAGGAGTTTATCTCAATGCTGGTTATTCTTCAAAGAATTTTACTCCACATCCAGTGACTCCTTTACCGTGACTAATAAAGACAAAGCTCCAATCACCTTCAAAGTCATCATTTTAAACAGATGTAGACTATTATGTTGATCCATCAGCAGTAACACATTTAACACCTGTTTTAGTTACAAATACTCCCAAAACTGTATTTCCATTATCTTATAAACTGGCTAAATGGAATTCTTCACCATCAGCAAAAGCTGGATATTTTTATAATTTTTAGAAGTATAAACCAAATCCATATTCATTTGTTATTGTAAGTGTGCTTGTAAATCCAGGCTCAACTTAAGTTGCTGTTAATTCTATCTTCTCTGTAGATTCAGATGAATGGCAAACTATAGGAGATTCTACATCAAGTGGTGTTTCTTCAAAAATAAATTATTCTTCTTGCTCTTCTGGGAATACTAAAGGATCAGGAGAAACTGGGGGGAGTGGTGTTTCTTCAAAAATGAATTCTTCTTCATCTTCTTCTGAGAATACTTAAGGATCAGGAGAAACAGGTGGAAGTGGTGTTTCTTCAAAAATGAATTATTCTTCATCCTCTTCTGGGAATACTAAAGGATCAGGAGAAACTGGTGGGAGTGAAGTTTCTTCAAAAAAGAATTCCTCTTAATCTTCTTCTGGGAATACAAATGGATCAGGAGAAACTGGTGGAAGTGGAGTTTCTTCAAAGATAAATTCTTCACGATATTCTTCTGGGAATTCTTAAGGATCAGGAGAGACTGGTGGAAGAGGTGTTTCTTCTTGATCTTCCTCTGGTGAATCAGGTGTAGTTGGTACTGATTTTGGTTCTTCTGGCTCTTCTCCTGGAATAGTCCACTCTTCTGTTCCATCTTCTGGGACTGTTTGTTCTTCAGGGGATTCTTCAGAACTTGGATTAACAGGTGGTTCATCAGTTGGACCTTCTTCCTCATCTTAAGGTACATCTGGTGTTGGTTTGTCTTCTGGAGCAGGTTCATCTGGAGTAGGTTAATCTGGGGTTGGTTCTTCATCTGGAGTTGTTGGAGGAACACCTTCTTCAACTGGCTCTTCTGTAAATTCTTCACTTGCAACTTCTGAAGGAACTTCTGGTACAGGTTCATCTGGACATGTAGGTTGACATGCTTATTAACATCCAGATTGAATAATCTTGAGATCATCTATCTTACCTTTGACTTTAATGATTGTAACTGGTGATTATTAGCATTATTAGTGAACATTATTCATTTATTTAATAAGATAAGCACACAATTTTGTTAAAGTTTCTGTACACTCTTCTCTTTCATGTCTGTCTATAAGAATGAAAATATTTATTTACCATGAGATTGCAATCCTTATAATTTGCTTTATAACTCAGAAAGTACAGGAGGTGAAATGAGATCTAAATCTTTGATCTTTTCAACTAGTTGCTCATACTTTTTATGTTTAATTAGATGCTTCATTTGAGTTAGAGTCTCAATATGTGATGGAATGCGATCCTTGTTCTCCAAAACTTACTACCATTGAGTTAAGGTTTCTTCCAAATCTTCAAAATGAGATCGTGGAGTTTAGCAATTCAATTATGAGGTGTCTAAAGCGTCTACTTCTGCTAAGGTATGGGACATCAAAGATGCCTCGAAATTCAATGCTGTGGCATACATCAACAGCACAAACAGGGCATATATTCTCATTTTTATTAAATATAATAGTTATGCCTTTAAAACGGATTTATTACATATATTAAATACTCAATTTATCATACTTAAATCTCAATAAATTACTAGAATCCATTAATCTATGAAAGATTGGCTAAATAATTATTAATGTTAAATAAGTGGTAATGAAATATTCTTAGAGTGATAAGATATATGACTAACTTTTGTAATAGAAAGTATTTCAAGTAAATTAGATACATTTTATTCATTTCTTAAAATTAAATTACATGCCAATCAAACTATATCAAAATATACAAAGCCATTAATTTACATTTAATTATGATGCTCTCAAATTGAATCAGTTTGATATGATATTATGATAATTGAAATAAAATTTATAAGAATCATAGATTTAACTGTTCAAAAAAAGTCTTTATTTGATATTTTTCAATAAACAACAACAAAAATCTATTTAAATAGTCTTGATAGAAATCTATTATATTTAGTACTATCTTTATTCAATTAAATAGTAGAGATGCAGTTTAATAAATTATTAAATGTAAATTTAATATATAAGAAATTTAGAATTCTAATAGTAGATAATTGCTCATTGATAATAATAATATATTAAAAAATAGTGTTATGTATTCTCATTAAAAGGGATTATGTCATTTTAGGAAATTAAGAGATAATTGAATTATTTTTTGATTAAATAATATTAAATTTATGAGTCGTGCTTTATTTGTTAGTAAAAATTACTTAAGCAAAAAATTCAACGTAAAATAGCCTAATGAACTTTATAAGCAATTACTTTAAAATATTCATCTATTCTAGGCAGATGAATTAAAAAAAATTTCATCTGATGAATTAATACATTATATAATTTTTTTTGGAACACATCCTGAACGTAGAAATTAAGGAGAAAAAGCCAAAAAAATTACTTTAGAATGTCTTAAATAATATAAGAAAAAGATGACTAAAAATTCATATGAAATAAATTCATAAATACTTTTATCACTTAGCAATGTTTTATTGTATGATGAATAGATGGTTCAAGAATTAGTTTAATAAGTAGATGATGACAAAGAAAATCTTTCAGTCAAAGATATGATTAAATTTTAGCATTGTCTCTACAAACTAAATATCCATAATGAGAAACTAAGCGATTATGTTCTTGAAAAATTTCTCAAATAAAAAGAATAAGTAGATTATTTAGAATATATTCATGATCTTCATATAAGATCAAATCTATATAGAATGGGTTAAGTAGATGAAAAAGTCATTCTAACTTTGTTGAAAGGATTTTAAACAAAATTAAATTCATCTTAAAATTTTTATTATACATCTAAATCATGCTTTTAATATTGTTAACTTATGTATAATTTATATCCAGAGATAATTGAGAAACAATTTTTTGAATTAAAACCTAGAGACGATAATATATTTGCTAATTAATTTAATGATATGATGAAGGATTATGTAATAAGCAAATAACTTGTAGATCGTAAAAAGTTTTATTAATCTTTTGAATATTATGTAAATTTTCATAATTTGAATATATTAAAAGCTAAAGAAGATGCTATAATGAGAAGTTTAACTGAACTTGAATAAAATGTATAAGATTTACTTAATAAATAAAATTATAAAAATTCAAGAGCTCATCGAGTTTTGATTTATGATGTAGATTATTTAGTTAATGATAACATTATTTTAACATGTAATGATCCTGTTCATTTTGTTGAAGATTTCAATGGAAAGATATTAACCATAAATCCAAATCATATAATGTAAAGCAGGTATTCATTTATTAAAAAGTAGAGGCATTTGAGTGCTACCAATAAATACAAGGTTTTTGATATAAATTACCATGACTGGACACATTTGTCAGAATAACAAAAGATTGACAAATTAAAATCCTTAATAGATTGATATATGAATATTGTAAATCAAATATAATAAAATTTTTAACTATAATATTTTATAATAATAAATATTATGAGTTTAAATGATAAATTTAGAATATATCTTAATATATATTAAATACGCAATAAATTCATATCTAAAATTAATTATTTAAGTTTATTTTGTTTTCCATCAAAATTTGAAAATCAAATAACATATGCATAAATTATTTAAAATTAAAATGAGAATGAAAGTTTATTATTATAAAATAGTTTATCAATAAAATAAATTTATTAAAAATTTGAAATGGCAGAGCATGAACATGAATTTGAAGGTCATGAAGAAGAATTAGAAGCTCCAAAAGATTCATTATGGAGAGATGAACATGAAATGGAGAAATCTGCAAATATAGTTTATTTTTTAACTCTTGGAATTGTTTCAGGATTGATTCTTAGAGAAATCAATAAAAAAACAAAGTAAAGTAAAATATTAATTATTAGATTTCCATATTCGCCAATGATATTATCATTAGGAATAATAATAGGGTTACTTTAAAAAAGTTTAGGTTACATAGGAGAAAGTGCAAGTATATTATCAAAAATGCATCCTCATCTGATTGTATTTGTTTTTGTTCCAGTATTGCTTTTTGAATCAGCATTTAATTGCGATTGGTATACTTTTAAGTATTAAATGGTGAATATTCTATTATTAGCAGGTCCAGGATGTGGTTGGGTAATTATTATTAATCTAAATTTAGGGTGCAATTCTATTGGGAGGAGTATTTAAATTTGTTTTATAATATGATGATAATGATATGACATGGTATTAAGCATTTACACTTGGTTCAGTATTATCAGCAACAGATCCAGTTGCTGTGGTAGCATTACTTAAAGAATTGGGTGCAAGTTTAGCATTTAACCATTTAATTGAAGGGTATTAAATTACTATATTTAAGAGAAGCCTTACTCAATGATGGTGTTGCGATGGTGTTTTTTATATTTTTTAATAAATTTTCAAAGGCTTAAAGCGGAAAGGGAGAAGCTGTTACTGCAAGTTAAGTGGTCATTAATTTCATAAGAAACTCTCTTGTAGGACCTGTATTAGGATTAGTTTTAGGTATATTGGCTGCATTATGGACAAAGAGAATTTTGGGAGATGATATAGAAGTTACTTGGTTAACATTTGTATTTACATATCTTACATTTTATTGGGCAGAATTTTGTTTTTTTAAAACAAGTGGTTTATTAGCAGTTGTAGGATTAGGATTGTTTTGGAGTGCATTTGGTAAAACTAGAATTAGATCTTCTGTTGAACATTCAGTTCATACAGTTTGGGGATTTGTTTAATATTCTTGTGATACTTTAGTATTTATCTTAGTTGGAATTATTGTTGGAACATAAGTAATTGAAGAAACATTTATTCATAAATCTGATTACATTAGAATGATTGTGTTTTACTTTTTTATGATTCTAGCTAGATTTATTATGATTCTAACATTTTGGCCATTTTTAAGATGTTTTGGTTATCCTATTTCTAAGCCAGAATTCATAGTGTTAGTATATGGTGGTTTAAGAGGAGCTTTGGGTTTGACACTTTCACTTATGGTTGGTTGTGATGAAGAATTACCTGCAAGATTTAGACATTTATCAGTGTTTTATGCAGCGGGAATGGCTGCCATAACTAATTTAGTTAATGGTACAACTTGCAAAGCCCTTGTACAATATTTGGAAATGATTGAAAATCCAGTAGTAAAAAAGAAAGTTTATAAGAAATATTTAGAAGAGTTAATAGTTAATTCTTAAGATAAAATGAGAGAATTAGAATCAGATCAATTTTATAGTATGGCTGATTGGAATTAAGTTAATTAATTAATTGGATAACCTAAATTTATAGAGAAAATTGAAAAATTAGAGACTGAGATAAAATATATGGTTGGAAGTAATAGAATTGCAGCCAATTCATCAAATTTATATGAAGGATTAACTGATTAAGAAATCTTTGGAGAAGTAAGATATAGAATTTATAGAATTCTTAAAGGATTATATTATGATAAATTTGAATATGGATTATGTGAAGAAGATACAGTTAGATTATTAGTAGAATCTAGTGATATTGGATTAGATCATACAAAATCAATCCTAAATATTTGGGATTAATTATATAAGAATTTTCTTAATTTTAGTAGTGTCAATTTCTTTTTCAAAGTTAAAGAAATACCCTTAATTGGTCCATTTGCTAAAGAATACATGATTAAACATTTAGGTTTTGTTTATGATGTTACTACTACATTTTTATCATGTACAAATGAAGTTTTACATTTAACTGACAGTTTTCCTATGGGGAAAGATGCTGTAAGACTTGTAATGGAAGAAGTTTAAAGAGAAATTGATAAAGCTGAAGATTATTTGGGTATATTGAATGATACATTTCCAGAGATTGTTAGAGCCATTTAAACAAAAAGAGCATCTCATTCTATACTAACTCATCAAAGACATTATTTAGATGAAACACAATAAAATGGACTTGTAGATGAAAAGGAATATTAATTATTAAAGAAGGAAATTAATACTAGATTAGTTGATTTAGAAAATCATCAATTTGAAATGATATTACCTTCATTTCATGTTTTAGCTATGGAATTTCCTATATTTTCAGGACTTGTTTCAACTGATTTGGATAATATAATTAAAAGTGCGTATGAAAAGAGATTTGCATGTGATGAGATAATATATGAATAAGGAATGACATGTCAAAATATATATATTATTAGTAAAGGTAATGTAGTTGATGAATTTGAAGGAGGTTCAATTAAAAAAGGTTTGGGATCTCTTATTACTTATACTAATTTAATTGGTGATGGTAGTTGTATGAGTACAGCAAAAGCAACTGCTGATTCCTTACTTTATTCATTAAATTTAAAAATTCTAAAAGAACTCATGTAAAAGAATCCTGAGTTTGAATTTAAAATTTATATCAATTCTATAGGTAATTCTAAATTCTATATTAGAATATTTAAGAAAAATGTTTGAAAGTTAGGCAGGTCCACTGGCGAATTTAGAAATAAAAAGATTATTAGATTTTTTTAGAACAAAAAGCAAGTTAAAGAAATTAAATTAAAATCAAAAATGTGATTTAATTTTTGGAGGTTATTTATTTAAAGGAGAACTAAAAGATTTAAATAACAAAATATATCCTTAATATTCGTATATTTAATTATTAAATTATTAGGTATATTCCACCTTAAGAAACAGAATGTTTAGCAACAAAATGTGGTATTTGCTTGATTTTTGATGATCAAGTGGATTCACTAAACACTTAAATTCTAAAATAGTTAGATTTAGATCCTCATAAAGATTAATAAATTTAAGAGAGATATTCCTAAATCAAACGTACTTCATTACAAGAAAAAAAAAAACATCATTGAATTTGCTTCATTTATATCTAAAATATTTATAAGAGAGTTTCTATTCATATTTCAATAGTTTATTTTAGTAAATTTTAGAAGTTTACAAAAACTTATTTTATTATTTATATATATATATAAATTAATGTAAAGTGTAACCTCTATAGAAGTACCTACAAATTTGCTTAAAATGCCAATAATTAAGAATAAGGATATTATGGAAAAGAAATGTATTTATTTAAATAAATTAATAAGATGAATATGATAAAGTTGGAACAAATTAAAATGTTATTGTTGAACCTGCAGTAGTTAAATTTTGTGGTTTTGAAATTGGCAAACTAAATGAGATTAAAGTGAGAGTCATCAATAAAAACAAACAACCTTAAAGAATCTATGTGTTTCCACCTAAATCAGAAATATTTAATGTCAAATTTGATAAAAAAGGTGCTATACCTAGTGGAATGGCTGAAGAGCTATATGTGTAATTCAAGCCTTAAGAATATAAATATTTTTATGATGTTATACGAATAAATACTCAAGATGATACTTTGTTAATACCTATACATGCTTATCCTGCACTTAGTCGAGATGGATTAAGAGAATTGTTCCCTCGATTGATTGACTTTGGCACCTTAGATATAGGTGAATCTTAAACATATGTAAAAAATCTTATCATTATAATAGAGTTATCCAATTTAAAGTAAAGTACCTCTTAACTTTGAGTTTGAATTCAACATTACAAAACCTTGTTAAGATATTAAAATTGATCCAATCAAAGGAATTGTACCAGGCAAAGGAGGTATAGATATTTCTATAACATACTGTCCTTAAGTTAATGTGACAGAAGTTATGGAAGTGGAAGTAAATATTCATCTAAATAATTTTTTAGCTTAAAATAGCTTAATTTGATTTTGAACCATTATGTATCAAAATTATGGGATCTGGTAGATTCCCTGAAAATAAAAAAACTATCAGACCTAATTCAAACAAAAAATTGAAATCTATTACTAATTCTTCTAGAGCTAAACCTCTTTAGAATACTTAAGAGATACCAGTTGAAGAAAGTCCAAAACCAGGTGAAACATAATAAATTGAGAATCAAATTTAAGAAAAATCAAAAACCTTGAAAATAACAAAAAGCTCTAAATTAAAAAGATCTAAATCTCAATCGCAAGAAACTAATGATAATGTAGGACTTGATAAACTTAAAGGCAGACAAGTAAAGTATTAAATAACAAAAGTTATTAGAAAAATCATATTTAGATCATTTTAATCAAATCTAAAGTTTGGATAAAGAAAAAGAAATGAGATTTTTTTAATGCGTTGGAGACCCACCAATAACTGAATCTTAAGTATAAGACATTCTCCTTGAAAGATAATAATATCTTAATAATTATCTAGAAGATGTTTAAGCAAAAGGAACAACAAGATACACATTATTGATTAATAATGATAGTACAATTGTTGATTACATTCTACCTGAACATCAATAAACTTGGGATTTAGATAAGAATGATACAATGAAAATTAAGAAACTAGTAATATATTTTATATATTTATTTAGAATTTAAGAAAGTTTGTATGTGCAGCTAGTAGAGTAATCTATAAATTAAGAATGGAAAAAAGATTATAAAAATTAAAGGCATTTTTAAAAGGAGCAACAACTAGAGCAGAAGTTAGATAACTAGTTAATTTGGATTGTTAAAAAGCAGAATATTCAGGTGTTGGTAAAAAAGATTTTGTATAAATTTTAATTAATTATTCAGGTTAAATTTACATTTGAATTCAACTCAGATAATATTGGATTCTTGAAATTACCAGTTCAATATTCAGAATCCAATACAAATTCCTCATTTAAATATACTATAACACCATAAACTGGTTTTGATGATCTAGCTCCATTTGATGAATTACCAAGTGATGATTGTGAAATCATGTAATATAAAGTATGGGAATACCCTTAAATTGTGTATCATCCACCTGTAATTGATAAACCTTTAAGGGATGGTGCAGAAGAGGAAAAATCTCTTAGAGGTGTTATGGGTCCAATAACTTAAATACTTTAGACTTAATATGATGATATTGTAAGAAAAATATATTCTAAACATCCAGATGTTGAAAGCTATTAAATACTTAAAGCACATAAGACATTAAGATTATTTTAATAATTTAATGATGGAACTCCTTTAAATACATTCTATCCACTTATGTTTAGTAAAGTAAATGGAATTGGATCTGATTTAGATCCAGATATAGCTTAGAATCATTAAATCCTAAAATAAGAATTTATCACTAGAACACCTGGTTATTAAAATCTAAATCTTTTATATGAACTACCATTGGATCAATTCTATTATCAAGAGAAAAATATGCAATTAGCTTATGATTTTGGATTTGATGAATAGATAGAATTTTATTGTCCAACAATAATGGCAGAAAAAGAATTAGATGATCAGATGACAGATGATGATAGTGATGAAGATAAACCTCCTTAAATTAATGTTGTAGATTAAAATGATTGGCTTACTAAACTTGAATAGGATGATAAAACTATCACAAATTTAAGATAATCAGAAATTATTGACTCTTTTGAGCAACTTAAAGAAAAATTAGATTCAAATTTAACGTAATAAATTAATTAAAATTTTTAGTTTGGAAAAGAATAAATTTATTTCAACAGTTCCTTCTAAAACTAATGACTTCAATAAGTTTATTGTTAGAAATGAAAATAAAATGGTCATATTGTGATTTATAATATTTCCAACATACATTTTATATATATAATAAATTAATAAAAACTATAAGGAACCAATAAACAGGTTTCTCTAATATCTAATAAAAATAAATATAAGAAACAATTCTAGATAGATGTATGTTAAATGATAACAAAGTTTTATTGTTTATATATGAATAATATTTATTATGCTTGACTTTGAACAAGATTTTTATAAGTTTGTTAAAGCTTAATTAGACAAAAAAAAAGGGATCAAATAGAATGGAACAGATGAATCATCTGATGAAGAAGAGACACTAAAGAGTAATTTTATATCTCTTATAAAGAAAATAGGTTAGTAAGTGAGAATATCAATAAAGTACTATAAAATGAGAGAAAAAAGATGAAAATCAGCAAAATAACTAAGGAGTAGCATTTTGAGAAAAAAATGAAAGATTTTACAAATATGGATACATTTATTGATGTTAAACAGTTCCTTAAAAATCTTAATGATTAATAAAAGAAAAAAACCCATAAAAGGGTGTTTAAATCATTCAAACGTAGTTCTTCAGATAGTGATAATGATGATTTATTTGATTATGCAGAAATTGTTTCGAAAAGTAAAAAATACATTGCAAAATCTCAAAAGTACAGGACTAAACCAAATATTTAGGGCTACCTTCAATTTGAAGAATAACAACTATAAAAAATGGAAAAAATTGAAGAGGGAAGAACTACAAATGAAAAATTCTATACTGGAATTGATAAATTAATAACAGATATTAATCAAAAAAATGCTTAATCTGAAATAGATAAATAATATGAAAAAGAGAAAAAAAGACATAGAAATTCTATGAGTTTAGAATAATAAATACCATAAGTTGTCCAATTAGATTTTGGAAAAGATGAACTAACAATTAAAGCAGGAAAGAAATTCAAAGAATAATCTTAAAAGGTTTTATAACTTCTTGAGAAAACGACAAAAATGTTATATAGAAATAGGATGCCACAACCTCCAAATCCAAAAATCTTAAAACAATAATAATAATAATTGAAAGAATTGAAATAACATCCTACATCTGTTGAGATTAGAAGTTCTAAACAAATCCTTACTAAAAGTCGTAGTATAAGTAAAGATAATAAATTGCCCACAATAAATGGTCAAAACAAAGGTTAGAATGTAAAAAGGATCACTCCCTTACATTAATTGAGTCATGCAACCTTGCCAGAAATTAAGCCATAATCTTATGTGTCTCTAAGAGAAGAGAAAAATCTAGAGGATTTACATTACTTTAAAAGTTAAAATTTAATTAAATAAAACTCTTCACCCAATAATTTTAGTCATCATAGCCTAAGCTTTGATGTTAAAAATTAGATTTGTGACTTTATTACTTAAGTAATTTTTATCATAATTTATTCTAGTTGGATAATGCTTAAGAATAATTCTAAAAAATGTATCCTTCAGATTCTTAATTATAAAAAATATAGAATAATATGAGTAGAAAAATGAATAAAATTGGTAAAACTCCTTTAGAAAGTTTAAAATTTTTAACTAGAAGAAAATTTAATTTTTCTAGAAAATTTGAGTTAAGAAGCAAAAAAAATTAAGCACATCAAAATTTTTGAAAAAAAAATGATTATATCTATATTGAAGTCTATTTTCCGGATTTATTTGTTTTAACATAAACAAAATATTGGTTCTGTTTAATCCTTATATTTAATTTAGATCAAATATTTTGAATTATTTCTAATTGATTTTATTATTGAAAATGTCATCCATTCTTAATAAATTTAGAAAGCAACCATAAAATGATGTACCCCCAGGAATTAAAATAGAGAATACTTTATTTGGATAATAACAAGGAACTTATCAGCCTCCCGTAATTCCTTCTGTTTAATTACCTCAAACTACCTAACCTAGATAAAAAGGAAGACCAGGAGGAGGTTCTAAAAATCTATAATTTTTTAGGCTGGGATGATGAGCCTGAGCCACAATAGTAATAATAATAAACATTGTCAAACAAGCCAACTAATACGATCAATCTAATTAATGACACACCACCAAAATAAAATGAAAATAAAGCAAATATTGATATACTACTACCACCCTAATCCTTAAATAACATTTAATTAAGTAGAGTGACTGATTATAAAAAAGGATAATTATTAACTTATGAAGAATTAGAGATTGGGGGATTGTATTAAAAATCTATATAATTTTTAGTGAATTTGAATTTCATATTGTAGAAGAAGTAATTAAATTAGGTGGTATTAAATTGAAATAAAGTGATTCAGTTCTTAAAGAATTTGCAAGAGCTTGTTAAACTTTATAGGAATAATTGATTGGAAGTATACTTTTGAATAAGCTATATGGTGAAGAAAATTGGAAAGTTTAAATAGTAAATAAATTAAATCTATTTTTTAGAGATGCATATATGCAATTCAATTTATTAGTTAATAATATTAAAACTATAGAGAATTCTTTTAAATTAATTAGAATTACTTAAAGATTGATACGGATTAATAAATATTATAATCAGCTATTGACTAAACATTATTAGAAATTAATGGATAACAGATATAAAAGTAAAAGGTAATAATAAAAATGATTTTTAAGGAGATATAACTTGAATTTCGTGAACCACCTAAGCCATAATAAAATATAGTATAACAATAAACTAATCTTTTTGAAATAGGAAATAATGAAGGATAGCAGAAATAATAACAACAATAAAAACTTGATTTAAAATCTCTAAAAATAAAATAACCTGAAGTGAAACAATAGACTTAAAAATAATAGAATACTTAAATAGATTTACTTGAAGCATTTAATTAAATAACTCTGTCTAATTATGATTAAAACTAATAATAATAATAATAATAATAATAATAATAATAATAATAATAATAATAATAATAATAATAATAATAATAATAATAATAATAATAATAATAATAATAATAATAATAATAATAATAATAAGGAATTAGCTTTGATGAAATATTAAATACTTAACCATTAGCTTAAACAGTTTAATAACCATAATAAAAAAAGAATGCTTTTGGCTTTCTCAAAAAAGATTAACAATAATAACCTTAATAATAACAACCGCAATAATAAAAATAAGAATAAGTATAATTAAACTCATTATTATTACAAACACCTCAATAATTATATCAACAACCAGCATTAAATTAATAATAGACTTCAAATATTATTTATGGATAACCATCAAATTTATATAACTTATAATAATAAGCTTAGTTTGGATAGCCTAATTATTCATAAGCATTTGCTCAATTTAACATTTAATAATAACAATACAATTTGGTTTAGTAAACCCAATTTACTTAAGAATAACCATAGTAAATATAACAGCCAACCCATAAAGAAAATGCTTTTGATTTCCTAAATTTCTGATTGTTATATAAAATAATAAATAAATCACATAATGTTAAAAAGCAATTCTTATCATATAAAGACACCTAGAAAATTTCGACAACCAAATATGTTATCATAAGAATTATTGTAAAAATTAACTCAATCGAAACTAGAAAATAGATAATAGAAAGAATATTTTGATAAACTTATATTAATTAATGGAGCCAAAAAAGTAAAATAAATTTCTAGATCCATTGAAGGAGGATCTTAAAGTTATAGAGAAATAGTATAATAAAGTTTAAATCTTTTTAATTTAAATAAAGAAGTTATATCAAAGGATTTAAGTTAAAGAAAGTCAAATGAAGAAATACAAAGTACTTAAAAAAAATCAAGGCATGTCAGTCATATTAGTTAAATATGGACAAAAAGGAATAGAACGGATAGCAATTCCTTAACTCCAAGGAAAGTGGGAGTAAACGATTTTATTTTAAATGCGAGCGCTTTTTTAAAGGAAAAGCAATTAGAAAATTAATTAGACAAACTCTCTTATCAAATAGTATAACTTTAAAATAAATCTAATTAATTGGAGATATAAAATAGAATGTTATTTTCAAATTTGTAATAATATTAATAAGATTCTCATAACATGAAAGTATTATGAATTTTATAATTAGGATAGGCATTCTCTTATTCAAAAATTAGATACAATGATTGTGATGTAATAACGATAGGAAGAAAATCTTAATTACTTTAAATAATTATTTAAAGAGAATAGTGATGAGAACAAGAAAACATCTAATTCCCTCCCAAAACTTAGACCGGCAGGTTTATCAGCATATCTTGGTTTAAAAATTTGATTTAATTAATTCTTCGCCAATTTATATAATATTCTTTAATGCACAAAACTCATGATTAAATTACATAAGAAAGTCAAGAAGATCTTTATAATGAAAATAAAAGCGCATCCTTGCTAGGAGTTAAATCCTATTAGTAGTATGCCTATAGATGGATAATTTTGATATGTTTTCTTAGTGTTGTATTTATTAATGGTATTGCATATCAAACTTTTATTCCAAATGCAAAATAAGTATAATATGATAATAATAAAAGTTTATTGAATTATATGATGTTAGTGAACAAATAATAACATTATCTGGCACAATATTTTTGATAATGTAACCATTGTTTACATTTTTTGCATCTTCATGTATTTATTAAATTTATAATAAGTTATTGTAAAGAAAGGATTTGCTTTATCATTAAATTTTGGAGTCTTGTTAACAATAGTTGGATATGGTATAAGATTATTAATAAATAAATTTTCATTTTCAATTGTTATTTTAGGATAAGCATGTCTTGGAATATCAAGACCTTTTATATTGAATGGTCAGATTACAATGGCATAGAATTGGTTTTATCCATCAAATAGGACAGCAGTATTAACAGCTTGCAATGCTTTTTAAACATTTTCTATGATCATAAGTGTTATATGGCCAGCTAATTGGATTTTTCAAGATTATTCTTATACTGAAGAGTTGAAAGAAAAAGGTTTAGACTTATCTTTAAAACTCTAATACTAATAATTTTTCTTAAGTCTAGTACTTATTCCTGTGATCTTTTTAATTAGAAATAATCCAGCAACTCCTCCTTCAGGATTTAAAACTACAGAAAGTGATGTTGGAGTTTAAGAATCAATAATAAAATTATTAAAAAATGGAAATTTCATACTCATTCTATTAACTTACAGTTTTTATTTTGGAACTATTAAAGGATATGGATTGAATGTACCATATTTAATGTCTCCTTTTGGATTTATTGATACTCATTATTCAATTGCTTCTTCAATGCTAATAATTGGTGGATTTATATCAGCAGGGATGGTATCTAAGATTGTATAAAAGTTTAAAAAGTATAAGGCTATTGGAATAGTATTATTAACTATATCTTTAGCCTTAACATTATTAACATATCCTATAATGATGACAGAACAATTTATCCCTTTATGCATCTAATAATTATTATTAGGATTTTTCTTAATTCCAATGGTTCCAGTTTTAATGGAATTTGGATGTGAAGCAATATATCCTTTAAATGGTAGTTTTTCAATTGGGGTTATGGTTTCAGGAGCAACAATAGCGGCTTTGTTGAGTAGCATTTTATTAACATATACAGCTAAAGGTAAAGATAGTGATAAGTTAAGTGCTTTAATAACTACTATCATTTGGTGTAGCATATTTTTAATAGGATTTATATTCTTTTTGTTTACAAAAGAAATTGAAAATAGATCAAAAGAGCAAGAAGAAAAGGAAAGGAAAAATTTAATAAAATCAGATTCCTCTAATAAAAATCATTAAACTTCCATTAATGAATCATTTCATTCAGAAAAAGATAAAAGTAAAGAGGATTTTAAACAAGAACAAGTAATTATTGTTTAAAATTAATTTTTATAAAATAATGATGATTTAAATAAAGATGATAAAAACAATGATAAATAACAATGAATTTTAATAAAATACATATATTTTAGAATATATGTTTAATAATTACAAATGGTTTTTTTAAACTTAATAAATTTTTATAAAATATTTATATATTTTATATAATTATTATTGTATTATTATCAAAATGAAATAGAAATAATTAAAGCAAAAAAAAATCTAAATTTAATATGAATAATCTACATAAAATACTCTCATTTAAATCCTTTTTCTTGTTATGATTTACTCCAAGCCTAAGCAATTGTTCTCTTCATTTCATCATCTCCATTTTAATACATCTCTTTCATCATATTCATTAATGAAGCTTGTGGATCCTCTTTATCTACTTTTGATGAATCAGTGTTTATCTATAATAAATTGTTTTACATACCAATTTTTCTTTATATGCCAATTGATCCCAATGTTTATTCTCTTTTTTGATCAAATTAATGATTAATGAGTTATTAGTAGTTTTGATAGAACATTCTCGATCTTTCAAATCATCAAAAGTCTTCTTAATGCCAAATCTAAAATAGTATATAATACATACCTCTAATTAATTCCTTTGTAATTCAAAATCTTAACATCAACACTATGAGTAGAAAATGAACTAATTATATTCTCTTTAGGTAATTATCCAATTCCATCCATACTTATTATTATTTTGATTTTATTCCCCTCTTAGTCCCAAGCATATTTGGTTATTCCTTAATATTAAAGAGAATCTTAATCTTTAGAATTTTATTCATGTTATTTTTCAGGTTACTCAACTTTTTATGGAGTTAATATTTTTATAGAGTTTTCTAAATATTTGATTCTATTGTTCAAATATTCAATATTGCCTTTACGTTTTAATGTTCCTAATACTTATTAAACTTCTTCTAAATCTAATTAGAGGTTCTCAAGTTCAGACATTTTATTTGATTAATTGGAATTTTAATATATATATGAGTTGATCAATCAAGGAAATTAAAATAACTTAATTTCTAGAATATTTCTATTAAGTTTTCTCCTTCTTTTATAATAATTAAATGAGCTATTATTAATTCTTATTTACAATATTCATTTGATATGTAGATATCATAATTAATAAAATATAATGAGTTATCTAAATTGTAAGTGGAAATAACATTACATAAGAAAGTAAGCAAAGATTATGCAATTACCAAGAATTAAATTTCAAAAGGATATTAGAACTAAGTCTATTGATGATATATTCGAGAAAACTAAGCTTAATNTATTATTATCAAAATGAAATAGAAATAATTAAAGCAAAAAAAAATCTAAATTTAATATGAATAATCTACATAAAATACTCTCATTTAAATCCTTTTTCTTGTTATGATTTACTCCAAGCCTAAGCAATTGTTCTCTTCATTTCATCATCTCCATTTTAATACATCTCTTTCATCATATTCATTAATGAAGCTTGTGGATCCTCTTTATCTACTTTTGATGAATCAGTGTTTATCTATAATAAATTGTTTTACATACCAATTTTTCTTTATATGCCAATTGATCCCAATGTTTATTCTCTTTTTTGATCAAATTAATGATTAATGAGTTATTAGTAGTTTTGATAGAACATTCTCGATCTTTCAAATCATCAAAAGTCTTCTTAATGCCAAATCTAAAATAGTATATAATACATACCTCTAATTAATTCCTTTGTAATTCAAAATCTTAACATCAACACTATGAGTAGAAAATGAACTAATTATATTCTCTTTAGGTAATTATCCAATTCCATCCATACTTATTATTATTTTGATTTTATTCCCCTCTTAGTCCCAAGCATATTTGGTTATTCCTTAATATTAAAGAGAATCTTAATCTTTAGAATTTTATTCATGTTATTTTTCAGGTTACTCAACTTTTTATGGAGTTAATATTTTTATAGAGTTTTCTAAATATTTGATTCTATTGTTCAAATATTCAATATTGCCTTTACGTTTTAATGTTCCTAATACTTATTAAACTTCTTCTAAATCTAATTAGAGGTTCTCAAGTTCAGACATTTTATTTGATTAATTGGAATTTTAATATATATATGAGTTGATCAATCAAGGAAATTAAAATAACTTAATTTCTAGAATATTTCTATTAAGTTTTCTCCTTCTTTTATAATAATTAAATGAGCTATTATTAATTCTTATTTACAATATTCATTTGATATGTAGATATCATAATTAATAAAATATAATGAGTTATCTAAATTGTAAGTGGAAATAACATTACATAAGAAAGTAAGCAAAGATTATGCAATTACCAAGAATTAAATTTCAAAAGGATATTAGAACTAAGTCTATTGATGATATATTCGAGAAAACTAAGCTTAATTCTTAAAGGGAAGAAAACAACGAAGAAGACAATATATTAAGAAATAGTGATAGAGTAATGTATAATTGGTCATAATATTTTGAATAGTGGAGTAAGCAAGAATATAGCAAAATACTAAATCCGAAACTAAATTCAGATCAGTTTCAGTTGCTCTTATAAAACAAAAATTATAATATGAATATGAAGAAGATCTAACTACCATCCATAATAAATGTGGAATGAAGGTTGTGAATTAAGCTTAATAAATGCATAATTAAGCCTAACCTTAATTAAAAAATCTTAGTGATTATGAAAAATAGAAATAATAAGTAAATGAGATCTTTAAGAGTCTATACACATCTCATTAAGAAAAGCGGGTTAATATAGAAAGATTAGTAAGTGATCGACCTTAAAGAAAGAAACCTATTGATTGGAATGAAGTGAGAAGAAGGTTACCAAAAGATCAAATAGGAACTATATATGATCCTACAAGATTTTAGAATTTATATGAAAAATTCAACAATGAAATTGAAGCTAATGCTCCTCATGGACCATTTATTAGTTTTCGTCAATTTTTGAGGGAAAGAAGAGGACACTTCAAAGATTGATTTATAAAATTGATTTCTTATTTAAAAAAATGGCTTATTCAATTTTATGTATAATTAGATTATCTAAGAAAATAATATTGAAAAAGCTATAATTTATAATAGAAAATCATTTTTAATATAAAGGTTCAAACATTTTATTAACCAATATTATTTAATTAAATGATAAACTCAAATTTATATGCATATTATATTTAAGATTTATGTAATCAAATATTTGCTTGAAATATTTAATCTTTAAAAACATTTAATATTTCTAATAAACCTATAAAGCAAAAATTCATTTTTATTGTTATGATTATGCCTAATTAAAATGCAGTTTTTCAAAATATTTTATTTTCTCAATACAAACTGAATTCAAATTGCATAATTATTACACTTTGTATTACAAATCATTATTTTCAATGTTCTTTTCTTCTAATTACATTTATAACTATTAGTATTAACGTCCTTAAAATTAATATTAAGCTTCTACAATCTATAAATCTTACTTTAATTTATTTAATTCATCCTTAAGTTATACATTTTCAAGCTTAAGTTTTCTTATTTCTTCGCTTTCGTTTTGGCTCAAGGCTTTTGAGGTTATAGACTTTTTGTAATAGTGGATTGAGTACATCTATATCATTATTGTTTTACAAAAAATCTAATGAGTTGATCAACAAAGTAAATTCAACAAAAGCTTTTGTGTCAGGACATTAAATTAGATTTATAGAGTATTCCTTTTATCTCATATTTAGATTTAGAGCAACAGACATGTCAAATTTTGCATAGCCGGCAATCCTTTTAGTCTTTCCATCACTTAAGACTACATTAAGTTTTCTCTTATATACAATAAGTGCTGCAAACTTACAATTTTTTCTTCATACTTGAGATTTACTTTTGTAACAATGCATTTCACTTCCATATATTATTCATATTAATGATTAATCTTCATGTAATTAAGCAATGACACATTTTTATCTAGACTTTTTATTTCAATATTGAACGCTATATCTGAATTTAAAGTCAATTATAGTCTTTTAAATATGATCGTATATGTTAATATTTATTTCATTATGATATTATAAATATTTTATATATTATAAGTGTCAAATATGAAAACTCTCTCCACAACCACATTAACCTTTTTAATTTGGATTCTTAAAAACAAATTCACTTTTAATATCATCCTCTACATAATCCATTTCAGTTCCTACTAATACCATTACAGCTTTAGAATCAACAATAACTTTCACACCTAAACTTTTAATAAACAAGACCTTTTGCTTCCACAACTTCATCTAATTTATCTGGTCCAGAACAATAGTTCATTGTATATGATAATCCATTACAACCTCGTTTTCTTACTCCTATTTTAACTGCATCAATTGCTGGATTATTCTATTATTTCATAAGTTCTGTTATTCTTTCTGCTGCTTTATCACTCTAGAATTAGAATAAAAATACTATTGTAATTAGGTTTCTTTTTGGTCTAAGCTTTGTTATAGTACTCATATAAAATTTAATCATTAATTTATATAATATTGATAATATATAGATCAAATAGTATTTAATAGATGCTCAATCGTTAATTCCTAATATAAATTGGTTTTAAATTTTGATAAATTCTTCGAGGGAATATCCTATTCTTACATCAACTCAAGTAAATAAGTAGTCAGATATTATAATTCTCTATCTGAACTATTATCATAAAAAGGAATTATAGGTATCCCATTTTCAATTTAAAAGCAAAAAGAATAGGAAGCATTGTCAACTAAGACTAGATCTTTTAGATTTCTATTTCCCAGTACTCTTAAATCTTTAATATGGAGACTGTCATCAACAACAACACAACTTTCTCTAAAAAATCTATGATGAATCCATTTTTTGTCTGGATCTATGTAATTAATGACTTTCTAAGCATAACATTCATGTGAAGCAGTAAATACTATAATTTCATACTTTTGACTCAGTATGGCCAACATTTCTCTACAATAAGGTCTAAGGTTGATTCCAGCTTGAACTGTTTCTCCAGTAGGAAATTTAATGGTTAACACAGTATCTGATGGATCATCATTAGATTCTTAACAATGAATTAAAGTTTCATCTAAATCAAAAACAATAGTTTTTTTGTCTAAATAAATTTTAAGTAATTACATTTATTATCTGGCAAATTGACAATTTTATTAGCTATTGCATTTATTGATGGTTTAACAATATCTTTACAATATTATAATGCATGATAGCTTTATTAAAAATGATCTTAGTAAATGTCTAAAAAGTATTAATTAGTTTTTAGGTTAAATAGTTATTTGATTTCAGTTTTAGATAATTTGTTATTAAAATATCTTAAGAAACTCATATAGTATTCGAAATCAACATAAGGTGATTGAGGTCCTAAACTTTATTTAGGTATTAATCTTCGATCTGGAGAAACACTCCTCATTTTCATTTTTGTTTCCCTACTCATAGTAGGAATTGGTGTATAAATATTTTCTTTAGTAGCTCTTCTGATAGGACTATTCATCCTTTTTCGATCTTACTATTTTTTAGGTATGATATTAGCACCCTTGGAGAGACGCATAACATATTTAGATAAAGGAGCAGATGTTGGAGGAGACATTAATGGTGTTGTACATTTTGACTCAGAAGTATTTTAATCTTATTCAGAGAGTGCAAATATGGTTACTGGTTTAGGAATTTCAATGTCAGGTATAGTTTACTAAGACTCCTCTTTTTCTTTTAGTACTTCTTTTTATCCTGAACTATTGATTCGTTAGCGTTCTTATGGTTTATTTTACATAGTTCTTTGTATTAGTGTAAGTTTCTTTTATTGTTATGGTTATTATTTTTTATCGCTGTCAAGAGTACGAGTTGATTTTGGAGGTTCTGGCAATGACAATTTAGGATCACATCGTTGGATATTTTTTTATTACACTATTGTATATTTGGCAGACGGGATTCGTTTTTAAGACGATTTAGGTCTTGAATTGACCAATGCTTATAACAACGAAGTCGTAGATTACGTTTACTAAATATTCGCAACAGAGCCGTTGTTTCTAAGCATAATTTTAATTATGAATTAAAAAGTCAAACTAAATTTATTATGAATATTTATAAGCTCTTTATTTATATAAAATTGCACTAAAACAAACAAGCTCCCCTTTTAAGATAAATAATTAATAATAAGTGGAAGGTGATTTTTATACTTTGTTTATATACAACACAACCTTAATTAAAATAATATATATAATGAGAAGTATAATCAAGATCTTATTTAAGCGTCCTCAACTTTGGTTGTCAAGAATTGTACCTGCATTGGGTTAAAAGTCTATATTTAAATATAGTGCAAGTATAAAATATACAAATTATTTAGATTCAAAACATTTCTTAAATAGTAAACTCAAAACCATTCCCTTACAGAATTATAAGGCAGATTAAACTGAAATAGATTCCAAAGTAGACCCAACTGATTTCTATCTTTTTAGTTAAATTCAACCGATCTTTCCTAATAATCAAATGAATTGTGAGATTAAAATTCGAAATTTGAAACGAATCACTAAGCCACTTCTCTATTCAATTATTTCCCCTGATAATGGAGAAATATTTACTATAGGAATAGCTTTAAGTAAATCTTCCGAAAGGAATTTAAATGCTGAATTAAAACTCATAGAATAAATGAGAGATGCGAATAGACACATTTTTACTGATAATCCTCTGAGCTATACATTTGATATAGATATTATATCAAGACAAGTATGAGAATCAAATATTTAGAAAAATTATCGATTCAAAATTACTAAAATAGAAATGACACCAGATGGAATATTTGCTTAAGGAATACCATATAAAGATCGTCCATTAACATAAGCAGAATAAATAATTGATATTTAACATGAAATTCGTATGGTAAGTTCACTTGTACAATAAATAAGAAAATTAGCAAAATATGATAGAGTTGAAGTATTTTCAGAAATTAAATATTCTTTATTGGATTCTAGTGAAAAACTTACTCCTAATTAAGTAGATGAATTAGTATTCTAAATTGCATCAGGTCTCTCTAAATTATTAACCAATAATCTGAAAATGAACACATCCAATTTTGTATAACAATTATTAGAGAGTTAAACTTATATTGATAGACTCTTTATACTTAGAAAATAATTAGAGAATATGTCAGGAGTACTTGATTTAGTGAATAAACATTTCAAAGAAGCAGACTCTTCTCTATTGAAATTACATTAATAAACTTTAGCCAAATTAGCAACAGAATACATTAGATAAAACTATTTAAAAGACGCTTCTTAATCTTAATCATAAGGAGGAACTATTGGAACTCAATAATATGGTGGAGGTGATAAGGTACATGTTTCTACAATTAATTTAAAGTAATCATCATTAGTAAAAAAGTATTTCGATAAATTATCATTAATTACTGATGAATCCTCAAAAGAGAAAGTTAAACGAGAAATTGAGAGATTTAGTTTATTAGACAAACAGAGTTCTGAATTTCATAAAATTAATTCTTATTTGGATGAAGTTTTTAGTATTCCATTTTTAAAATTTACAGTAAGATAGATATATCAATATAAATAGCCTGTTTAATGGGATATCTAATTTGCAAAGGATGTTCTTGACAAGGAAATTGAGGGTTTAGAGAAAGTCAAAGAAAGAATAATTGAAATGATATCAGTCAATAAATTAAAAAATGCAGGTTAAAAAGCAAAGGGATTTATTCTTTTATTAAATGGTCCTCCAGGTACAGGAAAGACTTCAATAGCAAAGAGTATTGCAAAAGCATTAAAGAGAACTTCGAGATTCATTTCTTGTGCTGGAGTTGCAGATCCTACTTTCTTTAAAGGACATAAGCGTACTTATGTAGACTCAATGCCTGGTGTGTTTATTAGAGAATTAATCAAATCAAATACTATGAATCCTGTATTCATACTAGATGAATTAGATAAAGTATCCAAATATCATTCAGGTGGTGCTGATCCTTATTTTACATTATTGGAAATATTGAATCCTGAAGAGAATCATAATTTTACTGATCATTATATGGATATTAGTGTAGATTTTTCACATGTAATTTTTATACTTACTTCAAATGATACACTTTAAATGTTAGAGCCCTTAAAAAATAGATTAGAAACAATTGATATCTAATCTTATATTTAAGAAGAGAAATTATAAATAGCAACAAATTTCTTAGTTAATAAAAGTATTGAAACTAATGGTATCTAACCATAAATGATTAAATATGATGAATAAACATTAACTAAAATTATTAAAGCATGGTGCTATTAAGAGAGTGGAGTTAGAGAATTAAAGAGATGCTTAGAAAAAATTGCTAGAAAACATGCAACGAATCTATTAGAAGCCAATCCTAATTTATGTGATAAAGTTGATGAATTAAATCAAATCATTTTTGATCCTATTAGTTAAAGTTTAGATTTAACTAAAGATCAAAATTTAGAATTAATATCATAATATTTAGGTCCTCCTGTCTTTGATATCTAATTAGAATAGAGATCAATTAAGAAATTTCCACCAGGACAAGTTAACATTTTAACTGTAGGTGGAATGATTGGACATGTTTTAACTGTCGAAAGTTGTTTTGACTTAAGTGAAACAGAAAAGAAGGGATAAATATTAGCTTCAGGAAATATTAAATTAGTTTTATAAGAGTCACTTAAATTAGCTAAAATAAATGCATTTCAATTTTTGAATGAAGAATAGAAATAAAAATTATAGAATTCTGCAATTCATATGCATTTCACAGAAGGAGCTACACCTAAAGATGGTCCTTCTGCAGGAATAGCTATTACAACTGCTTTATTAAGTTTAGTTATGAATGTAGTTGTGCCTAGTAATTTAGGAATGACTGGAGAAATTTCATTAAATGGTTAAGTATGTAAAATAGGTATTAAATACTTTAATTAATAGGTGGTTTATAATAGAAATTGATTGCTGCAAAGACATTAGACATTGTTGATGTTATATTACCATATGCTAATTTAGGTGAGGCATTAAATTTACCACAACAACTTATCAAAGGTTTAAATCTATATTTTGTTACAGATTACAGATAAATTTATGAATTAATATTTGAATAACAGATTGCTAATAACAATTATAAAATTAATAAAATAAAAAATGGAGTATATGAAACAGATTAAAATGGAATTAAAGAACAAATATAATATACAATTAATTATTGAATAATAACTGAATCATTATTATTGTTATTAATGAATTTCTGAAATATGCATTTCTATATTATAAATTAAATTTCTTGAATAAATATAGTTTATTTCAAAATATCTATAATAATTCTAAAGGAGTTGCATATCTCAATTTTTCACCATCTTCAATAAAAACTACTTCATGTCTTTCAACAATCCTTTCTAATTAATTTTAATCTAATCTATTAGGAACAACAACAAAATCCTTAGATTGAACTTTTTTAGCTAAATCTCTCTAAATTTTATAATACTATAAAATTACATTATTTAATTTCTTATCAATTATTCCAACTAACAATTTCTTCTAGAATACAACTGATAATAATTTTCCATCTTTTTATAATGGTACAGCTGGATATGTTCTTAAGTAATCCAAACATTCACCTATAGTAGTAGTCTCAACATTTAATAGAGGTATTTCAGGAAGATTAAGTTCAGATAAAGGTTTTCCAGCTAATGGATGATCTGATTCTTTTAATTCATCATAAGATATTAATCTATTTTCAATCATCCAAGTTTTATTTAAATGTTTAGTCATATAATTTCTTATATTGTCTGGTAATATGATAACAATCTAAAATATATTTCTCAAGTTTACCCTCTATTATTCTGTAAAATTTTGTGATTTAGCCCATTCAAGAGCTCCCCAAACATTAGCACCTGATGAACCTCCACATAGAAGACCTTCTTCTGCCATTAATTTACGAGCCATAGTTAAACTATCTTTGTCATTTGATTTAATCCAACAATCAACTTCGGTCTATTCAAAATTAAATCAACAATTACTCTATCAAGAGCTTTTGGAATAAAATCATAGCCTATGCCTTCAACCTTATAAGATTTAATATCAGTCTTATTAATCTCTGGAGGCATTGCTAAATCTGATCCATATGGATCAACAGCAATAACTTGACATCCTGGGACTCTCTCATGAATTTTTCGACCTACTCCTGTCACTGTTCCTCCTGTACCTGTAGACATAACAATTGCATCTAATTTATCATCACAAGCCCATAAAATTTCTTCAGCTGTCCCTTCATAATGAGCTAAAGGATTAGATGGATTTGAATATTAATCTAAGAGTATAATATCAGGATTCTCAGCTGCCATCCTTTTAGCCACTTAGATTAATGATTCAGGTTCATACCAGGCTGCCTCTGTTGGTGTTCGAATCACTTTAGCTCCAAGTCCCGTTAAAACATCTTACTTCTCCTAAGACATCTTTTCAGGCATTGTTATATATAAAGGATATCCTTTAACAGCACATGCTAATGCCAAACCTACTCCTGTATTTCCAGAGGTGGCTTCCACTATTGATTTTCCTGGTCCAAGTCTTCCTTATTTTTCTGCATCTACAATCATTCTCACTCCTATTCTATCTTTGATTGATCCAGCTACATTAACAAATTCACATTTCACTAACACCTCACATTTCAAACCATATTCTTTTGGAATTTTATTTAAACGAATCATTGGAGTATGTCCAATTGCATCTAGGGCATCATTGTATATCTTCTTAAATGGTACAAATTTGAAATTTGAATGAGGAGTGGGTGCTTGCTATTCTACTAGACCTCTTTTATAAGTGCATTGAATAGTGTCTTTGGAAGTGTCTTAAATCATTTTTTAAATAAGCCAATTTTAATCAATGGGGGAGGCTTTTATAACTAGGGGGTAGAATTAATGCTACGAACTGAATAATCTAAATTCTGAGATTAATATGGTTTAAATAATTGTATTACTCTAAGTATGGATTATTATTAATTAAGTTAAAATTGTTAAATTACTATTATATGATTATTTTATATGTTGTTTAATAATTTAATTTGTTTGTTATTATATTTAAATTTAATTTACCTTATAAAAATTAATTATTATAAAAATTAATATTATACTATAAAACATTAATAAAAAAAGAAGATCATCATTCAAGTTATTACAATTTTTACAATTAATTTTATTCCTCATCTTCTACATCCATCCATGTTTCTTTTTCTAATTGATCTTGTAATTCTAAAGTAGCTGTCCAAATTTCCTAATTTTTTTACTATTATTAAATACTTAATCTTCCTTAGCATCAGGTAATTGTAGAATCCCATTCACTATTTTTTAACTTTCTTCATATTTCTATGCCTTCCACAATGCAAAAGCAAGCATATATAAACTTTCTGGATCTTCAGCATTTCTATCTACTAACATTCTCAATATTTTAATTGATTAATTAAATAATTCCACTTCCACTAATAATTTACCAACTTATAATATAAAGTCTTCATCATATTCTTCCATTTCTACTTCCAATTTTTCGTATATTACTCTTAAATCATTTTTGGCAGCTTCTTCATCTTCTTTATTAAGATGGAAATTAGCCAATTATAGAAATGCATCTAAATTTATAGGATCATATTTAAAAGCATTATTTATTGCATCAATACAAGTTTATTCTGATTCTTTAAATTATAATAAATCTGTTTAATAGACTTCAGCTATTGCAGCAAAAGCATCACCAATATCCCTCTTAGAAGCATTCTTTTGTAAAGCCAATTAAATTCCATACTCATATATTTAAATGGCCTATTTTCCTTATTAAGTCTGTGCATATTTAAACAATAATTTATAACAATGTTCATACGAACTAGTTAATTTAATTTGTGGACATACGTGATTAAGTCTTATTAATTTAAATAAGGAGTAAGAGCTTGTTATAATTCCTCTATAAGGCCCATCTATTCTAAGCAATCTGTGTATTGATCTAATGCTTCAATGTTTTTAGGGTTTCTTTTGAGGTACATCTGATATGTAGATTTTGCTTATTCGAGATGAAGAGCTTCATATAGATCATTTGCAAAATTAAGAAGGGTCTCACTTGAATAATATAAAACATCTTACTTATCCATTGCAGTAACCTTATCCCAATCTATAGTACTCTCTTCCATTTTTAATCTTTTTTTAATTTTAATTAAATTTTTTTTACAAGAAATTCTCTTTCATATAAAATTTGGAATAAAAAATACCATATAAAAACAAAAAAATCAATTCTTTCTACGTCTATTATGCTTTTTCTTTTAAACCTTCTTTAGGTCTTCTTAATAAAATTCTTTACGATTATTAATAATTTCTCCATCCTAAACAAGCAATGCATCCTAGGTTTAAAATGCTTATGTCTTAAAAACAGGATGTTTAAGCTTAATATTATCTATTTCATTAGCTAAATTCATAGAATTATCCCATTTTCCTTTAGAGAAATTGACTCTTGACTCTTTTAATTGTTGAGTAATAGTATCTAAAAGACCCTTATCTATGACATCTATCTCTTTTCCATCTATTTACTTTTTTTCCTTTTATGCATTAATTAAATAAAATATCTCATTAATTTCATTTTCACATTTCCTAGAATAATATAAATCCCAAGGTAATTGAGTTAATTCTTTTTAAGAATCTAAGACATTAATAATAATGATTCCTTATGGTGTAAGTAATGTCTTGAGTTTATTAAGAAATTCAGTAGATAAGAACTATTTAGGTGGTGATAATTAATTTGCTTGAGATGCTAAAATATAATAAATAAAAATTACCATTTATATCAACAATGATGATATCATATTGATGACATTCTAAAGTTTAATCTACATAATCAAGTGCATCACAACATACTAAAGTTTCTGAATCTGTATTTTAAAAATCAAAGAATGTTTTAGCAACATTTACAATATCTTCACTTAATTCAATATTAGTAACCTTGACTCCAAAATGTTCATTAATAAATCTACTCAATAAACCAACACCTCCACCTAAAATAAGAACTTCTTTAGCTTTATTAAATGCTAATCCTGCAACAATAGCAACATATGCTTCAAAATCTAGATATGAATTATCTACTTTTTTATTGATAATTTTGGCTTCACTCTAAATTAAATCTAAAGCACTTTTAATTATTAGTCTTCTATATTTAATATCATCAATATTTAGTTCTTCTACAATACAATCATCTGCTTCAAATATGATATTTTTTTCTCCAATTTCATCTCCATCTGTTAAAAATGGACAGGGAATATTAGTACATCCTTTAGGTATTAATTATTTCATAGGTTCAGATAATTCTTATTATACTTATTTCATATTATTAAATTTATGACCTGGATTCATACGAGCTATTACACATCTTGACATTTTCATTTATTTAATTAATTCTTTGTGTCCCTATTCAGTTCCAAATAGGAAAGACTGTTCTCTTCCTTAAGGAACAATAAAACATCCACAAGTTTTCTATAATAAAATTTTACTATCATCATTATCATAGATATCTAATTTATATCTAGGAGTTTATTTATTATTGTTATCCCAAATATCTAAGGTAAAACTTTGACTTTATCTAAGTTTATGTATTGATGTAACAAAATGATTTTATAATTATATCTTTTTGATTATTTCTTAAGCTTATTTAATAGATAAAATTTGAACTTCCTTTTGTAATTAATAAAACTATATAGATTTTTACTCACTTTTATCAATTACAATAAAAAAAGGATAAAGTTTACTTTTTTCAATTATGCATTCATAAATTTGAATATTAACTTGTAATTACAATAGAGTTTTTAGAATATGTTCTTATAATAAAGAAATGATAATAAACTTTCCATTCTTTTTTAATATTCTGAGCATATTAGCCAAATAAGTATTAACTTAAGGTGTTTCTTCATCTGGAAATATAGCATCAAGAGTTCCCTTGTCTAAAATAACATCGAATTATTCTGATTAAATATTGATTTCTTCAGTTAAAGACATACATTAAAATGACATTTCAGGTCTCTTATTTTCAGATCTCTTACGCATTTAATCTAATGACTAAAATGTATAAGTAATCAATAATTACAATTTTTTCATAATCAACATTTGTTATATTTTTACAAATACCATTATCATATAGTTATTCTGATAATAATGATTTACCACAACCTGCATGAAAAACATTATCTTCCATTTTTATATATTTTTTAAACAAATGATTATAGCTATCATAATTGCCATACCACTCAAAGAATTCATTTTATTAACCCTCTTTCTTTATCTTTTTGAAGAATCGTTACCAATATTGTTTATTCATAAAATCTCTACATTATGTAGGTAATACTCCTTGCATTTACCACAAAAATTAATTTAATAATAAATGAACGACCTACGAATGCATAAGTTATAACAATTCTTCTCTAAATCAAACATCTATCAAAATAATTCGATTTAATAAATAGAAAGATAGAAATTGACTATCTCTAATGATGTAGAACTTAAAGATTAATCATAAATTGAAGAAAAGATGATTCATGTTGTTCGTCCTTATTAAACTGATTTTGATAAAGAAATGTGTAAAAATCATTTTAAATATTTTAGATCTTATGGCTAAACCATTGATATAACCATTAATTTAATTGAATATTGTTAGTAAACCTGAAATCAATAATGTCAATCTATCACACTAATTACATAACTAATTAGACAAAGCAATTAAAAGATCTGAGAATTTTCTAACTCTTAAAAAATAACCAAATCACTTTCTTAATCAATTGAGATAATAAAACAAGCAAAATCAATTAACAGAAAAGAAATAGCAAAATTCTGCTCCTAAAAAAGAAATCAAACAGATCGATTCTAATGATTATGATTTTAAGGCAATTAATAAAAGACCACTACCTGATTAAACTACAGGAATTAAACTTCCAAAATCAATTAAAGATATCTATTAAATTGGATAAACTGTTGATGATGTATAAGCCAATGATGAATCCTTTATTTTTAAAGAAGAACCAATCTCATAGTAACAAGTAAATAAAATAGATTTTGATTGTCTTTTAAACATAGCTGCTGGTTAAGTAGATGAACATACAATGGCTGAATTAGTTAAAAATGTTATTATTGCCAAAAAAAAGGAACATAATAATCCACTATTAAATAGTTCTATAGAATAATGTGATGTATCTGTGGAAGCTTATCCAATCAAATAAGATTAATATGTTTAAATGTCATCTAAAGCTTTACCAAATATATAAACAGTTTTAAATGGAATTCGTTTAGCCAAGAATTAATACTATTAAAGTTAAGAAAAATAAGAATGTAAAGCAATCATACGTTCACATTTAGAAGAATTAATGTAAATATTGATGTAAGGATATCCAGAATAATCTGGAATGAGTTAATCACTTGATTTTTTATTATCATTGAATAAATCTGAATTATCACTTCCATATGAAGGAATGAGTAAATTGGAATTACTCTATATTTTTGTCAATGAATACAAAGCTCTTTAAATGCTTGAATAAACTTAATCATCATCAAATTAATTCAATTAAACTGTAAATAGACGATATTTAAAATCTACAAAGGCAGCTTAAATGAAAACAATTAAAAAAAAATGAAATTCATTTTACTTTTACTATATAATATATATTATATTTTTTAGAGATCAAATATTTTATCTTCTGATGATTTCATTTGATCAAATATTAGAAGAGAAAATTGGATCAGGAATTTACTAACTTAGAACAGTTAGCATTATAGGATTAATAGAGTTTTGTGATGGAGTTGAATATGTTTTTATGTCAATTTTGATGGCAATATTAAAAAACGAATGGCAATTATCTTAAACTTAAGTTGCAACATTAGGATCTTCTTTTCTTGGAGGAGTGGTTTTAGGAAATTGCATATGTGCTTATATTACAGATAGAATTGGTAGGAAAACATCATTTTCAATATTTGCAGGACTTTCAGTGATATTAGTATATTATACTAGTTTTGCTGAGTCTTATAATGAAATTATTATTCTTAGATTATTATTTGGTATAGTGTTTGGAACAACAAGTCCATTAGGTTATGTATTTATAACTGAGGTTTCTGTTGCCAAATATAGAGGAAGATTTGCATTTTCATTGACATTAATGTATGTTGCAGGAAAAGCTTATTTAGTATTTTTGTGTTTTTTCTTTCTTGATGATTATACAAGTGGAAATTGGAGAGGATTAATAAGATTTAATGGAATACCAGTTTTATTATGCTTTATATTATCAATTATATATTTAAAAGAGACAATTAGATATTATTTAAATAAGGGTTAGTACACAATAGCATTCCAAGAGATTGAAGAAGTACAAAAATAAAATAATAATTAATAAGAACCATTAAATGAAAGAGAAAAGGATGGATTAATTGCTTGGTAAGTGAGATAAAATAATTTAATGATTAAAGAAAATTAAAATGAAAAAAGTGGAGTATTATCTAAATAACATCTTAGAATTACACTTTAATTATGGACTTTATTAATTCTAGCAAATTTCTAAAATTTAAGTATTTATTTATTGATGCCATTTTTATTTGCATAAGAAAATTCAGGATTTGAATATATGCTATATTTGTTTTTAATTGAATTTGTATTTACATTTGTGATCTACTTATTTATAGATGATCCAAAATATGGAGGAAGAGTCAATATCATTATATATGCTTCTATTTTATTAGTAATAACAAATTTATTACTTTACATATATCAGGCTTCATTTTTATTTGTAGGAATGCTTTTAATTAAGATAGCAACTAGAGGGATGTTCTCGACTCTATTTATTATATGTTGTGAAAGTTATCCACTTCATTTAAGATCAAGAGGGAGTGGATTAGCTATGGCTGTAGGAAAAGTTGTTTCAATTCCATCTCCATATGTTCTTTTCCCTCTTTTTGCTATAGATCCTTATCTACCATTTTTAATTTTAAGTGTATTGGGAACACTTATGATTGCATTATCAATTACATATCCATCTGATAGAACATAAAAACATTTAGAAATTTACAGTGACGAATAAAAAGAAGAATGATTTATTATTTATTTATTGTCTAATATATCATAATCCATCTGGATATTATGCTTATGTAAACCAGGGATGATAAAGGGCATCTTTAGCTGAAGGTCTAATAATTAATTAAATATTATTATTATACCTTTTTGATGGATCAATGTGTAATAACTATTTTACAAAATCTAAAAAGAACATATCATCAGTCTTAAGTCTAGCTTTTAGATTTGATTTTTTAGGAACCAATATTTAAATTAATCCAGTCTTTTTTCTTTTTACTGAGGCATCTGACATATCAGGATTTGGAAAATGTTATTATTAATCTTCCATTGCATCTTGATATAGTAATTTCTCCTTTGTGAAGAATTAATTAACTAATCTACCCTCTTTAAGCATATTTTCAGGGAATGGACCAATAATACCAATAACTCTAGCTAATAAGCCTTATACAGTATCATTTTAAAACAAAACATATCCTGTCCATAATTCAGCTAAAATACAACCAAGTGACCACATATCAATTTTATAATCATATTTGCATCCAATTATAACTTCAGGTGCTCTATAACTTCTTGATTAAACATAACTAGATAAATGATCATGAATGAAACATGAAGATCCAAAATCAATTACTTTGCATTCACATTTGCTAATAGATTTCATTAATATATTTTCAGGTTTTAAATCGCAATGGATTAATTTTAGAGAATGTATATAATCTAAGGCAACTAAGATTTGTTTGGTTAACTAAATTAATATAGGATTGATATACTTTTTATAATCTTCCAACTGTAAAATAATTGACTTTTTCTTTTTCTCTGAAGTACTTATAGAATTCATACAGATTATCTTTGAGTAATTCAGTAACTAAAAATAAATGTTCTTTATGATAAAAGAAATCATATAAACGAAGTACATTCTTAGCATCACAATCTCCATTACAATTTATATATCTCAATAATTTAATTTCATCTATGCTCTAATCCATATAATCTTTATTATTTTCTATAATCTTCATGCATACTTCTTTTTAAGATTACAAATCCAAACATTTAACTGCTTTTGAAAATGCTGCTGATCCCAAATATTCTAATATTTGATATCTACCAGCTATGATTGAATTAATAACAATAGGAAAATCTTTTGTTTCTTCAAATCCAGTTCTTTCCCTATCAAAAATAACTTTGAGATTAAATAAATCATAGATAACTCTATCAAATTCTACTGGATAAAAATCATCTGTAGAATCTGGATGTTTCAATGTTGGAGGTAAATAAATATATCCTTTCCTACCTTCACCCTCTTAGGATTTCTATTAACTCTTTAATAAGACAGCACTATCATCTTCATTTTCACAATTAACTTCATCCTTCTTGTCCTTAGGTTAAGCTATGGCTCTTTAAGGAAAACCAAACTTATCTGCCAATTATTTAGACACATTTATAAAATCCCTTTCTCCAACTTCATATAAATCAAATCCAGGATCATCATCATCATTATATTCATCTATTATATTTTTATTCTCTTCCATATCATGAAGTACAAATGACTAAGAGTTTTAAAGAAAGAATGAAGAATCATTACATCCACTTTCAGGTCTTATGATAGATGGCATTTTAGCTGTATCTATACCTTCAAATTGTTAATGTTTAGCAGCAGATCTTGATACATCCTCTTCTGTAAACAATTCATCAACAGATGGAGATTTTTCTAAAACCTATTATTTTTAATGTTGTAAAGGTTATTAGATTTTTCCAAATACTATTTAATCTTTTTCTTGAATCTCTAAAATAAATATTAAAACTATATATATTACATTTGCCAAAACAAGGAGCTTATTATTATTATTCTTCACTTGTTTCTGTCCTCTTTTTTTTAAGAATTGAATTTGAAATAGAAGTATTTGAAATATCATGAAATACATCTGCTTAATCCACCATCTTTTAGAATGTAGCATTATCAAAATAACGTTCAATCTTCTCATTAAGTGTCTCATCTTCTAATAGATTTGGTTTTGACACTAATCTATTCATGAATTTTTCCATAATTTATTCTGTCTATTCTTATGTGAATACTTTAGGTTTCCTACGCACTGCTTATCTATCTATCATTGGTTTCTTCTTTTCTTTTTTCTTTTACTCTAAAGCTTAACAAATAATGTCTTTCCTATAATTCAAATATTTGTACTCATTAGCATTTATTGTTATTACTTTTCACAGTCAATTTCATTTTTCATCATTACTTAAATATTGATGTTACTTATTTACTTATTTCTTCCTTCAATTTACGGGCTGATTATTGAAGACCAGACTACTCCAAAAATTTAACTATTGTTTTCAGCGCTTCGTTCATTAATTATTTTATTAATATGCAAAGATTATCATTATTATAATAACAGTCATTTATATCTTAAATTATTAATCAACTATAATTTATTTTTAATGGCTTTCATATTCTTGAAAATTCCTATTAAAATATATTAATGTCAAATTAAGACATCAATGAACTTCCAGCCCTTAAAGTAAATGTCCCCTCTTTCTTGTTGAAAACATATGAAATTCTAGAAGTATACCATTTTTAGCTATTATTTCTTATTCAGAACCCGTCTCTATCCCATATAATTACTTGGAATCAAGAGGGTAATTCATTTATCGTTCTAAATTCGCATGAATTGGCTTCCAAGGTTCTTGCAAACTATTTCAAGCATAAAAACTATCCCAGCTTTCTTAGGTTTTATTTTATTTCATAATAGGTAACTTAATATGTACAGCTTTAAAAAAACCAAAAATAATTATGGACAAAGTGAGTTCAGACATAAATGGTTTAGAAGAGGACTTAAGTAAAAATAATTATCATCCTAATCTAGAAGTATGCTTCAATACATTCGTAGGAGAAATTAAGAAGATTCTGAGAATAAAATAGAGATAAAGAATACAAATAATCAAGAAATTGATAATTATAAGTAGGAGCATGATGAAATGAAAAAACTTGTTCGAGAAATTTAAACTAATTAAGTTCAAATGGAGGTTGATTTTTCAGCATCCATGGAATAAAATGCATCAGCTAATAGATCTAGTTAATCTATTTTGTTGGTATAAAGTCTATTTTATATTTTTAGTGTCTGAATCAAATGTAATAGTAATTCAATAAAAAATTCGATAATCTTTCCTTACTTCTAGCTAAGATCGGTTCATATATTCCTAATTTAAGTAAAATTCTTTAAAATTTATGCAGTTTATTAAATGGGAGACATTTATAAAAACTCCTTTGATGAACCATCTCCAAGTAGATTAGAACATAATTATATTGTTCCATATAATGAGATTAATAACTAATATAGCAATATTGGATCACCATACCATTAATATTCTTGTAATAGTCCAATAAATTTTCTTTTGTCCAAATAAAATTAATGTAATGTTGAAAAATAAATTCTAGAATTTTAAGATTATTGCTTTTAATTTGATCCAAGTATTTTCTCATTCAATAGATAAAATTATTAATAATAATAACTTGCCTTACCTGCTCCTGCAATTAATTCATATTTACGTAATAATAAATATTTATCCAATTAAAGCTAGCAATAATTATTCATTACAATCGAGTTCACAAAACTCACCTTATAGAATTCCAAGTCCTTGTCATACTTCCTCTACAGATTCTAAAAATCCAGAAAGAGGATAACATTTATTTGAATAACAATAATTTAATTTTTACTAACAAGCATGAATTATAATTATATTTATAATTAAGAAAATTATTTTATTATTTTTTTTTATATAAATATTTTCATTTTTAATCTGGATAAAATTCAATATTTATCAAATTTGTATTTTTGGAAAGTTAGGCAATAAACTTAATAGATTTACATCCTTATAAAGTAGTAGGTTATTATTAAGAAACATCTGTAGATTAATTAATTAAATTATTAGAAGTATTTAATTCTAATTTTCTTTTAGGAGATCCATAAATATTCATTTTTTTCAATAATAATTTTGTTTACTCAGGAGATCGACCTCTTTAAGTCCTCCATCCTTGAGTCTTCTTTCTAACATTAACAGACAAAGTAAAAGAACTTGAGAAAAGTGGAAGATTTTCAATTTTGTAAATTTTTGGATTCATTCTTAATTTTTAACTTAAATTTTAAGCATTATTTAATGCTTTTATAGGAGTTAATAATAAATCTTTGAATGCACTTCTACCTCTAGGTGAATTAGCTATTTGAGTTTATTATATTGATTTATTTATATCTATTAATTAGATTTCATAATTATCCTTATGTTATAGTGTTCTGATCAAAAACCCTGCATCTTTTTCACATATATGATTTTATCTGACTATAAGTTAATTATTTATTTATAATTTCTTATTTTCAATATTTATTTAATTTAGTATTCCTACTCTAAGTACAACATTATCAATATGTTTCTTATTTCTACTCCATGTTTCCAATTCATATATGCATATTGGATGATTCAATTAACATTTTTATTTTCTTAAATCTTCAAGAAATGCATTAAGTGATGTCACTCTTTTAGTATCACTTGATTAAACAGTTGATACTACCTAATTAGATATATCTTATCTAATATTTTATAATAATTTATTATTAATATAAATTTTATGATATTCTTCTATAAATATTTATCTATCTTAAAATGTTTATATAAATTATTCTACAGTCATTATTAAACTACAAATATCATTTACCTACATCAATGAATCTTCCATTAGAGTAATATAAGTTAATGTAGATTTAATTTATGCTTTTGAACCTTCAACTAATAGAAGATCAAAAATAGTATCTGTTAATTTATTGTGAAATGTGAAACAACAAACTAACCATTAAATTGTAAATAAACTTGTTTCTACTGATAGATTTTAAAAATGTTCCATCAAATGAGGTTTTTCTTTTTATAGAATTTATCTTATTATTTCATCATCACTTAAAACACCAAACAAATGATTATAATAATTTTATGGTAAGAGAGTCTCAAATAAATGACATAAAAACCAAAATGCATCCTTATATATAATTCTATTAATACTTCTTCTGAGTATTTTTAATTCAATAATAAATAATGTGCAATATAATTAAATCCTTAACAATATCCGATTTAAGCATTTCTAATAGTGTAAGCTGTTAATACATTTGATAATTTTTACTATATTTCTTCATCACCTGATGTACGAACAACATCTTTTTTTATAGTATCTTAAAAATAATTAGGGAATTCTTATATTTTTAATAATTCTGCATAATAATTTGGATTAGCTTCTTTATTTTATATAATATTTGCTAAAATTGGCCAAAATTAATTTAAAGGTGTATTAAATCTATCTCTTAATTCATCTCTAACTGCTTTATGTATACAACTGAATTTATTAGTACAGTAACTTAATAACTAATTATAAGATTATAATACATCAGCATTATTTAAAGTCTTATAAAATTTACGCAATTTTTAGATATTCAATTTATTATTTCTAGATTAATTACTATTAAAGTCTCCTTTTATACTTTTAATATATTCTTTGCTTAGATTTAGATCTAGCATCATTTATATAAAATCTAGATTATTTTTCATTAATTTATATATATATATATAAAATGAATCCAAAACAATTATTCTAAGATAAATATCAATAGATTAGAGATTTCTTACTCTCTTCCTCTGATGAAAGAAACAATGAGTAGTTAATTGATATTAGAAACATACTAGAAAGTTTTGCTTTTTTCATTCAATTTACAAAGTATTATATATATATTTATTATGTTTCAAGTACAAAATCATAAGAATTTATAGAGATGTGTAGATATTTGTAATTAGAAGTATATGAATAAGAACAAACACTTTTTAGGTAAGGAGATCCTGCAGATAAATTTTATATAATTTTAAAAGGAGAAGCTAGAATATTGATTAAAAGTCCTGGTTTAGATGAAATTAAATAAGTTGGTATTTCTGGTGTAGGAGATTGTTTTGGTGAATTAGCATTATTATTTAATTCAGATAGAAATGCTACAATAGTAGTTGGAAAGTAAACTGAATTGATGGTTCTTCATAGAAATGATTTCAATAAATATATGAAATTTCATTCATCTGAATAAGCAAATTAAGTAAAGCACCATTAATACATACAAGGCATATAATCTTCTCAATGTCATAGAACCATTTCTTTCATTAAATTTTCCAGATAAAATTAGACTTGCAAGTAAAATGGAATATAGAACATTTCAATCAAATTATGCATTCATTAATTAAGGATAAACTCTAAATAATTTTTATGTAGTAGAAACAGGTTCTGTTAAACTTTATCGTACAATACCATTTAATATTAATAAAAATGGATTAATTTAATTTCAACATAAATATGATCCAAATAAATAGAGTAGAAATCTTAAAATAGAAATTGATGAAATAGGACCTGGAAAATATATTGGTGATTATGAATTATAACATTATAAGCCTAGTTAATATACAGCAGTTACAGGTATGTAAACTACTTGTTTTGTGATTTCTCTTATTGATTTTAATCTAATGAGTCAATTTTAATTAGCTGAAGTTTGTAGAAATTCTAAACCTTATCCTACAGATGATCATATTAGAGAAGCCTTTCTTGATGGAATTAAATGGAGAATTTTCAGAGTATTTATTTTAATCTATACTAGAAATAAATGGTATCAAAATTATAATTAGAATTAAAAACATGTAGTGATGTTAGAGATCCAACAACATTACCTAAATTTTAATATTAAAAAGATCTTCGTTAATTTGCACTCAAAACACTCTCTTATGATAAATTAATGGATTCATATTTGAATTCTAATGGAGAACCTCTTTAATCATAAACTGGTAGCATTGTTTTCAATGAATTAAATAGTAAAAGTCCATAAAAGAAAGATAAACCATTTTTTACTAATGTTGATGAAGCAATTAGAAAATTAAAATAATCTTAAGGCAGTAGTCGAAGCAAGAAATAAATTCTTCCAAAAATAAATCCTAAGGTTGGCTCAGATATTTATAATATATTAGTAAAGAAATGATTATTAACTTCTTATAAATAAAATTAAAATGAATCAAATTTCCCAAAACATCCTTGTTCAAAAACTTATTGATTACAAATTAAGGTATTCATATTCTTTCTATATATAAATCTAGAAAGAACAAAAATAAGAGAAAGGCTAGTCCTTAGTATTCTCCTCCAAAGATGCCCATATCATAAAGATAGACATCCTTTTCGAATGGTCATGCATATTCCATTCATTAAAAATTGAAATCAATTCAAAGTTAACAGAAAGTATTCATTCCTCAGGCTATGCCACAGTCTCGGATTTGCTAGATCTCTTAAGCCAAATGTTTCGCCTTATTCAATAGTATGAATAGCAGGCAAGCCATCTTTGGTCCAAAAATCTCGAGATGTTGAAGCAAATCAAGATTCCAATCCTCCAAGAAAATGAAGACTTAAAGCTTGCTGTAGAAACCCTAAAATAAAATGATATTCAAAATAGCGTATATGGATAATTAAAAGAGTATGAATAAATTGAGAAGCCAATACCAAAATTAATCGATTTGTAACATATTAATAGAGATTCAAATTTTTAAGAAGAGTTTATGTCTAAAGTAAATGAATTTAGTTTATCGTGGCGACAGGAAGTACAATAGCTAAAGTAATTATGAAGATTTTGAATGTATTTAATATTCAAAATAAATATTACATTTAGTATCTTTTAATTTATTCATCTTACTAAAATTAGATTTAATTAAATTATTACTTAATATTATATAAAATCAAGAATACTTGATCTATTTCAATGATCATCATTAATAATATTCATTTTATTTACATTTAAAATTCTATTTAATATTTCTTCTGATTATTAAGTATTAGTTCTTTGTCTTTAGGTTCTTATTTCTTTTGATGAATTAAATGTTCAATTTAATATTAATATCATTCTTATATATAGAATTATTTTAAATATATAAAGAATATATCTAAATAATTAAAAAAAATTTTGTTTTTATACTTTTTTTTTATAAGTTACATATGTAATGATATTTTCTTTTTTTTTAATTTATTTAATAACTATCTCCCTTCATTCTTGAATCATTAATTGTTAAGTAACCTTTTCATATAATTTTACCAAAATATTTAATTAGTTTCTTAGTATTTTTATTCTCTAATATTTCATTAATTGAATAATTTTTTCTATTAAATTATAAATATAGAAAATTATATTTATTATTTTATTTTCTACATTTCTTTTTTCTTTCTATTCTATCTATATCTATATTTCTTTGATTTAGTTATTATAAAAATATTAATACATGAATATTAAAAAGATAATTGATAAATTTGATAATAAAAGTCAAAAAAATTATTAAATAACATCATTATGATTTTTAAAATACCCATTTTCTTGCAAATAAAAATGGATCATTTTGATGTTATAAATTATCCTCCAAAATTTCAACTACAATATTAATTTCATTTGATTTTTTGAACATTTAATTGGCTAAACTTATTATGTACATAGTTAATAATTTTCCTTAATCATCTAGATTAGAATTAAAAAATAATTAAAATGTTTTATCTAAATTTAAATTGATTTATTATTAAATTTTTTGATAATATTAATGAAGTTGATTAATCCAATTATCTAATTATGATTTTATTTTAATAGGTGCAAATGTATAGAATACATTAGCTTTTATGGCTAATAACTTTCTTAATAAAAATTACATTTTCAATATTAGATCATTGTCCTATTGAGGAAAATTCTATATTATTTATTCAACAAATTCACAAAATTTATAAGTAGGTTTTAATATTACTGGTAAATCAATTTCTTCATTCTTTTTTTAAATGAATAATTTTTATTTTGGAGATTTCTGGACAGAACAATCAGTACTTATTTAACCAATTAATTCAATATTGATATCTGAATCACTTTTCTTATGCGAATATCGAAATGGCTATTAATTAAGATTAGTTCTAATAAATTTACCTGGAATCTCATCTTCAGATATAAATTAATTGATTTCAAATAATTGATCTCTATTTAATGTTTTCACTCTAACAATATTTTTAAGATTTTGTTCATCAAAAGATTAAGGCTTATTATTAGAGTAAAGTTATTGAACATATTTTTTTCTTATTTAATTTTGTTTTTTGACACTTTTTGATTAGAGAGGAGAATTAATTTGAGTAGATATAGATTTTTAGGATAATTTAACTAAGTGTGACACTTATTTAGAAATAGATGATTTATTTTCTTATATTATATTAAGAATCTATTAAATTGTTAATCTATCTTCAGAATCTAATTATAGCATTCCATCAAGTAATCTAAAAATTAGATTTTAATGTAAGATCTCGAGAGTTTAGCAATTTTCTTTGATTTCTTGTAGAAGTGTTTAATCATTAAACTTAAATTTTGGAGCTGCTTTAAATAACATCTCATGTAAAATGATTCCCAAAGCCCATACATCAGTTTTTTCTGAATATTAATTAAATAAATGAATTTCAGGTGCCATATACATAGTAGTTCCAACATGATATCGTTTAATTATACTATCATATTAATTTTCAATAAGAGCAAAACCAAAATCAACAAGTTTAAAAATACCATTTTTAATTAATACATTAGCTGGCTTAATGTCTCTATGGATAATATCTAAATATAAAATAGTTTATTATGATACTTTTTTAATGTAAATCAAGGAGACCTTTACAAAGTTATGTCAGTATATCAATAACTTTCTCTATTTTTAATGGTTCTTACTTTAATAGTTCCTCCAAATTAGCACCTTCACAATATTCACTCACTATATAAGTATTATTAGCGCTTTGACTTATCTCATAAACTCTTAAAAGATTAGGATTATCGATTTGCAAAAGAATTTTGATTTCATTTGAAAGAAGAGATTTCTATATAGGTGAATTATAGGTTTCTAAAGAGATAACTTTAATTGCCACAACTTAATTAGTAACCATGTGAATTCCCTTATAAACTTTAGATGAATATCCTTCTCCAATTATATCATTCATATCAAAACAATAATCTCCAATTTATTTCCTAATGACTTCTTTATGCATATTCATTTCTATCAATTTTCCAGATATTTAAAGATTTTTCTGAATAAATTATTTTTAAGTATAATCAACACAACTATTTAATAGCTCATAAATGTAAGTATAGATTTGAAAGAAGATGATATCTTGTTACTCTAAGGAATATATATATTTAATAACTAATCTTACTTATAAAATATATATTGGAATTATATGCTGAAAGAATTATTACATTGATGTATATGAATTTATGATTTATAATTGTTGATAGAAAATTAACCTTTTAATTAAGATGGGTAAAGGTGGTTAATATGATTATAAGTGATTAGATGCAATAAGATTCAAAGTATTTTTAGAATGAATATTTGATAAAATTTAATAAATATTAGTATTACTAATATTATTTTTCTATTCAGGATCTCTAATAGATAGGATATTATTTTATTCAATACTTAATTCTAAGTTAATAATTGGATTGATATTTCAGTAAACTATGATATCTATATCTTATTAATATAATTATGAATATAGTTTGTAATGATTTATAATAAAAAATTAATATTTATACCGTTAAAATTCTGCTTTTTTATTAATGTGTAGTTATGCTAAACAAATCTAAACATTCAATTCAGGAGTATTTACAACAATGAATGAGTTTTAATTCATATAGAAATTAGGAACTGGTAGCTTTGGGAATGTAAATTTATATCTTCATAAACCAACACAAAAAAAATATGCAATTAAAATTGTACATTTTAATAATATTTTAGATGCCTGGAGATACAATTACTAATTAATATGAAAGTGAAGGAATAGAAAGAGAAATTAGAGTTCATAAAAAATGCAAAAATCCAAATATAGTTTAACTCTATGATTCATTTTATGAAAATGATTCTATTTTTATTGTTATTGAATATCTTGAAAATGGTAACTATATATTAAAATAAAATTAGGCAATTTATTTGCACATATTTAAAAGAATCCACCTATGAGTGAATAAGAAGCATGTAAATATTTCGTTTAAACATGTCTTGCATTATAATATATGCATTAAAATAATGTATTTCATAGAGATATCAAACCAGAAAATCTTTTATTAGATGAAAAATTTAATTTGAAAGTATGTGATTTTGGTTGGTGTGCTGAAAATATACATTAAAAGAGAAAGACTTTTTGTGGAACCTATGAATATATGGCACCTGAAATAGTAATGGAAATTATGTATGATTATAAAATTGATTTATGGTCATTGGGAATATTGTTATTTGAATTACTACATAAATATGCACCATTTAAAGGAAAAGATTTTAAAGAAATTTCAGTTGCTATTAAATAATGTTAACCCAAAATTAAACCATCAGTATCAAAAGAAGCTTANCAACTTTTACTTGTGTTTTAAGATTATATATTAAAAAAGGATCAAATGTATATATTTCTATAGTTTTAAATATTTCCTTCAACAATTAACCTTTTCGATTAGAAAAATGGAATAGGTTAATAAAGTGTTTAATCATTAAGAGACAAAGAAGAGTGTATATTTTAAAAAATTATGTTTTTGATAAAAAATAATAAAAAAGACTGATTCATAATAATTTAACTATTCAGCATATTTATAAAGTATTGATAATTTAGTAATTAATGGATAAATCTTAATTAATTTTTGCATTGATAATTATATAAACCTTTATAGATAATAATAAAGAATACAATGAAAATCGATTATGATTGCTAATAATAAAAATTAATATTTATACCGTTAAAATTCTGAATTTTATTAATGTCTAGTTATGCAAAACAAATCTAAACTTTCAATTCAGGAACATTTACAACTATGAATGAGTTTTAATTCATATAGAAATTAGGAACTGGTAGTTTTGGAAGTGTAAATTTATATCTTCATAAACCAACACAAAAGAAATATGCAATTAAAATTGTAATTTTCTATAATATTTTTAGATGCCTGGAGAGACAATTACAAATTAATGTGAAAGTGAAGGTATAGAAAGAGAAATAAGAGTTCATAAAAAATGTAGGAATCCAAATATAGTTTAACTTTATGATTCATTTTATGAAAATGATTCTATTTTTATTGTTATTGAATATCTTGAAAATGGTAGATATATATTAAAATAAAATTAGGCAATTTATTTACACATATTTAAAAGAATCCACCTATGAGTGAATAAGAAGCATGTAAATATTTCGTTTAAACATGTCTTGCATTATAATATATGCATTAAAATAATGTATTTCATAGAGATATCAAACCAGAAAATCTTTTATTAGATGAAAAATTTAATTTGAAAGTATGTGATTTTGGTTGGTGTGCTGAAAATATACATTAAAAGAGAAAGACTTTTTGTGGAACCTATGAATATATGGCACCTGAAATAGTAATGGAAATTATGTATGATTATAAAATTGATTTATGGTCATTGGGAATATTGTTATTTGAATTACTACATAAATATGCACCATTTAAAGGAAAAGATTTTAAAGAAATTTCAGTTGCTATTAAATAATGTTAACCCAAAATTAAACCATCAGTATCAAAAGAAGCTTATTAATTAATATCTCAATTATTATCTCTAGATCCTAATCATAGACCTCCTATAAGTTAAATTTTAACATCTTCATTCGTAAAAAAATATATCAACATGTTGAATTTAATAGAACTCCAAGAAAATATTCAACCTAGATCTCCACTAAGATAAATTACCTCACAGTAGTAATTGAAATGTGGTTCACCAAGAAGAAGAATCACAGAATATAATATAATGTAAAAACCAGAACAAAGAGTTAGAATGGCATCACCTAAACCTATAGATTCATAAAAGCTTATATAAAAAATATATGTAAGTCCTGCAAGAAGGATTTAACCAAAGGGAAGAGAGAATGTTCCAATAAAGACAGGACCAATAGATGTAAGAGGAAGGGAAGCTACTAAAATAATATATATGAATTTATGTAATAATATTTCATGATTAAGAGTATCTCAACAATATTATAAAAATCATTAAAATATTTTGCTTAATTAATGATTTTAGTAAGTATGAATTTACTTTAATCATTTAATGTTTTATAATGACGAGGAAGAAGAAGATTGGGGAGATAAAAATGAAAAAGATGCAGAAGATGAATTTTAAGACTTAAATCCTAGTGAACACAAAAAAAGAATTCCTAATAACAAAGCAAAACTATAACCAAAACCATAAAAGAAAAAGAAAGATATATAAGAATGTGAATTTGCTATTGATGATCCAATAAAAAGAAGATAATTAGCAAATTATTAGCATGTTCCTATAAGATTAGAAGCAGGAGAGAAGATGAATATAAATGTTTAATATGATGATGGATAAGTTAGGAAATTTGGTTAATAAAGTATATTAATTATATCTATAGATAGAGGCTTTTGAAGAAAAGTTGATTCCAATATCTAAGAGTGGAACTTTCATTTATGAGGCATCAACAGGAAAGTTAGAAAAAAAGAATCCTGGAAGACCTAGAGAAGATACTAGATCTTTGTTTGATGATCCTAAACTATAAAAAATGAGAAACAATTATGTACCAAAACTATTATAAAGAATAACTACTAATAATACAAAAGAAGTAGATGAAGAAGAAGGTGTATAAGATCCTGGAGTTTCATGGAAACCTGTTAAAAGTGTACATGAAGTACCAGAATCATTTTATATGAGATAAGTCTTTGATAAATAATTTAGTGGACCTAGGTCTATTGATAAAAATAAAATAAAATCAGAATATGATGCTTTTAGATTATTTTTTGATAATGATATCTATAATACAATAATCAAACATACAAGAGAAAGATATTAATAGAAAGTAGAAGAATAAATTTATTCATATATTCATGGAATGGTTCATATGGGAATTAGAGCTAAAAAACCTTCTTTAATGTAATGGGAATTTACTGAATATGAATTAGAAGCTTATTTTGCTGTTTAAATATTTTTTGGTATTGTAAGATTATCAAACTAAAGAGATTATTGGAAATCTTCTGCAAGATAGAAACCTATCAAAAAGGCTGAAACAGGAAGAAGAAAATTAAGAGAATTGGCTTAAGAAAAAATGGATAGATATGCTCATTGGGTAACTTAAAGAATGAGTTCTATAGTCAGTTATGAAAAATTTAAAACTATTAGAAATTGTTTAAATATTAGTGGAGCTGAAGCTTTAAAATTAAAGGGTAGAGATCCCATATGGAAAATCAGAGATTTTTTAAATTAAATGAATATGAGATTTGCTAAATATTATTATCCAGGAGAATTCATTACTATTGATGAGGGTATGATTCCATTTGCAGGAAAGGTTCAATTTAAAGTTTATAATCCAGATAAACCTACTAAATGGGGTATTAAAGAATATCTATTATGTGATGCATCTAATACTTATACATTTTAATTAAGATTGTATCATGGTTAAACTATGTGGAATAATGATTTTAAATAAACAATGTTTGTAAATGAAGAAGACACATAACATAGAACTATGGAATTAGTATTATAAATGTGTAAGGATTATGAACATAAAGCACATAAAGTTGTTATGGATAATTATTATTCTAGTTGGATGTTATTTAGAGAATTAAGAAATAGAGGTATTGGTGCAGTTGGAACTATTAGACATAATAGAGTAAAATATTAATTATTATTATTATTAGACTGGTTTAACTAAAAAAGATTTGACTTCAAAACATTTTCAATAAATTTATAATCAATATCATTATGCTTATTATTTGAATTAATCAAATGAACTTATGCTTATGTATTTCTAAGGAACAAGTGAAAAGGAAATTGCTTTAATTTCTAATTTCCTTGATAATTCCTTAAATGAATAACACATGTGGGATATTAGTAAATAACATTATTATGTTCCTCATTTAAAGGCTCCTTATATGATGTATGTTTACAATAAATACAAAGGAGGAGTGGATAGAAGAAATTCATATGTAGTAAAATATAGATCTAGATTTCCTGCAAAGAAATGGTGGTAAAGTGTTTTTGAAAGACTTTTTGAAACTGCTATTTTAAATGCTTATTTAATTTTTAGAAGTTATAATCCTGAATCATCATATAGAAATAAAGGATAAATGAGAGATTTTAGAATTAATTTAATGTATTAATTTGCTGAAAGATACAAATCATATGAACATTAATAAGAGGAAAATGGAAAAAATAGATTCTCATATTTTGCTAAGATTTAACCTCACACTTTTATTGAAGGTGAAGAAATTGTAAAATGTTCAGAATGTGGAAATGAAACAAAAGTATTTTGTCAAGAATGTACAATACTTAAAGCAGAAGTTGTAGGATTATGTCATGAAAAAGATACTATAAAATGTTAAAGATTTCATGAATTTATGGATTTTGAACTTGATAAAAACAAAGAAGTTATTGATAAACGTAAAGGTAAAGATCCTTACAAACCAAACTTTTTAGAAAAACTTAATTAAAGAACTAATACTAAAAATAATTAATAAAGTTAAAAAAAAGAAAGTCCTTTAGTTAATTTATTAAATAAGATTAATGATTAAATTAAATAAGAAGCTAGAGTTAAATAAGAAATTAAAAGAGAAGATAATACAAATGCTAATAAATAAACAACTTATACTATTCCAGAAGTAAAATCTGAAGATGAATCTTCTACAGATTCTGATATTTATATATAAAGAACTACAAATTAAAGATTAATTGAAATACATTAAAAAATTGAATAAATGAGTATGTGTTCTGAAGAATTTTTAAATGGTTCTGTTGCAAATAGTGATGAAAATTTTGCAGAAAGAGATGAAAATGAATAATTTAATTATTAAAAGGGTGATGATAATGATAATTAATTTAATGAAAAAAAAGCTTAGTAAATAGATGATGATGATGATTATGAATATAGAAATAATTAAAATGAAGAATAATAAAAGGATTTTATAAAAAAAATGATGGAATTTGCAGATGATGAAGATAGTGGAAATGAAGAAATTTAAGATCCAAAAGATGATGTAGATTAATTTTATTAATAATTATTATAAGAAGAAGAATAAGCAATCAAATATTAAAGAAAGAAATAATTATAATAATAATTAGAAGAAGAATCAGAAAAATCCAATATTTCACATAAATCTAAAAAATAATAAAAATTAGAATAAAAGTTTATAGAAACAAGTATGAATGGTATTAAAAAATCATAAATTTAATCTAATAATGATTTAGGATAAGATTTATAAAAAATTATATCTTTATCATAAGATTTAAATTTAATTAGCAAATAAATAATAGATTCAAAAAGTGACAATTAAAATTCTTAGTTTGATTAATGAAGAGTTTTTTATCAATATAAATTTATATGAAATTATCATAATTATTTTATTTAATTGAGACATTTATTTCCGAATTAACCAGGGTTATAATGTAGATTTTTATAATCTAACATAGTTGAGAATAAACTAGCAGTAAATAGAGCAGATTAATTCATTTTACGATACATCTACTCAACTTCTTTTTTAGATTTATTCATTAATACTGATCTAGCACTTGATGATGTTTTTAACTACATAATTTTAATTAATTACAGGCATTTAAGAATCTTATGCATAATTACAATCTTTTTTGAAATTTTTATCACTCATATATCCATTTAATTAACGAAATGTATCATTTTATTCCTCTTTAATTTAAGTAGGTTCCCTTTTTTCTTATTCTTTAATTGGAGATCCAAATAGATTTTATTTTTTTTAAGTTTTTGATAATCTATTTTAAGTCTTTTACATTCCTAAATTTTATTCTGTTAATTTTGCTATTAATTAATCTTTCTCTTTTAATTAGGTTTGACTCTTTTTTAGTTCTCCTTATAATATAATTAGTCTTTTAGCACAATTACAATGTTTATCACAATTTGCAGATGCATTTACTGATAGTGCTTGACCTAATTATGATTAATCTTAATCATTTAATAAATAATCAAATGACATTCTTGAACTACCCTTTCTTTCACAACTTTATGAATTTGTTAATAAGGAATCTAATTAATCCTTCAGTTGCTTATTATCAAATTATAATCTTAATATTGTATCTTTTAACTAAATTACTCATTTTGCATACCTAAACTGATTCTAACTTCAATTATGTATTTTCATTCTAAAATAATGTATAAATTTCTTGTTATTATTTAATGTCGAATTATTTGTACTCAATATTTTGATTTTACTCTTCAATTTAATTTTATAAGAATTTCTTCTCCTTTTCTGAAATTTCAAGTGCTTCTTTTAATTCTTCTACTTTATTCTATGATTAATAAAATGCAGAGGCAATTTAATCATAACTTAGTTCCTTAATTTTAATTTATCTCTTTAATTCTTATATTTATTATTTAAGACTTTCAGCAGGATCAAATAGTTAAGAATGAAATAATCTCTCTGTTTGCTCTAATTTAGGGATTACTGTTTTATATTAATAATCGTCATAAATTGGTACTAATAATATAAACTTATAATACAATTTTAATTTGTTTTATTAACACAAGGAGTCTTAGAAATTGTTGTTCTATCAGTGATAAAATTGGTTGTATTATTTTTTGGATGCATAATTAAATTAAGTTTTAAGTTAATATTTTTTTAAAAGTAAATCAAATTATAATAAATATATATTTTTTTGTTTTGGATCTATTTTCTATTCTTAATCGCTTTTAATATCTTGTTATCCATTTAATTAATATTTTATTTAAAAAGTAAATTAAAATTCAAATTAATCATATCAATTTGTTAATTGCTATACTAATGTCTAATATAATTGATTTAAGCATCTCATTGTAACCAAATTAGAAAATTCAATGTTTTATATTTTTGATCGAAATTTATTAAGATCATTAGGTACTTTTATTAATTTATCATATCTAATGTTTTCTTAAGTCTATATTAGATCAAATATTATTTCTTGTAACTCTTCTATCTAATAAAATGGAGTTATTTTATATTATTCCTACAATTATCCTAATTATGGAAATATGTATTCTATAAGCATTCTTAAAAAGAATTAATGTTAATATTAAATCAAAACAATAACTTATCTACTATTATATTATAGCATAAATTATTGCATTTATATTTTCATTTTATTAATTAGAGCTTGAATTGCCCCTTTTTCATCCCCTTTTCCCAATCTCATATGCATTTCAGGACTAACTAAATCTTTTTGTTCCATTATTAATATTTTAAATTTATCACTCAACAATATATATTCATAATCATCAAAAAAGTTAGAATCTATTTAAACACATAATAATTTTAAATTTTAAATATTTATCTATCTACTAAATCTCATATTACTATTTTCATTTGTAAATATTATCCAATTATATTATTAAAATATATGTTATTATTAAAGAACTAATCTACTCTATGAAGATTCACTTAACCAATCATTCACTATTGTACTAGCATGTAATGATTATATTTTTGAAAATTATAAATTATTATTATTATTAACATTGATTTAATTATTATTTGTATTAAACATTTTTGAATTATATAAATTACTAAATCCTAATTATCGACCAAAATCAACACTTCTATTTTAATAATTAAATAATTGTGACTAATTTATATCATTTCTATTAACACTTAAATTTGGATTTTGAATTTATTTCCTAGAATTATAACTATATTTATCTATTTCTCTACATCCACCTTCACAACTTATTTTATTAATTGGTCTATTTTAAACTAACATTGTTTTTTTAGCATTTGCTGGAGTACAACTTGTTTATGATTCTAATTCAAAAGGTAATTCAAAAGAAGTATTTAAATTTTATATTCTACTCATGTGTGCTTATAAATTAGGTAAATAATTCTATTTATTTTATAATTTAATATCTTAATTTTAATAGGGCATACCTTTTAATTATAACATGTTTGATTAAAATGGAGTAAAATATTAGTCATTTCTTGAAAAACATGATTCCTTACTTTAATTTCTTGATTTTACTGAAATTTTACTTATTTCCATTTATTATTTAGCTATTGGTTTAATTAAAAATTGTCTTATTGAATTTATTTATTATTTAGGATTCTATATATTTTAATTTTTAAAAAATCCATCTAAATTCAAAAATTCAGTTTATCGTGACTTTGCATTTTCAATTAATTCTTGCTTTAATTATGCTTCCAAAAGTTCACCATAATTTAATGAAGAAAAATGCAAATCTCCCATTTCATTATCAAAACCATTTTATAGACTTTAATCTTTTAAATTTTAAAAGAGTTAATTCTTCTCTTCTAATTTTTTCTATATATTTCTTTATTGCATCATTATTTTTAATTTTATATATGGCTAATCAATTGTTTCTGGTCTAAAAATTGGTTTAAGCAAACTTTAAATTTCTTATTAATAAGTTTAAGTATTATTTTTTTAAGATGTAGATATCATTTGATCTATTGCAATCATTTGTATAGGAATCTTTTTTTAAAAATTAAAACTTTGCTTAATCTAATTAATAAAAGTATTTATTATAGTTTTTCTAAGTAAATCAAGGGTAAAAGTGAAATCATCTAGCTCAGTTAACAATGTATATTTTAAAATCAACGATTTATATTAATCGTATAAATTTTTAATTTTTAATAAATATGACTGATTTTGAGTTCTATAATTTTACTAAATTTTAGCTAAAGTAAATCACAGTATTTTACATGAGATATGTTATAATCTTATCTAATCTACATTATTTTAAGGAATCATCTGTGCTTGAAATTTTTATAATTTGCTTAACTATTTTTTGGTTGCCTTTTTTTTCACTTCTTACTTTTTTTTATCTCTTTTAGTACTATCAATAACAATAACCTTAATGTCTTTGCTTTAAATAGGAGAAGCTCTTTTTTAGGGTTTTCTTCTTTTAAGTTTAGGAGTCATTAATATTATCCTTATAGGTTAAATAAAATTCTGAATAATTTTATAGTTGAAAAAATGTGAAAATATTTACTCATTTATAAATTTATATAAAAATTATAAGACTAATAAAAAGATTTGAAATCTTCTTTTATGTGAATTAAATGATTACAAATCAATATCATATATCAGATGTTTCATATTTTTAGTTTAAAATAATAAAATTTTGATTTTCAAAACAAAAATATATTATAATTACTTTAAATTTATTTGCTATTTAAAAATAATTAAAAATATAAATTATATTGAAAATTTTATATAAAACTACTACACATCTATATATCATTTCTATTATTAATATTAATATCTCATTTAATATCAGTATTATTTTTGGTTTATTTTAAATATTTATATAAAAAAGAGAATATAATAAAATAATAAAATAGACCTAGAAATATTGCTTAAGATTTTAATAATTAACAAAATTGAATTTGATTTTCTTAAAGATTTAATATTTAATTTTTGTATTCAATATTTTTATTCATTAAGTTTATTTTTAAACAATTTTTTCAGAATAAGTCCTTTTTTTAATAAACTATAATTCTTAGCTTGATTTTTTTGGTTAATAAATAGCTTTCATCAATCTTTTAAATTGATTAAAATCTATTGTTTCTCTTAAATTAATTTCTAATTTTTTTTTACCAATTGATGGAGATAATTATTAATGAGCATTTTTCATTAAATTCATTACTTATTTTGTAAGATTATGATAATGATTATAGGATGGAGATGGTTATTTACAATATGATTTTGCCTATTCGTCATTTTCTTCTACAATTGTTTAGATTCCTAAATATTCAGGTAATTCAGAAGTTTACAAAGTTGAACCATTCGAGAGTGTTTTTCTTATTTATTATTTCTACTTAAATAATTCTTATTTTATTAACATTTACATTTGATATCATCAATTTATGTCAAATTAGCTGTCTTTATATTTTTTCGTTAAGGTAATCTTAAAGGATTAATTGGCATATAAGACTTTAAATGTACAAAGGATTATATTTGATTTTCATAAAATGTATCTTAACTTTTCTTATTTTAAATGGGAGTCAATATTTTTTTGAGATGAAACGAAGAGAAGTTGTTATTTTTCATTAAAATTAATTATAATATTAAGTCTGTAAATATTAGTGGATCCTAATCGAAATCTAAAATAAAATGATATATTATGTTGTTGAACTATTCATCATCAATATATATCAATAAAATCACTTTTCTAAGGATATGTAAACTAAGCTTAAAGAAATGTCTACAGATCCTTATCCATCAACATCCCAAAACTTTTTGGTTTCATTTCCTAACTATTTTGTAGCCTTATCAACATCAGCCCAAGATTCAGGAGGGTAATTACTATCTAAGATTTTGTCAATCACTAATATATCCAATTTCTCCCATAATCCAGTGCTTGCCATAAGAAGATATCCTGATTTTGGAATTTTTAATTCTAAAAAGTCAGGATCAGCTGATATTCCTATAGATTTTCCAATTTGATTCCCAAAACATCTTGTTATCTTGATACCAGGATAATTTTATTTTGGTACCCAAATTTTTAAACTACCTTCTTTTTATCCTTTAAAAATAGCTTAATCTATTTTTCCTCCCTTCTTTATTATCCTATCTACCTCTTTTCCACTATTTGTATCATGTATAGAGTTTAAATTTTTTTAAACAAATTTTCTTATTTCTTTTGGATTATCATTTAACTAATCTGATTTATAAAAATAGGCTGCTTTTGAGTCTCCCAAATTTGAACAATATATAACATTATTAACTATAATTAAACTGAGCAGTGAGGCTCCACTTAACCTATAATCAATTAATGTCTACCCAATCTAAAATATAATATAAATAATTATATACCAATCTTTATTCAATCTGCTAATATATTTTCTTTAGATTGTCTTTTAATGTTAGACTTAGCTATAATAAGGGGACAGAAGTAAACAATTTTTTTAATTCTTCTATATAAAACTCTGTAATTAATGAAGAAATTTAGGATCCAAATTCTCCATGACCATCACTTAGTGATCCAACAAAGAATTCAATATTTTATGACTTATTAATCTCTAAACTTAATGAATCTCCATTTTTTATTAAATTTCTAAGTGCATCTAAACCATCAAGTTATCTATAATTTAGTTGTATACTTACATGCTACTTTGGTATTTTACATAATTCTTTATTTAATCTTTAATAGACATTCGTTAGATTGAAGTTCTCTTGCAAGTTATTCTAATATTAGCATTAGAGGCTCGATATGTACTAATTATGTTTTATAATTTTTAAGCTCCTTATGGAGAAACTTCTAACCTTTATGTAATGGGAATATCTGGAAGTGTTTTAAGTTGCCTGCCTATTTGTACAGGTTTTAACTAAAACTGACTTTTTTTAGCAGGTTAGTATCCCATCTTACGCATTTACTCTTCTAGTCTTCTTTATTAAGCACTCATAAGTAATTATTAATTTAATTAATATCGAATTTCAATTTATTTAGATTTAAATCTCAATTTTTTTGAGATTAAACTAAATAAAGTAATATGGATCACATTTGTTAAAACTTATTTAATTAGATAGTATAGTTGATGATGTTAATATATAAAATATATTTAATTTGTTATCAATAAATTTAAATATTGCTACAAAATAATTTCTAAATATCAAACAATTATTAATGATATATTAATTATATCTACTTTATACAAAATTAAATCAATAGTAATCTTCATAAAGAAGAAATAATATTATTGAAAATTTCCATTTTGAATTTATGATATTTTAAATTAAAAACTGAATTTCATAATGAATTGAGATTTACCTTTAGTTATAAAGAGGAGAACCTAATTAGGTATACAATTTTAATCAATTAATTAAATTATTAAGAGAAAGAACAAAATGTTTTCTTCAATATTTATTCAATTTATAATTAAAAATAAATTTCTTATGATTAAATCAGATGGATATATTGACTAAATTTAAAATTGAGATTGAATATTTTGGTAGAATAACTCTATATAGAAAATAAAATATTAATCTTTTGTGAATAGTTTAAATAATTGTGTAAATTTAAATATGTAAATTTCTTTGATATTTGTTTAGATTAATTTAAACTAAATATCAGACAATTCTTATTAAAATATATCTCTATAATTTTATAATTCTATTGTCTTTTAAAGTTAAATATATTGAAATTATTGAGGTCGTATTTACTAATAAAAATAAAATATTGAAATATAGTAATCATTTAATGGATTGAGATAATGAAATATAATTATAAGATATAGTTATAAATTAAATGTAATATTAATAATATAAAATTTAATATGGATATTACATTTAACTAACTTGATGTTTTACAAAAAATAATATTTGAACGTAGCGAAGATATTAGATTATTAAATGCTATAAATTAACAAGTACTTGCAAATCAAATGTTTTTCGATTTGGAATTTACAAAAGTTTAATAATCTTTAAGATAACTTGGATTCAAAATAATTGGACTGAAGAAGAACGATAAATAAAGAATTGAAGAAGAGAATAAGATTATAGAAGCATTGTCAAAAATCCTAATGGTAAATTTACCCGAAAGGATGTAAATATATAGATTTAGTTAAACAATAATAAAATAATTCAGACCTGAAATGCACATTATAAGATTCAATTAGAAGGATACAAAGGATTTATTTTCAATGTTTAAGTAATTCTTTATGGCTGAAAATAATTTTGATGGCATACATTTTGTACAATAAAATTAAGAATCTGATTTTAAGGTAACCGATCAAAACAAAACAGATGTCCACCGCGATTGTATTGATCAAGTTTCTTGTGAGTAGATCAAGGGAAGAATTCCAACTGTTAATTTAATCAGCTTCGACTTCTGTAATTGGAAAAATGAAATAGTAACTAGAAAAGAAAACAGATGATACAAGTAATGACAGTAAAGTAGAGAAGACTGAACCAGAAGAAGTGAAACCTAAGTTACTTTTAAGAAAGAAAGTTATGATTGTTAGAGAAAATACGTAACAATAAATGAAATAGCCAGAAATTATAAATCGTAGTGTCTCAGTTACTGATAAATTAGTAATGTATTCGTAACCTTAAGAATCTAATTTAAATCCTGAAAAAGAGTTAAAATATCAATTAAGATTATAATAAAGAAAGTTAAGAAAAGATTTAAAAAATATTTATCAACCAATGATAGATTTAGATAATGATCATATGTGGTGTTCTCATGCTGTTTTAAAGAAAAAGTTTATGAAATATCCTGAAAAATATTGTATTAAACAATTTATAAATTTTAGTTTTAAAAAGAGGAGCCTTTTATATTTGGAAATATTTAAATAATAATAATTCTGATATTAGAATAACAATTATGAATTTTGCATATAGAAGAGCAAAATTAGTAATAGTTGACAAAATCCTATAAGAATAAATTCAGGAACTTCATAAATAATATAATATCACTGGTTAAATTCCAAGATAATCATTACCATTATTAGTTTCATGTCAACAAACTCCAAAAATTATGAAACCTTAAATTAGATTATAATAACAACTATAAGTTCCTAATATAAGTTAATTACCTATGTTGAGAAGTTAACACTAATAAATAAAATCAATGGAATTTTATGAAGTTACAGTTAAGGATTAAAAAGCACATAAATCAAATAAATCATTAAATCTTACTTAAGAGTAGGCTAAAATATAGTAAAAGATAAAATTATAAAGTTCAAAAGACTTAATTTGATCACTATAATACACATATTTTATATATAAATTATGAATTAACCATTTACAGCAGAAATTAAATTAAAGAGTTCAAAAGAAAGAGGTTATTTTGATCAACTAGTTGATGCTGTTGTTAGACCACCTAGATAGATATATGATCCATCTAAATTAGGTATATTACTAAAAGTTATAATAAAATAGGTGCAACAACTATGTTAGTAAATAAATTGCTTATTTACAGAGAAGATTTTGTAGTAGTGTCTAGATAATAAAATTTAAAATTACAATGTTCTTTATATAGTCCTGTTTATTTAAAGGATAAATCAAGACCATGTATTATTTATTTGCATGGAAATTCAAGTTCCAGATTAGAATCTTCATGTTATGCTAATATGTTAGCCTAAGAAGGAATGAGTTTAGTCAACTTTGATTTTGGTGGTTGTGGCATATCAGATGGATAATATGTTTCACTTGGATGGTATGAAAAAGAAGACTTTTTAAATATTCTAAAATATATTAAAGTGAAGTAAATATGATTCTTACTAAAAGATACCCATTATTAGGTCCATTTGGAGTTTGGGGTAGAAGTATGGGAGCAGTAACAGCTATTATGGCTGCAGCTGAATATCCTGAGTTAAATACTCTAGTTTTAGATTCTCCATTTAGTAATTTAAAGCAACTTTGTATTGATATTGGCGATAATTTTCATGTTCCAACTATTGGTGTTAGATTTGTCTTTTATTTATTAAGAAAAAAAGTAAGAAAGTTAGTTAGATATGATCCAAAACATATTAATACTATACTTTATATTAAAAAATTATCTTCTAAATGTGCTGCTTATTTTGTTAGAGCAAGTAGTGATAAAATGATTGGAAAAAATCATATTGAAGAATTATATGATGCATTCAAAGGCGAAAAATACATATTTACTTTTTAAGGTGATCATAATGCTCCCAGACCTATTGAAGCTTATTAAGGAATTACTAGGTATTTCTATTATATATAAGCCTATATAAAAAGGTTCTTTGCAACTAGATTAAATAAAAGTACAGATATTTAAAAAATGAGTTTATCAAGAAAGAGTTCTGGAAAATCACATAAAATAGAAAAAGGTTATAAATCTTAGAAATCCAACGAGTCTGATGTAAATTATGATGAATCTGATGATGAAAATGCTAAGAAATTAAATAATGAACAATACATAACAGAAATGAAAAAACCACAATTATTAAATGCCTTTTTATCTGATTCTGATATTGATAGTTAACATTCACTTGATGAAGACTTACATGATCATGATCTTCCACAATTTTAAGATATTAAAACTAAATTAAGTTGATTAAATTATTCTATATTACAAAAATTAATTTTTAATTTTCTTTTGTTATTATGGCAACAAATATAAATGGAATATTGTCATGTTGCCAAGATTTTGGAATTTATTGCATTACGTATTTACAGATCAAATATCAAAAGCTTATGTATTTCTGAAGTTACAGCATTGGCAGTCTTAGCAGTTGGCATATGTTAATTGATTAGAAGAAAGAAAATATATAGATAGGCTAAAAAAAGAAAAAACATTATCTACATTTTAATTATCTTGTGCTTAACTTGTATAATACAACTTAAAACTTAGGCAATATTTTATTTAATTTGGCATAAAAAACATTGTTGGTTTTTTACTTTTTTTAATTATATCTTTATTATGCATTTTTAATCTATATTGTATTTTATTTTGCTAGAAAAACTTTGAGTATTAGAACTTTTAAACCTCATCAAATTTTACAATTGAAAATTTATTGTATTTGCTTGATTTTACTATTTACTATATTTTTGATATGGAATTTGTATGATTATATTACAAGTTTATCTCAATCCTATTCGCTTTGTCAAAGTATATGTAATCAAATAAATTTTGAGAATAGATATTTCATATTATAAGAATGATTGGATTTATAGTAAATTTAGTTTTGATTGCTGTTGCCCACTCTTTGAACTTAAGTATTAAAAAGAACCTAGAATTAAAGTCTACTATATTGAAAAATTTTGTTAATTTTGAAGAAAATTGTAAAAAAATTAATCGTTAAAGAATAAACTTTTGGTATGATCATTTGCTATAAGGGTTCTTGTTTATGTTACATTTTTTGGTTAATTGTTATACTTCATAGAGGATATTTACTTCCTAGTTCAAGGGCCTACTGAGACTTGCATTCTATATTTAGATGTATAATATTAAATTAATTATTTCTTTAGATTATTTAAAGTGAAGCTCGAATATTTTAATACTGTTTGTTATTATTAGTTGTATTAATTCAAGTTTAACTCCCTTTTTCAGTAACAATTTATGCATTTTGGTTCTAAAAACCTATAATAAAACAAGAATCTGATGTATTCTATAAAATAATTTAGTCAATTGAATTTGAAGAAGATTACTTTAGAACCATAAAATTATAATAAAAGAATGATTCCAATTCATCTGAATAAATAACAACATTAAAAGAATGACATTAAAAGCATATTTAACAAATATATTAATATAAAAGATAAAATATAGAATAATTAATAAATTATATATAATCTAATATAGCATCAATTTCATATAATAAAATATTTTAATAAAAACATTTATCATATATGAATTTGAAGAATGAATAACTTCAAATTATTTTTATCTTCAATTAATGTAAATATAGAATGAAGTTAAAAACTTGTTATATCTCTTAATATATGAAACTTTTTAACCTTATTTTATAGTAAGATATTATGGTACCTTAATGAAAATTAAGAAAAAATTATTCAAGAATCATATAATTTTAATTGAATAATATGGGATTATGTATTTCTACTAAAGAAGGTGAACAATAAATGACTGAGGAATTGATGAAAGCACCTACAGCTACATTTGAACAAATTGAAGAGACTGGTGAGTAGGTGTTTATTGATGATAACCGTGACGCAATTCTAAAATTGAATGATTTTCAATTTGAAAAAGTCTTAGGAAGAGGATCTTTTGGAAAGGTTATGTTAGTTACACATAAGGAAACTAATAAATTATATGCAATGAAAATATTACGAAAAGAGATGATTGAAAAGAGAAATTAGAGATTGCATACGTAGAATGAAAGAGCAATTCTTGAAAATGTTAAGAACCCTTTCATAGTATAATTACATTATGCATTCTAAACTAGAACTAAGTTATATCTTATTATGGATTTTCTAATTGGAGGTATTTTTATATTGTAACTAATTTAGGGGAATTGTTTTTTCATTTAAGAAGGGCTTTTCGTTTTTAAGAAGAAAGAGCAAAATTCTATACTGCTGAATTAATTTTAGCAATAGAATATTTACATAAATGTGATATAATATACAGAGATTTAAAACCAGAAAATATTTTATTAGATATGGAAGGACATTTGAAAATAACAGATTTTGGATTATCTAAAATAAATGTTAAGGATGATGAAAAAACAAATACATTTTGTGGTACACCTGAATATTTGGCACCTGAAATTTTATTAGGAGGAGGACATAATAAATGTGTAGATTGGTGGAGTTTAGGTGCATTACTTTATGAAATGCTTGCAGGTGCTCCACCTTTTTATTCAAAAGATAAAACATAAATGTTTAAAAATAGACTTGAAAAACCAATAGAAATGAAAGATTGGTTTTCAAGTGCTGCTAGATCTATATTAAATGGATTATTATAGAATGATGTATATTTTTACAATTTAATCAGCCTACCAAAAGATTAGGAGTAAATGGAAGTTAAGAAATTAAAGATCATGAATTCTTTAGAGAAATTGATTGGGATAGATTATATAATAAATAAATTCAACCTCCATTTAAACCAAAAGTTTTTGGTCATAAAGATTTGAGACATTTTGACGATATGTTTACAAAAGAACCTCCTTAGGATACACCAATAAATAGAATATAGAAATATGAAACTTATGAATAGTTTACTTTTATCAAGACAAATGATCTTAAAGATTCTAATTAAGATGAAGAGAAATTTATTGAAGTGAATAAAAACTTTATATTATAAAAAATTTGAACTAAATCAGAATTATTAATAATTGGATTATCCAAATTTGAAATCAGAATTATATTCTGGAGTGAATGGACGATTTAAATCTGTATATTTTTTTAGTTAATTTGCATAATAACCTTCTTATGCAAATGTAGTTACACTATTCTTAAATGGTTATTCTAAGCTATCTTCAAATTACTAATCATTCTATTCTTTTTTAATATTTTAATTACTTTTTAATTATTTGATTCGCCTTTAAGTTCACTTAGGCTTCTCTTATTAAAATTATTTGCAGTTATAATTTTCTTTTGACTTTCCTCAATAATCTCTTCTACCTTTTATTCAACTGCTATTTCAATATTTTCTTCAATTTCATCATCTTTTTATTTCTATTCATTAAATGTAGTAAACTTTTGTGTTTTTAAATAATACTCTTAATTCATTTATTCTTACAAAGGAGGTTTACGAGGAAAAGAATGAGCCATTCTTGCATTACTCTAATTTTTTTTACTATTTGATAAATCTCTATGTTTTTAAACAGATTTGTCATTCCTTCTAACACTATCAGTTTATTACGTAGTTTTATTATTTCTAACAGAAATTTTAGTGCTCATATCAAAATCATTTTAAGAAATTTCTTATTGATTAGATTTAGTACTAGAAGTAATGATTAATTATTATTATTATTGTGATAATTATTATGGCTAAGAAGTCTTTTTTTTAGGAGTAGGATGATCATCATAAACAATATTAGCTCTAGTTATTTTTTCTTAAGTTAACTTTTATTATTTTTAACTTTACTAACTTTGTGATTGTTATGAAAAACCAGTAGTTTTTTTAGATGTTATCCTTAAATAATAAATAGCATAAGGTACTTCATTTGACAACTATCTTAAGAAGCCTCCAAATTATTATCCTGGTATTAAATGATTAAGTTTTAATGTTCAAATCCAATTGGAAACCCATGTTTACCCATAATGGAGCTAAAATTATAATAAGCAACATACCCATCAGGATCAGCTTATTTCATTGTAAAAATCTTTCTTAATTTGCAAGGGGATTATAGAACTAATAAATCAAATGAACGAAATGTCATTCCTTTCCAACCTTAAATAAATGAATAGAGATCAATTTAAAGGTTTAGCCAAATGTTTTTTGGTACTTCTATTGGATATCTTATGTGAAATGGCTTTTTCTCAATTTATTTACAGTTCTATGTCAAATAAACATGACGCTTAGTTTTTGTGGTATCAGTAATTGAAAATTCAATAGTCCATTATTATGTCTATGGAATATAGATTTAGAGACATAAAAACTATTAGACCAACCCTAGATCTCCTTCTTTTGGAAAATGGACTTTTGTGTTCTATCCTTGTAATTCAATAATATAGTCTATGGTTATTTAGAATCGTTAATACTCTTTAATTATTTATCGAAATCTTTAACAAAACTATTAGTAGTAATTTTTAATAGTTGTTAGTAATGCTTCTCTTTCTCCTTGTTAGCTTTGTTAAGTACATCTAAATAGTTAATAGAAATACCTTTGGAATCAAATATCTCAAACAACGGTGTATTCTAAAACTAATTTTAAAACATTTTATATATAAATATTTAAAATTATCAATATTGCTTGTATTATTTTAAGGATTCTTGCAACATTTATTTGGTAGTTTCTGCTTGCATGAGTAGTTACTAAACGAATTGTAAATTATTATTAATTGATTTATATTGTTCTAATTCAACTTTTAACTTATCATTTTCTTATTATAATAGTATCTCTCTTTCATTTGGTATTTGATTATTATACTTAGATAATTCTTGCATTTTAATAGTGAATTCTTTATTAAGATTATAAACTTAATTTAATAGATTACTGATGATATTGAGTTGATTTTGATTTTAATATTGTAATTCTAATTTGTCATTGTACAATTATTTTAACTTATCCAATAGATTAATAATCTAATTTACTAAATCATATTCTATATTTTTTGGTAGTAATTATTGTCTTTTAATCATGATTTACTTTTCCTCATCTAAAGATTAAATGATCATATTTAATTTTAAGTTGTCTTCTGATTTAAATTATGTATTGAGATATTCAGATGCTATTTGTCTAATAAAATTCTCTTTTTCATTATTTTATTTTTTTATTGGTGCTTGATCAAGTTACTTATAATAATTGTAATGTTTTTTAAGTGTTTCTATCTTATCTAATTCATTATACCCATCACATAATTACTCCAATTGTGGAATCATTTTATATATTAATAAAAATTCCATAATATGTTATTCAACTTACCTCTTAAATAGACAAGACATGTAGATATTATCAAGCCTGTAGAGTAGGCAATCATGAATTGCTATGGAGAAGTTACACTATTTACTGAAGTAATCAAAATAACCATTAATTACAGATTAGGGATGTAGTAGAGAAAACATAAAAATTGAGATAAAACTTAGATTACGAGAAAATCAACTTAAGTATTGCCACAGATCCTTTAACATCAGAAAACTTAGAGAACAACCTTTTAGAATATCTTAAGAACTTTTCTTTGCTCTTCAAACATTTAAGATTTGAACAAGGAGATTAAAGATCTCCATAAGTTATGTTCTATTGGAGTGACAGCTATGATCATGTATTTATTTATTGTACTATAATTTCTAGAAAAGAAGTTGCCAATTGAATTCTGGCAGATTAGAATTGATATCCTAATATTATAATTTGGCAATATCTTACTATTATCAAGCAAATAGCAAGATTATTAAAGATACAGATCCAGATCGTAAAGCTGCATATACCAAATTGAGAAATGGTTTATGGGCATTAGATTAATTAAAATAACATATTCATGGACTATCTAAAGATTCAATTTCCTAATTATATGATATTTCAACTTTAAATCTAGAATTCTTAGAACATGCTGTATTGATCAATTTCTAAATTAGTTCTGTGGACTTGCATACAAAGCTCTATATTAAAATATGATGTCACAAGTAAAGACTTTTGGATTGAACAATGTTTGTGGAACCATTTTTGAGGCAGCCAAAGAATTTACAATAGCTCTTAAAGCTATTGAAGGAATGAATTCTCAATACTAAAAACAAATTGGAAAAGTACTTTAAATTTTAATTAATCTTAGAATTTTCTTGCTTAAATCTTACCTATGATTTAATTTAATTAAATATGGGCAACTGTCACTGGATGTTTATAAATGGGTAACTTTCATTATGGAAGAATACCAGATGATTCTAGAGGTTAGAATATGGGGAAAGCTTTGGGTTTTCTTATTAGAGCATAATAATTGATATAACCAATTGTTAATGATAAGAATGCAAATAAAACATACTCACCAGATTAACTTGATTAATTAAAATAATTGAATCAGCAATTAACTCAATTGACTACAGAATATAATTATAAGAATTAACAAATTTACAAAGAATAAATAGTTGCTTAAGATTTATTACCTTATCCTCCTCTAATGGAATAAATTAGACTTAAACCCATGGAACCTGTAAGTTTCAAGGAACCTGCTTAAGGAGCAAACAAATTCTCAGGTTTTGTATCAGAAGAGGCATTATAATTATCTAGAGAGATTAAAATTTTTGTAGAATAAACAAAATACTCTCTTGAAGAATCAGTAAGATAATTATTTGATTAAAAAAATCAAGCTTATGCAGAGACATATGTAACTTATTTTATTGATATGGCATAATAAAAATAACTTATTTAAGGAGGTATTCCTTAAAGCATCTAAGACAAAATAAGTTATATAAGAAGTAGAGGATGTTTGAGTGGAATTGAAAAAATAGTTGAATAAGCAAAATAAAAATCTGTCACTTGTAATTAATTGTTAGGATAAATTGAATAGGCATTACTTAATGAATAACAATAAGATTTAGATAATAGAAATAAATATGGTGCTTAATGGAAAAGAATACCCTCAAATTAATTAAATTAATAATATTTCAATTCTTTGAAAGATCTGAAGGCTAAATACTTATAAGCATAAAAAATTGATTTTGATGTGATGAGTGGTTTTGAGAATTCAAAAGAAGCTCTTATTCTTGCAACATAAAATGATAATATTATTATTCAAAAACTACCAAAAGATAATAATAATTCAGATTTTGTAAATTAAAATGCTTAAACATTTGTTTAATTGACATCTACAGATCAATAAGTCAACTCTATGGTTGATTAATTAAAGGCTATTATTTAAGAGTATAATTAAATCATGCAAGAAACAAATTTCACTAAAATTGCTGTTAATGGAATAAATGAAGGAATACCAAAAGAACAAGTTTTCAATATGGCCATTTAAAATGTATAAACTCTTATTGAAAACTTTAACAATAATGTAAAATATTTAATAATAAATCTTAAAGATGAATAAAGTCTCAGAAGTTATCTCCCAAGTTTGTGGATTAGCCAGAGAACTCTCAAATCTTAAAAAACAATCAGCTGAATAAGTCCAATAATCTGGATAGACTAATATATTTGCTGGTGCTTAAAATGTTATTGATAATATTGACCATTCAGTAATCTTCTATGAGTATAATTATTTTTTTATCTAGGCAATTGAAAATGCATTTAGAAGAACAAGATAGAAAAGTCAAAGATTTTTTAATGGCCAGAAGTATTGAATCATAATAATTAATTTAATAATTGAATTAATAATAAACATACCAATAATCCTAATAAAATCAAGTATAAAATCCTCCTCAACAACCTTAATAACCATAATAATAATCAGGATATCAATATCCAGTCTATCCATAGTATCCTTAATACCCATAATAACCACCTAATCCTTAATATCCATAATAACCACCTAATCCTTAATATCCATAATAACCACCTAATCCTTAGTATCCATAATAAATACCAAATCCTAATTATCCATAATAACCTAATCCTTAAGGTTACCCATAATAAATGCCCTATCCACCTTAATAATATCCATAATAATAGTAATAAGCATATGTCTAATACCCACAATAATAATAGAATTATGGACCATGGGGTTAATAATAGAAAAAATGACATAATTTTACATAATTATATATTTGTTATTATTCAACTTTTAGTTATATATAATATTAATTAAGTTTCATTTGCAAATCACATTATGTTTTGTAATAGTATTATTAAATATGAAAATCTTGGCTAATATTTATGCTTATTAATTAATAATTTATTTTATATAATATGTCCTCAGGAGAGCTCCCATAAGAAAAGAAAACTTTATTTTCAACTTTAGTTTAGAAGAAACAAGCAGAAACTGATGCATAGAAAATAAAAAATAGAATTCTTTAATTGAAAATAGAACATGAAAAAGTTTTAAAACATATTCAATAAGATGAATAAAGAGCAGAAGAAATATATAGACATAGAGTAGAAATCTAAATGAAGGTATCATTCACTTAAAATTAAATGCTTAGAAAGAAAATAAAATGAAATAGAAATAAGCTTAACCACCTCCATTCTCATTGGCTATTTCTCATCATCAAAGAGAGGTATTGAAGAAAATAAAGGAGGATGAATTATAAAGAAAGAAATCTGAAGCCAAAATATTTAGAGAATAATTAAAGTAGGATTTTAAGAGTGTCTTATTATAAAAAAGTTTAGAATAGGAAGGATATCGTATCAAAGCTATTTAAGTGAAAGAAGAGGAGAGATAATCTACTTAATTAGCTATTTCTAAATTAAAATAGAAAAGAGAAAGAGTAAGATATGAAATAGAAAATGAAAAAGATAGAGTAGAAAAAGAAAAGGAGTTATATGATTTAAAAATATAAGAATTAGAATAAATTGAATAATTGGCTATGATGGAGTTATAAAATTCATTAGCTAGATAATAAAAGGTTTAAGAGAAGATTTAGTAAGCATAAAAACTATCACCCAGTGATTATGAAAAATAATATTAAAGTATTTAGAAGGCAAGTGCCACATAATGATATTTATTAATATTTTAATATGCTTAACGAAAGTTTAGAATCTGATAAGGAGGTTGATCCTGAAAGAGAAAGATAAAGATTAATGCTTAAGAGATAGAAATCAATTGAGGAGAGTCTCTAACTAAATGTTAAAGATCACGTCATTAAATTAGAAGTAAAAATTGAAATCATTTAGAATTACTTGGGTGAATTGAAAAAAGACTTAGAAAACAGCAAAAAAGAAATGTCTAATTTAAGAATGGAAATTTCAACTTTAAAGAATAGTCATGGAAAAATGAATGACGATCTAATTACATTTATACAAAATGATGTATAATTAATGTAAAAATCTAGGCCAAAAGACTTCTAAATGAAACTATCAAAAAATCTTAAGATGTTTAACATGATAGTGAATTTTTAGATGCTCAATTAAATGTTTTGAAAAGCGATAAAGATAAATTACTAGATGTTACAACTACATTAGAAAAAAGAATTGTGTCATGTGAGACAGATGTAGGATTTAAGCATGTTTATGATTGAATATTAATATTATAACTTATATATTTTGTTTTCATTTCTTTATTTATCACTTTATTATCAAAAATATATAAAATTTATTCTTACTTAAATTGCTTAATAAAGAGCTCAATCAAATAAAAAATGTCTATATATTTAATTATTTCATATAATAAAAAAAATGAATAATTTTTTAAATGTTTATATTTATATTGAGTTTAATAATATAATATTACTAATATTATTCATTTTAATTTAAGTTTTTATTACACTTAAATAATAGTCTATATAGCATTTATATAATGTTCATTCATATCTGTTTATAGACGCTATAAAAGATATTTATCATATAAATACTTTAACATATTATTATTCACAATTAGCAAAGTAATCTTTAACTTTTTATAATTATTGATATAATTCTTATTCAAACTTATTTTCTTTATTAATTTCAATATGTTGCCCAATAATTTATGCAATTCCTTCATACATTATTAATAATTATGATGATAAAGCTTAAGCATATTTTTTACAGTTTTCTTCTAAATGAGTTTATAATGTTTTATTCAATTATATTAATAAAGCATCTTTGAAATTTGATTTAATATCAACATAAGTAGATAATTTTTATTCCAATACTTTAATCATTAATTACTCTTTTTCTTATAGTAAATATTTAAGTTTATTATATGTTTAATTTTGGTGATTGAGAAAAATAGCTTATATTTTATTAGTCATATTTGTTTTAAATTCAATTGCTGTTTTATTTAATGATTTCATAATTTTAAGTGTGTTAGCCTTCTTAATGAATGATGTAATTTCAGTATGTTTAATTATAGCTTCAGCCAATTGATTTTAAAATTAAGGATCACTCTTAATAAGTTTAACTAATTATGATTATTATTCTTTTGTTAAACGCTAAAATTTCTATCCGTTTCTCTTTTTTCTCTCATTATATATCTAAGTTTGTTCTTTCAAGGTTTAATCATGCTTTTCGATTTCTTATTTAGAAAATTAAGGAATTGAAGTTTTAAAAGCAAATGAAGATACTTATGATGATTAATTTTATGAGGATTGAAGTTGATTATCAGATAATTCACTTGATTATGATTATTTTGAACCATAAGTTTTTTAAAGATCCTTTGCAAACTGAAGACGAATTCTTTATTACATAAAATTAATTAAAATCAAGAATTGAACCATCTGTCTTACAAGATCTAGTATTTTATTTTTTTTATACTCTTAATGTTGTTATTCTCTCATTAGCTCTGATGGTTAACATTTATGATATTAATTTTTGACACTATGGTGATGCATTAACTTTTGTATAAATTCCTTTTTTAATTTATCCATATAAATCAGAATCATTTGATCCTTTAAATGGAAAATGACCTGTTAATAAAACATATAGTAAAACTCCTAAAGCCCATACATCAACAGGTTTACCAAAATAATCCTATTTATTGACTAATTCTGGAGCCATATAACTAATTTTATATTTTAATTATTATTACCTAGGAGTTCCACAAAATACACCTAATTTACAATCTCTATTAACTAAGACTGAAAATCCAAAATCTATTAATTTAATCTCATTATTATCTTTTAAGAGAATATTTTCAAGTTTAATATCTCTATGTATTATATTCAAAGAATGACAATAATCAACAGCTTTTACAATTTATCTAAACATTAATTTAGCATCATCTTCATCAAGTTTTCTATTTGGAAATTACTATAATTAATGATGATTAATTATACTTTCAAATATGATCTCAAATTCTTAGAACCACCATATTCTACTATTAAATTAATATCCATTTATGTTTCAATTGTATTAACATACTTTATAATATTTGGATGATCTAATAATTTGAGTATGTGGATTTCTCTTTTCAATTATTATCTCCTTTGTTAATTACATAATTTAGATTTGGAATATATTTTAATTGCAATTAATCTATAATTTACATCATAATATACTTTTCTGTAAATTTATCTCTAGCTAATTTAACAGTTGCATAGGAACCTTGACCAAGATTACTTAAAATTAAAAATCTATCTAAATTAGAAATTTATTGATGAAGTAAGTAAGTCATATTTATTTGTTATTGAGAATTAGAACGTAAAATCCTATAAATTATATATAATGATAATTATTACTTTAAAGAATCTAAAGGTTAAGTTTTAAATTTCTATTCATATAATTAAGGAGTATCTAATTGGTTGATACTAGTTTTTTTAAATAAATCATCTGCTAAAGTTTCTAATTAATTTTTAGTTGATTATTAAGTTATTCTTTAAGAACCTTGAGTAGTCTTAAGTCTCATATGATAATCTGTCTGGTTTTCTTTAGTTGGCATTGTATAATATTAATCTGTAATTCTTATGCCAGTTTTAGGTCTATGTCTTAGACTTCTTTAAGTTGGTGTTAAAACAAGTTGAGGAATATGATTTATATTTGTTTATTAATAGAGATCCAAAATGGCTAATTCTTAAGGTGGCCTTCTTATTGCAGAACTACAACGAATTGAGGGCTTCAATTTGAAACCACCTCCTTTCATAACAATTATTAATATATAATAATATATTTGTTGAATCATTTTTATTTAGAATAGTTATCGAACATATATTCTGCAAAATGAATGCTGGCTGGATTAGTTTGATCATATATGATATCTTCTAGATATTGAGTTCCTTAATTAATAAGTTCTTCAGCATATACTAGTTCAGCATAATTTAATTTTAATTTTGGTTAGGTTGGTAAGAACCAATTATACCAATCTTAATCACCAAATACTTATTTAAAATTATTGATAAATGATTATTATCTACCAAATTTACCTTATCTAGATTCTATTACTGTTTAATTATCTATAATTGCTGAAATTTAATCCCAAATCATTTAACTTACAAAGATTATAAAAAAGAAACTAAATAAAAGTATACTAAAAATTTAACATTTTGTAGTTGTTATTGTCATTAACATAGGTAAGATCTTTCTCTTTGATTTCATGCAATAATCACAAATTCCAATAGTATGAATACTTAACAATGTAAAAATGTACAATAGTAAATAAAAAAGAAATAGAACAAAGTATTTTTAATTCAATGCTCCAACACAATTATTTACCCATTCACAATGATGATCCATTTTGAAAATACATTTATTACATCTTTTACAATGATGTCCTCTAGGTGGCTTCCATGAATTACATTTCTTACATTTTCGATTATACATCTCATGAACTAATTACAATTTAATTGGAACACTTTTTTAACGAACCTCTCCAGGATCTGAAAAAGAAGTTCTGATCTAACAGGTCGATAGTAATACCCAAAAACAAAAAGCAAATGCTCTCAAATAATATAGGATTGATAATTATGAATTTTCATAAAATGATGTTGTATATAGTCCCCATATAACTAAAATATGTGTTAACATTAATAGTGTACGACCCAAGTACAAAGACTTCATAGAATTTGAATTCTCTATGTCTTTTTCATTTTCCATTTTATTGAGCAAATATAAATAAAGATGTTAAATTAATTTTTGAAGAATTAAATATACTTAAAAAATATGAATATTATTGTATAATGATAATATTATGTATGTTTATGTGTTTAATTCGAATTGCAAATTTATAATACAATTTGCTCGCGTAGGACACATAGTTTTATTTAGAGATGAAATCAAGTCAGCCATGCACTCATCACAGGAGCTGGCATCCGACAAATGATCTCTCCCTTATAATTTTATACAGTACTAACTTATAATTAGTTATTTATGAAAAAAATAAATTTATGGGATGATATTAAATAAATCTATAGATGATTGATAAAGATCTCAATCCAAGGTAATCATTTTAATCTCTAAAAATAGTTGTGAATATAAACATTGTAGATCTTTCTTTTAATTGAATTATACTCAAATGAAATGGAATTCTACACCTCTCCCTTTTGAATTTGCTTCCTATCAACATAGAGACATAGTCAAAATGAAAGAAGGTGACTCATTCAAAAACAGAGATTTAAGAGTTTATGACAATTTCTTAGTCTATGAAGATCAAGTAATACTACTTTAATACAAAATAGAATCGATCCTTTTGGTTAGACTATGAAAATTGTATTATAGATTAAATACAAGATCAAAAAGGAATACGTCTTGTTAAATGTTTTGATTCAGTCGAATTTTATTGTGATACTCAATAATGGTTTAAAATACTTAAAAGACATACAATATAAAGTGATTTTCAAAAGTATTATGCTTTGATAAAAAAAATAAGCAAAGGAAGATTTACAGAAGTATTACATATATATATTATTAATAGGTTTATAGAGCTAAGTGTTATGCTGATGGAAATGATTATGCAGTCAAAATATTAAAAAAATCATAAATTATAGATGAAGCTGATTTAATTGCTTTATTCAAAGAAATCAAAATATTGAGAATTGTATAAACTGAATTTTGTGTTAAATTCTATGAAATCTTTGAAAATACTGAAAATATCTATATTATAATGGAACTACTGATAGGAAAAGATTTAGATGGACATATAGAAAAAACATCATTTTTTTCAGAGGAAAAGACAGCAAAATTTATATTTAGATTAATCAAAACTATATCATATTTACATTCTAAAGGCATCATGCATAGAGATATAAAACCTGAAAATATAATATTTAGATAAATTGATAACATAGATAGTGCATGTCTAACAGATTTTGGTTTAGCTGATTTTTATCACAATGATGGATTTTATCTATTTAAAAGATGTGGAACTCCTGGTTATATAGCTCCAGAAATTTTAAGAAATGAACATTATGATTATAAAGTTGATGTTTATAGTGTTGGTATCATAATGTATTATGTATTAACTGGAAAGAATCCATTTGATCATCCAAATCCAAAATAAATTGTTTTGAATAATTAATTAGGTTAAATTAATTTTCATTATTGTAAATTAAGTAATGCAGGATTGGGGTTTTTAACTTAATTATTAAATGAAGATCAAAATGAAAGATTATCATCACATGAGGCACTTAATCATATTTGGTTTTAAATTGAAAAAGTTTCCAAAATTAGATAATATATAATAAAAAAGAAGACAGAATCTAAAAAGAATTTATCCAACATTTTATAACCAAAATAACGTTTAACATAAAAATATAAGTAGGGTAATCTAAGTCCCAATGGAAAGTTAACTCTTACATAAATTTACTCTCCTTATCATAGTAGATAATTGTCATAAAAGGACTAATTTTCTTAGGATCTGTCAAACAATTTTATGGTTACAAGTAGATTAAGCTTAGAATTTGCTTAAAGCAAAATTTAACCCCTTTTCATCTCAAAATTAAAATGAATATTTACTTTTTATTTATAATATATGTTTCATTACTTATCTAAAATTGACAACTTTGGGGCAGAATTCAAGCCTAGGATTACTAATTCAGAACATGAACATAAATCAATTATAGGAGGTGTTTTTACTTTGTTAGTATATGGTGTATGCTTGGCTTATTTTATTTTTGTATTACAATAATGGCAGACAGGATAAATACTACCAAAAATTCTAATTGAATCAGCTGTTGCAGCTTTTTCAAAATTTATGATGCCTAATGATTTGATTGCTATTTCATACATTCGATATGAAGATTAAGATATAGATCCTTTCTCTGAATAGGGTAATATATTGATGCCCATGGTAGCTGTTTTGGAAAATAATAAACCAATATCATATAGATCTATTCTAAATAATAATGAAGTATCAGTTTATGGAACAAATTTAGTTGAAATGGAATAGATGGAATTAGTTAAAAATATGCGTAATGATAAAAGTTAAGAAAATAATAAAGTGTATATGTTATTAATAACAACATGTAAATAACAATATTTGAAACCCAATCAAACTTGTGCTTCTGAGTCTGAGATTTCTAACTTTTTGAATTTGGGTTTGATTCCAATAGAAATTACTGTCACATTATAATAATTTAGTACATCTGATTAATAATTATATGAAGTTGAGAAACGATTACAATTTTTACTATAAGACAATTTAGCTTTAAAAGCAGATCTATTATTTTAAAATACAAAATCTATTATTGATGATCATCCATTATTTTCAAATTAAAAACGTTTTGTCTATTTTTCAGATTTTACAGTGTTAACTCAAACATTATCAAATAGTAACCTTAGCAAATCTATTATATAGGATGATGTATTCATATAAATTGCATTTAAAATTGATCCAATTGAAACAGTATAACAAATAACATATGTTAAAATAGGAGAAATGTTGGCTGAAGTAGGATCAATTGCAAATCTACTTTTGACTGTATCATGGTTTATATAATAATTTAATAAGGAAGAATTAGAAAATAAAATTATTGATGAAATTATTAGTGTTTATTATCCTTAATTTAAGTAAATTACAAAAATTAAAAATTGTATGGGAAGAACAATTGAACTTAGACATGAAAAGGAAAAAATAAATTAAAAAGAATTTAATAAATGGTATAATAAAGTTCGATAAAATGTTATAATAAAATTATCGATTGTAAATTAGATTCATGAAATTTCTAGATTGTATTTTATTTTGAGATCATAAGCAAATTTTTAATCTATGATTCGTTTTTAAGATTATGGAATTCAGTTGCCAAATAAATTATTTGAAAAACAAAAAGATGAAATAAACAATGAATTACCTTCAAGAGACTTTAAGATTGAAGATTATGATATAGAATCATCAAAAATAATAACAAACAATTTATGTGATGAAGATCTAAATATATTGAGTTATAGATTAAATAAAGATAAATGATTTTTATATATAAGATTAAAAATATCATCATCATCTATATTATTATTAAATTTCATAAATTTGTATTCTTTTAACATCCAATTCAATACAAAGATAGATTTTTATAATATAAGTTTAATTTCTATTTATGTAACTTAATTTTATAATCCATAATATATGTTATATTCATTAAAATGAATTCACAGATAATTTTTATAGAACTGTTAATATAAACATTATATTTAAAGTCTAAACTAATATCTTGTCAGTTTTATATGAATGAAAATAAAATTAAATATCAGATTTATTTAGTTTATATGTTCCCTATATAGTTTAGTGAATAATCAGAAAACTCAAAATTTGATCAATATAAAAGATATGACGTATGTAAAAAAATGATTAATTAAATTATGGATTCTAAAATAATATTCTCAAGATAAATTACAATAGAGGATTGGAAATAAGATAAAATATCCTAACAAGTAGTTTTAATTCTTGGAGTGGGAGGTATAGGTTCTGTTGCAACAACTAATTTACTCAGATTAGGAGTTAAGAAAATCTTTATGGTTGATTATGATCGTGTTGAAATTCATAATCTAAATAGATAAACACTCTATTCTAAGTAAAATCAAATATCTAAATTTTAGCAAAGATGTAAATCAATAGAAAGTAAAAGCTGCTCTTGAAAATGCATCATTCCATAACGTAGGCAATACAGAAATTTAAATGTTTGATTTGGATGCTGTATAAAACTGGGATAAAATTGTAGAGATGGCTTCATAATCAACTGCAATATTTAACTGTATTGATTATGGAGATTATTGGGATGCTGCAGTATAAAGTTTATGTCTTTATTACAATATTCCAATGATAATTGCTGGAAGTTTTGCTTAATCTTTTATGGCAGAAATATATTTAGGAACACCTTGTTATGGATGCATGACAGATGGTCTGAAAGAAGAATATTTGAATCAAATCACTAAAGAAAACATAACAAATTTAAAAAACATCTCCTTTTTACCTTCAAATAATAAACCATAAGGTCAATCTCATCAAGTATTATGCTCAACTGCTGGGAACTTTGCAACATAATTACTATTAAATTATTTAAATGAATAAGCAGATTCTTAAACAAGCAAGTATGATATTCATTATTAATATTTTAGGAAAGTTTTGTTTTATTTAACTACTTTTGAAATAGTGAATTTTCCTGTATTCTCAAAAAACAATTGCTAAATATGCAAATATTAAGAACCTATAAAAGAATAGTAAATAATAACACCAGAACCTATAAAAGAAGAGTAAATAATAACAACAGAACTTAATCAAGAACAAAAATGAGAATATTTTAAAAAATATATTGTTCAATTTTTATCATAATCATTTATCATTTGGTATTCCAGTTACATAAATCTTAACAATGTCACCAATATAGGCACCTTTCAACATCCAATCATCATCACCCAAGAAAAAGAATTATTATATATCATCAACCACAGTTTCCAAATTTTTACCAATATTAATCCATCCTTATTTAATGAATCCCTTAGCTTATCGAATATATATAAAATTAAATACCTCTTATTATGGCCATAATATTTTTATAGGAAGTTACTACTTCAATAGCAGTATCTCCACAATCACTTGCTACTCCATCAAATAGTTTGGCAAATATTTATACTCCTTCTACAATATGTTCTAAGTCATTAGTCTTAAGATCATCTATGGCTTTTTAAAATAAATCTTTAAATCCAGTCACTGTGCCTACACAACCTAATGCATCTGGAATTGCATCCAACAATCCAATTCCTATATATTATCTATATACATAATTACCTAAAGCGTAACCTATTAAGAAATTCTAAAAATTGCTTTCAGATAACTCCATCTCTTTAATATCTTGAGAAGTTGATAAAAATGATTCAGTTGCCAATCCTGTTGCCAAAAGAACTAATAGTAAAATCGCCTTCATATAATTTTGTTTTTTATTTAATAAAATGATTTATCTTTTTGCTTTGTCATAATCTTGGCACAACAAATACGAATACGTCATTAAAATATGTCATCAAGTTATTTTAAAAATATTATACATTTTCTTATCTATTTTGCTCTTCTGATAATAATAGGATAATGTATATCATATTATACTTAATAAACTGATTTTATTAACAGTTTTCACAACTTTGATCATTATATTTTTAATAATTAAGAATTATACAGAATTTTAAGGAGATTTTGACATTAAGTTTTTTAAATAACAAATTGTTAATTAGTTATTATCTATTATTTCTCTTTTAGTTAAAGAATTCAATTTGAAAATAAATAATTCAATTACTATAATAAATTTATATATCTGAAAGTATTTACTTATTGTTAATAAAAAATAAAATAATTATATATATTTATCAAATTATTTTTGATTCTATTATTAACAATTGATGATAAAATATTAATGATATTGATTTTTACAAATATAAAATAAGTAATTTGATTAAGAAAATTCATTTAAATATTATATTTGATATAAATTATTGAATAATTTTGATTGATTATTTTAATATATTTTGTATGAAATTAGTGAGATTATTTCACTTTTCAACAGTTAAATTTCCATACAATTTTAAAGGAGTAAAACCTATTCATGATTCCTCTATAGAAGCTTATCTAAACACCATTTTTGGTTCTAATCTGAGTGAAGGGTTTTTATTAGCTTACTAAAATTTGTTGGAAAGTTTAACATCTTCAGATTATGAAGAATTTATACATGAAAATTGTGATAAAAATATTAGTAAGGCATTGATAGATGGGTTGAAATAAATAGAAAAAAATGGACAAAAATTGAAATTAGTTTATAATGATAAATGTTAGACTAATGTTATGTATGGAAATTCAACATTACATTTTTCTTGTGATCATAATTAAGATCTCTTAGAATAAAAACCTGACTTTGTTTAAGGACATGGTACTAAATTAGCAAAGATGTATAAAACTGGAATAGATTTTAAGACAATGACTGTATAAAGAGGAATCATTGAAATTGCAATTTATATTAGATCACCTTTATTTTTATCTATAAGTGGTTAAGAAGTAAAATGATTTCTAATTAAGTAGAAATTTGAAGAAGCTTATCATAGAATAGATTTCAGAACACATTCAACAACTAGGTTTTCATTTATAGATGCAAAGATATTAACTGAATAAATCATGTAATTATAAAGAGAGAAAAGTGCATAAGCAGAAGCTTAGATCATTATTGATAGTCTTGGTAAAGATTTCACATGGAAAATTTTGAATATAGATGAGTATTTTAAATGAGAAGATTTAATGATAGAAATGCATTTATTAATATTCAATATTTATATAATATAGAGTCTTAAATCCACAATGAAATTTATCTTAAATAGTAATCTAAAAGCTATAAAACAATTTTTAATTGAAAAATTTTTATAAAGCTAAGGAGGAATGATAAATGAATTAGTTTAATTTATTATTATTGATCATTGATTTAAATCGTTGATTCAACTGGTTAAAAATTTATTAATTATATAAAGAAGAACTTGATGAAAAAGAATTTTTATTAAAGTATCCCCAAGGATTTAAAATGGAGAGAAGATGATATTATAATTTAATCCTAGTTTACAAAAGAGAATGACAAAGTTTGCCATCTTTTAGGGTTTAATAATTATATTGTTTATATGAAGGTAATGTGATTATTTAATGTATAGGATCTGCAATAAGAGCCAAAGAAATACATAAAATTAGATTTTGATATAAAGTTTGAAATATTGAGAGAGAATGTTGTAAAAAAAAGTGATGATGATGATTCTTTGGGTTAAATTAAAGGAATAAGTATAATAAAAGATCTAGGAAATGAAACAATAATATAAAAGAAATATTTTGGAGGAGAAAGACTTATTAAGTAATGGAGAGAGTTTTTGAGCAACAGGATAAATTAATGGCAATTTCACCAAATGTTTAGAGTTTACAAAAAAATTGGGAAGGGAAATTTTGCATCAGTAATTTTACAAATTAACAGTTTATAGGTTTATTTGGCATAGAAAATTGAGGATTCAAAAAAAATGGCAATTAAAGCATTTTCTAAGTAAGCAGCTTATGCAGAAGAAAATGGCAAAGAAGCTATATTAAATGAGTTAAAAATAATGAGATAACTGAATCATTCACATATAATGTAGATGTATGAGGTATATGAAACCTAAAATTCACTATATGTGGCACTTGAATTATTAGAAGGAGGGTCTTTGTATGATTTAATAAAAGAGAAAACTTTACTCTCAACTACTTAAATTTAATAGATAATGGTTGGAGTATTGTAAGGATTAAATCATATGCATCAAAAAAATATCATGCATAGGGATCTAAAATTAGAAAACATCCTATTTAAATAGTAAAGGTATAAATAAAATGTATTTTAGAAAAATGGATTCAGTGGTTATTGCTGATTTTGGTTTAGCAACTAAAGTTGATGAACCTGTATATTTATATTATAGATGTGGTACTCCTGGTTATGTAGCTCCTGAAGTTATAAATATTAAGGATGTAAAAGGACACTATAGTGAAGTTTGTGATATTTTCAGTTTAGGACTTGTCTTTTACTTATTATTATCTGGGAAATAAGCCTTTCCTGGTAAAAGTTATGGAACTGTAGTAAAATAAAACAGAGAAGCTACAATAGACTTTAAAATTAAACAATTACAATAAGCACCTAGTTAAGCAATGGATCTAATGAGAAAAATGCTTGAGAAAGATCCAAATAAAAGAATCTCTGCTTCTGATTGTTTAAAGCATCCTTTCCTTGCTGAAATTAATAATTAAATGGCAGATGATTCAGCAAATGATTCAATTGATGAAGGTGATGAATTTGGATAAGTTGCTACGAGAATGAATTAATTAAATGAAGAGTATCATAATTATTCTATTTATTTACTAGAACTATCAAATTTGATGCCTTCAGAAGAAATGCCATTGTAAATTCTCCAGGTTCACCAGGAATAATTGATACGAAATAATTAAAATAATAGAAGATCATAGACTCTTTAAATCAATTATAAATGAACTCTCCTTTGTTAAATGGAAAAATAGAAACATTCGATAGTATACCTAATATAGGTACTCCAAAAAATAAAAAATGTTAAAACACTTTTTAATAATCACCTATGATTAAACCTTCATAATTTAAATAGTAATGTATTTATCAATTAATTTAGAACTCTCCCATAATAATAATAAAATTAAGGTAATCCATTATAAAAATACTCATAATAAAAAAATTGATTTAACTCAATATAATAAATTTATTATATAAAAAATATTTATTTTTATAACGCTGATTTTTTATATTGATCACTAAATTCTTTGAATAAAAGAATAAAAAAATTATTGAAATGGGATGTCATTATACTAAAACTTAGGAGATAAAACAATCTAGATAAATAAAACCTAAATTCATCATTTAAAAAAAGGAACCAAACACTTTATCTTAAGTTACAACTGATTAGATAATAGAAGACTTGGAAGATATTAAACCACCAAAATTGTGTTATATAAGTAATACTAATAGAGGAGGAGGAATAAATAAAAATCATCAGATTGAAAGGGAAATAGGAGGAAAGAAAGAAATATTTTCTTAATTATATATACGTCCTTACGAAAAAAAATGATGTTATTATTAATAGTACTAAAATTTACTTTTTATTTAATCATCATTAATTATTCTCTAAATATTCATACAATTTATGCATGTTATTTTACATATAATTTGTGGTCCAAATAGCAAATGGAAATATAATTAATGATCTGAAAATTATGACTGATCCCAAAGCTATTGGAAAACCAGTAAAAAATAATTTAGCAAAATGATGCATATCATCTTAAAATATTTAGGCCTTATATTGTTTAATTTTTGGTAATTATTCTTTGAATTATTATTCCTATTCTATCTTTTATTATTGTTGTTTCCTATAATTGGCAATCTTAATATCAAGAATTAACTAATCACGCTAATCTTACATTATTAAAATAAATTATATTAAGTTAATATCAAACATTTAAAATTTAACACGATTTATTATAGCAAATGCTTACTTAATCCACTTTTATTAAGGACCATGATCAATTACCTATTTCATTTTTTACTATATATTCTAATTTGATGTCTAGAGAATTATCAATATTAACAATTACCAATAGAATAAGTTTATTTTGCTTATTTTATTATTCTGAAAAGCTCCAAATCAAAGCAGAAAATCATCTAATACACTAATAAGTTAAGTTTTTGATTTAGATACCCATACTATAGTATTATCAAAGTGTTTATGACTCTTTAATTTGCCTAATAGTAAAATGGTCATCTTTAAAATAGAATTAATTCAATTACTTAGTCTCAAATAGTGCTACATTATTTGCATTCATCTTAATTATTGCTATATAATTAGTATCTCTTTCATTCCATGCAAATTTAACATTTAGTTTATTATTTTCAGTCTCGAACAAATTTGTAGAATGAACTAATGCTCTATTGAAATATGATGATTTTAGAATCTTAAACTGAATTATCTATTGCAGGAATAATTTTGATTGAAATTTCTCATAACATAAATTGGTTAAGGTACTTTGAAAGTATAAACCTAATTTTTATGTTCTTATTAAATTAAGTTTATATTTTCTAAATAAACTTGTTCATAGTGAAGATTTTAATCTCTACATTAATTGTCATTATTCATTTCTTTAAAATATATTTATAATTTAATTCATCAAACTATTTCTACAACACTTTACATTTTTTTGATAAATACTCCAATACTTAGTCTGGAGGCAATTGTTATTCAATCAATTATTCTAAATATTGATTACGATCTTTAAGTATTTTTTATTCTTCCTTTAGTTATTTTAGTTTTTTTATTCTTTATTTCTCTTTTACTTTTTATTTAAAATAAAGAGTTCCTTTGGTTTGATTTCTCTTTTAATTAGATTGCAAATTTAGGCATTCCTTTACATTCTTAAATAGTATTTCATCCTTCAATTAAATTTCCTTTTAGAGTTAAAAATTTTGTATAAGCAATTCAGCATTCTTTTCTTCAACATTTTAAATGATAGATTGCTATTTTTTTATTTACTCTTCCATTTCAATAAATTTTTACTCATACACATCACTCATGCATTTCATGTTTTCTAATTCACGTTTAATTAATTCAATTTCTTAATGGCTCTTTTATTATATTTACTACATGACTATATTATAACGCTCTTCTATTTTCTTATTAAGTTTTAATCTCTCTAGAATCATTTACTCTTCCAAATTCATTTTAATAATTGAAATTATAAATAAAATAATATTGCTTAATTAAACAACGGGGGTATGTTTAATCAAGTATATAAATTGATAATATCCTAAAAATATTTTTGATTTAATTTTATATTTTCCGAATGGATCCAAATTAGAGTGAAGATGTTTTCTCTGCTTTTGTAGATGAATATTAAAAAAACTTCTTTGATATGCTATTCAGATTTGAAGGTGAGTTCATTTTTTATAATATTTAATAGGCAAAGCTGAACCCATTAAAGAAGCATGGACAAGAGAAGATGGCCGAGGTCACGGACTGACTTGTGTTATTTAAGTATATACATCCTATTATATGTTAAGGATGGTAATTTCTTTGAGAAAGCTGGTGTCAATGTTTCAAGAATTACAATTCCATTGAGTTAAGGAATTTATCAATAAATGAAAGGAAGAAGGGTTCCTGGAAGCAATTGTATTATTCTTAACATTAATCATTTAGTGGATCAAATAGATATGAATAATCTTGCTCAATATGATACTTATGCTAATGGAGTAAGTCTTGTAATTCATCCAATTAATCCTTTCTGTCCAACTGTTCATGCCAACTTCCGTACAATAAGAATCAAAGAACGTGAGACAGGTATATTATTATATAGATTAATATATAGGCAAAGTCATTGATTCTTGGTTTGGAGGAGGAAGTGATCTAACTCCAATCTACTTATTTGATGAAGATGCTAAATTATATCATTAGAATATTAGAGATGCAATAGTAGAAGTTACTGGAGATGATAAATTATATAGATAATACAAAAAGGAATGTGATGAATACTTTGTAAATCATCATAGAAAAGAAGCAAGAGGAATTGGTGGAGTATTTTATGATGATTTCAATTTGGAATCATTTGAAAAAGGTTTATAATTCTAGAAAGCAGTTGCTTATGCTAACTTAAAAAGCTATGAAGCTATTATAAATAAGAGAAAGGATACTCCTTATAATGATGAGAATGTTCGTTGGAGATCATTTAGAAGAGGTAAATATTTAGATTATATAATAGGTCGTTATGCTGAATTTAATCTTATTCATGACAGAGGAACTAAATTTGGTTTAATGACTCCAGATGCTAGAATTGAGAGTATATTAATGTCATTGCCACTTACAGCCAGATGGGAATATAATTATCATCCAAAGGAAGGTACAGAAGAAGCAAGAATTGTTGGTGTATTGCTTAAGCCAGTTGAATGGGTGTGAGATATATAAGAGTAAATTAATTTATGAAATAAATTGCTTTTCGTTTGAATCACATTTGTCATGCCTAATTTGGATTGCGTACAAGAGCTGGCTCCATAATCAAAACTATCAAACCAGAGAAAAAGACCAGGGAGCAAATCAGATTAGAGATTGAAGATCCTTTTTAAGCAGAAAGATTAAGATAAATTTAATTGGAAGAAGATGCTAAAAATTTTTAACAATATATTTACAATTTGAAACAAAATGACAGCAATCCCAATAATTTCATTAAAGTTAAAGTTAAGAATGTAGAAGTAACAAAAACTGAAACAGCAACAGAGACTGAAAATAATACACCTTTTATTGTCAAAAAAGTACCAAAATAAGAGAAAATTTTAATTAGTGGAATAAGAAGGTATTGTTTATGACAATTCATTTTAAATAGAAAAGTACCTGCTTCTCTAAGAAGATTAATTCCTATTTGTAGACCTTTGATTAATATGCATCTTTATTAAGCTTAAGAGGCAATTGCTGATTCAGGAAGAAAAGCAGCTTAATTCTTAGCTAAAACATTAGTCATGGTTAGATCACATGCTGTATAAAGAGGGTATGATCCAGAAAGACTTTATGTCCATTCAATTTAAGTTGGCAGATATAAGAAATTCAGAAAGGCAAGATTTCATGCAAAGGCTAGAATAAATCCAGCATTTAGAGAGACTAGTCAAATCAAAGTTATATTAGAAGAAAGACCTACTAAAGAGGTTTAATTTCTATTTTAATATATTTATAGATGTTCAAAGATTTTGTCTAAGGAAAAACTCCTAGTGTTATTTCATATTTAATGAAAGATCAATTGGTAAGGGAAAAAGCTGATTATGCAAAAATAAGAAGATTCTAATTATTCCTGACTTCTAAAGGTAGACAATAATAAAAATTGATGTTAAAGAGAAGAGCATAAAAAGAGATGAAAGAATAAGTTAAGTATATTGAATAAATTCTAGGGTTTGTCCTTTAAATATCTTCATCGTCAAATTGTGGAATAAGAAGCTGAATAATTGGCTGAAAATTATGATACAGGAAAGAGTGGATTACATAGATTCAATTTAGAGGCTAGATAAACTTTGTTTAAAAAGAATGAAGAAATAAATAATTGAGTTTTTAAGAATATTTAATATAAAAATTATATTATAATAACTATACCCAAAAAAGTAATGTAGCTTTCATCTGTTAATTGATAATATTTATTTCAATCTTTATATTTAAATTAATTGCAATAAAATTTGATATAATTAATTAATTATGTAAACCATAGAAAACTATTAATATGACAAAAAGGGATTTCTAGGGGCAGGTAGTTTTGGTAGTGTGTATAAGGCTAAAAATATAAAAACTGGAGAGATTGTGGCTTTGAAAAGTAATAGATTAATATATATTTTCAGTTTTGGATATGAAATTATTCTAAGATTAGTTTATGATCGATTCATTAAAAAATGAAATAAAAGTTATGTAAACCTTGAAATCACCTAATGTGGTTAGAATGCTTGATGTATTTGGCAATAAATAATAAACATATATGGCTATAGAATTATGTGATTCAGATCTAAGATCTGTAATGCATAAAAAGGGTCATATGTAGGAATAATAAGCTATAGAAGTACTAGCATAATTGATGAATGGATTCAAAGAATTAGTATCACATAACTACATACATCGAGACATAAAACCTGAAAATTGTCTAGTTAAAAGTAATGTATATAAAGTGGCTGATTTTGGATTCGCTACTAAAATTGATATAACAGGAAGATAATTACTAAAAGAATGTGTTGGTACACCTATCTATATGTCTCCTCAGATTTTAAATAAATAGTAATATTCAGCCAAAAGTGACATCTGGTCTATTGGAATGATGTATTATGAAATTCTTTTCGGTAAAACGGCCTGGTCTTGCAGAGATATGAATAGTTTTTTAAGAAGTATCAAAACATAACCCTTACGATTTCCTTATGAAAGACCCATAAATGAAAATTCTAAAGATTTCATCAAAAAATGTTTAATGATTGAGGAAGCTAATCGTATTGGCTGGAATGAAATTTTTACTCATCCAATTTTTACTATGAATCAATCTGGTCAATTATAATAGAAATAAAATTATGAATTACCATAATAATGTATTAAGATATTAAGGAAATTGTAAGAAGTAGTTGCTGAGAATAATATAGATCCACATTATATTTTTCAAAGATTCGATAAAGACAAAAATAATATTTTAGATGCTAAAGAATTTAAAGAACTTATTTTGGCTGTTGATCCTAATACTACTCAATTTTAAATTTAAGCATTATTTACAAGAATCTGTGGACAAGATCAAAAAGTTAATTATACTGAATTTTAAAAACTATTCACAGAATTTGATTTCTCTGATCTCAATGATAGAGCAGGGATTATTATTAAAGACATTTAAGCTGTAATCAAGGCTAATAACATTAATATTACATAAATATTTAAAAAATATGATAAAAACCATTAAGGAGATCTAGATTATTAAGAATTTTACAATTTAATCAAAGTAATTGTGCCTGGAATTAAAGATTATGAAATTTAATTGATGTTTTCTAAATTCGATCGTGATAATAATGGTGCTATTAGTTTTCCTGAATTTTCATATATTCTCAGTAAGGGCACAGGTTAAACATAAAAAGATGGTATCACTTAAAGAGCCTCAGGAGTATTAAAGTAATTGTAAAATACAGTGAGAATTAATAAATTAGATGTTAGTAAAATATTTCAACGTTTTGATAAATCTGGTGATGGTGCTATTGATTAAGAAGAATTCTTTTTATTATTAAGAGTATAATTAATAATTTATAATTTTTAATAGGCAATTGATGGTAAAATAAGTAAAAATGAAGCAGCCAGTGTTTTCCATATTTTTGATAAGAATCATGATGATTAGATCTCTTTCGAAGAATTCAAATCATAGCTATGAAAATATTCAATAAATAAATTATTCAATTTATTAATTACATTAAGGACATTTATCGATCTTAGATTTACTACAATAATAACAAAAAGTATGATTACAAGGTTCTAATCTTGTAATCATTGTTTTTATTGCAGAATTACAAACAAAACATGCCCCATTCTCATTTCCATTTTGTAATGTACCCAAAAATGATGTCATAAAAAATAATTATTTACAATAATTCACCAAATAACTACTCGAGAATAATAGAGATTAGAATAATTTATTTATTACTCCCCAAATTAATGTTCTATTTAATAATTCGAAATCTAATTCTCTTGTTTGATTTTCTTTTATTTATTTTATTTAAAATCCTATCAAAAATAATTCTAAAGTATTAACCATCTATCCCTATGCAATAAATTTTAAAGAGTATCCAAATCTTAAAAGTTAAAAAAGGAATTCCAATTTTTTTATTTTTTTGTAAATATTAGGATATTTAACTTCCAAATATAAGAGTATTCTTGTGTATAAATATCTTCCTAATACTATTATTAGCAAATAGAGAATTTTTTCCCTTTTTCCTAATCCCTCTCCTAATTATGTACAAAATTAGATATTTTATAATTCCTAACCTGGTAAAGGTTTATCTTTCGCAATCCTTTATCTGAAATACAAAAAATCAAATATTAAATCAACTTCTGGAATGTTAGTTTTGAATAAATCTTTTATCTGCTCAACAAAAATTGTTTTAATTTCAGAATCAATTAAAAGACCTTCTATTTAACATATACGTGAATTTAACATATAATAATAATATTAATATTATAAATATTTTAAAATAGCATCTAAAATCTAGTCATAGAATTACTAATAAGTCATTTAATTAATTAAAACAAAAGAATAAAACACATATTCTCAAAACTTCATTTCGAAAGCTACCACTCCTCTTCTATTAAGATTTTCTACAAATAAAGTTAAACTTCCAATCATGCTTCCTCCCACTATACCACCAACAATAAAAGGAACAAAACCTTAGTAATAGTCAATTGCAAATACCCAAAGTGGATTTATAAATTGCTCCTGAAATAGCTCCACACAAAATATTCTTTTTTAATTAATTTATATCTGCTAATTCATCTTCAAATAATAGATTCATTCCTGCCCCAACAAAATAATATAACATGCTTGCACTTGCTGCTGCCTATCCATAGGTTGAAGTTCGTTTTCCTACTGCATTGAAAAAATTATTTAAAATTAGCTTTTTTGGCATATTCAGTGATCTTGGAAATCCTTCAATTGCTCCTTTCACTAACCCTATAGATGAAGCTAAAATATTGATTTTTCTATTACCTAACATGTAACTCACACCAACCGTAAAACTAATCTTATCACCAAAGTCTTATCCAGAATATTATTCAATTTAGTTCTCCGCTTTGCTTCCCATAAATAAAATTTAATTATTAATAAACTTTATTTTAGTATCTCAAAAAATAATTGAAATTATAATATAGCATTGATAAACTCCTCTTTTATTAAACAGAATTAATTTTATAAATCAAATGAAAAATAAGTATTAAGCTTGTAATAATAATATTATTATATTAATAGTTAAGTTGGTTATTCAATTTTTTTAAATAAATTTAAAGTTAATAAAACTAACAAAGTTATTTTATTCTTTTGTTTTATAATTTCATATGAAAAAAACAAGTATTAAAAATAAAACCTTTTATTCCTTTTATTTTAAATACTTAATTCTAATATAGTCTATAACAATTTAATAATTGATTCAATTAGGTTTTATAAAAATTGTAAAGGTGAATGCAGATATTTCAAATTTAATTCAATAAATTATAATTGTAATAATTTTAATTAATTGTTTTTAAAGAATGATTTCATTTGATGATATATTAGAAAATAAGATAAAGACAGGTCGTTACTAATTTAAAACTTTAGGAATAGTAGGTTTAGTTGAATTTTGTGATGGCATAGAATATGCTTATATGTCTATTTTGGTGGCTATTATATAAAAAGAATGGGAATTAAATCAATAATAAATAGCATCCTTGGGTTCATCATTTCTATTAGGTATGGTAATTGGTAATTGCATCTGTGCCTTTTTAACAGATATAATTGGTCGTAAAACAACTTTTACAATTTTTACAGGACTATCGGTTTTTTTGATATACTTCACAAGTATTTGTACTTCTTACAATTAAATGATAATGTTAAGGCTTATGTTTGGAATTGTATTTGGAACTAGTTACCCATTGGGGTATGTCTTTATTTCAGAAGTCACTGAACCAAGATATAGGGGTAGATTTGGATATTCAATGGGTGTTTTATTTGTGATTGGGAAGATTTACTTAGCATTTTTATGTATATTCTATCTAAATGATTTTACATCAGGAAATTGGAGAGGATTAATTAGAGTGAATGGAATTCCAGTAGCAATCAGCTTTATTTTGTCATTATTTTATTTAAAGGAAACAGTGAGATACTATTTAAATTAGAGGGAGTACAAAGTTGCTTTTGAATAAATAGATTCAACAATACATGAGAACTAAAAAGATACTGATATATTAACAGAAGAAGAGGTATTTATATATAAATAATAACTTAGAAATAAGGATTGATTAATTGGCAAGAGAAGTAAATATAAATAAATTAGGAGTAAGAATTAAATAGGTTTGGAATTCTATCACAAAATTATAAATATATCACTTTTAAGATATGGATTTTGTACATTTTAGCTAATTTGCAAAATATGAGTATTTATTTATTAATGCCATTTTTATTTGCAAACAATAACTCAAACTTAAGTTCTATGTTATTTATGTTCATTTTGGAATTAGTATTTGCATTATTATTATACGTATTTATTGATGATCCTAATATTGGTGGTAGAAAGATGGTAATCGGTTATTCATCATTAATATTGGTATTGGCTAATGCTAGTTTGTATCTTTTCAGATAACATATTCTGTTTTTCGGATTACTTTTAATAAAATTAGCATGCAGAGCTCTATTTTCAACGTTAGGTCTTGTTTGCTGTGAAAGTTATCCATTGTAATTAAGATCATAAGGAACTGCAATAGCTTTTGGAATTGGTAAAACAACATCTATTCCATCACCATTTTTCTTATTTCCTTTATTTTATATAGATCCTTATTTACCATTTGCTTTAATGAGTATATTATCAATTATAATGATTATAACAAATTATTTGATTGGAGATGATAAGACAATGAAACCATTAGAATCACATAAATAAGATTGACATACATATAACATTGATATTCATAATATATTTATTATTCTTTGAATATATTTTTATATTTATATATGTAAATTAAATTAATATTAATAATTATGAGTAAATTAATATAATTGGTATAGAAATCTCAGTATTTTGCTACCAGAGTACAATCAATCAATAGCAAAGCCAAATCATTTTCTTCTATTGATTTTTATAATAATTTATTACTGAATACTCAAACAAATAAGAATGGAAGATATAAATTTTAGACAAATGATGTAGGACATTTTGTTAATATGGTTGAAAAGGATAACATTAAAGAGGCAATAGAAGTATTNCAAAGTTGCTTTTGAATAAATAGATTCAACAATACATGAGAACTAAAAAGATACTGATATATTAACAGAAGAAGAGGTATTTATATATAAATAATAACTTAGAAATAAGGATTGATTAATTGGCAAGAGAAGTAAATATAAATAAATTAGGAGTAAGAATTAAATAGGTTTGGAATTCTATCACAAAATTATAAATATATCACTTTTAAGATATGGATTTTGTACATTTTAGCTAATTTGCAAAATATGAGTATTTATTTATTAATGCCATTTTTATTTGCAAACAATAACTCAAACTTAAGTTCTATGTTATTTATGTTCATTTTGGAATTAGTATTTGCATTATTATTATACGTATTTATTGATGATCCTAATATTGGTGGTAGAAAGATGGTAATCGGTTATTCATCATTAATATTGGTATTGGCTAATGCTAGTTTGTATCTTTTCAGATAACATATTCTGTTTTTCGGATTACTTTTAATAAAATTAGCATGCAGAGCTCTATTTTCAACGTTAGGTCTTGTTTGCTGTGAAAGTTATCCATTGTAATTAAGATCATAAGGAACTGCAATAGCTTTTGGAATTGGTAAAACAACATCTATTCCATCACCATTTTTCTTATTTCCTTTATTTTATATAGATCCTTATTTACCATTTGCTTTAATGAGTATATTATCAATTATAATGATTATAACAAATTATTTGATTGGAGATGATAAGACAATGAAACCATTAGAATCACATAAATAAGATTGACATACATATAACATTGATATTCATAATATATTTATTATTCTTTGAATATATTTTTATATTTATATATGTAAATTAAATTAATATTAATAATTATGAGTAAATTAATATAATTGGTATAGAAATCTCAGTATTTTGCTACCAGAGTACAATCAATCAATAGCAAAGCCAAATCATTTTCTTCTATTGATTTTTATAATAATTTATTACTGAATACTCAAACAAATAAGAATGGAAGATATAAATTTTAGACAAATGATGTAGGACATTTTGTTAATATGGTTGAAAAGGATAACATTAAAGAGGCAATAGAAGTATTATAAATGCTAAATTGATTAGGGATTTAATAATATATTAGGACATAATAATTAAGTTCATTGCGGTATTAAAGATAAGTTTATGCTTAAATGTATTGAATTTGATTAAAAAAAATATGTTTTGGATGCATTGAAATTTCATTCAGCAATAAGATATTTCCCTCATCCTTCTGTGATAATGACTTTAGCAAAAAAACTTGATGATGAAGGATTAATTGAATTATTCAAAATATTGAAAACAAGTCCATTCTTAAAAATTGAAAGTGATGATCTTTCAAGTTTGATTAAAGATGATCCAAAAATATCATATGAAGTTTATAGAGTGGCATTGTAGAAGAAAATAAAAATATAACCTAAAGATTTATATAGGATTGCAAGATAATTTTTATCTGGAAATAAAGTTAGAAAAGTGTATAATCATTATTCTTATTATGATTAGTGGTTTTATGACTTAATTTGCATAAGAGAATGGAAATGAAAATGATATCTATTCATCATTAAGTGTTTTATTTACTCATGTTTATTTGACAAATAAATAATAAGCTATAGTTGAATTAGCTAAAATAATAGAACATAAGGATGGGTATAATCTATAATTATATTTTAGATTAACAATTTTGAAATAAGAAGAATAATATATCTAACCTCTTTTAGTAATCTTATAAAAATAAGTGGAAAATGATGAAAAATGGAAACCTAGATTAGATGAATTAATATCAAAATTGAGTTGATTTTATAGATCAATTAATATATATATATATAATATTGATCATCCTTGCTTTTAGATGGGTAAGAATAACTTAAATTCAGGAGGTAATTCTTCTTCACTGTAAAGACGATCACTAAAATATATTCTTCTGATTCTGCAATTGGCATGTATTTGTACACTACAAAATGAGATTCATAGAAATACCGAAGTGTTTCTATATAGTTTGTACCATATGCTCTTCTAGTAAAATCAGATAAATTGAATTAAATTTAATTCCATCCTTCATCTAATCTCATAGGCATTGTACAAATGAAAGGTTTCACTCTTGTTGTTGACTACATTCATTATACTAATTTACTTAATAATTTGATGCTCTAAATCTTCTTCTAACATTCTTATCATCCAAAACCTATACTTCAAAAGTGAAATATTTTTTAAGCTAATAATTAATGCCAATAATATTACATTCTTAATGATCATGACTAAGAATGGTAATTTAATTCCCAATGTTTCTTTAGGGTCAGCAGGAGCAGTTATGAAATTTGTACTCACATTTGTACCCATTATTTCAAGTACTGATGATTAAATGTCTTGATCTGTGATACGTTTAATATGTCCATTCTTGACTTAAATAATCCAATCATAAAATACTTTGCTTATCCCAAATTTACAATGGCTTTGATCCTATAGAATATAATATTGAAAGAAATCCACTTTAGAATGAGTTCTTGAACATCAGTTATTTTTTATTTTATTAAACAAAAAAATATCTCACTTAATCCACCTTAATAATCATTATTCATTTAATATATAAATAATATTTTAAACTTACAATCTAAATCCAATTATTTTTTTGATGATTATTAGATTTTCAAAATTTATTTGTATTCTAAATTTATTATTTATCATTAATCAATTTTCAATAATTATCTTATTTTATTCTTAAATAAGATCAAACTAAAGAAAAATAAATAATTAATTACTTCATCAAAGTTGATATCGATATATTATTATACTTTTTTTGTTTATTGATTCAAAGCTAGGAGAATATTATAAAATTATAAATAAAACGTAGCTTTTTGATTTAAGCTAATGATAATGATATAATTTTATTCTTAAAAGAACCCTCTTTCACTTTTAATCTCTTTATTCTTTTATTATTTAAAAACAATATGATATTGATGTTATTACATTATTTAATTTTTTAATTATGATTTTAAATGAGTAGATATCTTTTTTTTATTAATAAGATATTTAAGGTTGAGAAAAAGGAAATTTGTAATTTAATTCATTGAAAAAATATTATTCATGTTAGGTAATCTCCATATCATAATACAAGGAATATAAAAAAATTTTAAAAGGTTATATATAAAGATGTTTTAGGGAAGGTCAAAAATAAAATTTTAAACATTAAGCATCGCTTATTTGTTTAACTTAATAATTTTTATCTCTTTTATTAAATCATTATTGTAATTGCTAAATTTAATCTGTTAATATGTTTCCTTCATATAATTTTTGAGACTCTATCTTTTATTATATTATTATGTTTATTTTATTATTAATTTATTCTGTATAAGCATCAAGAAAGGAACCTTAAGTAATTACTTAAAAATTAAATTCTACAACCTATTATGCAATAATGAATTAAGTCAAAAGACTCTATGATAACCCAAATAGCTTTTAAATCTTATTATGGAAAAGAAGTGATTTAGATCATAGACTTTATTCCTACACAGATAATGATTATGATACATTAATTTAAGAAGAGAATAAATTAAATGGAACAGCAGGATGTAGAGCTATCTAGAAATCGTTTCCTATTGAGTAAAAACTGAGGATGGGATTGCCAGCTGACGAAAAGATATTTTATACTGATTTGATTGTTTTATAAAATAGAGCTCTCATTATCAGAAATGATTTTACATTATAGGAGATAAATTTGTCTTAGAATCAATTCATTAAAACTATTCAATAAAAAAAACTAAAAATTTAATAAACTTCCACTAGTCATCCAATAATTTTATAGAATGCTATAAATAAAAGAATTTATATAATTTCAGAAAATGGAGGTGTTAGTATACCAGATTGGATGTAAATTTCTAATCTCACTATTTAGTCCTTTAGATTCAACGGCATTTTTTATAAATGAAGAACCTTTCAAGAAAAGATCAATAATTTATGATGCTTTTATTAAAAATGATAAGATCTATGTGGCTTGTGGAAATGAAGGAATTGATATATATTTATTTAAGGATGGAATTCTCAAACATGATAATGTACAATTAAGAATTGATAATTAACATTTAGATGCAGTTGATATTAGTGGTGATGATGAATGTATTATAATAATTAACAATGATAGATATATATATATTGGATCATAATCATGGTCTATATATTTGTGATTATCAATTTAAGGTGAAATTTAGAGTGCCAATAATAAAGGGAAGTGATTTTGGACATTATAATAATACCTTTTTTATTATAGCTGAATCTATGACTAGATAAGATTATGCAGTTGAAGTCTTCTTAAATTTTACAGATAATTCTTATTATATCAACCATTATTACTTTGATGATATGCAATTTTATGATGTAAAAGTATATTAAAATTATGTTGTATTGATTGGTTATGAAGTACATAAAATCATTCAACATTCAATTTATTCTAATTTTATTAAATTTACTAGTAATAATTATTTCGAATTTCCTTAACTATTATAACTCAAATCTTGGAATAATTCTATTGTTGCCTTATCAAAAAAATAAATTAGATTACTTAATTTATCTATTATACCTGCCCATATAGAGTGTGAATCCTAAGAAATATTTTAAGAATACTATTTAGTAACAAGTTTCTTTTAGAATTCATCATCTCCATTTGAAATAACTAAAGTAGATCAAGTATTTAGAATAATAATAGATGATGTATCTAAACTTTCAAAAGCCAATCTTATTCTATTTGTTTTTTTATTAATTATCATGTTTATTATGGTATGGTTATTAATAGTTGGATTCATTTGTTATAAAAAATGCAAAGATAAAACATAAAAGTTAGAAGAAAGTAAGATATATTTGACCAAACAGTATTAAATAGACAGAGAAGAAGGTCCTGGTTAAGAATTATCAGCATTATGATATTATACTCATTAAATATATCTATTCCTCAATAAATTATTCTTATGTGTTCTGATTAATTAGCTTATTATTGAGAACGCAAAAGAATCTTCAGTTATTTCTTATATTTATTATGTTAATATTCTTTATAAAAAATAGGCTTAGGGTGATTAATCTTTTTTCTAGGAGAAGGAGGAGCTACCTCCTTCTTTATTGCTCTTCTAGAGAAACTATTTTATGGATCATCGTTTATCAGATAAAATTTTTTTTCATTATAAAAGTTTTAAGGCTAAGGCTAATATTTAGCCTATTGTTATTAAAATGATTTTTGTATATGTTTGGCAGCATTTACTGCCAAACCAAAATAGTCTAGAAGACCAGTATTTGAATTATTGTTGCTATTAGATCTATTATTGTCTTTTAATAAAATTATTTTCTAAAATTCTTTCCCTTAAATCTCTCACACTTGAATTATATTCTAAATCATATGAGAATTTGAAACATTTCAATACCTTCTTAGTATTTTATGATTCTACAAATAGAAGACTCAATTTATAATATAATTCATCATTCTATTAATTATAGAAACTCATATGAGAATCTCCAATCAATAATTATAATTCAGAATGGCATAAACTATAAGAAAATTTTTGAAAAAGCTCAAAAAATATGCATCTAATTAAGTATTTTAAATCTCCATTTTTAATAATATATCCACATTAGTCGAGCTTAAATTTACACACTTGGATATGGATTCTATAATTAAATAAGCTATTCAGAATAATTTTTTTGATTAATTCAAGCCACCTGTGTTTTATTACAGCAAACATTATTTAAGTATATGAAAGATCAATAGACAACTAATATATTTATTTTTGTGCTCGATTCTATAACATATGAGATTAAGTCTGCTATGTAAGTGTTAGATTCTATTTTAGAGAAGTTTTTTGTTATTATTGTGAGACTTCTTATAAAATTAAAGGAATACTCTATTATTACTATCTTGGATACTATATCGGAAGTATAAATCGAAATTTACATTAGAATACAAATACTTTCTAAATTTTATCAATTTCCTTGTTATAGAATAAAGATTTTTACTTGATACAATGATTCTCTAAAGTCAATTTCTTGTTTTTTTCTTAACTCCATAAATTTTGGATTTGTTGGAACATTTATTTAGGCATTATACTGAGCTGGCTCCTGGAAAGGTTGGTTTGGTACTCAAAATGCATTATTAACTAACCATAATAGATCTTTCAATATACTGTATGATTCATCAACTGAACCTCCAACTTATATTTATCTTCTTTTCATAGATAGGTAAAATTTAATATATAAATTTCTAAACCAAACATATTTTTTTGTAGTATATAAGTTTAATTCATAAAAAATAAGAAAATAAAATTTATTTAATTTAAAAAATTTAAGCATTTAAATGGCACCTCCTCCAGTTCCCTTAAATAGACCACTTTAAGCACCTCAATATGCATAATCATAACCAGCCCTCTTCGGATAGCCCTAAACATACTAGCCTTTATAGACAGTAGCTCCTATTTAATATCAACCATACAATGCTCCTTTGACCTACAGTGTTGCTAGCCCTGTTTAACCTGTTGTTTAATAATTTGTTGCTCCACAACCAATATTAGCTCAATCTTATGTAGCTCAGCCAGTCATTGCTTAACCTGTCCAATAATCAGTTCATGTATTAATTTTAAATGATAAATAGCCATCAATCAAGGGAGAATCAAGAATAGAATATATTCCTTATTAGAAAGCCATAACAGAGTATGAAGAATAAGAAGTTGTGTAATATGTTCCAAGAGAAAGAAAAGTGACTGATTATTACGCTGTTGAATACTAAACCGAATATATCCCATAAGTATATTAGGAGAAATATACAGGTATTTATAATTAAATAATGTTTAAGAATATGTACCAGTGGATAGATATTAAGAAAGAGTTGAATATTATCCAGTGGAAAAATAATTAGTTCATTAATAAGTTGTTTAATAACCAGTCTAAGTTGTTTAATAACCAGTTTAAGTTGTTTAATAACCAGTCTAAGTTGTTTAATAACCAGTCTAAGTTTATTAATAACCAGTCTAAGTTGTTTAATAACCTGCTTAAGTTTATTAATAACAAGTCTAAGTTGTTTAATAACCTGCTCAAGTTTATTAATAGCCAGTCTAAGTTTATTAATAACCTGCTTAAGTTTATTAATAACCAGTCTAAGTTTAACCCATTTAAACTGTACCCGTAGCATATGCCTAATAATACGCTTCTCCAATCATTTCTTCTAGAGTGGTTCCAGCTTATCAACCCTAATAGTATTAACCAGCTGCTTAAAGAGTATAACAATAAGTTCCATTAAGATCAGATTTGAATAATATGAATTGAATATTAAGTGGAATTTATTAAAAATTTAAATGGTTATTTAATTATAATTTTTTTAAATTAAGTTTTTGAACCCGCATATAATTTTAGAATATAATTGTATCACTATTATTAATAAAAATGTAATTCTATATTTGTTTCAAAATCAAATTTCTGGCCAGAAAGGTTTATTGGATGCAGTGTTTTACCTTATTTCGTCATTTGCAATTTTAGATTCCATCTTTTGTAAAGTTTATGGAGCATCTGATTATTGACCATCAATTTTAAAGACCATCCAGGTTAAATCTAATTTATCCATTTAAAGATTGATATCTAAATTAATTAAGATCATACTTTAAGGTAATCTAAATTCAATTAATGGGTAGTTTAATTCACTCAAGTATACAGTGATATGAGGATCTGCATCAATCCATTCTTAGCTAACCAAAGAATTCTTTAAAAGATCTAAAGCTTCATTTCTAGTCAAAAATCTTTTAACAAATATTGTATAGATTTATGGTTCTAATTGATAGATATCAAGCACTTCTATATGTTAATCATTTTTAGATATAGTTGACAATTACATTCCTCCACATGATTTAGACAGAGCTCCAGTTAAACAAGAGTGTTCTCCTACTTTAAAGGCACTGTACAAATCAAGATTAAGAGTCTTTGATGTCCATTCTAATAAAATACGGACTGAATGTTTAGGTATACTCTTTGTTAACCTGAATATATATTTAGTTTTAGGTACTCTTCTTTAGAGATCAAGAACTGAACATGATTTCTTAAATCCTATGAATATATTGATAATCTTTATACCTGATTTATATATTAATACTGTGTATGAGTATCCTTAACTTAAGTTATTGATTTCTGTATTTCCTTACTCATCTGTTTTTAGTTCATGTAAATTATTTTCTAATTGTCNAATAACCAGTCTAAGTTGTTTAATAACCTGCTTAAGTTTATTAATAACAAGTCTAAGTTGTTTAATAACCTGCTCAAGTTTATTAATAGCCAGTCTAAGTTTATTAATAACCTGCTTAAGTTTATTAATAACCAGTCTAAGTTTAACCCATTTAAACTGTACCCGTAGCATATGCCTAATAATACGCTTCTCCAATCATTTCTTCTAGAGTGGTTCCAGCTTATCAACCCTAATAGTATTAACCAGCTGCTTAAAGAGTATAACAATAAGTTCCATTAAGATCAGATTTGAATAATATGAATTGAATATTAAGTGGAATTTATTAAAAATTTAAATGGTTATTTAATTATAATTTTTTTAAATTAAGTTTTTGAACCCGCATATAATTTTAGAATATAATTGTATCACTATTATTAATAAAAATGTAATTCTATATTTGTTTCAAAATCAAATTTCTGGCCAGAAAGGTTTATTGGATGCAGTGTTTTACCTTATTTCGTCATTTGCAATTTTAGATTCCATCTTTTGTAAAGTTTATGGAGCATCTGATTATTGACCATCAATTTTAAAGACCATCCAGGTTAAATCTAATTTATCCATTTAAAGATTGATATCTAAATTAATTAAGATCATACTTTAAGGTAATCTAAATTCAATTAATGGGTAGTTTAATTCACTCAAGTATACAGTGATATGAGGATCTGCATCAATCCATTCTTAGCTAACCAAAGAATTCTTTAAAAGATCTAAAGCTTCATTTCTAGTCAAAAATCTTTTAACAAATATTGTATAGATTTATGGTTCTAATTGATAGATATCAAGCACTTCTATATGTTAATCATTTTTAGATATAGTTGACAATTACATTCCTCCACATGATTTAGACAGAGCTCCAGTTAAACAAGAGTGTTCTCCTACTTTAAAGGCACTGTACAAATCAAGATTAAGAGTCTTTGATGTCCATTCTAATAAAATACGGACTGAATGTTTAGGTATACTCTTTGTTAACCTGAATATATATTTAGTTTTAGGTACTCTTCTTTAGAGATCAAGAACTGAACATGATTTCTTAAATCCTATGAATATATTGATAATCTTTATACCTGATTTATATATTAATACTGTGTATGAGTATCCTTAACTTAAGTTATTGATTTCTGTATTTCCTTACTCATCTGTTTTTAGTTCATGTAAATTATTTTCTAATTGTCTTATTATTTGACAAGATTATGATAAGAATTTACCTTCATATACTTCAATAAGCTAAAATAATTATCAATATTTACAGTATCAGCGATTGGTGAGAAATCAACAGAATTTTCAATTGTGATTTTAACATTATAAAATTTAAATGCTTAATCTCCAATTTATTATTGTTCTTTACTTAAGGCTTACAAAATTCTATTATTTTATTAAGGAATATCATAATATTCAATCATGATATCGAAATCTGCACTAAGTGGATTATCTGAACAATAGTGTAAATTATTATTATAAAACTTTTCAGCCTCCTATACATCTCCTTATATAATTATAGAATCAAAAGGTTATGGTAATGAAGAGAATATGGTTTTGTTTATTTCATCATCAATAATTATTTTTAATTTTTCATTATTATACTCTTTTAAAGCAACAAATTATCCATTAGTTCCAGATATGGCTAGAGTAATTCTAATTATTTTTATAGTTTTACCCCTTTTAAACTTCTGTAGTTTTAAATACAACTTTTTGAATCATAACTGAAGATATCGGTTCGCAACTTTGTAGATTATAAAATCCGACTAATTTTTCTTATTTGTCAAAATTTCTGTAGACAGGTGTTGGTAATACAGTTATTTGATTCAACATGGATTCCTATCTATAAATTAATAGTTTTAGATATAAATACTTGACAAGTGGATGTTGTACATTTACAGATAATTCAGGTGTAATATTATATGCCACAACTACTAATATAGCTAGTAGAACAAGAATTATGAAAACCATAGCATCTCCTACTACATGCATTCTAAATTTCTTATATGATCCTTCAGATAACATAGCAGTGTTAAATGATTACACAATTCCAACCATTACTATAAGATTAATCCATATAGTAAGACTATTGATTGGATTAAATACATATTGCTTGACAGAATTACAACATTTTAAATTAACACATCCCAATTTATTAATTTTTGTATTTGTTTCCCATTAATAACTTTATACATCTTATTCACATGGAAGATATGGTGATAATTCTAAGTCAAAATATTTTTATGGACATTCTAATTGATCATTTAAACTCTTTTCAGAAATGGATTACATTGCAAACTTACAACCTTTATTAGTTGAAAGTTCAACTTCCAAATCTTATACTCTTCTAACAAGTAAACCATTAATACAGCATGCTACAATACAAATACTTAAGATTATAAATGCTAGTGTGACAAAGTAAATTTTGATTCTTTTTAAATTGAACATTGAAACAATCAAGGTTGTAATAAATAAAACAAACAAAACTAATTTCACAAGTGTTATTTCAATATTAGTTGTTGAGATTTAATATAATTATGAGTTTATTTATAACATAACCTAAGATAGATCTCTAAAATAAAATTACTTATTTAAGACTGAATGAAGCAAATATCAAAAATAGTAGGTTTACAATAGAAGTTCCATACACAATTAATCTTTGAATACCATATTCTCTAATGTTGAATTATCGACTCACATTTGCCATATATAATAATAGAAATATTTCAAGTATCTAGATTGGCAAAACTAATAAAAATTGATTGTAGGAATCATATTCAATTAAACTCAACACTAATCCACTCTCAATTGCACAAACCAATTAAGTAAATAGGGAATGAAGGTATGGTATAGTGTTATAAAGATGTCCATCTGGTGAATCCATCTCTTCATTAACAATAACTTTGGTAGTAAGACTCCAATAAAGAGAAAATATGCAAGTGAATAAAACTGCTATCTTAAATTAAACAAAGTCATTACATTATTGATTCCTATTATCAAAAATTCAGTCAAACCATTAAAGGCATACCAGATGAATCCTATAACAACACTACATAATGATAATAAAATGCATAATGGAGCTATTATTTTAAGTGTTGCTAGACTCCTCATCTATACCTGAGGAGAATATGCATAATGATGTCCTGTAGGCAAATTTTTGCTATTCATAACGATTATATAAAATATTAATTATCATTCAAAATACATATATTACTTTAAATTTTCTGAATGGTCTTTTATTAATTAGCAAATTACCTTAGAGAATAGTAATTTTAAACACTTTGAAATGTATATCATTTTTTTAACTTATTGATTAAGATGATTAAAGTTTGAAGTATGAATAAATATGAAAGTTTAAAGCTTTGTAAGTAATTTAATTGAAGATTTGTTATTTATGAGTCTCATTCATGTATTTTATACTATTATTAAATGTTAAGTTCATGATTATTTTAAATAAGATAATTAAAATGATGCATTATAGATCCTTATTCAGATTTTCCCATTATCCTGTTCTTCAATCCTTATGTGATAGAGCCGATCCTAATTTACAAGCTAATTTTGAATTGATGAAATAAAGCAATGAAAGATTTCTTAATATAACAAACAAAGTAATCAATTATGGTGGGACAGTGGCTCATCAAAAATTGGCAGAAAGAAACAAAGTAGATATTCTTATTGATTTTTAGTTTCCTGTTAGAGAAAGAATCACTAGATTATTGGATGTAGGATCACCATTCTTGGAATTATCTTAATTAGCAGGATATGAATTATATGATAAAGAAGAAGTACCAAGTGGAGGTTAAGTATATTACAATTTTAGGTATCGTAACTGGCATAGGATTAATAAATAAGAGATTCTGTATGATTGTGGCTAATGATCCTACAATAAAGGGAGGCACATATTATCCAATTACAGTAAAGAAGCACGTTAGAGCATAAGAGATAGCTTGGGAAAATAAATTACCATGTGTCTATTTAGTAGATTCTGGTGGTGCAAAGTAAATATATATTTAAAGACAAAGTCTAATGAGATAAGATGAAGTATTCCCAGACAGAGATCATTTTGGGAGAATCTTTTATAATCAGGCCAATATGTCTGCTCAAGGCATCCCTTAAATTAGTATAGTACTTGGATCATGTACAGCAGGAGGTGCTTAGTAATATCATGCATTTAAATTTTTTAGTGTTCCTGCTATGAGTGATGAGAACGTTATTGTAAGTGGAAATGGAACAATCTTTCTAGGAGGACCTCCTTTAGTAAAAGCAGCCACTGGAGAAGTAGTAACTGCAGAAGATTTAGGAGGAGCAAGAGTACATTGTTTCACTAGTGGATTGACTGATCACTTTTGCACTTCTGAATTAGAAGCTTTATAAAAAGGAAGATCTATTATTAGGAATTTAACAACTAAATAAGTAGGTGATATTAGAGATGATTAACCAATCTATGATATAGAAGATTTAAATTATTTGATGAGTAGTGATCTCAAAAAGTCAATGGACAGTCGACATCTTATTGCACGTATTTTAGATGGATCTAGATTTATGGAATTTAAGGAAAATTATGGTACTACACTTATTACAGGATTTGGTGAATTGTATGGTTAAGAAGTAGGAATTATTGCAAATAATGGAATCTTGTTCAGTGAATCAGCCTTAAAAGGAGCACACTTTGTTAGTTTATGTTAATAAAGAGGAGTTCCTTTGATTTTCTTATAAAATATTACAGGATTTATGGTTGGTAGAAAATATGAGACAGAAGGCATAGCTAAACATGGAGCTAAAATGGTTAATGCTGTAGCTACTGCAACTGTTCCTAAATTGACTTTACTTTTTGGTGGAAGTTTTGGAGCTGGTAACTATGGTATGTGTGGAAGAGCTTATGGAGCTAAATTCTTATTTTCATGGCCAAGTAGTAGAATCTCTGTAATGGGAGGTGATTAAGTATCATAATTTTATTTATTCATTTTAGGCAGCTGGAGTTTTAACATCTGTTTAATAATAAACTATTGTGAGAAATGGTGGAGAGTGGAATGAAAAAGTTGAAAAAGATTTAAAATAAAAATATTCTTAAAAATATGACAATGAATCTAGTGCTTATTATGCAACAGCTCGATTATGGGATGATGGAATCATTTTACCAACTTAGACTAGATAAACTTTAGGATTGGCACTTTTAACTAGTATGTAACATTATAAGTACGAAAGAACAGGTCATGGGGTTTTTAGAATGTGATTATATGGAATATTTTAAAATAATATATAAAAATGGAACGAAAAATCTATGTTTAAGTATAATAAAAAGTTAAAACAACTAGTTATTTATTCAAAAAATAATATAAAAACTAACAGAATATATATTTTATTTAATATATGGATCTCAGATATGATTTCTCAACCATCAATCTAAAATAAAAATAGGATGTTATTTACAAGTCCTTCATGTCATTTAAGTCTTTTATATTCATGTTATTATTTATTTATTAATGCTCATAATGAAGGTTCTTAACAGAGTAAGATCATATAAATTTAGAATTATTTAAAATTAAAAAATTATAAAATAAAAATGATTAACACATTCCTTATTTTATGGTTATAACAACAAAAAGAACCTTATTAATTCAAGTTTTTTTGTGGGAGTAAACCATTGATTTCAAGAAATAAAGGAAAATAAAATGTTTATTGATGAATTAAATATAAAAATTTAAGTTTTGACTTTTTAATTTTTAAGTATTTTACTCATTCTTTTAAAATAATTCATCTATGAAATTTCATCAGAAATTCTTTATTAAAGCTAAATAAATGATTAGTTTGAAATTGCAAACGAAATTTTATTATTTTATAAAGACATAATTTCCAGTATATTTATTTTTTGTAATAAAATATGAAGAATTTTGTGTAATATCATTTGATTCATTTATTTTGAATAGGATTAATATGCAAAGATTTTTCTGGGCTTTATAAGAATCTATTGATTTATCAATATTAAATAGGATGCTTACACATAAAATATAAAATTGAATTTAAACTTGATTATTTATTAATTTAATATTAGATATTTATTTTCTTTTCTCTATCTTATTAATAGGTTAAATTTATATTAGTTTTTAAATTGAATAATCACTGAATGTAATTCAATTTTAGTCTATAAAAAATGAGTAATATTAGAATGGCTAAAATGGCATTTTCATAGATTACTATTATAGAGAATAATACATAAGTTCTTTAAATATTTATACACTTTAATGATTGAGTATTTTTAAATAAATAAATAAAAAGAAATAAAAATATAGTTTATAAGAATGAGCTTAAGAAGAATGAGAAGTGGAGGTGTGCATGCAGATTCTGAATAAGATTATTTAAATGTATACAAATGATATTATAATTTAATTAGAAAATAAGCAAATTGGAAAAATAAAGAACTTATGTTGAAGAAACTGAAACTTTTGAAGGGTTTATTATGAATTCTCAATTTTCCTTTACTTGTTTTGGAGACCAACAAATGTTAAAGACAACCTAACAATCTCATTTCATCCTTATTATGATTGATGATTTGGCTCTAAGTCCAAAAAGACTATAAAATATGATTGAAAACAGTAAGCTGTTTTTGTTCATATATTTTAGCAGATAATTGTGAAACACTGACACAAAGTACAAATGATGATTAATATATTTGGAGTTCTTAATCGATGAATTATGACTGTGTTGTACATAATTACACTGTAGGCTAAGTCAATCACTTGTTCAATATATGGTTAATTAATACACCTGCTATGAATTCAACATTTAAATGTATCATTTATTATTGATTATTTCTTTAGACTGCTATTTTCGATTGTTTGAAGCATTTATTTGTGTAAATAATGAAAGAAATGAAGTTTTTAAAGAAATTTACAACGAAATGTGTAAATATAATGAGAAAGTTTAGCAATTTCATATAAAAGAAAATGATGAAGTAATCCATTTTTAGAATAAATAGGTTTCACCAGAGCGTAAATAAATTAATAATTTTTAATAAATTCTAAAAATATTAATTGATTCGAAAACAAAATGATGATGAAAGCTAATTATGATAATAGATATCTTGTTTATTGTTTATGTTTAATATATTAAAATCTTTAAATTTATACAAGAATATCACCAAAAATGAGTAATATTGTTATAGATAATTAATTTAATTAAATAATATGGCAGATCAATCATAAGCTGAATATTTGAACTTAAAAGTTAAGTCTCAAGATGGAGAGGAGGTTTTCTTTAAAATCAAAAAATAGACTCAATTCAAGAAGTTGATGGATGCTTATTGTTCAAGATAAAATGTAAGTATGAACTAAATATTTTAGCTTCAAATCTAAAATGTGAGATTCTTATTTGATGGAGAAAGGATTTTAGAGACATAAACTCCAGCTGATGTTAGATTTATATGATATATATTAGATTGGAATGGAAACAGGAGATGAAATTGATGTTGTTATTGAGTAAGTCGGAGGCATGAAATGTATATGAATAAACATAAACATTTATAATATAAATTTTATGCATTTTTTCTTCATGTACATAGTATTTGTAATCTTTGATGATTGATAGTTAATTACTATGCTAAATATAATAGTTTGTTATTAGATAATGTGATATTATCAAAAATAATATTATTATAAATATGAACTAATTGATAAATATGACTACATCTATGGTTATCAATTTTATTCGCTAAATCAATCTTCACCTTAATAACACCTATATTTTTAAAAGGTATTGAAAGTATAGTAATAATATTTTATTTTTAACAAAATTGTCAAATGGTCATATTTATTCAATTTAAATATCTTTATTCTTTTGTATCATTATAATAAAATCTAGAATTAATTAAATTTTATTACTTTTTTCCTATTTACAAATAGTTCTACTTCTATTTTAATATTACAATTTTTATTTTTAGTTGTAATAAATAAATCATGAATAATTGTAAATCCTTAATACTATTATAGAATTAAGTAGCTATCTACATAATATGCCGTTTGGTTGGATAATATCTATACATATGAGTAATTTTCAGTAATAATAATTAAATTCAATTTAAAAGATTAAAGTTATATATGATATTGTTTTAATAAAAATATCATAGTTTGATTAAGTTCATAATTTGTTTTTCACTATAATTTTAACATAACAAAGGGTTTTAATATATTTATATATATTAAATCAATATGTATATTTACATAAATCATTATATTTGAAACTATTAATTTGTATTCTTTAAAAAGCACCTTAACAAATTTTTAAACAAATAAATAGCTGTCTAAACTTAGATAATTTGGTATAGATTGTTGGAATTTTTATAAATAAAATAATTGATTTTAATTAATGCAAACACAGCCAGGAATACTAGATTTATCAGCCTATAATTTACCAAAAAGTGATTCTCTTTCATTAAGAATACAAGAAAACTTTTCTCTTTATGGTGTGAGATATACTTAATTGGTCATGGTGGCAATTGCAATCGGAGGGTATACTAAATTTAGATTTTAGGCTTACTAACTTTGCAGTTTTGCTGATACTATTTCTTAGTTATTTGGGGTATAATTGTGTTATTAAAATGAAGATGGGCATATATTATGAAATAAAGTTCGATTTTAGATTACTTACCTGATTTAGGGTTAATTAACACTCAAGACAAAAAAATGATACTTTTACTTCTATGTAATATGAATAACATTCAATTTAGTTAATATTTTACTAATTTTGGCTATTTCAGGTCCTCATATATTGAGTTATGTTGGTCTTGGATGTTTAATTGTAATTGTACATGCATCATTATGGAAAAGTCCCTCAACTTTACCTGGATAAGATATTTAATCAGAGTTCGACAAAGTTTTAATGTAAAATGATGTTGAATTAATTAATCATTGAATTATATAGATCATTATGTTAATTACATATCATATTTCAATATGCTTTTTTTCATTTTTAAATGGATTAGGGATATAGGATAAATTGATTTTATCCGATTCTATTTCATTATCAAAAAAACTAAGAGTACTTATTTTTAATCCAAAAATTAAAAATAATTAAATTACAAAAACAATATGCAATTATATTCTATTTTTAATGATATTTTAATCTTCAATATCCTTTCTTCGAACAATTAAAGGAGCACATTGTATTGTTAATTTATTATTGATTGGTTTTACTAAATAGTACTTAGCATTATTCAATTGATCCAAAATGATCATTATCCATTAAGTAATATTTAAGAGTATCATCTATTAAATAAATAGCTTTAATTATAAATTCTATTTTTTATTTATGATGTAAGGTGGAAACGGGTTAATTATAAGTATATGATTAATTGTCTTATTTATTATTTCAAATAGCAGTAATTACAAAGTCTCTTCTCTATTTAATATCTACAAGCATTTTAATCTCAAATAAGCCAGTGAAATAAATTAATTATACTTAATGATTACCAACAACAATAAAATAATTTTTAGAATTTGCTACTATCCTAAAAAGTACATATCAACTAATATTCTAATAGAATTTTGAGTTCAATTTTTACATTTTTTAGTGTTGAAATCACTTTCTTCTTTAAATAGAGGAATTTCTTTTATGTATTTTGTTATTTTTAAGTATTAAAAATAAAAATTAGCACTTTTAAAGTGCATTTTAAAATCAAAAGGTATGATTGAATAATATACTTCATTTATTTTATGGATATTATCAACAAAAACATTTAAACTAATATTTAATTAAGCAAGTTATTTAAAACTATAAAATTTTTAAATTTATTTGCTAATAAAGGTAGTATTACTTGAAAATATCAAATAATACCATTTTATTAAAATTTGTAATTATAATATTAATATTATATATCATAACAACTCTTTTCTTCTTCTACATTTCAATTTTGGCACATCATTTAACCATTTCTAAGTTATGGAAACAACAAAAACTACATTAGTTGGTCGCAGCTCTTTTTCTTTTGCTTATAATGATTGATGTTCTGCATAATCCAAATTTCCAAATATTTATTTAACATGAAAGAGTGTCAATTCAGCAAATAAGAATCCATATTTCAATTTTATTGCTTTCTATTCTTTCAGCAATGCTAATCCAACTTAACATATTAAATCTTAATTTTATTTATCTATTCCTTCCACTACCCCCATATATTATCTCCTAATTTATGTTCTTCTCTCTTCTTATCTTAATTATACTAATTCATTTTTAAGAATTCTATATTCATTTATTAACGGACTCAAAAACACAGTTTCAATTCCTTATTTTTCAGCTAAATCCACTTTAGGACAAGATTCAATAAATTCTAAATCATTATCAAAAGTAACTAAATTTACAACTGGCTATCTATCTGAGTCTACTTTAATTCCTCCTGTGTATACAAATTTCACCTTTTTATATTATTCATGAGGATAAAGACCTCCCTTTAAATGACATAAATTATCAGTTTTTAAACTATCAGGATCAGGTTCAGGATTAAAAAGTGGTGAAAATTTAGCATCTAATTCTGGTAATTTCAAAGTAATTGGTTTGGCATCAACTGCTTATTTTAAAGCTTCATTAATTATATTTGCCTTCTCTTATTCATCCTCACTGAATTGAGGAGATGCTTTACCATTTTCGTCATCTGATATTGTAATAACTACAGGGTTAGGTTTAACTCTTTTTGAAGTTGGGAAATCTCCTCCACCACCATTTTCATTATTATTATTTCTATCAAATCCTCTATTCTATCCTCTATCTCCTCCTCTATCTCCACCTCTATCTCCGCCTCGACCTCGTCCTCTACCTCGACCTCTTCCTCTTTCACCATTTCCATTTGATTAGTGATTATTCGAACCCCATCCATTAGATTACTGTTAATCGTTATTACTGCTTCCCCAACCACCATTACTTTGTTATGGAGGGTCAGAGCTTCCCCAACCTCCATTCTAAGCTGGTTATTCTGTTGCTGTACTTCCCCATCCTCCGCTTTAAGCTGGTTATTCAGTTGCTGTACTACCCCAACCACCACTTTAAGCTGGTTGTTCAGTTGCTGTAGTTCCCCAACCACCACTTGTTGCAGGTTATTCAGTTGCAGTAGATCCCCAACCTCCATTTTAAGCCGGTTATTCATTTGTTTTAGAAGATCCCCAACCTCCATTTTATGCTGGTTATTCAGTTGCTGTAGTTCCCCATCCTCCACTTTAGGCTGGTTATTCAGTTGCTGTAGGTCCCTAACCTCCACTTGAGGCCGGTTATTCAGTTGTTTTAGAGGATCCCCAACCTCCATTTTAAGCTGGTTATTCAGTTGCTGTAGTTCCCCATCCTCCACTTTAGGCTGGTTACTCAGTTGCTGTAGATCCCCAACCTCCACTTGAGGCAGGTTGCTCAGTTGCTGTAGATCCCCAACCTCCACTTGTTGCAGTTTATTCAGTTGTTGAAGATCCCCATCCTCCACCACCTTAATCATTTGATGATCCTCCCCAGCTTCCACCATTACCTGAATTTTCATTATCTCTGCCTCCTCTGAATCCACCTCTTCTATCTCCTCTATCGCCTCTTCCTCTAAATCCTCCTCTGTCTCCTCTATCTCCTCTTCCTCTATATCCTTCTCCTCCTCCTCGATCTCCTCTTCCCCTATAACCATCTCCTCTTCCTCTAAATCCGTCTCCTCCTCCTCGATCTCCTCTTCCTCTAAAACCATCACCTCTACCTCTGAATCCTCCTCTATCTCCTCTTCCTCTACCTCTTTACCCATCTCCAGATCCTCCCCAAGAATTTCCATTTTATTAATCTGATGAACCTCCCCAGCCTCCACTTGATTAAGCTGGTTAATCACTGCTTCCCCAACCGCCTGATGTTGTTGCTTATTCGGTTGTAGATCCCCATCCTCCTGATTAAGGTTAATCTTATGTTGTTGATGATCCCCATCCTCCTGATTAAGGTTAATCTTATGTTGTTGATGATCCCCATCCTCCCGATTACTATGGAGGTTATTCAGTATTTGATGATCCCCATCCTCCTGATTATTAGGGTGGCTACTCTTAGGTAGAACTTCCCCATCCGTTAGATTATTAAACTGGTTATTCAGTTGTTTACCCCCAACCACCAGTTGATTATTTTGGTTATTCTGTTGTAGAACCCCATCCACCTGAAGTTTATTCTGCTTATTATGGTTGTTAATCTGTTTTATTTCCCCAACCTTCTGATGTTTACTGAGCTGGTTATTGAGTAGAATTTCCCCATCCTCCAGATTGAGCTGGTTGTTCTGTTGAAGTTCCCCATCCACCAGTTTAAGCAGGTTATTCATTTGTTGAGGTACTTCCCCAACCACCTCCAGAATTATCTTTGTTTTCTGAATTTCCCCATGTATTACTTTCTCCATTATTTCCCCAAGTATTACCTCCTCCTCCATTATTATTATTTGAATTTCCACCCCAACTTCCGCCATTATCTCTTCCTCCTCTATATCCTCCTCTTCTTTCACCTCTATCTCCGCCTCTGTCACCTCTATCACCTCTTCCTCTAAATCCTCCTCGATCTCCTCTATCTCCTCTTCCTCTAAATCCATCACCTCTGCCTCTGTCTCCTCTATCTCCTCTACCTCTAAAACCACCTCCACGATCTCCTCTGTCTCCTCTTCCTCTGCCTCTTGGTCGATCTGATTAAAATTAATTATCTGAATTTCCTCCACTTCCCCAGGAATTTGATCCACCTCCCCATGATGATCCTCCATTATCTGCAGTTGAAGTACTTCCAAATCCTGTAGTTCCTGAACCCCAAGCATTATCATTATTATCAGCTTTAGTTTCTCCCCAAGATGATTATTGCTGTTATTTTTGTTCTCCCCATCCTCCTGATTCTGCTACAGTTCCATTTTAACCATTGCTGTCTTTATTCTCCTTTATTTCATCGTGACCCTATTTTGAGTCTTAAGTTTTTTTCACTTCATCCACTTGCCATCCACCTGCACTCTATTCACCACCCCAAACTGGAGTTGAATCAACTGGTTTAACTTCACCTTCTTCAAGGTTATCTGCATTCCAACTCATATGAATATTTAATTAATTAGTAAGTGNCTTATGTTGTTGATGATCCCCATCCTCCCGATTACTATGGAGGTTATTCAGTATTTGATGATCCCCATCCTCCTGATTATTAGGGTGGCTACTCTTAGGTAGAACTTCCCCATCCGTTAGATTATTAAACTGGTTATTCAGTTGTTTACCCCCAACCACCAGTTGATTATTTTGGTTATTCTGTTGTAGAACCCCATCCACCTGAAGTTTATTCTGCTTATTATGGTTGTTAATCTGTTTTATTTCCCCAACCTTCTGATGTTTACTGAGCTGGTTATTGAGTAGAATTTCCCCATCCTCCAGATTGAGCTGGTTGTTCTGTTGAAGTTCCCCATCCACCAGTTTAAGCAGGTTATTCATTTGTTGAGGTACTTCCCCAACCACCTCCAGAATTATCTTTGTTTTCTGAATTTCCCCATGTATTACTTTCTCCATTATTTCCCCAAGTATTACCTCCTCCTCCATTATTATTATTTGAATTTCCACCCCAACTTCCGCCATTATCTCTTCCTCCTCTATATCCTCCTCTTCTTTCACCTCTATCTCCGCCTCTGTCACCTCTATCACCTCTTCCTCTAAATCCTCCTCGATCTCCTCTATCTCCTCTTCCTCTAAATCCATCACCTCTGCCTCTGTCTCCTCTATCTCCTCTACCTCTAAAACCACCTCCACGATCTCCTCTGTCTCCTCTTCCTCTGCCTCTTGGTCGATCTGATTAAAATTAATTATCTGAATTTCCTCCACTTCCCCAGGAATTTGATCCACCTCCCCATGATGATCCTCCATTATCTGCAGTTGAAGTACTTCCAAATCCTGTAGTTCCTGAACCCCAAGCATTATCATTATTATCAGCTTTAGTTTCTCCCCAAGATGATTATTGCTGTTATTTTTGTTCTCCCCATCCTCCTGATTCTGCTACAGTTCCATTTTAACCATTGCTGTCTTTATTCTCCTTTATTTCATCGTGACCCTATTTTGAGTCTTAAGTTTTTTTCACTTCATCCACTTGCCATCCACCTGCACTCTATTCACCACCCCAAACTGGAGTTGAATCAACTGGTTTAACTTCACCTTCTTCAAGGTTATCTGCATTCCAACTCATATGAATATTTAATTAATTAGTAAGTGGACCAATTTTTAGATTGATTTATGCTAATTTTATGAAGTGAATAATTGGATTATTTTATAAAATGGCTTGTTTTAGATTTCTACTCAGATTAAATATACATTTTTTTATTGTTTTAACGATAAATATAATACAATTGCATCCTATTCATTAATATTTCTTATATTTATTATTGAAATTCCCAGATATAAATTAATCCTGAAATTAATTTTCCATCATCTAATATAAAATGGAGACAACCATACTCATTTGTTTCTAAAGATCATCTTCTGCGTCATTTTCTTTTGTCAATTTTTAATGTTATCTTATAATGCTCCTTTTGTAAGATATTCAATGAATTGAAAGGGCTAAATTAATCAGAAATTATTAACCTAAATTTCATTTCTTTTCTCAGCCAGATAAAATATGGAACTATGATTGAATGAAGGGCTTCAAGAGATTAGGATTGAAAGAGCAACAAACCTCTAAGTTCTTCTTTTTTAACTTCTTCACTTTTTACACATCTAAGCTTATTTTATTCAATTAATGATTTATAATCACTTGAATTACTCGAGAAATAATCCTAATTATTTTTAAAAGTAAGATCAAACAAGAATAAATGTATTTATCTATGTTCCTATGTGAAAGATTTTTTTTTATATAGATTTTGGAGAATGATTACTGTATTTTAATCTGATTATTTTTAGAGAAACAATAAATGAATACGGTATAGAAATAGTTTTGATAAGGATATATTAAATTGTGATTCATAACATGCATAATAAATTTTCCTATTTACACGAATTTTAATGTTATAAAATTTATGAAAATAGTACTATTTATTAACATTAAATTAAGCTTTCTTTAAAGTTAAAAACTCAAAATTTAAAAGCTATCAAACACAAGATCAAATATATTTTAAACTCATAAAAATTAGGTTTGGATCAAATTCTTTTTAAGTAGATTATATATTTAAATTTGAAATTTAGATATTGCATTTCATTTAAAATTTGTATAACAATTAGTTAAAAGTGTAAAGAATGAATATTTTTCTTAAATATTCTTGATTCAAAAATTATTGCTATCAATATTTTAGTTTAAAATAAGAAAATAATATTTATAATAATATATGAAGAATATACTTCTAATAATTATAGGACTTAAACATAGACATTTTTATCGAATAAATAAATGATAAACGAGATTAATAATATTTATTTAAATATTAATTTAGTACATTTACTCTTCACCTTTCATTTGCACTCAAAATTAATACGCAACATACTATAAGGGCAAAACAAAATAGTGAAAACACTACCAACACAATATAAACTATTGATAATATTCTTAATGCACCACAAGGTTCCCCTTTATAAATTCCATACTTATTTCTTAAATCAATAAATATACCGATAATAAAACAAAGAAAATCAATCCCATTAAAAAAGTTAATCCTGTTAAAAAGGAAAATACTTCCTAAACCATCTTAATCTCCATTCGATGAATAACAAAGAAAAAAGATCTGTATTTATTATAATTGATTCTTACAATTATAAAGTAGATAAAATCAATAAAGCTATGCCAAAATCTAATCCTTATTATCTTAAGAATATGCATTCATCATTTTCTTTATCATTATTTGATGAATAATACCATAAAAGGATTTGTTAATAGACATTAATAAAAACATTGATCCAAAGCCTAAATTCATTAATCCCATATCTCTTAGTGTATCACGATACTTTGTTATAATTCTTTCGTTCTATTCCTCATCATCTATCATTTCTAATAAAATTAATAATGTAAAAATGTTATATATATAAATATATCTAAACAAGAAATAATTCCTAAAAGATGGATCTATTTGTATAAATTAAATAAATAATAAATCATATTTTAAAAACAAACTTCTTGTCTTTTTATGTACTTTAAGAAAAGTTAAATAAAGATTAAACATTAATTATTAAACAATATTAATTATCCATTTTATTTTTTTTAATGAGTTATAATATGATAATATTTGTTAATCATTTCAGAAATAATAATAATAAAATATATTCAAATATTATATAAAACAATAATATTCAGTTTACATTGAATGATATAGTTTCATATTCCTTACAGAATCTTATATTAATTAACTAATTTTAATCTTAAATGTATATTTTTTGTATTTGTTTGTATATTACTATGATTCTATTAACAGTGAGTATTTTCTTCTAATTACAAAAATATTGATGCAATTTTAATAAGCAATTCATGATTTTATCATTATATAGTAATATGTTATAATTAAAATAAATATTTAAAATAAATAAATTTAATATAACTATTGAACTGATTATAAAAGGTATTGTATTTTGTAAAAATTACATTATTAAATATAACAATTAAACAAATAAGATAACCTCTAAAATTTATAAAATTACAATCCTCAATAAAATGAAAGATAAGCACAATTTGATGATCAAAAGGAAAATAAAAAAATAATCACCCAAAAAATTTCAAAATATAGAAGATTAGTTAAGTTCGCCATTAATAACAAATGAGATCCTATTATAAAAATATCCTAGCCATTGCCCAAGTGAAATCTCAAGTCCTGATTCTGCACTAGAAGAACCTGGTAGTATGTTAGAATTCTTGCTTCATTTAGAGAATTCTAACTACTGCCCATTCATCTGAATTTGTTGATAATATAGAGTTATTTATTATTATTATCTCTCTAACAAGACAAAAAAATTAACTTCTCAACCTGCTTATACATAAAATCAAATTCGTTTTTATATTGAATACTAATTATTTGATTAATTCAATATTAAAATACAACCACAATCACAGAAAAATTTATAGATGTGTTTATATATTCAAAAATCATGACCATTTTATTTATGGATAATAAAATTATATAAGACTAATTTCATATATCATCACATCGATAATAAATCATACTATGTAGTTTACAATACTTAAATATTATAGATGTGATACTTAGTAATTAAATTTATAATACGTATTATTATAAAGTATGTATATATATATAAACAAGTCTAATAATCAAATAGAGATAGGGAGATGTAGGTCTTCAATATTTAATAAGAATTCTAGCATGCTACCAGGTATAAATTTGGTTGATTCAGGACTTGACAGTAAACTTGAACATTGACTTTTATGCTTAGATAATAAGTCTTCATTAGTAACTATTGGAGAACTTAAATCATCTTTTTATTAGTGTTTTTTTTGGGGAAGTTTTCTTATCTTTTTGGCTAACAATGAGCAACTTTTTTCCTTCATTTTGCTGATTTATTCAAAGATTTATTTTTTATATAATTTATTTTATTAATTAAAATTAAAGGATAATAAATTTTACATTTGAATTTAAATATCCATTAAATCCTCAAGCATTAATTACAATAAATCATGCTAAGTAAATTATTCAAAATTCATATATAATTAAAATATAGAAATCTAATTCTTTAAATGGAATTGAAAATATTTTAGAAAAATTATAATATATATGAATACTATTAAACATTAAAATTCATTATTTCCTTAAAAATTATTATTACTCTTTAGACAAATGTTTGGATAAGTGTTGTAAATGTTCAAATGAAATTTAAATTGGTTAAATGAGATTATGACATTCAGTAATATCATTTTCAAATTCTGTTTCGATAGAATCTATATCCTAAAATTCATCATCTTCATCTAAAGCTATAGTTTTCTAAGTTTTAATAATATTCTTACACATTGTTATTGGTTAGAAATTAAAAACTCCATCATTTTTGCCTTTAGTGGAATGACCTTATCAATAAAAGGATCCACATAAAATAATTAATCAAAATATGGTAATTAAGTGAATTAATAAATAACATTTATTTATAATTATAGTAAAGATTTCTATTGTAATATTGATGCAAATCTAAGCCATTTACTGAATAATTATTGTGTACTATCAGTATTAGATTAAAACCATTATAAAAGCTAATTAGAATGTTATAAATAAATTGCACATAGTATAGTTGTTAAACCATTAATTGTAGAGGGTATTTCAGAATGCATAATTTTTTAGAGTATTTTACTAAGTAATTAAATTGTAATTTATCTATTCATATGTTTATTCCAAACAACCAACAATAAATCATGAACATGTTCAGTCAAAGCTTCTAATTCTGGTTCTTTTTAAATATTTAATTAAATATCTAAAATTTAAATAACTGTATTTAAAGTTAATTAATCTATGGAATTGTACTATAATAGTGTCTTTAATAACATTATTCCTTAAGGCGTAAATTCATTAAATACTAATAATTATTATGCTATTTAGGGAATAAAATTAATTAATAATTATGGTTAATATTTAGCTATTATTGTATTAACTTTTAACCATATTAATCCATTAGTTGTTGAAAATGTTTATTAAACTGAAACTGGATCAATTGTTACAAGAATTTCCAATAATTCATAAAATATCTATCCTAATAATGAATCATGTGGATATGTAGTCCAATAATGATAGATATTTTATAATATTGGAAATTATAAAGTTTTACATAACTTAAACATTTATAAGACACTATCAAATAAAATATGTGCTGTATCTTAATCTATGGATGGAAATTAAATGTTTGACTAGTCCACCAGGCATTTAAAACTTTATTCGTCTAAAGTACTATTTTTACTTGCATGTGCACATAATTTACCAAGATTAAATAAATTTACTAAACCAAGCTATGATTTTAATTATTGAACATGCAATTAAAATAGCTATGTAAATACTTCAACTTATCCTTTAGTTAATAAATATAAGTTTGTTAAAGCTATTAATTTTTAAAGTTAAAAGACTTAGTTTTAGTTAGTACTTTATTGTTTCAATATTGATTCAATTATGGCAAAATTTTGATTTGGATTGAATAAATCAGATGAAAATTATGAAATTATCACATATTGACCAACCATTTCAACTTATTATTATAGATATTATAATAGCAATTATTTTGCATTTTAATATGTTTTTTTATTTGATAATTACTGTTCAAAGAACATTAAAACAGCTTAAACAACTGTTGGATCATCTTCCATTATAAAATGATCCATACTAATATTTTTAATTGGCATACTTAATATTTATAATAAGCTACTGTAAATAGTAGTATTACACAATTATTAATTATTTAATTCCATTAACATTTATAAAGTATAAAATAATAATACCTCTTAATTTGGTTCTTATTCATAACATTCATCCAAAAAGTTAATTTCTATTATGATAATTTTATTAATTACCTTCTAAATATTGTATAGAATTAGTTAATCTCACCAAAAATACTGTCATTTATGGTAGAATGACTTTTCTAATTTATTTTGAATAAGTTTTCATTTCCTTAAATATCAAATTCAAAGCTTTCATAATATAAATCTAAGATTCTAATTAATCTTATTGTTATAAAACTTATGAGAATCGCTCCATCCATTAAATAAATGTTGAATCGAAACATTATTTTAATTATTCTATATCAGTTTGTTCGCAATGAGAAAACATTTTTATAACCTAATAAACCAAATTATATGTTTTAGATGTTGGTGATTGTTATGATAACATATTCTAAAGAATTATTTCACAATACGATATTAAATTCTATCCATCTAATTACTGATAGATATGAATTAGTGTATTTATAATGTGTGGATTTAGAGTGTATAAATGTAAAAATTATGGTATCAATGATTGATATTCAGGATCTCTTCTCATTACTTCTGTAATTATTATTGTCTAAATTACAAATTATAATTTACAATGATTTCTTAAACTGGTACTTATTGCTCTTATTAAAGACCATCTACTAAAACCTTTAAAATATCTGATTTTATTTATTGTTGCAAATGTTACCAATTCAATAGGATTACATTCTTGAATAAAATTGCTATGTATTTTCTTTATTGTTGATTGACATCAAATATTAACTTTAATGACTCTAGTATAAAATTAGGTGTATTCTTTAGATATTCTGATAGATATTGGTCTCCATGTCTTAAGATCTCTGGATTGTTTATACACTATTCGTAAACTTATAAAATATTAGCCATAAATTAAATTATTCAATTCATTTTCTTAATTAAACAGCATCAACCATAATAGTAAATTACTTATTTCCATCTATTGCTTTAAACTATTTAGCTCCAGAATCATATTTGAAAAATGTTTTCACCATCTCAGAAGTTAAAACCTGAGGGCATTTTCCTTATCCAAATATAAAATAAGGTTGTGAGTCTACTGCATAGCCATACAAACCTCGAAAGTCCTTAATATTTTTTATTTCTTACCGATCTACCATAAGTTTTGAATAAAATGATAAAATGTTCAGCTTCAACTCCATCTAATTTTTATAGAATTGCTTCTCTCTCCCTTTTATTAGGCTCTCCAGCCATACAAACATATGTTATTGCATTTTTTAAAATTGTTTTATTATTTTTTTTGTTTTTCTCTACAGAAATTGATCTGTCTATATCTTAACAAAAATGTGCAGTTTCTTTTTATCTTGCCATTGGAGATTTTCTATTCGCTGATGCATTACGTTTTGATTATGGCATCGAAGTTTAAATTAGTTAAGGTTCTTTATCTTATAATATATTTCTTTGCTAGAATTGTGGCTATTGATGCTAATAAAATTGATTTAATGAATTTTATTATTACTATTATTATTATTATTATTATTATTATTATTATTATTATTATTATTATTATTATTATTATAATCTTTTTAATGATGCACTAGGCATAAGTGGAGATTAATCTCGTTTATTATTCTAACTATATTGTTATTATTATTATTCTTTGTTTCTTTATTAACGAAGCTATTTTAATTCTTCCATCTCTTATAATTTCTTTTTTTTTAATACTTCAAATTTTTTTTACTTTTCTTTATCATCTTAATCCTCAAAATTTATACTAAATTAATAAAATTTGTTATTATGATCTTCTTCCTCTGAAAATATCTCCTCTTCTTCTTCAAGATAATTATTATTTTACTAACTTACCTAAAACTCTTCATTATTATTTTCATTTTCAACACCCAAAGAATGCTAATATTATTTATTTGTATTAGAATTGCCATATGCATAATTTTAATAGGATTATTACTTCTCAAATTCATTTGAGGGAACTCTTTTTGATGTTTCACTAAATTTTGAAGTTTAATGAGATTACTGATAATTTGTATATTATTCTTAGAATTTAGACTAAATTTAATTTGAGATATTAGATTTTTCTTGATAATCTATATTCGATTATTCTGTTAGATGATTATATTTGGATTGCATTTGATTTGATACATTACTTTTTTAATTTTAATCATATTAACTTTTTTAAGTCTAAAGTTTTGATTACTCATAGTTAGATTATTAAAATTTAGATTAATCAAATTTGGATTAATCAAATTTAGAAATTTGATCTGCCTATTTATTTGGATATGAAGACTTTGTAATTTGAGATTGATCTTAAATTTTATAAGAGAATTCTTGCTCAAGACTAGGCATCTGAGGATATTCAATTCTTTATTTTTCATATAATTTTGATTATTACTATGCTAAATCCAATAATTTAGAGGACATTGATTATTGTGATTACTCGATTAAGGGTTCTTCGTTGGATTTTCCTTATTTGAGAGTTAAATCAAATTTTAAAGTATTTATTTTGGAAGCATCCACTTATCTACTAATTTCAAGTATTTTATTTGCTTCATTAGGATTTACTTTCAAATCACTAAATGATTCAGAGGATTTGCTTAAATCATTTAATTTAGAAGGTTCTGCATTTGCAACGCTAGTATCTAATCTTTCGATTCTTAATTTGATTAAATTATTATAAGCAGTCTCGTTATCCTATTAATTAATTTTTTATGACTTTTATTGGATTTACATTTAGGATTCTTGCAATTCTTCTTCAATGACTTCTTAGATTTCTTCGTCCTATTCAAAATCTTAATTATACTATTCATCATTATCATCCCAATCCTATTAGAGCTAATTAGAAACATGGTCTGGTTGTTGTCTTTTAAAATAATTTTTAGGTAAATTCTTAGTTCTCTCCTCATATTGGGCAATTAGAAAATCTAATTGTTTGTATTGTTAATCTTTGGAATCAACAAAGGAATGATAATTGATTTAAAAATTAGGGTGGTCTTTTTAGAATTGCATAGATTATTCAAATTTCGAACTCTATTATTTCATTTTAGATTTATCTATCTGAACATCAAAACGGTCTGATTAAGCAGAATTGTTAGAAATAAGACTTAAAGGTGTTGCATTGAGACGAGACTATTAAATAGATTGTTATTAATTTAATAATTCCCAAACTTATAATTTGATTTTATTTCTCTCTTATTCCTATTGAAGTGTGATTTATGACTTTTCATCAGCAACTTTTTTAATTTATTAATTCAAATAGTATTGTATTATTTTGTCTTGTTCTTGTGATTGAGTTAAATCCATTTTATATTATTAAAATTAATGAGTACCGATTCAGATGAATCAGAATTTTTGATATAATACTTCTCTAATCTAATCCTTGCTCCAGAAAGCAATAAACCTCAACCAATTAACAATGAATACTCTTCCTAAATTTTATATGTTTTTGTTCATACAAATTAAAGATTCGATTACAAATCTTGGGGTTAAGAATATTTTGGGAAAGCAGTGAAAATTAGTATGTTTCGAAGAACTTAAAAATATACAATATTGAAATTGTTGAGTGACTAAGGTAAATTACATTTAAAATATTTAAGTCTTATTCTAAAATTTTAGACATCAAGAGATGAATTGCTGTATCAAACCAACATTTCACATTAGTGCTACACTTTCGGTTCAAGTACCATTCGATTATATAAATGAATATGTGGTTTAAGGGGATAAAACTATCTATTTATTAGGTAAAGAATGTAAGTTGAAGGAGGATGATAAATTAGAATTTAAATCTTATAAAGTGGATCTATTGATAAATAATACAGGTTTTATTATAATAATATTATTTAGAATAAATAATGAAGGTTATCTGCAGTATTTTGAATAGTCGTAGATAAGGTAAAATTTTGATAGGGATTTCATATGATAAAGATTTAAATGGTTATGTAGTTAGTGGGTGTTTTTGTTAGGAGAAGAAGGCTTATTAGGTGATGAATACAATTATGAATAAATGTAAGGAGTTTGGTTGTGATTAATGGGTGAATATAAAATTGCATGAGTGTGGTGTGTTACTTTAAGATAAATGTTATGTTGTAAATAATCTAAAGATGTATTTATAATATTATAATTAGTTTTGAGATTATCATAAATGAGGGTGCTAATCAATTAATAACTATTACTCCTGGTAAATACTATATTAGAGAGAATGGATAATCAGTACCTATAAAAATGAAATAACTTTTTAATTATTGGAAAGATAAAATGATAACAGAAGAGTAATTTGAATAATGTCTCAATTTTTATGATGAATTAATGAAGAAAAATAAGTTAATCTGAAAAAATTGATAAATTTGTGAATAAATGAAATTATTTCTAAAAGTGTTTATAAATAATTAAATTTAAAAACGGATTAATGATGAAATACTTAGTCCTATCAGTTTGCGCATTATCTGTATTGGGATTCATTAAACCCCAATATGACTCAGGTATTGATTAGAGCTTGCATTGGGCACAAACTCCCTATCATCCTTTATAACAAAGTGTTGAGTAATTCATCCTAATATACATTGATTAGAGTGGGAAGAAGTTTCTAAACATTAGTCAAATTCAATAAACCCTTTAAATCAACACCCACTGTAATATTAGCACCAATCAAATATGATTTTGGAGATACTTTACCATAAGGTTTCGATATTCAATTGAGTGCTGTCAATACAGTTGGATTTACAATTACTTATGTTGCATTAAGTCCGGCTACAATCTTTGGTTTTGATGTATCATGGGCAGCTATTTTGGATAGCAATATCTATACATATGAATTGCAAACAAACAATTTACCAGTTGTCAAATCAAATAAAGAAGGAAATACTAGAATATAACCATTAGAAGTAACATTCCCTGAAAATTGGTCACTCAAAACTGCACCAAATGTTGCCATCTATATCTTGGGACTTAAAATGGTTGAACCTTGGCCTAAAATTAATGTTTACATGGGAGTTATCACTAAAACATCAGCTTAATTCAAAGTCTCTGTTGGACAAAAGGGAACTATTGAATTCCTTAGAGTCAATATGATTATAGGTGAAAAGGACACTTTATTAGTTGGAACCATTACACATAAAACAAATGGAGGTAATGATCCTTTGAATGTTGTAAATCCTGAATCAGAAAGAGTCAAAAAGTATGATGATAAGATCACTGATGAAGTCTTCCTTAAAACACCAAGATATACATTATACGGAATTAGTGGTTTATATTATAATTATGGTGCATTCTGCAGATTCTTAACTAAGAACTATTTACTTGTTAAAGATAAGATTTCCGTTGAAATTGGAACATGTAATTTTTCATCAATATATCAAACTAGGGTAGAACTCATAATTATTAGATGGAGCTATTTAATGGTTTGTTTATGTTCCAAAGCCTGATGCAGGTGTGACTGATCCTGATTGTGCTTAAGTTTGGGAATCATGCAACTATTAAGGAGACTCATTTACTGTATGCGATAGAAAGATGTCATTCCCTAAAGATGGATGGAACAAACCAGTATAGATTTTCTTATATTCTAGGTTAAAAGTTTCAAAGTTCCTGAAGGAAAAGTTCTTAAAGTTTATAATGAAGAAAACCTTAAAGGATTATCAATTAGAATTGAAAAAGATTTACCATGTATGGAAGTACCTAAATTCTCATTCTTGCAACTTGTAGGAAGCTTGGGAGATGATAAATTTTGGGAAAATGACTGAGTCTGCAATAACATTAAAATTACATTCTATTCAAATATTATTTTAATATCAATTTGTGATATTTTTTCATTTTCATAGTATTTTGATTCTTTCAAATAAATATCTGTTGATAAATGTTATGTATTCAAATTTTTTATACAGTTCTTATTATTAATTATTAAATTAAAAAAAGTCTATTATTTTATGAATATAAAATTTATCAAATCATTTTAATGACAGAATTTGACAGTTTTACGCATTTTAGGTTGTATTTTAACCAAAATTTAAAAGTCTAGAGATAAACAAATTTTTATTATGCTAAATTTTTTAGGATTTACTTCATCTGGTGTTAAAGGAGGTAGTATTGCTTCAAATTATCAATCATCAAAAGGAAATGTTTCATCTTAAAGCTATTTCTCCAAAATTTAATCATATTCAATGAAAGGAGGTTCAAGTTCAAATGGAGGTTCAAAGGGGAAAGGAAAATGATATATAATAATTTATTCCTTTGAATTATCAAAATTTATAAGTTGGTTCTTTTTATAAAAAAGATAGCCGAATTAATGTGTAGACTTTTGTAATTAATTAAGGAATTAAATTAAATTATAATAATTTAATTAAAAATTAATGATAATTAATCCTATTATATATATATAATTAAGTTTATATATATAAACCATTTATATATAATAGAAGAATCAAATTATTTATTTTATATTTTTAAATAGAAAAAAGTATTTGATATATTTTAGGTTGCCAATAGATGAAAGAAAAATCTTAGAAATATAACGAATTTACGAATTGATAATACATTCAACTTTAAAATTTCAATGATTTATACACTATAGTGAATAATTTAGCTTAACCTTTGACCTCATCTACTTATCTTGTTTTAATTGTTGGCTTTTCTTCATTACATTTTTTCAAGGAGATCATGGATTCATTTTTAGTTAAATCTATACTCTTGAGATGGAAACTAGACTTAGTTGTAATTGCTCTTGATCTTTATAAAGGAGAAGTTCTTTGAATGGTTTTAATTGGACTAGATTTTTGTTGAAGTATTTTCTATGATGAACATAAATATATTTAAGGATTTCTATCATAATATAATTTATTACTCTTGTATCTAATTTTATTCAACATATAATTTTTATCTCATAACTTAGCCTTATTTTAATTAGAATCCATTTAATGTAGCCATACTTTTGATTTCATTGACATTTCTTGCTATTGATCTTTTTTATAGATTCTTGTAAAACATTTTTGCTAATTAAATTCTTTCTTGATGTTCATGTACAACATATTTAAATACTGGTTGAGTTTCTTATTCAGGTATTTAAAGAGATTGTTATTATTAAATTTAAGCTTTCTTTTTTTCTTAGATAATCGAGAGGATCTCAGGAAGTGAATTTTATCTTCTAATCATAAATATTTAATAAAAAAAAGTATATTTTCAATTAGACACTTCTTCTTCGAATTTAAATTAAGGATCTTAGTATAGAGTAGTTTTTTTATATTCTTCTCTTTTCCTCTTTTCTTATGTAATCTTATATTTATCATATCCAGAATATGCACCTCCTTATTTCTAAAACATTTCTTCTTCTTACAACTAATATCTTTCCAATTATTCTAAAATATTTGCAGATTCCATAGAAATTCTCTTCTATTTTTAAGCCCATTATCTAAGTTTATTCCATCCAATAGATTATGATGGTGGAGGTAATTATCCTTCATCTGGCAAAAGATTTAAATTTCTTATAGATTTTATTTTCTCCTCATCGGAACTATTATCTTCCTCTATTTAATGATTATACTAATTTTATACCATAGATTCCCAATTTCCTTGCTTTATCTGATTTAATGACTGTTTTATAAATGATTTCTTTTTCTACATTTGGAATTTCCAAAAATATAGATTTCAACTTCTGATACATAACAATAATCATTCCTTCAAATTTCACAAATAAAGGGAAAGTTCTTCTTGAAACATCATTTATCAAATTACTATGTTTCTTTGCATACATAGGAGTCACAGGTGAAATTCTCTCTGCCAATCTTGTAATTGCTTCTATAAACTCTAACAATTCCATCTTCAAGAACTTTGACTCTCTCAACTCATCTCTTTGTGTTTACATACTCTAAAGATATATTAAATATAATTCTTTTTCAGAAATGTATTTTTGTAATTCAAATTGATCTACAAATTACTTAAAATCTGATAATGTTATATATTTATTTCCATGTTTCATTGTTTATTTACAAGCATTTTCAAATAATATAACTAAAACAGGCATCTTAATTCTAATTGTATAGTCCATTAATTCTGTCCAATAACGATTGTCTCTCCAATCTTATGAGATTCCAAATTTTTACATAAATTACAATACTTCATCTTATTCAAATAACATTTCTAAAGCTTCAGCCATATTATTAGCTAATCCTGTTCTTATGTATTATTCTTTAGCTAATCTTACTATTATTTCAACAAACTAAAATCTAACTAAACATTTTTCTTAAATATGAATATAATTAGTTTATTTCATTACTACATAACTAGATAAGAATGTTAATTATAGATCTAAAGAATTCATCAATGATTTTTCAAGTATGCTTGTTTATGAAATAAAATCTAAAAAGCTTTGTAAATTTATACAAGGTATATCATAATTTAGTGTTTTAGCACAAAAATAATGATAACAACCAATAATATATTTGTATATCTTTTTCATCTTATCTTTCAATTATTCAATTTCCTATTAATTTTGCAAATGTTTAATCAATTTTCCACATTCAAAGTCAAATTCAAAGCAATCTAAAAGATGTCCTTCTGTATCTGGTTAAAAATCTTTGAAAATTGAATTTTCATATGACCAAACTCGTTTTTTTGCTTTATTCAAATCAATATCAATAATTGATTCTGATTCCCTTGGTCTACATGTTATATTTGCCATGTAATGTCTAGAAGAATCTATAATATTTCCACTCTATTCTGTATGAATATAATTCACAATAGATAACTAAACAAATGCTGATGAACCATCTGCATATTATAATTCAATGCCTTTTTTCCTTATTTCTTCATTAATATCAAGAGTTAAAGTTCTTTAATCCTTAGCTACAAATCTTACATCATATATAGGATTGCTAAAAAAGTAATGAATCTTTTTATTTGGGGGACACATTCTCTAAAGATAATAGCTATTAGTCTATTAATTCATTAAGATTGGCCTATACTATTCAAAATCAATATGTAAAAAGATGGGATGTTAATACTCAATTCCTGAATAATGAAATCCTATCTCTACCCAACCTTCACAAATCCAACAATTTTCTTTAGTTTTTGTATTTATGCAATTCACACTATTAATTCTCTTAAAAAGTTTAGGATCTGATTTATTCTCATCATATTGAATCTCTTTAACCAAAAAGGCTCTAGGATTTACATAATAATTATGAGGATTGCCTGAAAAATGGAACCCAAATAATTATTAATTATATATAAGAGCTTTATGTATAGCGATAGCATCATCATCATTGAATTTATTAAATGATAAATCTAAATGAGTTAATTCTGGATGTGGTTTAATTAAAACACTATTATTTAATATAAATATTACTCAGACAATGCAGATATAAATTCTTGGTTTTGTCCTAATTTATTAAATGAAAGATCTAAAACTTTTAGAATTTAATTCTTTATTAAACCTTTCATGATTGTCAAGCCTCCAGAATTTTTAATCTAATTAAAGTGCAAGTAAACTTCTTATAATGAATTATTCTGTTATATGATATGATATAATACCTTTTTGAGTAATAATCCAAATGCATCCATTGGTAAATCAGTTATCTAATTTTTAGACAGCTTTAAAACTCTAATTGATTTGCTATCATTCAATGTTTTCAAAATAGTAAGGACGGCTAAATCTTTAAGATTATTATCCTCCAAATTTAAATGCTGAATATTATAATTTCTAGAAGATATATAATTACAAATGCTTTGTATTCCTGAAGTACCAATTTTATTATTACTGAAATCTAACTCAATTATAGAACTAGGAAGTCTCTATGTCAATAGACAAGTTCGATTATTATTCAGCTTATTATTTCTTAATTATAATCTCTTTAAATTATTAAAATGAGAACTGCTGATCCCTTCAGCAAATAATTATACGTATTTATCACTTCCAAAGATATTATTGGCTACTAATTTATCAGGAGAGTCTGTCAATAACTTTAATGTTCTAGGCATCAGTCTCTCTGTTTATATCTTTTCACTCATTCTTCCGTATATATTCTTATCAACATGATAAAATTGCTACATTTCCTTATATCGTTCTGACTTCAGATAATACTTTCTTAAACCCTACTCACTAGCATTTGATAGATTAGGTTTAATCAGTTGCAAATGATTATCAAATACTTAATGCTGATTATCAATTAATAATGATCTTCCTTTATCTTATATTTATTCCAAAGAGGATAGTTCTTAATCTTACACTAATTTATTGATTTCTTTTGTCTAAATTAACATACCATTTACTTCTTCATCATCTTCCCTATCAATTTACTAGGTTGGAAATCCAGGCAAACTTTAATTTTTTTAATTTGACCTACCCTTACTTGATGAATGTTTTGAGTATCCTGTCTATGTAATTCTGATAAGAGATTAAGTCTTAGGACTTGGAATCAATTGTTTCATAATATATAATATTCTGAACAAACAAATAATTATATTGAATAATAAACTAGATTACTTCAAATTCATTAGATTTTTTGCACTAATTTATTTAAAACGAATCTCTATTAGCATTAATTAAATATTTTTGTCCCTTTCTAAATTATAATTTTTAATATAAGCATATTAAAGAAAGAATACAAATTTTCAATAATGAATCATGTAATGATATTAATATATAATAAAGAAGAAATTGATGGAATACCTAATTGAAATAATGAAATTAATAAATTTCAGTATTCATTCATCAAGATTCATTAGAGGTGAAATTAAAATAATAAATTTAAAAATTCAAAGTATCCTCAAAGTTTCTATTGAAAATAAAGATCAAGAAATAAATCTTATTATTAATAAAATGTTCGTCAATATTTATGAAAGGCTTTTAAACTTGTTATTTAAGAAAATTGATAAGCAAATGATCTCTGAAAATAAAATTAAAGATAAATATGCCGTTGTAAAATTTGAAGGCTTGTATAAGATATATGGTTATTCTACGTGATTTAAATATAAATAGTAATCTATAAATAGGAAAGGTTTATAAATAAAAAATTTAATCATACTTCTTTAAGTAAAAAAGATATGAAATATAATTATAAATGTTCTATAGCATTTATTGAATTAATAAATTTGATGGGACATTCAAAAGAAAAATAATTAGCTTATCATGTTTTAAATAGGTTAAGTAGATTTTTTTGTGGCTTCTTATATGGAAGTAAAATAAGAATGATATTCCTTAGATAATTTTGAAGAATTTGAATAACTAAGAACCACTTAGATCTTTTAAAATCTGATTATAACTACATAAAATTTATTGCTTGAGAAAGCATTGTATTAAAGAATTTTCAAGATTTTTTGATACAAATGATTATTGTTAGAAATATCAATTACTTAATAAAATAAGAATTTATAACATATAATTTTGGAAAAGTATTAAGAATATTGAATTTTGACAATCATAACTTGATTACATTATACTTGAATAATTATTGAATTATGGAAGATATTACATTAAAAGAACATGATTCTACATTAAATCATTTAATAAATAAATTATATTATCCATATATGGCTGATTCTGGAAGAGAAAATTGGGCTGTTGATGAATTACTCAAGGCAGAAGAAGAGGCAAATGCCATTATTAAGAATGCTTAAAAGGAAAGAGAAAAGAAAATTAAAGAGGCTAAGGTTGCAGCAGATTAAGAAATTGCTGTATTCCGTAGAGAAGAAGAAACTAGATACAACTAAGAAATATTAAGAGTAAATTAAAATATTTAGACAAATAGCGTTTTGGATCAACAAAAGAAGAAGAAGAATTAGAGAGAAAAACTAAAGCTGAAATAGATAAGATTTACTTAGATTATGAAGCTAATAAGTTAGCTGTTGTTGACATGTTGATTAAAAGAGTTATTGAAGTTAAATTAGAAGTACCTAGAGTGGTTAAGGGATAATTTGAAAATCCTCAATAAACTAATTGAGTGATGATGATAATGAATTCATAAAATAATAAACAATAAGTATAAATATTACGTTGTTCTTTTATTTTTTTTAATATTATTTAATATTTGACAGCATAATAATTTTAATCTCCATAGATTCTCTCTTCCATATTAATGATTACATATCTTTATGAAATTATTCATAATAAAATAAATGAGTGAGGAAATTGTAAATTCTGATAATATAAATACAAATTTGATTAGTAGACATAGTAATACAAAGAGTTAATAAGATTAATTAGATATAAATTATATTTCTAAGCAAAAGAGAAGGAAATTTATTATTTGAACTCATATTTTATTTGATAATTTATGGCATAGTCTTTTACAATCTTATAAAATTCCTTTAAACATTTTGGACAGGGTCATTATAAAGAATCAATGGAGTAATCTACTATTTAAGTATAGGGAATTACAGAAATTTAAGCAATTAAAGGAACAATCTGATCAAAATCAATCAATGGTGTAAATTAATGAAAATATCATCCTTTGTGAATATAATATTAGCAAAGATGCTAATGCTTGCATTACTAAACTTGATGAAATTATTGATGAAATTAAAAAGTCTTAAACCTAGAAAAGTAAGTATTTAGGTAATTAAATATTATTAGAGAAGAAACAAGAAGATGATAGTATTTTATAGTTCAATAAAGCAATTATGCTCTTTTTAAGTGGAAAAGTAAGATAGGCCCATAACCTATTGAAATAATTGAAAGACAACTATTATTTGGACATTTACTTAAATATTAAGGTGCATTTGTTATTAGTTGAAACATCATTTTAATTATAAGAATTTGTATATGCAAGTGAATTGTATAAGAAACTATCCTCAGAAGATACATTAAAATCCTTACAAAATAAAAGTACAAAATCCAATTAAGTTGATGATCAATAATAATAATCATAACCAATTTATACATCATTATTGTTGGGTTCTGATCTACCTTATCCTGATGCCCATCCAAATACTTTTAGTAAAGAGGAATTTTTATTCATATTAAATATGATTAAATTTCGATTTTATATGTTTTCAAATTCAAAAGATTGGAAAAAATAAATGATAAATTTTGAATAATCCTTAAAAAACTATATAATTTAATTAGATCAGTAATCAGGCATATAATAATAGTAAGTAACATAATTTTCAATTGAAATCTAACCTTATTTAAAATTGCATTCATAGATGATTTTTAAGTAATTAAAAGCATAAAAACATATCAATTTGAATGATAATGTTGTGAAATGTATTAAAATGTTTAATCCATACTCAGAATTATCAAACTAATAAAATTTAGATTTTATTAAAAGTAAATAATACTTATATTTGACCTAAATTTATAATAACTTAGGCTGTGCACATGCAAAAATGGGTAAATATGCACTGGCTACAGTGTATTTCCATAAAGCTATATGTTAAACAAAATAAATGTTGTAATCAACTAATCTATATGAAAGTATAATTTTAACTAATGTTAAATAAAGATAATTTGCCATCTATCAAAATTTAGGTGATGCATTATTTATGGATTAAAAATATTAAAAAGCTTTAAATATTTATAATCAATTATAAGATGTTTGTAATTAAAGTGCTAAATTTTGGTATAATAGAGGTGTTTGTTATATATAATTATATCATGAATATAATCCTGATAAGAATGAGATTTATGAAATATCAGAAGAACATACTCAAATTGATAATTAAGAAGAGGGAAAGAAAATTATACTTTAAAGTAGAGAAATTTATAGTGATGTTGATGAAGAATGTTAGGATTAATTCTATAAAATTGATTAAAAAAATGAAGAAAATAAATTAGTATAACCAAAAGTTGTTAAAGAATTGTTAAATAATGCTATTAAGTATGATAAATAAAATCTATTAAAGATCATTCCGTAATGCTATTATTTTATCTAAGAAAGAGAAAAGAGAAGAAATAATACTATTAGATTAAGATTAATTATAAATTTCAGGTTCATAATTATTTGAATCCTCAATGGTCTTCTTAACATATGCATACCTTTGTAGAGGAGATTACAATTTAGCCTTACAATAAGGAAAAGAGGCATTAGAATACAATTTGTCTGATAACAATAAATACACTATTATATAATATGTATTGGAAGCCTATATTTCTACTTCCAAAATAAATTAAGCTAATACTTTTTTGAATACTAATGGAGTAATTACTTTTTTTAATAGATTCATTAATAGCAATTTGTAATTTTAATGCAGAAATGTAATTGGAATTCAAACTACTTGTTTTTCCAATTATAGTCCTAAAGCAATAAATCATTTTAATTATGCTGCGTTCTATTTACATAATGATAATTTGCCTCAAGCTTGGAATTCTATTTAATCTTTAATGAATTGCTGTTAAATTGTGATAAATTAAAATAATCAAGTTATTCCATTACCTATTCTAAATTTATTAATATGGTATTATTTGAAATCAGGTAAAAATATATTTTAGATATATCTTTCTAGATTAAGTGTAATTAGCCATACATTTGATAAAGAGAAGAAGATTATTAACAGGATAAATGGGAAAAAATAAAATATCTCTATTAAATATTACAAAATGATATAGATATAAATAATAGTTATTTTTATATATTCTAACTTCCTTTTAAATATTTATATATAATATCATATAATAAATACTAAATTTCAATAAAGTTTATTTTTCAGGATATTTTCTATGCAATTTTGTATTAATTATCATAATTACATATCTCACTAGTAAATCTATAATATAATAATGAAATTCTTATATCATGCAAAATTTTAGATAAAAGAATCTTAATAATCGCTAAAATATTCAAGAGTTAGCATATATAGATATATCTTTCATAACTGAATGATAATTTTCAATTTCTTATAAAAAAATCATTCTAGTTTAGATAATTGAGATGAATTTCAAACAAAATATTGGGAATTGAACAAAGTGCTTTACATTACTTGACATAATATTTAAAAAATAAAGGTAAGTATTATGATCAAAAATATCAATCTTATGGTTATAGATTAAATCTTCATAATAAATGAAATCATTTGATATATTTATATGATTATTCATACATACTTATTTGTAATCTGGAATAGAGAGAGTACCATATTTGGATAAAATCTCATTGGATGTTTTTTTATTTTGGATGGATGGAATGATGTATTTGAGAATAGAGTTTGTTTTACTTTAGATGGTTTTGAACATTAATAAAGGATTATAAAAGTAGAAACAAATTTTGAAATTCTAAATATAGGTATATTAATTTAAAGAGAATTGAAATAAAGAAATCTATAGTAATTCTTAAGAATATTGTTAAATATCAGGATTAGATTAATGATAATGATCTGATGTCATTTGATGATATCAATATATCATGGATTAATTAAAATGATAAATATTAATAATTTATGAGCAAACTTGATAATCTAAAAGTAATAAGTCTTTTTATATGAAATCAGAAACTCTAAATTTAGCAGCTTAAAGAAGTCAATCCAGAACATAGTGATTAGACAACTGCAGTAAAGTTTACATCGAATCGTTTAAATGCTCTTGAATAATTTGTTAGAGATTCTTTACATTAAGATAAGGAATACTTTGCAGGAGAGGTAATATAGTAAATGAATTTAGAAAACTACTCTTTAAAATATTATTGAGACACTTACAATTGAGAGCAATCGACTCTAATAACATTTACATGTGAACAGAGAATCAAAATAATAAGTAATAATAGTGAATATATCTGTTAGATTGAAGCAGACCTAAAAATATCTCAAGAGGAAATTGCTAAATTACAAGCTGTAGTTCCAAAACATGATGAAAAATAACTTCAAAATGAGATTTAAGAGACTAAAAAGACTATAATTAAGCTGAACAAAATGAGATAAGATGAAGCAAATGGATTGAATATCAATGATTTAAGTAAATATTAATTTAAATTAATAGAGTAATTGAATATAAAGAACAAAGATAAGGAGAGTCCTGTAAATGAATTATGGATTTGGTCATTGGTTGTGATTTATAAAGAACCAGCCTCAAGTTATTATTGGAACAATTTCAAAGTATATATATATATAATTTAAATATCTTTTTAGGAATAAGTCTTTGAAAAGGCTGAAGGAGCTTAAGACTTCAAAGAAAGATTAGGAAAAGTTAAAGCTGTTGACATGAAAAAAGATGAATTTGAAAGAACATAAAATTTATTAAAATAAAGGGAATAGATTTTAGCATCAGATATTTTAACACCAGCAATCAAAACATAAATTACTAGTTTCTTTAAGATAGTAGATTTAATGATAGAAGTAGAGAAACATTCCAAAGTAATTCATTCTAATGAAAAATTGTTGCAATAAGTATTTTATTAAATTTAGTATAGCATGCTATTGAAAAACAATAGATATAATCAGACACAAGTAAAAATTAGGAAAAGGCTTAAATATTAAAAGATAGAATAACCTTTTTAGACACAATACATAGAGGTTATTAATTCATGTATGATGCTATGACCAAAAAAATACATAGCTATTAACAAGCTCAAATTTTAAATGATAAATTTACAGAGCAAATAGAATCAAGTTTTAGTAATTTAGATTTTTCTAAAAGTTATAATCAAGTAAAATTTAATAATCTATTTCTAGTAATATGTTCCATAAATTGTATAAACAATATAACATGAGAATATTGATGCTTAAGAAAATCAATAAATGAAAGTTTAATAAGTTGAAGTAGAAGAATAACAATAATAAATTCAAGATTAAAATAAGGTTATTGAAGTGAAATAAACTCCTGAAGAATAATAGATTGATTTGTAATTTCAAATTTATAATCATATTAGATAATAATAACCACCAACTGAAATTGTCCAAACAAAGACAGGAGGTTGTGAAGCTTGCAATATTTTTTGAGAGAAATGATAATCGATAATAAATATCATAATAAAATTATATAAATATTATGTTATACAATAACAAATAATATCAATATTACCAATATATTAATTTCTTAGTAACACTATAGATATAAAATACATAACTAAATATTTTAGTTTATTTATAATCACATTAACTATAGAGTAGTTAACGAATTATAGAAGGAAGCATAAAACCAATAATAAATGATATGTGTTTAGTAGGTCTAAACATTCAAAGAAATTTAAAACATGATAATTATTAACAATATAATTTATATATGTAAATACCGTCTACAGAGTAAATATAAATTAAATTGTTTATAGGAGTGCTATGAGTTAAGATCATAATATTTCAAAATGGAAAAGTTATGGTCTACTTGAGACTGATGGAGGATCATCTTCTTTTTCATTCCAATAAAAAAAGAAAAAGCCTATCCAAAAATCAAACACAATGCATAATCTAAATCAAAGAATTAAAACCTAAACATAAGATAATATTGATCTGAAAAATAGTTAAAGTGAATCAAAACAAAGATTTAGTCAAAGAACCCAGTAAAGTATTCCAAGCAGAAGTTCCATAAATAAATAGCCTCTTGATGATGATATATAATTTGACATGTTTTCTGTTAACCCTGGGTCCAATATATTAAATTTGGGTTAATAAACTATACCTATTGTCTTATAATTAAGAACAAAAACTACAGAAGAATTAGATTAGATAGGCGTAGATTTAGTAAAATATTCATCAATATAAGTTTTGTTTAATCGACATTAGCAATAGTATGTAAGGATAAAAAATAGAATATGTAAAATAAATTTTACATTCAATATTAACTAATTTGAGAGAATAAGATAGATTATGTTTGATTAGTTTTAATAATGAAGGGAAACTTTTAACAGGTTTGTAAAAAGTAACACCAGAAACTCAAGAATATTTTGCATTTGTTATTGATGATTTACAATGTATTGGTACAACACAGTTATGGAAAGGAACTGAAGTAGCATTTGATGTAATTAATTAAAGAAAAAATAAAAATAATTGGGCAAGAATTCTCATATTTTCAGATGGGTAAGATGAAATAGCACTTACTAAAATTAGAAAATAATTAGAATATAATTATGATATTTTCACTATTGATTCATTTGGATTCAGTAATTCTAATGCAAATAAAAGATTATCAACTATAACAAATTTAAGATTTGGAAAACATTATATAATTACTAATGAATAATAGGTATTTTAATGTTTGGAAGAAGCCTTTGCTAACTTTCCATTCAATCTATGGGATGATGTAACTATTACAATATCAACTAACTTATAAAATATTCCATTTGATAAAATAATGATTACGGAAATACATAGTGAAGGATGGGTTGAATTGTAAAATTAACATTAATATTAAATTACAATACCTAATTTAGAAATTGGAGAATCCTTCTTATTTCCAATTGAATTGGCATTCTAGAAATTTAATGACAATATTATAGATAAAGCTAAACCAGTCTCTTTGTTAAAGGGTAAAATAGAAATGCAAAATAGTATAACTGGTAAAAGGATGATAAAAAATGTTGATCTTGATGCCATCTTTCTTTATGAAAATGATTCTAATACTTTAGATTTTAATACATATTTTAATTGTAAATAATCTCCATTAGTTATTTGGGTATGTGATTAATAATAGACTTGTAATTTTATAAATTTATAATAGAATTCAATAGAAAATCTTATTTTGAATTGATTTGTGAGAATTTGTAATTAAAATGGCAATTATAATAATAAAGAATTAAATAACTTTATGATGAAGAACCATCATGAATTCTATATATTACAAATGAGTTTTGTTTATATTATATTTATAAATTGATAAAATATCCTTATATCTAATGTAATATACATTCTAAATTATTATATTTCTTTCTTTAAAATTAATCTATATTATTTTTCTCTCATTATATGAATCCAAAAATTAAATTAAATTTTTAAAATAACATTATAATTATAATATAATAATATCAATATCTTTTTTTAATAATATTTAAATCATATTAAACGAACAGTTAAATGAGTTCCAATATGAATAATATCAAAATTATTTTAGACACACCAACACTTAACCCACTTAACAAATTCATTAAAGTCTTATAATTTTAATGTTTTTGCTTTTTGGCTTGATTCTCCAAAGTTATAAAATGTTATTCTCTCAACATCTTTCAAAATAGAATCATGTATTTCAACACAATCTTGGCTGAATTTACATAATTGAAGGTAATTAACATTGTCTTAATGATGAAATTCTACTTCTCCATATTCAAATTTAACTTAATCTATTCCCTAAACTTAATCTGAAGCTATATCAATTATCCTAAATTCAGTTCCATCTAAAACTACTAATTCTCTCAATAATTATTAGTTTTAAAGTTACATTTTCATACCTAATTTATCATTACACTAATAAATCTTAACACTTTAAGAATAATAATTTAAAATTTTCTTTAATAAATCTTAAATTGTTTATTCCTTTAATTTTTTAAATCCTAAAGAATAAAAATCAGTTTAGAAAGATAAATTATTTTTTGGTATAGAAATTGTAAACTAAATTCCTTTTTTTTAATTAGAATAAATTTATTATAAACTTTCTCTTTTTATTTTCTACTTAAATTCATATGCCTCTTCCTTTTAGAAAGTAAAAAATATTCCTTTTTAATGACTATTCTTCTTCTTACTTGTTTATATTTTAATATAATTAGGTTCCATCTAAAAATCATTGCCTATATCATCAAATTTTGGTGTGGAACAAGTACTATAGTTCTCTTTATTTTCTATATCTTCTTGATATTTTTACTCATAATTAATTTAATTATAGCATATATTATAACAATTTGCCTAACATATTTGAAAATTTTATTGGCCCAATATTTAATGGACATTTTGGGTATTATCCAAAAATAATGGTTATTAAGAATTTTATTACTACTAATAACATTATCCTTGTTGAGGATCTTATTTGATTTCTTAAAACTGTTGTATTTGTTGTTTTTATTATTCTAATAATTAGACTGCCTTTTCTTTTCTAAAATTTAATTAAAGTTCTTTTAATGAAACAGCAATTAGTTGTTTTGTATTATTATAACTTACAATGAATCCCTCAATCTTAGTTATAGATGGCATAATAGGGTAAATTATTGCATTCATATTTTTAATCAATTTTAGATTTATTATTAATTTTAATTGCAATTCAGTTAATTATATTCTTAAATCTAATACTTAAATCTATAAAAGAGTGAATTTCTTATTATAAATTTATTTAATAAATTGTTATAGGATTGAGAAATTTAAGATATGTAATTATATATTATTAGTTTAGGTTTCACAAAATATTTATGTATTTTAAGAGTTGATTTAATAAATTCAGCATAATAGTATTAAAGTATGATATTTTAAAGATAATGGCTTAATTTAGCATTAATATCAAAAATATTTTATTATTATTAAAAGCTTATTTATTTTTGATAGTTTTTTGAAACCTTTTTATCAATAATTTCATATGAGATAATCTCTAGAAATTAATAGTGTTTCAAAAAGATTTGTGATCAAATTAATATACAAAAATACTTAATTTTATTATTTATATTTTGATATATATTATCATATTCAAATGTTTTTTGTTTTAAGAACTTTAAGAACTTTAAGATATTTAATATAAGATAATAAAAATATAAAGATTTATTTTCTACACTATATAGAAATGAAAGATTTATGATATTGTTAAAATAACGAAATGAAATGTATAATTATAATTTGTTTTATTTAATTTAATAAATTTAGATGAGCAACAGTAATAAAAAAGTCCCAGATTTCTCAGGTACTAATGATAGCATATGATTCATCAATAATATCCTTATATTAATCAATTTTTTTAGATTCTTATTTTAGATTTCAAACCTCCAAAACATACTTAGATTGAGAACCAATTAGAAATTCATAGGTATCAATTATCTAAATTAATAGAACTCTGAAAGGGAATGTGTAACGTCGTTATAAGAATGATGAGTTTGAACCTAAAATAAATTAAAAAGTATCTCTTCCCAGTCTACCTAATTTTAAAAAAGCAGATTTATAAAGTGATCAAAGTATTGAATTTTATTAAATTAGAATTGCTGAATCTTTCAAATGGAACAAAGCTTCATAATAGATTACCAAAACTAGAAGCAAAAAGTGAAATACCAAAATAATTAAAGTATATATTGATGATGAAATAATAAAAATTAGATTAGAAGATGCAATCATTCATTATAATAGTGTGACTCCAGAAAGAAGATAATAAAGTCCAGAAAGATAATTATCATTAAATAAAAAAAGATTAATGGCAAGAACATGGAATGGAGGATAATATGCTTTTAAAACAAAAGCTGGATGTTAAGCTAATAAAACATCAAAAACTAATCAAGATTCTGGTATAGTATTACCTAATTGTTTGGAAAAGTAAATATATTCAAAATAAGTAAGTTTAGGTTATAGTATGTTTGGAGTATGTGATGGTCATGGCTCTAATGGACATTTAGTATCTCAATTTATAAGGTAAGCATTACCAAAACATCTCGAATCCTTCTTAAGTAAAGAGGACAATAAATACAAAATTATTTAAAAAGCATTCGAATAAACTAATAAGGAGATATGGGATTCTGAAACAGATACATCTTTATCAGGATCTACTACTGTCTCTGTTATTATTAAAAAGGATTAACTTTGGACAGCAAATGTAGGAGATTCTCGAGCTATTATATGTAGAAATCAAGATGGGAATTGGAAAGCAATTTAAATTACAAGAGACCATAAACCAAATGTAGAAGATGAAAAATAAAGAATTATTTAAGCAGGAGGAAGAGTAGAGAGTTAAAAAGGTTAGATCTTAATTTAATATAGATTATTATGGAAATTCAATTGGTCCTGAAAGAGTTTGGTTATCTTATATAGATGCACCAGGATTAGCAATGACAAGAAGTTTAGGTGATAAAGTAGGTGCTTAAGCAGGAGTAACAGCTGATCCAGAAATATTTGAATTCACTTTAACATAATATGACTAATGTATTGTAATTGCATCTGATGGAGTTTGGGAATATCTTTCGAATGAAGATGTAATGAATGTAGTTACACCATATATTGAAAAAGAAAATATAGATTTAGCAGCAGATAGATTGATGGCTGAATCTATTAATGCTTGGAAGAGACATAGTTTAGCCAGAGATGACATTACTTGCATAGTTGTTTACTTAAAGAGTTGAATAATTATTTCAATAATCCCAAAAAATAGTGTTTTTTATCATTTCTGAATATTGTGCCATTTTCTTTTCACAGAATCTAAACATTTCATATTCTAAGGCTTATTTACAACTAATTCTTAATGCTGGATTTATTTCCAATAATCTATTCATTAATTTTATTAATTAAGTATCACCATTAACTTATTATCCACTTTTTGGAATCTTTCCAAATAATAATTCATGCATTAATACACCAATACTATAACAATCAACTTTATTATCATATTTTTATTTCATTGTTATTTCTGGTGCCATATAACCAGGTGTTCCACAATATTATTAAGCATTATTAGCTTTAATGCAGATTCCTAAATCAGCTAATTTAATAACTTCTCCTTATAATAATATATTCTCTGGTTTTATATCTCTATGAATGATTCCATATTAATGTAAATAATTAACTCCTTTCAACACTTAATAGATTATATCAATAATTTATTTTTCTGTTAATTTTTTCTCTTTTTTATAATTAAATAAAGTTATATCACCCAATTCTAAAACCAAAGCAATCTAATATATTATATATTAATACTTATTTATCATCATTTATAACTCCATAACATTTTAGAATATTTGGATGTTGTATAAAACTTTAAATACAAATCTCAGTTTTAATTAATCCTTGAATACCCTTGCTGGTGATCACAGATTTTTAAATTATTTTCAAGGCTGTTAACATACCCGTTGTAGTGTCTCTATTATAAGAATTATTAAAGCTTATACATTACTGAATAAACATCACTAATATTTCCTCTTCCTAAATATTTAATCTTTTTAAATCTATTTAAAGCAGATTTATCATTTTTTGACATCTACATAAATCCTTTTTATTGATTAAAATTTGGACTCCTTATTGGAGTATTAAGTCCTACTGAAGATTATCGTCTTTCATTTGAACATACTGAAATATTCCTAACTGGTTTTAATATTTCTATTTATAACTTTTATTCCTTAATTGATTATTATTTACTATGAGTCAATTAAGTTAAGGGATTTTATTTTTTTGATGTTGAAATTAATTGTTTGATCTCTTCAATCTTTTTTCTATTTTTTTCTAAATTTTATTCATATTAGAAACATATTTTTGGTTAAATTTTTGTGTTCTCAAAACATTCTTTATCAACAATAGTCATTAGATCCATAATCAATATATTGTGTTAATTATTCTTATCTTATTGAAGTAGAGATAAGTTGATAGATTTTAAACTGAGTATTTATGGTTCATTATTAAAAAACACTTATTCATAATTTAATTATTTGTTTTAATTAATTAATTTATTTAGAGTATTTTATTTTGGTTATTAATCCATTTTAATAATTTTAAAAGCTGTCATAATGCTTGCTGGTTAATTTTCTTAAGGTAATTTACGAACAACTAATTCATCTAATGTATTAACATAAAAATTTAAAATATTTGGCTTTCTTTAACCAACATCTCTTGCCAATTATTAACACTTAATTTAAATTAAAGATGTTTATATTTAATTGTTATTTTATTGTTAAGGTTCTTTCTTTATAGTAGATACTATTATTCCTAATCTTGAAATCTTATCTATTTTAGTTTATCTCTCTAATATTTTTAAAGAATGATTATATTTAGTTGAATCAAGATCAAATTTTGGTAATTGTTAAATAACAGAACATTGTATTATTTATTCCTATTTCAAATTACTAAAATTTAATTATATCTCTTTTGCTACTTAGTCAATTTAATCTTGTTTCATAGACTGAAATTGAAATATATTGTTATTATTTTGTAATAAGACTTATTTTTATAGATTAGCATTATCATTTAAAATTGATAATTCTTTAAATAGTAATACTGAGTTTGGATTTATTTAATCTTTTTCCATTGAATGATATTTGTGTCCATTCTTTTTTTAGAGTATTTCTTTTAACGAACAAATTTCATATTCATTTATACTTTTGACAGACATACTTACAGATTTTTATAAGGATGTATTACTAAATATTTACTAGAAATTGAATCCTTATTCTTAATTAGGCAACTAACGATTAGCTTTAATGGATTCATCTATTTTTATTGGGCTAGATTTGTTGATAGTTTACAAATTTAGTTTAATGAACAATTCATTTGCTTTTTTTTAAGGAGAACTTAAGACTAAACTATCTGAAAAACTTAATCTCTTTGATATTTTTAAATTTGATGGATTAGAAGATGGATCAGATTAAAGAGGAGTTATTTATTAAGTTGGTTTGAAAATGCAATCTAAACGAATTCTTTGTTTAGGCTTTACTTTGTCAAAAAAGTATGTTCTCTCTTACTTTTCTAATTGTTTTAAACTAATCATTAAGTAATTGCAATGTCGTTTATCATCTAAATCCCAAATACGAATCCCAATTTTATTAGATTAAAAATTAGAATAGGACCTGGTTGGAAGTTTCTTATCAGTATTTTCATAGCCACTTAAGGCACGTTTAAGATTGTCTTGAAGGATATTTAATTTATCTCTTAATCTTTCAGGTAAGACATCTGTCATAATTATTAAAATTATAATATCAATTAAGGTCTAACCATTTTTATATGTCTGCTGTATGAGTATGTATGTTTATTCTGGGATCTAATTATACTGTTCACATGCAATTATTCAAGTGATTCATTATGCAGATATTCAACCGTTAATAATTTAGGATCAGTTGTTCTATAGTAATGTTTGACTTCTGGTACATAATCATACTCTTGCTTTCTAATTCGACGTAAGGATCCTTATGTAAATCTCTTGTTTAATTCAAAGAATGAATTTGGAGTTGAATTCATAATTAATGTAATAAATTGAGAGGTGTCAATTTTATAATGTGAAAAAGAATAGACCCTGTAATATGGAAGTGTACAAAACAGGTGGATAATATTGTGTATTTCATGGACAATAAGACATAGATTGGATTGAATGTCCATTAGATCCATCTCACAAAGTAAAAAAAGTTAAGATGGATAAACATCTCAAAATCTGTAATAAGAAAAAATTAGACGAGGAATTGAAATAGAATCCTTTCTTTAAAGAGAAAATTAATCTTGAAGAGGATGCTTAATAGAAAAAAATGAAATTGTAAACTTTATCAAAGGAATAGTTTAATGAATTAATCGAAATGATTCCTTAAGCATTTCAAAAGGCAATAGCAATATATTAAGAATATTTAGGAAAGATAGGAGAATAAACTGAAAATTGTTACTCTTATATTTTAGATGAAAATGTAGAAGAAGCTCCATAAAAGATTTCAGATAAAGAAAAAGATTTGCAATAAGTGGAATTATTGACTTAAATAATGGACTAATATAATCTTATTAATAAAGATATGGCTTACATTGAGTATGGGGCAGGTAAAGGGAGATTTTCACATTAGATTGCTGAAAAACTTAAAGAGAAAGACAACTCTATGGCTATTCATGTTTTAATTGAAAGAGAACCAAGAAAATTAAAATATGATAGATTTCATAGAGATAACAAATATTTCATTAGATGTAAAATGGATATCAGGGATTTTAATTTAAAAATTTTAGAATAATAATTAAAAGAGTAAGGATATGATAAAGAAATTTAATATGTAGGAGTTTGTAAACATATGTGTGGAGGAGCTAGTGATTTAACTTTAACTTCGTTATTAACTTAAGAAAGATTTCCTGTAGGAATGACTATAGCCACTTGTTGTCATCATTTATGTGATAAGAACACTTATAAAGTATAAATTATAATAAATATATATTTAGAATTTAGCATTTATGAATTAAATCAATGTACCTGAACATCTTATTGAATTGTTATTTTAAACTAGTAGTTGGTATGTAAGTGGATCAATAAATTAATAAAAGAAAGTAAAGACTGAAAATGAAATTAGTTCAGATTAAAGAAAGACTTTAGGTAAAATGGCTAAAAGAATTATTGATATTGGTAGAGTATTATACATACATTAAATAACACAATTAAAAGTAATTTTAAAGAAGTATTGCGAGTAATTATTGTCACCTGAAAATTTTATAATATTATTATATAAATGAATATAAATATCAACTCTATGATGGTTTTTCTGATTGTGATTAATAAAATGGATATTTTACTGTTGAATAAGGTGTTTAAGATTAAGGAGGTGTTGTTTATTATGAATTTTAATTTTTAAGGGAAAATGGGACTTATTGTGTTTCATTCATAGAGGCATTTCCAATAGGTTAATTTGAATTATTTATCGCAAAATTAGCTGTTTTATTGGGAAGCAATTTGAAATCTATACTCTATTACATTGATTAATTTTAAAATGAAAAGCTGGAAGGAGCATAAATTTAAGTTATTGTTGGATTTGGATTTGGATTTTGAATAGGAATAGGAACAGTTTGTAATTATTAACTGCTTTATATTATTTTTGTTGTTTTATTAGGAGAAATAACTATTGGAACTTATGTTTATGAGATTTGATTATTTAGTTTAATTTATTCACTTGCATGAATATTTGGCTGTTTTATTTAAGGACATAATTTAAGGTCTGAATAAAATGGTTAATCATTTTCTTCTAAGATTTTAAATGGATCAATAAATCTCTAATTTAAGATAAATTTATTACTTTAATATCTATCCATGATTATCTTTCAGAGGGATTTTCAACAAGCATTTTCTAAATTAAACCATATAAGAGTTCAGAATATTGATTTTTTGTCTATTGTAGACTCTAATATATTTGATTTTTATCCAGCTCTTAATTCTGAGTATAAAATTTCACATATCTACTCAGTGTTGTTAGACACAATAAGACTATTCCAAATGCAAAAACATCACTCTTGAAGCCATTAACTGATGGAATAGGAATGTCCCTTTGTAATTATTCTATTTGCTCTGGAGACAATATTGCTATTGAGTATTTCAGTGCTTATTCATAAGATGATTCAATTTAAAATATATGATTCACTTCCTATCATTATAATTTTGATTACTAATATTTTTATACCATCATTTAACACATAAATAGAGTTAGGGTTGATGTTACCAATAGTTTTATAGTGAGATTACAGATATTCTGCACAATCAACTACTTAGAATATAATATTCCATATGGCTGATTCAGAAAACTTCTTGATTCTTTTTTATATTATTTGTAATGATACTTTTCATTAATTATCTGTTCTAAAGTGCAAATTCCTGGATAGTCATAATAGACTTTGTATAAATCTTAGTCACTACTACATGAACCTGAACATTTCTCTAAAGCCAAAGCTCTTAAAAGATTTGGATGTTTGAATTTAGTTTTTTAAATGAAATACTCTTTATCAGGAACATAAGCAGTTTTACCTAATGTAATTTGAATGATAATGTATACTAAAGATCTTGACTTTATTATCTGGTATATATTAATAAATATCAATATTTCCAAGAACATTATGCTTCAAATTGGTTTCATATAAGTGGAAAGAGTGTTTTAATTATTCACTCCAAATCACTGTCATATTATTACCCATATAACAAAATAAAATTAATTAAATCAAATGTATCGTTTATAGGTATTAATTAATCCAGGTGTATTCTCTTAATCTTCCTAATTACATAAGACAGCCTACACTGCTTTTTTAATTTAATTTCTTTTGACTATTTCATTCTTCAATCTTTTCATTTGTTCCCCCTAGAAAGCCACTACAACAACTGTAATATTATCTAAAGTTCTTCTATTGATACTTTCCTTTAAAACTTATTCTACTCCAATACTACAACCTTGATGTATATTAGAATTAGAATCTAATTCCTTAGTCATTATATCAACAACTTCATTTGATGACATTTTATCAAATATTCCATCACCTTTAAATATATATTAATTTAATACTAGCTAATACAATATATTAATGATCTTCTTAAACTTTAAAGCTTCTTAATTCTGGTTCTGCTACTACAACATTTGGTTTTCCTCCAAATCTTTCTAATTTAGCCTCAATATCTCCAAAAGTTCTACTTACTGATAATCTACCAGGTAATACTCTTAAAGGTCCAACAAAAACTTATTGATCATCTTACTATTATTAAGTTCTTTAATTTATTATTAAATAGATTACTAATATATTTTCCCACCTGCTTTTTATATTCTTAATTTTTCAAGTTCATCACAAGGTTTGTGATCACGTGATAATGGCAATGCTGATTTATTATTGCCTCCACATAACACTGCTCTACTATCTCCAACATTAGCAACATAACAAACATCACCTACTAATAAAGCCACTATTGCACAAGATCCACTTCTTTCAGGTATTCCTTTGTTGAATTAAGATATTGCATAATCTTAGAAATATTATTCTGCTGCTGCAAAACCTTTTCTTAATGCTTCATATGGATTCCAAGGAAAATCTAATTCTTTTATTACAAATTGATGCAAATTATCTCTTAAGAAATCTGCACATGCAGAGCCTCCATGGCCATCATAAACACCAAAAAAGGAACATCTTGGCCAACTCTCATGTTATCTATTTTATGGTTTAACGATATTCAATATTATAGATACTCTGTCTTCATTATAATCTCTTACAATCCCTTAATTAGTATTTGCAGCATATGCTCTTATGATACCATTTTCATTGCTAGAACATCGAGTGGGTTCATAATTTGGTAATTTACTATTTCTTGTTAGTACTAAACCTTCTTAACTAAAATATGCTGGTTGAGCAACTGCTTTCAATTTTTGAGTAGGACTCTAATCAAGATGTTTTTCAGAGTAACGACATTTATTATTCTCCATTGAACGATTAATAGTGTCTGCTTAAAAAGGTCGCTTAAATGGTATCTTTGGAGAATGAGAAGGAAGATTAACACTATAGGCAGGATCTCGATTATCTCTTACTTTTAATGCATCCCAGAAGTATTTTTAGTTTTTGTACATTGATTTGAAATTTAACTACTAATTTTTATTAATATTGTTTCATTTAATTTTAAATATTTATGCTAAACCTTATCTGAATTAATTTATATTGTATTCCAATAAAAATGGTCTTTCTAGATTTTCAGATTTCATTATGCTTATTAAAGATATACCTCTAAAATTATATACTTATAAAATTACTCATTAACTGTCTAATATATTAGTATTGATCCATCTGATAATTTTATTTAACTTTGTCCAGCATCATCCAACTTTCCATAAATACATGTAACATCTATAAATACATCAATCATTTCAGAACACAACTAAAAATTTGTACTATGAAAATGTTAGGAATCACTAGCCAAATATAATTTTGAGTAGATTTCAAATAAAAAGGACTTTTCTATTTTACATGATAAATTGAATGAATCTAATAATGTTTATATAGATTAAGAGTATGGTAATATTCTTTAGATTACTTTACTAAAATGTTCCAAATATGAATGATCAAATATAGATGTTACATGAAAGTCAACCTTAATGTAATTCATGCTATTCTTGGACAATTCATCTGATATGTCCTTTTAAATTTATTATAGTAATTCTTAAAATCATTAATCATAATTACCATTCTTTTTGTTATCTTCAATGTCAGGATCCACTTTGTGAATAAAACAATGACATTCACAATGAGGGGATCTTTATTTTACAGTTTGTATGGCTTATCTTAAATATTATACAGCTTCATTAAATGGTTCTGCCTATAGAAATGTATATAGAATATGATATTACTTAAGAATCAATAACATAGATCATAAGACTACAAGTTTCCATGGCTGCAATTTCAGGTGGTTATGAATCATTTAAATCATAATGTCCAGAAAACTCATAAATCTTAAAATGAATGTGAGATCCTAAATTGACTGTAACTGATTCCATCCTATTTGTAGGGTCTAATTGAAATGTTCTGAATATTTCTAACTTTTGAAATATGACTCTAATCATTGATGTTTTTCCAGATTTTGTCAATCCAAACATACAAATGTCATTATTCATTAAATATATTTAAATAAATGCAATTTTTGGTAAAATCTTCAGGCCGAGTTGGATTTTTCGGTTTTGCTACAGCCACAGCTTCACATAAAGATATTGCAGGAAAGAATTTCTAAAGATTCTAAAGCAAATATGCTGAATATGTTACTCAATTCAATCAAAAGCTGTAATCTATGTCTTTGTAAAATTTGATAGTGAAGCTATTGAAAAAGAGAATAAAGCTCCAAATGTTGCACCATAAGGCAAAGTATTTGAACACCCATACAACAATCCACATAACCCTGTAAATTTCAGTGGTGTAAGTGCTAATTACTAAGCTAGATCAAATCATCTGAATTGTTTTACAACTTTATTGGACCAGAATAAGTATCACCACATTATGAAAATTTCCTTGTGGCTAGAAAATACCTTCTACTTACTTATGGTGGTTTGATTGTTATTGGATTTGCTGCAGGCACAACTAATCTACATTGGATTGCTAAATCATCATTTTTGCCATTCCTATTCTGGATGCAAATTATGTACTTTTACTTGGAAGGTCGTAAATCATTCATGAAACCATTACTTGCTAGATTTTACAGAAGAGTAGCTGGAAATGAATGTTTCTAACTTGATTAATATTATCATGAAAATATGCAACTCAAAATTAGAACTCTTTTAGAAGCAGCCAAAGGATAAATTGAATATGGTTAATTACATAAAGAATTTAGAGATGTTAAAGCAGAATTAATTAATACAGTATAATATTATCATTTATATTTAAGTTCTTAATGAATGAATAATTAAATCTCTAAAGACATGTTGCAGAGAGATCTTAAAATATTCTTAAATAAGCTCAATAAGCTGAATAAGTATGTAGATTCAATAATTTAAGATTAATTAAAATAGACTTCTATCAGATATTATTGAAGCTGCTCAAAAGTCACTTGATACTAATCTTAAGAGCAATCTTCCAGAAATTTAAAAAGCCTCATTCAAATCTGCTCTTAGAGGATTAGCTTAAGGAAAGATGACATATGAGAATGATCCATTAATTGATATGATTCTTAAGACTATTAGAGAACATGTAAGCAAAATTTAGAATCTATCACCAGCTGAGTATGAATTCATCATATTCAATTTAGATAGAAGAAATTGATATCACTCAGTAAGGACTAATTAGCTGCTATCCAAGCAAACGATAAAAAGTATATATTTATTATAATAAATTCAGAGCAAAGGAAGATTTCTTAAGAGCTGAACCAAAGATAGATTAAACCCTTAAGAATTATGATAATGTAAAGAGACAACTAGCTTCTTGGGGACAATGAATATGAACATTAATACATTATTACAACAAATAAAATATCATTAAAATATTTATTTTTTTGTCTTAATCAAGATATTAATATTTATGAAGTAAATATACATGCAATCATATTTACAAATATCTATAATCATGCATTTCCAAAAATTTAGATAAACACCTTATCATTCAAAAATACTTTTAAATATTTCTAAAATAGATATATAGAATACTTTAACAGTCTATGAATTTCCAAATTTCACAATTATTGAGAAACATAATAAAATCTGAAAGTTAGTATAAACTATATAATCTAATATAAAACTGCTTATATAAGCTACTCCCCATAATGAAGCTTCTAAAACTGATTGATATTTAGCCACACTACCAAATATCATGAATAAAAAGAATAAAATACTCAATATTACTNATTGGATTTGCTGCAGGCACAACTAATCTACATTGGATTGCTAAATCATCATTTTTGCCATTCCTATTCTGGATGCAAATTATGTACTTTTACTTGGAAGGTCGTAAATCATTCATGAAACCATTACTTGCTAGATTTTACAGAAGAGTAGCTGGAAATGAATGTTTCTAACTTGATTAATATTATCATGAAAATATGCAACTCAAAATTAGAACTCTTTTAGAAGCAGCCAAAGGATAAATTGAATATGGTTAATTACATAAAGAATTTAGAGATGTTAAAGCAGAATTAATTAATACAGTATAATATTATCATTTATATTTAAGTTCTTAATGAATGAATAATTAAATCTCTAAAGACATGTTGCAGAGAGATCTTAAAATATTCTTAAATAAGCTCAATAAGCTGAATAAGTATGTAGATTCAATAATTTAAGATTAATTAAAATAGACTTCTATCAGATATTATTGAAGCTGCTCAAAAGTCACTTGATACTAATCTTAAGAGCAATCTTCCAGAAATTTAAAAAGCCTCATTCAAATCTGCTCTTAGAGGATTAGCTTAAGGAAAGATGACATATGAGAATGATCCATTAATTGATATGATTCTTAAGACTATTAGAGAACATGTAAGCAAAATTTAGAATCTATCACCAGCTGAGTATGAATTCATCATATTCAATTTAGATAGAAGAAATTGATATCACTCAGTAAGGACTAATTAGCTGCTATCCAAGCAAACGATAAAAAGTATATATTTATTATAATAAATTCAGAGCAAAGGAAGATTTCTTAAGAGCTGAACCAAAGATAGATTAAACCCTTAAGAATTATGATAATGTAAAGAGACAACTAGCTTCTTGGGGACAATGAATATGAACATTAATACATTATTACAACAAATAAAATATCATTAAAATATTTATTTTTTTGTCTTAATCAAGATATTAATATTTATGAAGTAAATATACATGCAATCATATTTACAAATATCTATAATCATGCATTTCCAAAAATTTAGATAAACACCTTATCATTCAAAAATACTTTTAAATATTTCTAAAATAGATATATAGAATACTTTAACAGTCTATGAATTTCCAAATTTCACAATTATTGAGAAACATAATAAAATCTGAAAGTTAGTATAAACTATATAATCTAATATAAAACTGCTTATATAAGCTACTCCCCATAATGAAGCTTCTAAAACTGATTGATATTTAGCCACACTACCAAATATCATGAATAAAAAGAATAAAATACTCAATATTACTAAATTAAACCCTATATAATTTATGAATTTTTTTTCTGATCTTAAAAATACTTATAGTAATTTTCTATAAATTACTCCAAATAAGGTTTATAACAAAGAGAGTGCTATTATTGAATTAAAATTAATGATCTACATTAAAAAAAATACTTTACTTTTCCAAAAAATGTCAAAATGCTTATCTCCCCTAATAAAGCCACATATAAAATGATAGTTCTGTAAATTCTAGAACAATCTTTATCATATAAATAATAGAGACTTAGTACTTTGTGATTTATCTANGATGTTAAAGCAGAATTAATTAATACAGTATAATATTATCATTTATATTTAAGTTCTTAATGAATGAATAATTAAATCTCTAAAGACATGTTGCAGAGAGATCTTAAAATATTCTTAAATAAGCTCAATAAGCTGAATAAGTATGTAGATTCAATAATTTAAGATTAATTAAAATAGACTTCTATCAGATATTATTGAAGCTGCTCAAAAGTCACTTGATACTAATCTTAAGAGCAATCTTCCAGAAATTTAAAAAGCCTTATTCAAATCTGCTCTTAGAGGATTAGCTTAAGGAAAGATGACTTATGAGAATGATCCATTAATTGATATGATTCTTAAGACAATCAGAGAACACGTAAGCAAAATTTAAAACCTATCACCAGCTGAGTATATATTAATAATATTTTATTTAGATAGAAGAAATTGATTTCACTCAGTAAGGACTAATTAGCAGCCATCTAAGCAAATGATAAAAAGTATATATTTATTATAATAAATTAAGAGCAAAAGAAGATTTCTTAAGAGCTGAACCAAAGATAGATTAAACCCTTAAGAATTATGATAATGTAAAGAGACAACTAGCTTCTTGGGGACAATGAATATGAACATTAATACATTTATTAAATCAAATAAAATATATATATAAAATAAAATAAATTTATAAGTTAACTAATTAAGCTATAATATCTTAATTATATATAATCAGGAATTGCCAAAAGTTTAAATAAAAACCTTGTCATTTAAAAACAATTTTAAATATTTCTAAAAATATATATAGAATGATACTTTAAGTGTAACCGATTTTCCAAATTTAACAATTATTGTAAAAAAAAGTAAAATCTGAATGTTTGTATAAATCACGTAATCCAATATAAAACTACTCATATAAGCAACCCCCCACAATGAAGCTTCTAAAACTGATTGATATTTAGCAACACTACCAAAAATAATAAATAAAAAGAATAAAACACTTAAGATTGCAAGATTAAATCCTATATAATTGATACATAGTTTTTCTGACTTTAAAAATACTTATAGTAGCTTCTTATAAATTACACCAAATAAGGCTTATAAGATTGATAGTGCAATTATTGTATTAAAATTTATAATCTAGATTAATTAAATAAAATTTACTTGTCCAAAAAATGTTAAAATACTTATTTCTCCTAATAAAGAAACATATAACATGATGGTTCTGTAAACTCTAGAACAATCTTTATCATGCAAATAATACAGACTTAGAACTTTGTGATTTATCTTAAATCAATAAAAAAATACATTACTTCTACATAGAATAGTAAAGCTTTGCATAAAGTTATACTTTATGTAGAATATTTTTTATATAATGATTCTTCATCATTTGTTAATTATTTTCTAAATGTTGACTGTGACTCTGAAGGTGCTATTTTAACATTAGGACTATTTGCAGATTTGGATTTTGGTGATGCTTCACCTTCTGTTTCCTCAATAATTCTTCCAGAACAAACATTAGTTGTTATACCAATACTTTTTTTGCTTGCCAACATTTTGTTATAATATTCAAAATGAGGTCGCTTTAAGACTTTATCATCATATGTAATTTAACTTTCATTAGAACTAAAAATGGTTTTTTTTTAAGTTTCTCTTCTAATAACGATTCTATCAATAGGTGTTATTCTTTTTTCAGAATCCATTTCACCCACATTTATAATACCTCCATTTTTTTCAGTAACAAAATCCCAATCAGCTGGGGCAACTTTGGTCGAATTAAATAAGAATTCATCATTTTTTGTTTAATCCATTCTAAATCCATAGAAGATGAACCACAAAAATAAAATCGTATAAATTATCACTATATAAGTAAAAATAATAGACTAATATTGACATCTAAGCATACTATGTATAGTTTCAAGTGAGAAGAATTCAACAGCTTAATCAAATATTTGTTATGTAGCTTGGAATATTGTTGTAGAAGAAATATATTAGCATTAACATATAGTCTTTTTACCATCATTAATAGTTCTACAAGCATCTAAACTCCAACTATCTTCAACTTTAGTTACACATTCTACAAATAGATTTTCAGCTTACTTTTCAAATTCATATCTGATACCTTAGGATGTACTTATATTTTAAATTAAAATTTAATTGGACAATTATCTAATTTCAGGTTAATATAAAGAATAATTATTTTAATTCTCAGGAAATTCCATAAAATAATTATCATACATAAATGGATTAGTTTAATAATTAACCATTTTATATGAGTATGTATCCATTGTTGACTCTTATTTATCATCTTTTTGTCCAATACTTTAAGGCTCGGTCAAAGTGCTGCTTATTAAATCTTATAATAGTTTTTAGGTTGCTTTTTAGGTTGAGATATTAAATGAATTAGTTGTTATGGTTTTTAAATTTCCATTAATTATTTAATTTGATAATTAAATTTCTGTAATTATATTTATTGATTCCATAATAATAATGTTATTAGCTTTTTTACTTTAATCATCTTAATCTTCAATTAATATTCTTGTTTGTTATTAATAATCTCTATTTAATTTAAATAGTTCATCAATATACTTTGCTATCTCTATTGTTTCTTCTAATAAAGTTAATTTTTTAAATTCTTATATTGTATGTTCATATTTATCATACTCAATAAGTTACTAATTTGCCATTATCTAATTTATTTCATTTAATCTTTCCTATTATTGTGATAATTCATTGCTTATATCACTTAATCCCCAATTCTTATGATTTATTGCTAATGTTTTTAAGGTCAACAATTATTTTTGTGTTATGCATTTGCAATTAGAAAAATACATGATTTACTCTTAGAGAAATTATGAAATTTCAAAAGAATTAAAACTCTCTTCAAATTATAAGCTTGCAGTATAAATTAAGGTTTCACTAATAGATGTTTGATTTAAAAGTAACTAGTCAAGAAATCCTTATTAATATACAAAGTCTAATGATTTTGTATAGTTACTAATTCCATTTAGATTATCTTTTACTTAAACCATTAATTAGATATTTCCATTACCAGTCAATTTAGTTTGAAATAAATTGCTATATTAGTAATCAACTAAAATGATACCTTTTTATATTGTATTAATAGAATAATCAAAATTTAAATCTGAATTATTAAAATAAAGTATTAATCTATATTACAATGGAAAATTATCATCTTTACAATTATTTATTCTTATTTAAAAATTAGAGATTGTAAATGCATTTTATTAGTCTAAATCTATCCTACATTATAAAGGAGGTATATTAATATTTAATGGTATTGTAACTTGAGATGGCAAAAAGTAATCAGGATTGTATATGTTAATCTTTAATGTCATTTGTTTTGTTAATTCCTCAACAGTAAAATAATGCCAAAGACTTATTTATAACTCTAAATAATTAAATCTGAAATGCTTTATCTATAAGTCTGAATTTGACAAAATTCCAGTGTATAATAATAAATCAGGGTTTTAAACTATTTCTAAATATTTGAATTTAAATAGAAGTTAATCATAGTAATTGATATATCCATCAGCGATATTTGGATATGATTTATATTCTATTTTAGGAACATTTGATTCAACAATAGTTATAGTGATTTGTTATTGTATATCTTGAAAGCGAGCTGTAAACATATAAACAGAAAAAGGGATTAATGAATAAGGCTATAGTGTCAGATTTTAAGAATTAGGTAGAATCAATAAGGTCTGATTTTAAGTTTTGCATTCAGAATTTTAAATAATATCAAAGCAATCCCAACTGAATAATTGATCTTGCTATGCTAGATTTATCACTTTCCCATAGATTATTAATTTTTACTAATAGCTTAAGAAATTAGATTCAGACATTAATTATATTTAAGGTTGTTCATTTGCAATAATAATCTAAAAGTTTTATTCTATTTCTAGACTTTCTTCATTACTCAATTGTATATTTAGCTTATAGAGACCAGTATTCAAGAGATAAGGTTCAATAGTATAAATGTAATAATCACCCAAAACTATTTCAACTTATTTTTTAATAGTGCCAATAAAAGTAGATAGATTGAATTTAGCATCATTTGTAAGAATATCTGAGCAATGAGAGACCTATATAGAAATTTCAATTAATTAAGAAATCATGTATTAGTTTCTTTGCTATTAAACATTCAAAAATAATTTTGTTGTTAATTATTTTATTGTAATTAAACTACTTCCTTAGATTCCTAAGAAATTTTTGTACTATAATTCTAATAAAATTTCATTTTCCATTTATAATATATCATTTGAGAATTCAAACATGACTATTTGATTTTGATTTTTAAACTAACTTTTTAATTTACCAAGAAATTGAGTAATATTTGGATCTTGTTAAGAGACTCTAATCAATTTCCAATCAATAAATGTTATTTGATTACTACCAAAATTTTAAGTTTAGATCTAATAGATTACATCTGGAGTATTTGTACAAGCTGTTAACTGAACTAAATTCTTTGAAAATATTATTAAAGGAGCCTATATATCTTAGTTATTTGATAAGATGTTATTTAAAAATACAGATAATGTTTTTTGACAATCTTAAAATTTTATGATATTTATCTTAAAATTGATAGATAAACCAAAATAAGTTGTTGCATTTTAACCTAAAAGTACTTAAATAGATTAAGAATTAAAAAAACAACTTGGATTATTTCCTAAATTTTAAAGAGTTGATTATTCAAAAAGAGCTGAACAATCAGATGAAATCTTCGAAATTGTCCTTCCAAAATTAATAATTATTTTTTTTGCATTGCTACTCATTTTCACCTCTAAATTAACAATAGAACAATCTAAATAATATAATTATATACCTGTACACCAAATATTACTATCATCAGAGTCATCAGGACATGTACATAAAGGAGGATTTTATCGATTACCTGAACAAGTTAAACAATTATCTCTTTAAGTTTAACAAGTAGAACATTGAAAACTACATTATTAACAAGATTTATTATTACTTTCATAGTATCCTAAAATAATAATATTATCATTTACCTATTTAACAAATACAAAAAGGAATATTTATCCTATTCTCTGTACATGTTAAGCATTAATATGTATCATTACAAGTTTCACAATTGTATTAACAATCTTAACAAGTATTATTATAAATAAATTAATTAGACATACAAGACTAACATTCATTATTGTTATTCAAAATGTAATCAGTCTAGCATGATATGCATTCAGACTATCCACTTCCAAAACAAGCCAAACAATTTTTAGAACATCTGGAGCATATTCCATTATTATAATAGAAACCAGTGTTACAATTCATACAATTTGGTAATATTATCAGATTAGTTCCCAATTTACATTAAGTACAACTATTTGCATTGAGACATGTTTCACATTCTTATTTGCATTTTTAACATTGTTTATTTATATTATCATCATAAAACCCTGTTTAACAGGAACAATCATTATTTCTAAAATTAGAAGAATCACAAAGTGAGCATTAATTATGAATTAATTAATACGGATTTTTACATTAAGTGCATTAAGTATTTGAACAAACATCACAATTATTATCACAATAATCAATCAAAATATATATATTACTAATAGCTAAACTAGCTTAATAGGCAGAAATAGACAATGTAGTTTAAAATGTTAATTAAGCTGAACTCTATGTATGTACAATACTCAGATTAATTTCTTCAATATAATCATTAGCACTTGAGTAAAATAGATTACTAATTGCTTTTGTTGGTTAATAAGAAACTTAATAAATTATTTAGTTATCTAATTTTATTATAAATTCCTGATTAGTCCAATTATCGATAAACCAAGCTGTTAAATATAATCTTATTTTATTATGCGCAGGAAGTCCATTAAATACAGTATTATATTATCCATTGCTCCAAACACCAAATCCTCCTAATAAATATTATTTATTGTAAGTTGAAAATATCTACCCTGTTTATTTTGATAATGCAGGATTAAATGTAAAAGTAAATGAATCTATTTAGCTTTATAGATCAATATCTAAACCATCAAAATACTTTCCTAAATATTCAGATCCAAAAATTGATTCTTCCAGATAATCTACACAAATATTATTTTATAATGTGCTACTTTTGGGACAATCAGTAACACAAGTACCCATATATAGGATGTAACCATTATCGCAAGTATTACACTTTTATCCTATACAATCTTAGCAATTTAATGAACAACTTAATATGCATTATTAATTCTGACTAGTAAAATATTACGGGCAAGATTAAACACATTAATAATTGTAAGCAGAATATCCATTTTAACAAGAACACTTACCATTTTATGTTGTACCATTAGGACATGTTTAACAATCATCTTCGTTAGGACCAGTGCATGTTAAACAAGTAAAATGACATAACTATGGAGAAATAATAACATTTTTTATTAATAATTTCTCGCATACTGTATATAATGACAATAAAGTGCATTAAAAACTAGAGGTAATCTCTAATGTGGGATTAGGGTTTGAATGAATTATTTTCTACCTTAATGTGATCAATTATTAATTATATACAAATATTCTAAGTTTATTGAAATAAATACAAAAATGCATTTGTCTTGCAATAATTGCTAGGAGTATTGAAATTTACAGTAGTTATTGATGTATCAGAATAAATTGTTTCTGAATCTATTAATATATTTACAAAGTTTGATATTCCTGACCAATATTCTGTGAATAAAAGATCTAAAGAAATTTATAATGAATAATGAGGTTAAAGATTAGTAAATGTTTTTTTGATGTTCATGTCGACCTTTCCGATAAAAGGTCCTAACAATTCTCCATTATTACAAGAGAATTTTTAATTAAATGGACTAGAATCTTATTTTTACCAATCTACATTAGAAGTAGCTGTGCCTTCCATAAGATCTGTTCTAGGAAATCCATTTGTAATTGTTATCAACAAAGATAAAATGTGGAACATTTATTTTAAATATTAATTAATATCAGATTTATCAACAAATAAGAAATGGAGCTGAGATTTAATTTTTATCTAAAAAGAATTTTTAAATATAATATACTTAATAAATCTTAATTAAATCGAGTAATAAAGGAACTGAATATGAGAATATTTCAATTTCAAAATTGGATTTATTTCATTTTATCATTGCTTTAAATCGATCGATGATTTTTAGAAATTTTTTTATTAATTAACATCAGTAATAAAATTTTTCAGAAAGCCCATCAAGCAGTTATAAAGCTTTTGATGCTTGAATAAAATTAACTAAATTATTCAATAGAGGTAATGTTTCAAATTGAATTAGAAGAATGAGTGAATTCAATAGAAATTATTTTTTAATCATTTTAATTTTAAGTTTAAACCTCAAAGTAGCATTTATGAACTAATCCTTTATCTAATAATGGATTACTCATTTCATACATATATTTTTTCAACGACAGATTGATAATTGTAAATCAATTCTTAATATTGTATATAGTTCTTTTTCTCTAATATTATACAAATCATTACCATTCGTACCTTCTTCATAATCATATTTTTGCAATAAGAACTTTCTGATTTTTAATCAATTTATTTTAATTACACAATGAAAAAAATCAAATAAAATAATGTAATATTACATAAGAGTATTGTCCTATTAAAATATTTATCTCATCAATTACTTAGTATAAATGTATTTGTAATTAAAATCAATCATATTCAAAGAAAATTTCTATTGTTAAGTTATATACCTAAAATGGTGTTAATAAAAATATAAAGAAAATAATGATAATGAATCTTCAATAATTTAATGTTATTTTAAAAGTTTGAACTAAATACATATAATGAATTATCCAAAATAAAATTTATCGAAAAAAAATAACAATAATAAATAAAAGTTTAGAAATTTTATTAATTTAAATACATATATGATTTTTTAATATTTGTGGAAAACATAATTAGCAAACTAAAGAACTAAGACTTATATTTTCATTCTCATAAAACAATAAATAATTCTATGAGTAAATAAATTACAAATATGCTTAATTAAAAACAAATAAACCCATAATTTCATTCTAGATTATTAAATAATGTTAATATTGATCTAAGTTTATTTATTAACTTATCGATTTATAAAAACTTATTTCAATTCCAAAATTTATATATTATTTTCTTTTATTTTGAACCTATTCTAATTCAATAATTCTTTTCTATATCTTTCCAAGATTGTAGTTAAATAAAATACTAGGAATTTTTTAAATATTAAAATATTGGAAGAATGATCTATAGTAAAGAAAAATCAGGTTTTTCTTTGAAATACGATGTTAATTTAAATTTATAAAATTATCATTGAATGATACTATTTAAAAAAAATAATTCTTTTCTAATGAAATTTAATTGTTATTAAGTTAAATGTTTCTTTTTAAGTTATTAGAATTTTTTATTCAAGGATATTAATGCTTAATTATAATATTATTCATATTTTCATATAAAAATGAAAGAATAGAAAAATTAACCTTTTAAATGAAATTGAAAAAATTAAAATATTTTACAAAAATAATAAATTCCTCAAAATTAAATCGAACAATTTACAAAAATATAATTAAAGTATAAATCGATATATCATTCCTTTCTCAATAATGGATACTCGAATATGTTTATCATATGGTTCTAAATTATAAAATTGTAGTTTTGAAATAAGAATTAATTTTAAACAAATAAATGTTTTGTTTAAGATTTTTTGTCTCATTTACTCACAAATTCAAATTAATTTAATTGAGCTTTGTGATAGTATTAATTATTGTTTATATTAATTATTATTTATGTTATATATTTTTGGAAGTTTACTCATATCTCATTTAGTCACTTGTATTGTGCTCACATTTTATCAACTTAATGATTCGAGATTAGTTAATACTATACTGCTAAGCTTTCAGTTCTTGATGTTGGCTATTCATTTTTTATAAAAAATTAAATAAATTTAGAACGAAAAAATTTAGATAAGTGTGAAAGTGTGCATAAAAATTAGTTTATTATTATTAATTTTTTAAAGGAAACAAAATTTAGTTTAGAGTTTTCTAGCAGGTTCATATATGCAATATTTATTGAGAAAATAATCAATTTTTTTAAAATTGATAGATGCTTTAGTATGCATGTTTTACTTCATAATGTGGGGAGAGACGAATGAGAATACAGTTACTGGTACTTTGTTATCACTTTTTATGGTATTAAATATTTGCATGAAATATTACATATAAAATAAAAAAGAAAAAGAAAGTCGTGGTTAAATATCAACTGCAAAGTTGCCTTCTCCAGAATTATTAAAAAATCAAACTTCACCAAATTATTCAAGGAAAATGAGTGGACATAAATATTAATCAGAACCATCATAAGATCTTTAAATAAATGATTTTGGATGCATGGATCAATACTAAAAAATATTTAATATGTTTCCTGATGGTATAATAATGGTAAATATGAAAAAATAAGTTATTTTTATTAATAAACATTTGAAAAAGATGATGGGAGGGATGAATAAGAAGGCTGCCTTTTACAATCTTTTACAAATGAAAAATGTTCAATAATAAATTAATGAATTAGAAAAGATCAATTCATTATTTTAAGAATAATAAATCATTCTTAATGAATAAGAATTTGATAACAAAACTTATTTTAAAAAAAGTACATTTGATGAATCTCGATTTGATGATCAATCAGAATTGAAATCATCTTATTCATTTTAATAATTTGAAAATGTTAAAAAATTACTTGATCATTTAATAGAAAATCGACATGAGAAAAATGGAGTTCTCAAAATGCTATGTCAATTTCCTTAAAATGAGAAATCCCTTTTTTAAGTAAGTTTCAAAAGGTTTGAGAATAAGTAGTCAGAATTTATATTATTGATTGTAAGAGATATGACTTCAATGAATCTTGTTACATTTTTATAAAGAGTTATTACAGATAAATCTAATTTCTTAAGTACAGTAGTACATGAATTTAGAACTCCACTTTAATCAATTAAATTGATGGTCTAATAAATTTAACCTATGTGTAGTGAAGAAATGGTTTAAAAGTATTTATTGCCTATGTTAAGTTAATTAGATTGTTTTACTAATTTAATCTAAGATTTGTTGGATGTGTCAGTGTTAAATGTAGGAAAATTTAAATTAGATATAAAATAATTAAATCTCCATCATTTAATAACAGAAACCTATAATATCATGGTTGTATAAGCATATGCAAAGAACAATGATTTAATTATTAATCTTAAGGGGATTCCAGAGAAAATCTGTTCAGATCCTTATAAAATAAGATAAATCTTAATTAATTTGTTAGGTAATGCTGTTAAATTTACTTATAATGGAACCATCACAATTTCTGGTAAGGCGATTAATAAATCTGTAGAAATAACAGTTTCTGATACAGGATTAGGTATAACAGCAGCTAACTAAAATAAATTATTTACAGCCTTTGGTAAGTTAGATGATCCAACTAATTCCAATCCACAAGGAATAGGATTAGGTTTGATGATAAGTAATGTTTTGGCTAGGAAATTATCATATGATTAAAAAGGATTATCAGCTGTTTCAGAAGGAGAAGGTAAAGGATCTAAGTTTTCATTTTAAGTTTATGATCATTCCTTTAGTGAAGAAAAATAAAAGTATTAATAGGAATCAGTTGTTCGATAATAAAGAGAATATTTTTAAGCTCCATTAAATTAGATAAAATAATGTGATAGCTTTCGAATGAGTGGATTAGAATTAAGTTAATATTCTAGATGCTAATGTCCCGAAATTTTAATTGTTGATGATCAGCCTTTTATCCTATAAATGCTGAAAATACAATTAGAATCATAAGGATACAGAGTAAATTTGGCATTTAGTGGATTTGAATGTATTAAGAAAATTGAATAATTTTAACATGGACCAAGTTGTGCATGTAAAAATTACAAAATTGTGATTCTTGATATTGATTTGCCTAACTTAAATGGAATTGAAACTTGTAAAAGGCTGATCAGCATGGGATTTAATGGGTATATTTTGGGACATAGTGGCTATTCAGGTGGTTAAGAGGAAGAAGAATGTTTGAAAGCTGGAATGGTCGGATACTTCGTTAAGCCTTTAGACATTGCTAAATTGCAATAATGGTTAGAATCAAATAGAATTATGCTTTGATTATTTTATTGTATATTAATATGCTCACTAAAATAACAGAACCCAAAAAATTAAAGACTATTATACTTTAAAGTATAGTGATTGTCAAAATCCTATCATTCAAAGTTTGCAATATTGGGAAATTATTCATTCGCTGTAACGCTGTAACATTGCTTACTCATTAAATAACAAATCTTTGGATTGTAGTTTCTGCATCTTCTCTACTCATACCATATATTGAGAGAGAGCAAAATATATAAAGAATTTAAGAATTACTTAAGACTTCTAAAATTGTATTTGATATATATCTAATTAGATTGATCTTCCCCAAAAAATATTGAATAACTAATGCAAAGTATTTTTATGGTATTAATACGAATTTAAAGATAAGGATAAGGATTATCAAAATAATTTCAGTGTTTTAAACTCTTTTTTAGAATATAATTATCATTCAAATTCTTAGAAAAGGCTAGCTTTTGTTGTACTAATACTAATATTGTTTACTTAAAAATAGGAATCACTGTGTTCCTAAAATTATTCAAATTTAGGAACACAGTGATATGCTAACTAATCTTCAATAAAACTTAATCTTTGTTAATTAAGATATAAATTACATGAATTTATATTATGGATGGGTAAAAATTGTCAGTAGATTAGACGAGATTGTGATTACATAATAACATATTGGCTAATTTTAATTAGCTTTTCTAAATTTTTAAAATCTTTATTTTATACATAGAATTAAAGATAAAAATCTTATAATATTTTTTTATTGTTATACACCGTTAGAATTTTATCAATTTGCTTTATTAAAACATACTTAAACTATTGAAGGAATAGATTCACTAACAATTTGAGGAACTTATTACTTGAATAGGTAAAGTTTATGATTTGCTTCAAATTTATAAATTTTGTTGAGAATTTAAAAGCAAATAAAATATTAAATTTATGTCAAAATTTAATTAAGAAAAAGAGAATAATCCATTATAAGTTATATTCTTTTTTTTCATATAGTTTCACCTTTTGAATAGTAAATAATAAGAAGAATTATAAATGCAACAAATAGTAAAATCAAATCAGACTGAGGATTTTCTAGCAGTACTTCTTAATGTGATATTATTCTTCATCATAGAAGATGTACGAGAAGATTTCATAGTAGATTTCATTGTCATAGCTTCAGCAGTTTTAAGTAAAGTACTTCTTTAGGTTAAACATAAAGTCATTTTTTAATATTCCTTATTTCCGCTGTGATCTCTTTCAGTGTGTCTTTAGGATACTTCTTAAGATGCCTATCTAATCAAATCAGTAATAGATCTGTTTTTTTATTTTAATTGTAACTGTCTACTTGTTTGATTTAATCTCTATTTACTTTATGTAAATTTAAGATAGCAATTAAAACAAACAAGTAATTCTTTGTTTAAGAAGGCTGAATTTTCTTTAACTTCTGCAAATTCCTAAATATAAAAGTAATATATACACTGTAGGACATAGAAGGGAAGAGTTTCTTTATAATATCTGGTATTAATTTAGTAGTGTTTGCTATGTAGTTTTCTGGATTATCTTCAGTTTTTTGATGATCTGCTCTTTAAACTCTTGTTGAGTAAGATTTAATATCCATCCTATAATGTTGTCCTGATGTGATTAATTTTTAATATTTGATAGGATGTAAATCTTCAGTTTAACATAATTGTTGACATGATAAACATTGTACATCCATTATCAATTTAATGGGTTTTTGTTTGTTTGTAGTAATAGTATTCTTGACATTTTCAGGTCGAATTTAATGTCCAAATTAAATAGGAAAAGGACATTCATCATTAGATCTTAAGGATGTACAATATAAAATGTTAATTCTTTGCAAATGATCTATTTTACAATAAAGAACTGCTCTGTTTACTCTAAATTTTTCATAAGTGACAACACAAATTCTTGTGGTGATATAATTAATAAGTCTTTGAATTTATGTTGTTATTACTTTAGACTTTACAGGATAGGCTTTAGAATAAGATTCAGGACTATTAAATGTTGAACATTTTTCTTAAGCATCGAATTTAGAAGAGGTTAATTCGATATTATTAACTCTTTAACTTAAAAGCAAAAGATTTTAGCTCCATATAGCTTAAATTACATTTTCTTTGGGCAAAGCAGGTTTTGCAAATTTTTACAAAATTCCATTTCTATGAATATTTGGATTATGTATGAACTATTTAAATTGCTCTTGATTTAAGTAGAGAATTGAAGTTTTGCAATCTATATTGAGTTAATCTTATAAGAATTCTCCTCTAGTTTCTTAGGTATTATAAAAATCTCTTCTTGGTTTACAACTGATGAAATAAGCACAAACATCGTTCTCACAATCTTTAAGGAATGCAGTTTCTATATTTGGTAGAGTTCTATTCTCAAGTTTTTTTACAAGGATTTCATTGTTATGTGTGAAATACCATGCCTAAATTAATTTATAATTGAAAACCTGAATGACTCCTAATCTGTATATGAGAGTGTCTGGGAGATGGAATTCAACTTTGTTTTGCTTAATAGAGTCATTTTGAAGCCATAGATAATAATAGAATGTTTCAATTGCTCCTTCTTAAATATGCATAAAATGTTAAAATTAAATTTATGTTTGATTCTGCTGTTCCTGGATTGAAGGCTAAAAGAATTCAGGTATTCATCTGTTGCTTTATGCAATATGCTATGTTACATTCATGTAGATCAACATGGAGTTTCACAAGTGGATTATTAGCAAAATAAGATGATCACGAACATGATGATGAAAAGATAGATGATTTTGACAAAAAATACTTGGGATATGTAAACTTTTCTTTTCTTTTTGTTTATGGATCTTCAATGCTTTTGTATATTAAATAATTAACTTAGCCTTGGTCAAATTGGAGATAGAATAGGTCCAAAATTGTTTATGTTATGCGGAACATTTTCTACAGGAATCATATAATTCATGATAGCTGCATTATTGCCAGTTGAGAAACATAATCGATGGCTATTACTTGTTCTTTAAATATTAAATGGTATATCTTAAGCCCCAGCATGGCCAGGATTGATGGCAATAATGAATAATTGGCAGAGTAAACCAAATAAAATGATAGTTATGGGTTATTTTGCAGCATGCACAAATGTTGGTAATATCTTAGGAGACTTGTTTGCTGCTCTCTTAATTGAATAACTAGGTATGAGTGTTATGGCACCCATATATGTTTCTTCAATTGGTGTTTTAATAATGTCAATCATCAACATTTATATGATTGAAGCCAGTTCAGCTAAAGAATACATAGCTTAATTTAAAAATCCATTGACAAAATCATTAGTTTATAAATAGGCTCATGATGAATATATGAGTAGAGCTGCATCAGTAGTTTCTGTTTCAGAATAATCATATCTCACTGATTTAAGTTAAACTCTTTTGACTGTAGATAGAGACTCTCAAATGAATCCTCATGTACCTCCTAAGCCCAAGAAGAATAAGAAAGATAGTATCAATATGATTTCAGCTTGGAAATTACCTAATGTTGCTTTATACGCATTTGCATTTGGTTGCATAAAGGCTGTTTTCTACATTCTTGCATTTTGGCTACCTTCATATCTAAAGGGAGAAAATCTAGAAGGAGTTGCATGGATCACCTAAATGATTGAATGGGGTACAATCCCAGGGGGCATTTTGATATGGTAATTATTCTATCTTTATTTTAGTTATGCAGGAGTCCATTGGAATTTAAGGGCTAGTCTTATTGTTCCTTCATTGTGGATTGGAACAGTGGTTATGGTCAGCATCAACTTCTTATCAAAATTAGAATAACCTTATGCTCTCTATTATATTTTAGTATTTCTAACAGGATTGTTGATTGGTGGTGTATATAATAATGTTTCAGGTGCCATCGTGATTGAACTGAGTAATATGAAAGAACTAAAAGGTAGTATTATGATAAATAGTTAAAAGGGAATAAGAAATCTACGGCTACCGTTACTTCAGTTGTCATGGGATATGGTGCAGTATTTGCAGCCATAAATCAATTGATTGTACCATATTTGGAATCTATCCTTTTTTTATATTGTAGTCTCAATGCAATTGTAGCTGGTTGCTTCCTCATCCCATTAATTATCAACGAATACAGAAGATACAGGGAACAGAATTTACAAGTTGGCGATGCTTAATGATATAAATTAAAATGTTAATTAAATTCAAAAGAATATTTGTATTCACACTAGCCTTCATTCAATATGTATTTCTACATAGTTGTAGATCTACATGGAGTTATGTGTCTGGTAGAATGGCATAACCAGGACTAGACAATTACTTTAACAGTTAGTATTTAGGATATATCAATTTTGCCTTTTTGATGAGCTATGGCTTGTCAGTTTCAGCGTTATATATAATTGAAAATATATAGGATAGGATAATTGGGAGATAGAATGAATTTAAAATTTTTTGTATTAATTGGAGCATTTTCAACTTGCCTAATATTTTGTAGCATTGGATTCTTTTTGCATTATGAGTACAAGCATCCTTACTTATTCATGATTCTATAGATTCTTAATGGCATTTCTTAATCAACTGAATGGTCTGGTCTCTTGGGTATTATAGTATTCTATATTTTATAATTATTTAGCGATCTTAAACAATTGGTATATGGGGCCAAATAAAATCTTAATTTTAGGATATTTTTCAGCATCTCCATGTATTGGAAACATCATAGGAGATCTTTATTCAGGTTCATTGATTGGGAAACATGATTTGCCTTACTATGCTCCTATTTACATGTCAGGACTCTCCTTGTTTACTATTTCTATAATCAATCTATTTGCTTTATAACAGGCTCCATTTCCTAATGAAACTGAAGAATTAGTGGAACATTAAGAATCAATGTCAATCTCTTTAGAACCAATACTAAACATATCAAAAGAGAATAGTAATGATTCTGGAGAATATTCATTACCCAGTTCCCATTTTTTTAAAGAATCAGAACAATTATCTTTATCATACTTTGATGCTTGGTTTGTACCCAATGTTGCTATGTATGCTTTTGCTTTTGGATGTATTAAATCTGTATATTACATCCTTGGTTTTTGGTTGCCTGAATATTTAAATAGAAATTAGGTGCCTGATGTTGCTTGGATTACTGCCATGACTGATATTGGTGCAGCTCCAGGAGGAATAATTATTTGGTATCAATCATAAATACATAGTTTAATAGGATATTATACAAATAAAAGAGCCATTCTACAAGTACCTAGTTTATGGATAGGAACTGTTATTATGATAATCATTAATTTTGCTGATAACTTGGCTATCTTTGGTTATTTAATACTTGTGTTTATTATTGGATTTCTTATTGGTGGAACCTATAATAACATTGCAGCCTTAATAACAGTTGAACTAAGTAATTAAGATTAATTAAAAAGTAAACATTACTCAATATTTAGATAATAAAAAAGCAACAGCAACAATTGTTTCACTTATTATAGGTTATGCATCTGCTTTTTCAGCAATAAATTAATTGATTGTTCCACTTGTTAATGATGCATTATTTTTATATTGTGGAATTATGTCTATAATTGGAGGAATTGTGTTGTCTCCTTTATTGATTAAAGAAATTAAACGTAAATGAGACTTTTATATATATATTACAAAATAAATCATTCTATTTTTTTATATTTCTCCTAAGATCTGCCTCTCTAATCTTATGAACTCTAAGTTTTTGTTTCTAATAAAATATGATTATTTTCTTACTTAAAGTAACAGTGTATTTATTTTATTCATCAGCTATATTTTTGAATGGAGAATCTACTCCAAAATAGGTCTTCAAATTTGTCCTATTACTTAATGGAGCAGTAGTCTTTAAATACAATAATTCCTCATGAAGGGCTTTATTGGTTTATTAAAGATTTCCAATCTAAATTTGTAATTAAGTTATCAATGCTTTTTATTATTAGTTTTCATACTATATATTTTAATATCCCTAATAACTCTCAGATTATTAAAATTATTTAATACTTTCATCTTTTTATTTTAGTTATTATCCACATTACTATAGTTAATTGTAGTAATCAGTTAATTACTATTAAATAATTGACATATCTGAATGTAATTTCTCTTTTTCTAAATTTAAATTTTATTTTTCTTTTAATAACATTTATTTCTCTTTTGAATTTAAATCTCTAGTTTTAGTTAATTCACTATTTAATCGAATTTTATCTTTTTCGAGAATATCTATCTTTTTTTATAATGATTCAAAACTTTTTCCTTAAGATAAAGAAGAATTATGAGTCTTTTCTTTTAATAAAGATTCATATTTTTCAATTTCCTTCATATGTTCTTAGTTCTTTTAATTTAGTGTTTTAGTTAATTATTCTAATTAAACCAACCTGTCTTCAAGTAATTTTGTCAACTTAATATTGCTTTCATATAATTATTTAATTTTTTGATTTTCATTAATAATTTTAATGCCTGATTTTTCTAAATAATTTTCTTAATAACTTTATTTAAACTCAAAATTTTCTTTATTTTCATTCTTAATCTTTAATATTTCATTTTCATTTTATAACTAAGATATTAGGTTAGTTTATTTTGTTATTTAATTTTAATATTAATTAGTTTTTATTGAGAATTCTTTTTTTAATGTGTTGAATCTCAATAATGTATTTTGTAGTTCTTCTTCAAGAGATTTTATTTGGTATTAATTTACCATTTCACCTGTGATTTCACAACTCTTTCTACGTCCATTCTTAACTGTCTTTTAACCATTTATAGACATCCTCTCAAAATCATTTTTAATGAGGCTTAATTCCTTCATTAAGGATTCATTTTATTTATGAAGTTTCTCATTCTCACCCATGAGCCCAACTAAATGATTTGAATCTCTTCTTCCTTCAAAGTTTTATTAAGATGATGTTCTCCTCATCTAACAGTTAATATAATAATGAAAATTTTAATTATTTATGTGGCATCAATAGCAGTATTCTATTTCGTTGATAAATCTTTGGATCTACAATTTATTGAATCAGAAAAACTAAATCGATAATGTGAGACAAAGGTTGATAATCAAAATTAAAGTATACTCTGTTGTGGGTATATTTGGGAATCCAATGAAACTATGGTCACATTCTATTTTCGTACCAAAACCCAATTAAAACAAAAACCTGATATTGTAATTTATTACCAATAATTTCCTACAGAATAATAGTTAAATATGACTGAGCTATTATCAGTTGATACTAATAATTCATTTCCTAAAGTTTAGGAAAATTAAGTTGGAATTGAGGAATTGATTAAACATCATTTAAAAGCTTTATCTTATTCATTCAAATCAGGAGATTCAGATGGAAATGAAAATTATTTAATGACACCTGAATTAATAAAAGTTTCAGCATATGTTATTTTTGCAAAGGGTTTAGACATAGAATTAGAGGCATATTTCAAAAATAATTTAAAATATTTAGAAGATTCCTTTGTTACATTCTTATGCTTTGTCATTATGGCTTTGGCTATTAAAATGATCAATGAGGATGAAGATAATCTAATGCCTTTAGGAAAATATATTAAAGAGAATCAACATCATATGCTTATAATGATAATTCTTATTGCACAACCCCTTAGACCCTTATGTTTCTTTCCAGAATTTGAAGCTGTAGAGTGGCTGATTGGATAAACATGTTATACAGTAGGAGAATTTCTATTTTTAAGATATTTCTTACAAGTTCTTTCCTTTCTAAAAGGTTAGGACAATAATACAAATAAAGGTAGAAATACTCTTATAACTATCTTTGTGATTATTCCTATTAGTGTAGATAGATGGTTGATTGCCTTTGATAGTTAATCTTTTGTTATAAAAGACTTAGAAAATTAAGTTGATAACATTCATACAATTATGATTGTGTGTTGGTTATGTTTTTTGATGTATTCTGGTATTTTTGCTTATGAAGTCATGATTAGTTTAAATTCAAATTTAATTAGTAAATGCTAACCTATTATTTGTTAGGACGTGATCTATTTATAATTGATATCATCTTTTTCATAATCTATTCAATCTAGAAGAGTTAATTTTACTTATTTTATGAAAGATTTGATCATCATTTATTCAATCCAATAAATATGTTGATGATGATTTCTTATATTGCTGTTCTATTGGTAATTGATTTAAGGAAAGAGAGTGAGAAGAGTAATGAACTATAACCTATAAGACATCGAATTGATTAAGATGAAGAACATATAGATAATCTAGATTTTACAATTGCAGAATATTATAAAGAAAAAGCAAATGATGATCAAACATTAATTTGATTCAATATAATTATTTTATGTATTTATATACAATTTAAAAGTTACTTGTGTTTTAACTTATTTGTCTAAAATAATAAATATATTAATTTATGTTGCTTCTTAGCAAAATAACTAGGTTATGCCTAATCCCTACATATGGCTGCAAATTTGTACTTAAAAAAGACTGGAAGCTTATAAAAGACAACACCAATTGGGCAACTTATATGGATGATCTTAATATCAATTCAGAGACCTTTTATCACTCAAGCAGCAAAGATTTACTTAAAGCAGTCAGAGATAATCCTGAGAATGAATTTTATGCAAAATCAATAGGGCAACTTCTGTATCATATGGGAAAAGATGGTGTATATGATGAAGTTGTAATTAAAAAGATAGAAAAATGTCTTTACAAATTTAAAGGTGAATTCCCATCAAGATTAGCATTTGGAGCTTTATATGGATTTTTATCCCTTTCTATTGATAATTAATATTTACATGATTTCTTTGATGCTGAATTCCGTATGCATCAAAAATCTAAAAGAAAATGGTTTGAAGCAATAGAATTAGTTGAAGCATGTGGGAAAAATAAAAATTTGTCTAGAAAATATCTATTTGATTTGATGAAGTCACAATGTCATAGTATTCTTGTTAAAGAATATAAAAAAAGTCTAAAATATCAACCTGCCCAATAATTTAGATTATTGAATGCATGTATAAGTGCTAAGTATTTTGAACCTGATTTGTTTGATCCTCTTGTAAAAGATATAGTTAGATAATAAAAAATATCTAGATTACCAGATTTAATTAAATTGTTAAATATTCTAACTAAACTTCAAACTGAAGGAGATTTCCCAAGATCAATATAAACAGAAATTGATCATCTTATTAATAGATTAAAAACAACACCTAAATTTGCATGGTTATACAATGCAGATGAAAGACGTTATAGAACAATGGAAGAATTAAAAGCTGTCAGAGAGAATGCACCTTAATAATTTATAGGAAATCATCTTTATTAACCAGAAATGTTAGAATAATATTTGAAATAAAAAGCTTTAGGAAATGATGAAGCAGTTTAAAGAGAAAAGAGATTAATTCAAGAGAAATAATTAGATGATTTATTGTATGATGAATTCATGCTTAATAAAGTTGAATAATAGAGAAATAGAGAATAACTAAAGAAAGAATAGAGAAAAGGTATGAAGGATGAAGATGGTGAAGATGAAGATGAAGAAATTGATAAAGAATTAACTGAAGAAGAAAAGAAGGATTGTAATTAATTAATATATAAATTATTATAGTACTTACTGATTTTTAGAAGAAACACTTTGAATCTTTAGATATGGAAACTGTTAATCCAGAGGATCTTCCTAAAGAATGGTTTATGGATAATAGTTAATCATAAGATAATGAATTTGATGAAATGGATGAAAGAATTCAGTAGGCTGCTCAAGAAAAATCTCAGNGTAATTAAAAAGATAGAAAAATGTCTTTACAAATTTAAAGGTGAATTCCCATCAAGATTAGCATTTGGAGCTTTATATGGATTTTTATCCCTTTCTATTGATAATTAATATTTACATGATTTCTTTGATGCTGAATTCCGTATGCATCAAAAATCTAAAAGAAAATGGTTTGAAGCAATCGAATTAGTTGAAGCATGTGGGAAAAATAAAAATTTGTCTAGAAAATATCTATTTGATTTGATGAAATCACAATGTCATAGTATTCTTGTTAAAGAATATAAAAAAAGTCTAAAATATCAACCTGCCTAATAATTTAGATTATTGAATGCATGTATAAGTGCTAAGTATTTTGAACCTGATTTGTTTGATCCTCTTGTAAAAGATATAGTTAGATAATAAAAAATATCTAGATTACCAGATTTAATTAAATTGTTAAATATTCTAACTAAACTTCAAACTGAAGGAGATTTCCCAAGATCAATATAAACAGAAATTGATCATCTTATTAATAGATTAAAAACAACACCTAAATTTGCATGGTTATACAATGCAGATGAAAGACGTTATAGAACAATGGAAGAATTAAAAGCTGTCAGAGAGAATGCACCTTAATAATTTATAGGAAATCATCTTTATTAACCAGAAATGTTAGAATAATATTTGAAATAAAAAGCTTTAGGAAATGATGAAGCAGTTTAAAGAGAAAAGAGATTAATTCAAGAGAAATAATTAGATGATTTATTGTATGATGAATTCATGCTTAATAAAGTTGAATAATAGAGAAATAGAGAATAACTAAAGAAAGAATAGAGAAAAGGTATGAAGGATGAAGATGGTGAAGATGAAGATGAAGAAATTGATAAAGAATTAACTGAAGAAGAAAAGAAGGATTGTAATTAATTAATATATAAATTATTATAGTACTTACTGATTTTTAGAAGAAACACTTTGAATCTTTAGATATGGAAACTGTTAATCCAGAGGATCTTCCTAAAGAATGGTTTATGGATAATAGTTAATCATAAGATAATGAATTTGATGAAATGGATGAAAGAATTCAGTAGGCTGCTCAAGAAAAATCTCAGTAAGCTAAGAATAAAGAGTTTAAGAAAAGAAAGGGAAGAAGTGGCAAAGGAGATATTTTTGATGCAATAGAGTGAATTTTATCATGTAAAATAAAATAACTAACTAATTATTTAAATTTCAATGAGTACTGCCAGATTCAAAAAAACAGAATTTAGAATATAAGAGATGTAAACTGAAATAGATGCTCTTATGACTTAACTCTAATCCAACTCTAAGAATGTATCCTCATCTTAATCAGAGCAATTGTAGATGCTGATCGAGGATTTACATTCTACTAATTTTCAAACTTAAGAGCTCTCCAAGGAATCAGATTAATTAACAGATGCATTATATTCTCAATCAGATCATGATGTGATATTAACATAAGCATAAATGAAAAAAATATAAGGTTCCTTGAATCAGTTCTTATCAATCACAAAATAAGTAATTTAATTTTTACAAATTAGAATCTCTAAAATGTAGAGAAAGAAATAGAATTGATTGAGAAGAGTTTGCAAACTATATAAGAATAAAACAAAGTCTATACAGAAAGCCTAAGTAAATTTAGAGATAATCTAAAAATGTGTGATACTTAAGTTGTTAAAGTGCTTGATCAAACTGCATATAATAATTGGAATAAAATTAAGTAATTTTTTGATGTTGATATAATTTAAACTTCTGTTCCATTAGGTCTTATTATGAAAGTATAATTATACATTCTTAAATTAACAGAAGCCTGTAATTCTAATTCAATTAAAGCCAAATAATAAATTAATGAAGATCTAACAGCTCTCTTAATTGAGATTAATTCGTAAAATTAATTATTTTAAAACATTAACTTACTTGAATAGTATATAATGGGAATTTTAAAATCTAATAATAAGGTTAATCTATTTATATTCATTTAAAAATGTATGAATTCTATGCATTTTAACTTTTGTTAAATAGCATAAATCTTTAATCAGCATAATATTTCCTATAAAATATAATAATCAATTTCATAAGAAATAGGCACTAAGAATTAATGTTTAAAATCTTTATAAGTTAAGAAATCTTAATTTATGATTGAGATGGAAAAATTCAAAAAATAAAGTAAAGAACTAACTACATAAGTTGCACAATTAGAAAAATAACTTGAAAAATAAATAGAAGCTGAAACATAGCATCTTTTAGCTATGTACTTGAGAGATAAAGAATAGAGTATATCTGAAATTAAAAAAAAATATGGTAAGAAATATTTTGATAACATGCTGTCAGATGTAAAACAAGAGTTTAAGAAAATTTGTCTAAATTAATAAGTCTTATATGCCAACAGTATTGAATAAGCTTTCTTAAGAGTAGATGTAATTAATACTTAGTTAATGAATAATAAAACTAAAGCCCAACAATTAATTTAACAATATTCTTAATAAAAATTTAAAAAGGCTAGTAGTGTAATAATTTAATTAAATGGAATTGATAAAAGGGAATATTTATTGGAATTATAATAATGTAAGATATAGCTGTTATAAATTGAAAATAAAGTAGAGAGAAAAATGATTATTTAAGATTTAGATGAATTGTTATTACAAATTTAATATCAAATCAATGATATCAAATTAAGAATCTAAGCAAGCAACGTACCTCAGAAAATTAGAAGTGATTCAATTGATACATAAAGAAAGACTAATAGAACAATTGAACATCACAGATCATAATCATAAACTCCTATTCAGTCCCCTCAAATACCTGTACCTTAAATTACTCTTTAATTATTAAATATTAATTTGCCAATCAATAATCCTAAAGAAATATTCGATTCTAGTGAAGATCCAATTAAATCTAATAATAGTTAATTGTAACTAAGTTTTTGTGAAAATTAAAGCAATAAAAGCAAAGATCAAGAAAAGCTGAGTAAAACTATTTTAGTTTAATTTAATTCAAGTAGTAGAATTACATAATAATCTAATAATATTGATAGTCTTACTAATTCTAGAAATGATGAGAATTAAAATAATTAAAATAATTAGTAAAATTAGCATTAATCAAATCCATAAAAAAAACCGTAATTAAAGGAAGTTAGAAATATTATGAATAATTCAGAATAAATTTAAAATAGTTTAAAATCGAGTAGAACAAAAAAAGAGACTTAGCAAAAATAGAATAATGAATTTATACAGAAAAACAAGTTGAATATTTTAATTTATTTAAAAACCTAAGAATCAGACATTGCATATGATCCTATTTTAAATTATGATCATGATCCCTATACATTTGGGTATAGACTTTTTAGGATAGATAATTAATTGAATGTAAATTATTGGCAATAATATATAGATTTATAAATCTTCAGAGGAAAAAATTAATTTAGAAAATTTTGAAAATTTAGAAGATCTTATAAATCAATTTACTATAAAATATACTTAATTAGAAAATATTAAAGATATTGAAATTGTAAATATAATTAAATAATTTTTTAGAATAATTGTAGTTTGACAGCATTAAAATTTTAAAATATATATGAGTCTACACTTAGACATGCTTGTGTTGACAGTTTAGCTCTAAGACATTTGAGAGTTCGCTTTTTTCCTTTTGTTTTTTTAGGACAACAACAATCCCAATTAGGATTGGCTGTCAATAAAGATGATATTTAATCTTTATAGAAGCTATTCTCAAAATGATGATGCTAAAATTAAATCTCTAAAATTAATTATAAAATTATAAGAAAATAAAAAAAACAAAGTTATAAATTAAATCATTTATAATAATTTTTGTAAAGAAATTTAGGTGATAATTTGTTAGGAAAGGCTTCCTTGACTGATTTTCCTAATTCAGGAGTCTTAGATTACTTTTTCATTGCTCTTTCTTATTTAATTTAAGAAAATTCTGAAATTAATTTATCAAGCATAGCTTAATTAGTTTCTTATTTCATTGATGCTCTACTTGGAGGAAGTTATTTCTTAAAGAATTTAGTTGCTAAAATATTTGGACTTTATAGTTGTTCAGCAGGTTCAGTGCGTCTTTATTTAGAATTAGAATTCTCCATCCATTCTTCAATTGATTCTTCTGTAATTTTAAAGGTTTGAGCAGTTTTTTTTTCAGAATTATCAAAGCTTTTTACTTCCTTACTATTAGGTTAGCTTTAATGCCTCTTTTCCTTTTCAGCACTTTTAGAAGTTTTTTATTCAGAACTTGATCTAGTGCTTTCATGATTTCTTTTTTTATTTGAATACTCTTTTTCTGTTAATTTACTAATTTCTTTTAAAAAGGAATCAAGTGAACTAACTTTACCTTCATAATGTAGATAGGCCACTTTATTATCTTGGATATCTTTTAAGAATTATTGTAATTTGAATAGTTTACTACTATATCCTCCCATAATTTGATTAAATGGTAGAGTACCCATTTAGACAATCTTATCATAATGATTTTTGATATCACTTATATAGGTTGCCAATTAGTGTTCAATTTATTTGGATTAAACTTTTAATTGATTGGTTATCTGCACTCCAGACCAAAGAGATTATGATAAGGCACATAGCAATTGAGATTTGCACTGAATAGATAGTAGATATTACCATTTGTAATTATTTTTCAATCCCTCCAAAAGTCTTAACAACTTAAGTATATTAGTCATTATAAAACTTTTTAAGGTTGGCTTCAGTTGATAATAAATTGGAATGAACATTTTCTATTTCACTTTTAGTTTACAATAATTGTTCAATGAATGAATCAGTTTGCTTTTTCTTAACATTATCTAGGGATTATTGAGTACATTACCTTCTTCTATATTTTCAATTTTATGTCCTTATTGAGCTAATTGAACAGCACATTTAGTGCATAATTTTTCATTTGGCCCTGTGTCATTATGTAATAAGTATTTAGCCTATAAATATATATGATATAAATACTTTTTTTTGAGGATGATGTGGACACATGGGCTGGAAGCCATTGCAATTAAATTCTTAACTCTCCTTAAATTTTTAGCTAAATAGATTAGTACTCTAATGAATAGGAGTGTCGATTCCATTCCAAAGTTATATAGATGACATGTATATCTAATCATCTCTTTTCATTTGAATTTTAATTAATAATTGTTATGATAAATCATTTGGGTAATCTCTCAGGATTATCAGCAATGATATACATCATGGAACTAATAGCAAAGACATTGGAATCCATTTCATCAGGATTTAATATATTCATTGTATCACCAGCAGAGTGATGATATTTGAAGTAATAATCATCATTAGGATCTTTATAGATATTTCTCATCAGTGGAACACCTTTATCACCTAAAGGTTTAGTATCAACTCCAGAACTAAAGATAACTACAATTTTTTACCCATCATTTTCATTAACAACTGATAAATCAGGAATATAGTTCATAATCAATTATCTAACCATTCTACTTGTTTATAGTTTTCCTGAAAAACCAAATCCTATAGCTGTCAATTAGCCAACATCATTCTCAAGAGCTACCACATGATCTTCATCACCATGTTTTTTAACATAATGTTGTGCCCCATTATTTGGAAGTCCCATCTCTTCACCACTCCAAGCAATCCATCTCAAAGTTCTAAGAGGCCTGATTCCAAGATCAGCAACTACTTTAAGGGCTTCTAAAGTAACAAGGGTTCCTGCACCATCATCCATAGCCCCAGTTTAACTTCCTGTGTCCCAAGAATCAAAATGACCCCCCATCAATATAATTTATTCTGGATGTTACGAACCTTTGATCTCAGCAATGATGTTATGACTTTCAGAAGCCTTCATTTCATTATTTAATTCTAAATCTACTGTTATCTTCTGTCCTCTATCTTACATTCTTTAAAGCATCTCAGCATCTTCTACTGTAATAGCAGCGGCAGGAATCTTTGTAAAATTACCTGAGTATCTCACATTCCCTGTATGTGGACTATAGATTGAAAATGAAGCAACACTTCTTAATAATACAGCAATAGCTCCATAAGCAGATGCTCTATCAGGTCCTTGTTATCTATAAAACTTCAAGTCATCATAAGTTGTCCATGGAACATTATAGCATACAATTTTTCCTAAGTATTGTATATTGAATTTACCTTAAATTTTATTAGCTTTACCCTTCTCATCCAATTCACTCCAGTTTCTAACCACTACAACTTCTCCATCTTTTATGTTACCTGGAACAATTAAACCAAGACCAATCATTCCTAATTTTTAAGGTCTTTTTCTTGGACTCTTTAAAATTAATTACTCGCTCCCTCTTACCCAAGTTGATATTTCATCTAATTTTTCTAATCTAACTTCCACCAAACCATTTTTAGTTGCTTCCCAATTTTGTATTTAATTATAAAGATAATCAACAGCTAATGCCATACTTGGAGATGCCCACATTCTAGGACCAAATGTATCAACAATATAAGCTAATTTATCATAAGCTTTATGCTTATTAGGGCCAGCATTTATTGCTTATCTAATATTATCGACATTTTTTTTGATAGCATCATTTGTACAATATGCTATTGTCATGAGAAGAGCAAGAATTAATTTCATTTAAATAATTATTTAACTTGCAAAGCTGATATCATACTTCCCAATTTAGGCTATTCTTCTATGTATTGGCTTTAAAATGAGTTCATTCGAGACCTTATCTTCTATAGTTGAACTTTATTTTAACTCTGACTAAGAAGCTTGGAAGGCTATGGTTATAATTCAACATAAGATTAATCCTTAAAAAATTAACTATGTTGATGTATTAATTAGGGAGTCTCTATTTTTGGTTTAATGCTTCCATATCCAACAGATTAATGTTTACATGAAGATTCTTTTCTGGATGTAATTTTAATTCTATTTGGTCGTGGTATAATCAAATCTTCTTCAGCTTCAGAATCACTTCCACTATCATATTTTAATGCCTTGCTCATCTCTCTATTAATATTCAATTCAGGTGAGTCTACCTAATCATTATAGAGATCAAGTGCATGCAAAATATTTTAAGCAAGTTTATGATAATCTTCCAAACTAAAGGCCCGACCCATTTAACCATAAATACTTGTTTCAATTGTCATTGAATTTGCGATATTCAATCTCTTCCATAATGCAACTCTAGCAGTACCAACTCTATCAGGACTAACACCATATGAACAATCCCTCTATTAAATATTAAGGTACTTTAAATGAGAAAATTTCATTATGATGAGCTAGAATCTTTCCAAACTATCTAATCTTCATATACTCTGAAACACTTTTTCCATGTAAACAACCATAAAGAAATTAATTAAACTTTTTTGAATGACCATGTAAATCAATCATAAAAGCAATATTAGAATATTTAGAAATTGATTTAAAAACATAATGCACTTCAGGTTCTGTTTTTTATTTTGGATTGTCCCATTTTCTAAAATTATATATTTATATTACCTATTTAAATCTACACCATTAAAATTACAACGGGAATTCCCCAGAAAAACTCCATCTGGATTTAGCATTGGATAGATTATAAATCTATACTTTTACATACTTGAATGTCCTTTGCATAAAATACGTAAAATTTCTTAACATATAAAAGATCCAGCAGTTTCACTTGGGTGTTATCTTGCCAATATTACTACTATCTATTATCCATTTTATTTTGGAGTTTTGATTTGCCAAATTGGTAATCCTAAAGTTGTGATACACACTGATTTTCTTTGCAATGGACATTAATCAATAAATCTTTAAAGTTTTTTGATTGGATATGGTCGAGTTAAAGCAAAAAATACAATTTTTTCAGTTTATTTGAACTCATAAGTAAATTCTAAAGTGTACAAAGAAAAGTTTTATTAAAGTTAAGCTATGCCAGCATCTTCATGATGATAAAATGGATGATTTATATTTGTTCTATAATAGTACATCTCTTTTGTTTTACCTACAGACCATTTTTCATCATCATAAACATAAACATGATTACAATCTTTAAAGAGTGTATTTTAACGACGATTGTTTAATATACGTATTTTAAGTTTTCCTTCATTATGCATCTTGATACCAAAATAAAACCATTAAGTGCAACCTTAAGTATTAGTATCACTTGAAAGTAAAACATTCAATACTCCTTTTTCTTCTTAACAACATCCATGAATATTACTATTCTCAAATGAACCATAAACCACCAGTTCCTCAGATTCAAAAAATGGCATTGGAGAATGAACATATTATTGTTATTTGTATTGAGCTAGAATATTTTTACGCGAATTGTGATTAATGATACATGTTTTTAATTTCTTCTCAAAAAGCTACATAAAATCAATGTATTAATGTCCCAAATCCTTGTTATTTTTGAGTAATTTTTGGAGAGATTTCATTTTATAATAAATATTTTTATAATACACTCATAATAATGAATACATATCTGGATAAAGTGGTACACGACGTTTAATCCATTCAACACTAGTACTCATTAATCCAGTATTAGGTAATGAATCCTATTCTTATTTATGAGATGGTGAAACTACATGAATTTCAATTTAATGAGGATGCTCAATTAAATATTATTTATAGTAGTTCTTAACCTCTTTAATATCAATATTATCAAGCAAACTCAATGCTTACTCTCTTCTGTCAAAAAGATTCTAATGTCGTTAAATTTCTCCCCAAAATCTTCCAACTTCTCTACCCAATGAGAAATCCTTCTCTAAAAGTGATACTCTAATTGATTATTTATATTCTTCAAATTATTCCCTTGTTAAATCATCTATTTCAAATTTCTTTATAAATTCTCTAATTTTATATAATTTAATTAAATACCTAATTCTAGCTTAAAGATATTTAGGACACTTAACACTACTCTAAATTAAAAATTAGAACCCAGTTATACCTCTTACATCACTTGAAGCAGAGAATACAACATATCCTAATTACTCTGTAGTTCTTAATTGAGAAAAAAATGGAGTCTTAATAATATTAGAAAGTAAATCAACTATTAATTGATTTCTTACTGTTCCACTTTCTAATTAAAAATACAAAATCACACTTGAATTTGTTTCAGTTTCTGAATTTAAGTATCTTGTGTAATTGTATATGATATTTTCAGGGATATTAATAGATCTTACTTACAATACTTCTTCTTTTTGTAAAATGAGTGATTTTTTAAACAATTCTTCTGATTATTTCACTATAGAAACTGCATTACTTTCTTAAATATTACCCATAATTAACCATTCAAATCTACACTTATCCATCAAATGATTTTAAAAATAAATCAAATCATCAAATTATATCAATCTAATTGTCTTTAATAAATCTTCAGGATCGAAAGACCCACAATCTCTTAATAATAACATTGATAAATTTCTTGCCTGTGAATAAGGAGGAGAACGAGAGAAGTTTTCTAAATCACAAATAAGTTTAGCTAATTGAGTATCATAATTATCTTTATAATTTTCAACTCTAAAGTCTAAGACCTTTTTCAACATATCTGGTAAAAACTTATTAATTGAATCACTAAATCCAGCTAATGAATATTCAATTCCATTAGTTACTAGACTGACTGATGGAGACAATGAAGCCACTTCAGCTTCATAAAACAACTCTCTTAAATGAATAGTGAGCAAACTTTGCCAAAGAGCTCCAAGAACTTCATTTTGTATTGATTTTCCCATTTAATCTAAGTATTGTCTCATTTTTATGAATGTCTTTGGAACATTAAATTTATTGTCTTATTTGAAATAAACAATAGAATATGGAGACTCATAAATTATTGTTGGATATTACTAACTATTTGGATTGGCAAACAAATCAGTCTAATTTGGAAGATATTTATTTAAATTTGGTAAATGAAAATTTTGATTTCTAATTTACTAGTTTTCAAATTATAAATCTGAAATTTCATATTCAGAACCAAAATATTTTTCAAAATTTCCTAATTTTCCTTAAAATTACTAACTTTGAAGAAATACATTCAAATTATTTCGATTTAATTGATTGATAGTTTTATTAATAAGATTACTATCAAAATTTTCCATTAAATAAGGAGCTTTTAAGATATCTGAAACAGGATATTAATGTAATCTTGATGCTATAGCCCCAACAAAATCAAAAGGGTTTTGTTTTTCAAGATAATCAAATTATAATGTTTTGATTTATTTAACTTCATTAAATATTTATGCATTAGCTTATAAAATATTTAAATAATTGAAAACTAATTCAATTATATGTTAATACATAGCTAATCCTTTTTTTGTCAATTTGATACTGACATATAGTTCTGAAAATTTGTATGCCTCATCTTATGTACCACATTAAAGTTCATATGCTAGATTTTCTTTGATGAGATAACTTAATAGAGATCCTTCTCCTTCATGACCAATAAGATGAGCTATATATTTTCCAGGACAATTTTGAAAATGAGGATGTAAATAATCTATAACCCAAATTAAATCTAAATGATCTTCATCATTTATAGGTACAATTTTGATTAATTTATTTTATATAATTTGAGATCCTTCTATATTCACATCTGGTCTATTATAATTTTTATTTGGAATATCACTAAACATATCAATTGCCCAATTTTCCAACTATTCAACAGATTACCTTCCATAAATTACTAATTTCATTAAGTTACTAGAGTAATAACGAGAATGAAAATCTATAAGTTATTGTCTATTAACCTAACCAAGAGTGTCTAGATTTCCAATCATAAATTAGGAATATGAAGAATTTTAAGGTGCCAACAATTTACTTATTTAGAACTTTCTCCAAAAATCATTTTGTAAATTCATATTAAATTCAGAATGAACAGCCTTCATTTCTCTTTGTATGCATGATTCTTTAAAAAGAGGATACTTAAAGAATTAGGAAAATCTATCTAATGCTCCTTCTAATTGATCATTGGCCACAGTAAAAAAATAATTAGTATTTGTTGAAGATGTATAAGCATTAGTCATTCCAGAATGCTTAGATATAAAATGTTGATATTCAGATTCATCTGGATATTTAGTTGTGCCCATAAAAAGCATATGTTCACAAAAATGAGCCAAACCTTCAGCATTTCTAGGATCCTAAAATGCTCCAACTTAAACATTAAGAGCAGCAGCAGATTTCTCAGCTTCCTTATCTTCAATAAGGAGACATTGCAATTTATTTGACAAATTTAAATGTTTATAGATGCGTTTGTCAACCTTTGATAATTTGATCATTATTATTTTAATAATGAACGATTGGGAATCAAATTACTCTAAAAGTTTAGCAAGTACCTTTGGTCCATGGTATCCAAATACAACTAAGAATAAAATTATAAAAGCCTAGCAAACTTAAACTCTAACTTTAGAACCTCTGGGTTAAAAATTTTAAGGAAGAATCCCAAGTAGAACATCTGTACCAAAAAGACGAGCTATATCAGTATAGCGTAGATTACCTACTTTTCCTACAATGGAGACTTCAACAAAAGTACAAAAATAAAGAACTCTACCAGAACCAGTTCTTCTGAATTTGACCCAAGAAGCACTCTATGTTAGAAGTAATAAGAATGTATAGGACATTTTAAAGAAATTACAATAATATCGATACAATGAACGTCATTTGATTTCATGATAATAGTTTCTATTTCAATTCGCGACCTCTACCTTACTTTTCTTACTCTTCAGTTATAACCTTTAATTCAGTATACTTATTTTTCTATTTTGGATAATCACATAAAGTTCCATGAACATCTTCATCCTCAATCTCAAAATCAAGCATCTCTTCGAATACATCCGTCAATCCAATTAATGCTATAATATTATGCTACCCTTCAACGATTAAATTTGATATCTATAAAATATTTAAATAGAATATATTACATTCAATGTATCATATTCTTATACTTTTTTCCCTTTATCACAAATAAAAGCTAAAGATTTCCTTTCATGTTGGAATAATATTAACATTTCTAACATTGTAGTATCCTTTGGAATTATCAATGGTTCTTACATCTGTAATAATGATGATATTGACCTACCATAATCTTAAGCTGTCAATTTTAAAATTGATTTAGCTTATATAGTCCCAATTATTTAATCTTTATTTGATCCTTAATAAACTGGAATCTTTGAGAATCCTTTTATTCTTATCTTGTTTTTCAAATCAGAACTATATCGTTCATCCGCATTTAACATAAAGACTTTCTTAATGTCTTTACAATTCTTCATAACAGTTTGTTTTCTCATTTCCATCATAGAATCCATCAATTACATTTAATCCCTAGCTAATTAAGCATTATTTCCATGTCCACTATCTTAAGCATGCAAATTCAACAATCCTCTTATATCTTTTATCTTGTATCTTTAATGAAGATGCACACCTAAAACATAATCTAGTAAAAGACTCAATGGATAGCAAATTATATATAGTATGGCTTATAATATTTTTACATAAGGAATCATTTTCATTCCAATTACTAATTAATCAGGCCCTGTTGTGAATGCTGAAGGAATTATTTCTCCAAATAATACAATTATACCAGCAGATATCAAAATTGCCAACCAATCTGGAGCCAATTGATGTAAAATTATTGGTAAGGTTTCACAAGCAAAAGCATTTCCAACCAACAAAGTTGATAATAATAAGTGATGTTGAGATATCACAGGCAATAATATTTAAGCCTACAATAACATAGAACTTTTACCACTTTCTTTTCATATTCCGTTCCACTTTTCAATTTAAGTTCTAAATTCAACATATCTATTGAAAGCAATCCTTGAGTATTTCCTGAGCAGAATGCTGCTAAAATAGATAATCCAAATGCATATAAAAGAAATAACCAAAATATTCCTTCTGATGGACTGTATCTATGATGATGAGGTTCATCTTTATTTTCAATCTCATCTCCTAATACTAAATATGAACTATGTAGAAAGACAACAAGTTTAAATAAATGTAAATATTTCATTATTAAAAATTAAATAATTTTTAATACTTTTATTTGATATTTTATTAAGGTTGCCATCCAATAAGTAATGAAGATTTATCTTAAATGAAATTCAAACTTCTTAAAAGTCAAATATAAAATAGTAATTATTTATAATATGTATTTTTCCCTCTCATATTTTCAATAGCATATATCAAGATGAATGATATTTGATTATATAAAATCATTAGAATCGATTGGTATCAGAAAATATTTATTTACTAAGTTTATTATATTTAATAAAATCATTAAGAAATTAAGCATTTTTATAATTAGTAAAAACTATGACAACAATTTTAACATTTATTGGAAAAGCTAAATAAAAGTTAAGATTATAAATAAATGTATTATAGAAGGATGAATGTATCTGATGGCAATAAAAAAATACAATTAAGAGACAATATCATTATATTATGTTTGGAATTATTTATTATTATTTAATCAATATATATTTTATTAAAGTTTGACTTTCTAAAGAATTATAAAATTATTGAAATTGTACTTATAGAAAAGAGAGTTATTAAATCTTTTTTATTAAGATTTCTTAAAATTAGATGATAAAAATTGAAAGGAATTTATTATTTTACCATAAGGGTAAATTACTTTTAATTATAAATCATAACAAGATTTTGATATCAAAACAATAATTATTTCACAAATAATTTAGTATTAGTTCTAATATAAATATTTTTTATCATAATAAATAAAATCTTGAATCTTTTGGTAAATTTTATCGATATTTTAATTTAACAGCTTCTTATGAATGTTTTTTTAATGCCAATAAAGAATATAATGCATTATTCATACAACTCTTAGAAGTTAATGCTTTCTTAGATTTCTATTCTTATGAGGCTTTAATTTAACCAATCAATCTTTCTGCTAAGTCTTTGTTTTCAGAATCATTTTCATTATTTTTTACTACATCATTAATATTTGTATTTGTATTTGTAAGCAATTAAGAAATTAAATTCTTTCTCTTTTTATTGATCATAAATAGTCTAAATGGAAATTTAACTCCATCCTCAGAAACTTATTCTCTGTCTATTAAATATTAATTGTTATTAGATTTCTTTGGAACAACTATTCCAGGATCTGTAATCAATCTTTAGGTTGAAATCATAGAACTTTCTAAATCACTATGATATGTTTTTACTCTTTTTCTAACCATTTATTTAACAACATTTAAATTTGTATTATTGCGTAACGATGACACTTTCTCTATTAATTCATCTGCCAAAATGATATTCTATTATTTTGTGTATTTATAGGATGGCAATGTAAAATCCCCTAAAATTTCTGTGTTTTAGTTAGCAACACTAGACTCATTTTCATTGTTAATTTTATGATTAACAAATGTTGTTTATTGTCTCAATAATAATGGTAAATTTGCAGAAGGTTATTTTGATGAATATGATTTATTTAAGGAATTAGATCTAGTGTGATATTGAAGATGGTTTTGATTTGGATTTTTTGTTAATTACATAATAAAAATTAATATAAATCATTTAAAACAAGGACATAGTAGGGATTATTTTGATGCATTAGATTATTATTAAATGCCTATATAGTTATTGAGATGATTATAGCATTTTTATGACCAAGCTTTCACATCAAGTTGATGAATTTTATTTGCTTATTCAGGATTAAATTGTAATGCCTCTAACACAGTCTCTAAAAATCTAAGGGAAGATTAAAACTCCAATTCTAAATGTAAATTTTCTAAAGTCTTTATTAAGCTAATCATAAGCTTACTTTAATATCTTTATTCAAAATATCAGCCATAGTATTTGGTGAGTAGCCATAAATTTATGCAAAATCAGGGGCTTCAAAGTCGATAAGAAGTAAGGTATTTTAAATGACGATTAAACAAGAAACCATGTCTTCAAACATATTGAGAAAATTTTCTAATAAAGATAACTTTTCAGATTTAGGTCTTAAACCTTAGAATAAAATAATATAATTTACCTGCCATATTTTCCATGAATTTCATTTCATTATATTGGCTATATTAATCAAGATATAGCAATTTATTTTTTTCTATTATTTAATAGTAGCTCTAATTAGCTTCACTTGGAACTATTGAGAGTGGAGGTTTAGAAATTGTTGATTAGTGCATTTTATACAGAGATCCATTATCATGCTCTAATTAAGGAACAGAATTGTAGTTTTAAGTATTGGAAGGAAAAATTTTCTTCATTTTAGTTTTCATATAAAAATAATTATTTTCTAATTGAGATTATTTTTTATATTTCATCTCAGAAATTTGAATTAAATGTTTACTTTTGAATAAATGAATTAAATAAGTCTTTGAATTTTTATGTAAAAATATATTATTTTGATTATATATTAAGAATATCTAATAATGTAAAGAAGATTTTACTTTTAAAAATATGAGAAGTTATCCAGTCCAGATAATCTTCTTAAAAGACTTAATAATGAGGCTACCAAACCTAAATTTATTGATTATATACTTAAAAATGTGAATATTTAAGAAAAGAAAAAGATGATTCAAGGTTATAATCAAAGGGTCTCTAAATCACTTGATCCAATTAGAAACATCAGAATGGATACCTAAACACTTTAAGAAGAATATTTTAAATTTCTAACTAACATATAAGATGGAACATAAATAAACTTTATAAATACAGAATAAATACAAGAAATCTACAATTCTCCATAAAAAAATTAAAGTTTATCAAAAGTTCTTGCATTTAAGCATCAGCTTATAAATCCCTTTTGATCAAGTTAATCAAGTAATTGAATAAGAATCATTATAGTTATTAAATCTTAGTTTTGTTAATTCAAAAAAATTAAATAAGAGTTAATACTTGTTATAAATTTGAGAGCATATATATTTTTTTTATATTTTTTAATCTGTTTAGAAGTCTATTGACAAGAGTCAAAGAATATTAAGTGTAGTATGGATGACCTTTGAAAATCTCATTTTTCTTTCCAATATTATTTATTATCAGAAATGTCAACCATTTCCCTAATTCATTTCATTTTACTTTGAGTAAAATTCTAGTTATCTTAACTCTGAGATTTCCAATATTTGTATCTATATATTTACTTGATATTATCTTCAATAGTATGTATAAGGTTAATCGCACAAGAATTTTGCTAGTAAAAATTAAAAAAATGTCCAACAATAATCTATATTATTTATTTTACAAATAATTTCTTAATATATATGAATAAATTGTATAAATTAGAGTAATAATTTATAATCATTTCCAAACTGTCATTTTGATTTATAATTACAATTTTGAAAGTAGATTGGCATATAATTCTAATCCAATTAATTAAGTCTATACTAAATATAAATTGTTTCCTCAAACAATTATTATTTTTATAGATACACATCATTTTTGATCCTATTAACTTCAAAATCAATTTTTTAACAAAATGCAAATTGTTTTTTTTAATAAAAACAATTTGAATTTTGTTAGCTCCAAATCAAATGTTATTTTTCAATTTCTTTTTCATTATTTTAGTATATTTTATTGTCATTACTTTAAATCGTTCTTGTTTTCAATAATCATTAGATTAAATTTTGAAATTGAGATTTGCCAATTTGAACTAAACCTGTCTTTTTATATAGATGAATCTCATAAAAGAGATTAGAAATAGAAAGAAGTCTGAAAAACTTATAGAACTTCAGAAAATGTATTTAGTAATTTAAGTGAAAAAATAAATTAAATGTTTATACCTGATTAACGAAATTTAGGTGGAAGATAAATTATATGTAATATGGTTTTGAATCACAGACTATCATTAAATATAATGGATGATAAGTCGGCAATTTCTCCAATTTAGACTAAAATGCATACTCCTCGTTAAGGATGCTATACTGATAGGCAAAGTTAAAATAAACCTTCACTCTTTTTTAGAAGAATACCAACAAGCAATTATTAGAAGTACAAAGAATTGCTTTATAAGAAACCTCTTTCATTTCCAAAAAATTAGAATAAAAATGAATGCCACACTGAAATTAAAATAATAGATTGGAACGTTATAGAGAAAGAAATTTAGAAATACGAAAAAGAATTTTATAAATTAAATCTACCTTCATTTTTAAAGTCTTTTGCAAGATAAATGAATATTAAAAAAGAATATGACTTTGCTACTCTAATTGAAATGATTTTGAATTTTTATCCAAATATTAAGCAAGATGACCTTATAGAGATTGCATCAGATATCATAGTAGGAGAGCTTTGATAATTAATTTTGTTTTATAGTAAGTGGTACTAATTATTCATATTATTCTTAAAATACAATTTTTTGTTTTTTATGGCAGTATTGATCAAATTCAACTGAGAATTTTCAAAAAAATTTACAATTTGTATTCAAAGAGCATCAATCTAGTTCTAAAATACTTTAATTTTAAAACGTATTTATAGGACTATTATAAGTTGATATGAATATTATTGATTGATATGAATATTATTTGATAATTTTAATTGTTAATTAAATAACAATAATAAAATAATAATATAGCTAACAAACTTTTCTAAATGTTTTTATAATCATTTTTGAAAATATTAAATATCTTATATCAAAAATAGCTTTTCAGTATGAAGTGAAAAGCATAATCTTTTTTATTTCTTTATAATTCTATAATCTATTATTGTAAATCTTAATAAATAAGGATAAAATTGTTTTTAAGGGTGGGAACTTCTACATAATGTAATTTGCAAATAAAATCTCAAATTCCTTCTATTTAAATTAAAAATGATTTAATTTCTTAGTTTAAAACCCATTTATTCTATTTGAGAATCCAATATTTATTATCATGAATTAATAGTTTGCTCATTTTAATCTTGAAAAACTTGATGAAACCTATAGAGAGTTTACTTTGAGATACTCATGTGAAGAATATGATGTAAATAAATGTATATAAATAGGAATTTACTTGTGTAAGAAATAATAATGAATTGCAATATTGTGCTCGTAAATATAAATTGGGAAGCATAAATAACCCTAGGTTTTAAGCTTTGAGAAGAATTAAGCTTTACAATATCCTACCTGTGTTTGATATCTTTTTAGACTCATAAACTATAGTGGCATAAGATGTAGAAAAGTTTTCTTTAGAGAATAATATGGAAGACTTGACAGAAGAGCAAAAAATATATTTAGCTACTATAATTAGCATTAGTAAATATGTTCATTAATTTCTAGCTTTACAGGAATTAGCATATAGAGGATTTCCATTTATTATCACAGAAAGAAGTGTTATAATATTAGAAAATCATATATGTTTATAATCATTAGACTTTAACTTTGATAGAGAAGTGATAGAACAAGAAAGTTTTGATAGTTTTAAAAAATTAAGTAAGAATCAAAATCTATGAATTTTTTAGTGATTAAATTATTTGGTGATTTTCTTGAAATCAACTTTGAATGTTCAACTAATTATTTTCTAATGTTAAACAATGTATATCTTGGCCCAAGTGAAAATATGCCCTATGTTGAATTATTAGATTAAATATTTGAATTTACAAATGTGGCTACTCTTGCTTCAGCAGCATCAAATTCATATGTTTATGAATTTGATACTCCAGAATTTATGAAAACTATCCCTAATATAAGCTAAAGAACAGTTTTAAAATCAGTAAAATTGGATTTAAGTGATACTAATTAAGATTATATTTTAACCTCTTCTTAAAGAGAATTAGAAATAATGGAAAATTTCAAAAAATATGAACCATTAGTTGCTTGCTATGCATATTTTAGAATATAAAAATAACTTTATATCTTTATGGAAAGATATCCTTAAGTACTTTCAAATATGCTTGAAGGTATTGATGAGGATAGACATTGCATTCAGATTTGTTGGTAATTAGCAGTAGGTAATTACATTTATAAATAATGTTAGCTCTTAAATATCTTCATTAACATTAAATAATTCATCGAGATTTAAAACCAGGAAATTTATTTCTATCTCATGAAAATCTAGATAGAGCAAGACTTTTAATTGCAGACTTTGATAGATCTAGATTATCATAATGGTTAACATAATCAATCACTTAATAGAAGGAATCAGGTAATATATATAATGATTTATAGAATAAAAATAATAAGATTAAATTGGAAAATTAAATGAACTTTCACCAAAATCAGTATTAGGTGCTACTCCTTGTTATGATCCTCCAGAAGCTGGCACTATTGATTATGATTAGAGTGCAGATATTTGGTAAGTCGGAATGATAAGTATAATTCAATTTTATTAATATAGTGTTTTAGATTGCAAATAAAGGTGAATATCCAATAAAAATGACAGGTCAAAATTTTTCTAGGTAATAATACCAAAGTAATTTTACTAAAGAATTAATTAAGAAATAATTAAGTCAATATCATGTTAATGAATAATTTATAGATATAATTGCTAAATGTTTATCTTTTAATAGAAAAGATAGACCAACTTCTTGTTAATTAGTTAATGAATTATAAATATGTTTTGAAGAAATCAATCCAGATACAGAAGAAAATTTAATTTCTTCTCATAATTTAAGTCAAATAGGAAGATATGGTTAATTAATCTCTTCAACAAGAACTTTAAAAATGCTTAACTCCTAAGATTTATGATTTAATATATGATTTTTAATATAAATAGAATACACTATATAAATGACTTTTTTTAAATAATTATTAGTAATCAAATTCTTTTCAGCCATTTCTTTTAATCGTTTTCTTTTTTTTGTTAGGTTTGTGTCAATTTATTTTTCTTATCTGCTTCATCATTAGTGTTCTAAAATATATTGTTAGCTATATACTTAATTATTTCCTTTTAAGACATTTCCATCTTATTTTATAGCATAAATGCTTGTTAATAATTTTGCTCTTTTAAAATATTCATCATAGTTTTCCATGAAGAATTTGCCTGCTTCTTCATTTAGTGAACTCTCAGGAAATGGAACAATCAATAGACATTTAATCACTTCAAAAATATTCTTTAACGACCATTATAGAGGATTCCAATCTTTCTTTAATGTATTTACACAGATTTCTCCCTTTTCAGATACATTAGGATGAAATATTTTAGTATTAAATAAGCCTAACTTATATATATTAATACCTTTAGGTGCTACTTAAGGGAATTAGGGTGGTAAAATTAATTTGCATCTGAAAACTCCTCCTTAAAATGGAGTATCAACTAAAATATTTTCTATTTTTATTACCTGGACCTTCAATATCTGCTTAAATATCAAAAACATCTTATTCATTAAATATCACATGAACTCCTAATGCAATATTAATACATCTTACCATCAATTGGTTATTTAATCATAATTTGCAATTGTTTTGCTATTATAGGTCCCAACTAAGGATTAATCTATGGCTCTTAAATCTATCAAATGAATATCATGATTTTAAATTACCATTCTAATTACTTAATAAGTTAACTTGATAAATTTTATTTTAAATTATATTCTTTAAATCGTTAACAAATAAGCTTAGAATTGAATAAATGCAACATAAAAATGAATAAAAATTTCATTCATTATTGTAATTTTATGGCATAAACATAAATAGAGTATGATTTAAAACGAATCATTGTATCCCAGAACTTAGTTATTTATGATAAAATATTATTCTATTTTTACAATAAGAAGTCGCCAAAACAGATAAAATATATAATAAGATTTTTCTTTTTTAGATATAAATCCATTGTAATAAAAATATTTGAATCTCAATATAATTCAGAGGGTTTTTTTTGGATGCTTTGTGGAACTCATTTCAATTTTATGAATTAAAAGTGTACAATAGGGGAATCAATAAAGTTAGAATTCAATTTATAAATAGTAAACAAACCACATGTCAAAAATATTTATGGTACAAAAGTATCAAAGTAATCTTTAATTAAAGTTTAAGCAAAAAAAAATATAGTTTAAAATAGTAATTAGAAACAGAGAGAACTAAGGATTAAATCTTATATTTAGTAAAATATTATTTTCATTTATATTAGAGATATATATAATAAATGTGATTCTTTATCTGGATTAAAGAATTCTAAAGTCATGAATTTATTTCCTATTATTATTGATGTTTTATTAGAAAGTATTTGTAATAATTACAAGAATTGAAAAACTAAGAAACTCTACAAACCATTCGAATACAGAAAAGTTTGATGACCGTTAGCCAATCAATATAAGAGATGAAAATATGAGAATAATAACTATTTATTAATAAATTATATAAAAAAAGATTTAAAATGATTAGTGGAGCATTCCGAAGATCATTTATAGGCAGAGCTCACTTTGGTCTTGTTTCAGAATATAATAGTAGAGTCAACTAGAAGTTATACAAGGGAGTATAAGTATCAGAAGCACCACAATTCTTTACAACATCTGCGAGACCAGGAAATTTTGGAGATCATATTGATTTCAAAGTTTAAATGGATAACTGGTTTGATGAAAATAGGTAATCATAGTTTAGATATTTAATATAGAGTCCATAATGAACACGAAACTGAAATAAAAAGAACATAAATTTATGCATTGAATGCTGTTTATTATGGTGGATTGCTTTCTTTTGCAAGATTGTTTGCAGTAGGACTTATAGGCAGATTAAATGGTTGGAAGAGATATGATAGAGACACATACCTTGAGATGGAGTAATCATTAACATTTAGTGCATAGCATCGGAGATTTACCACCAGGTGAAGTCATGTAAATTGTTTGGAATGGTACACCAGTATTCATTAGAAGATTGACATAATAAGAAATCAAGGATGAAGATAACTTACCAAAAGAAACAATTTTAGATCCAAGGTATATTCTTAAATTTAATTGTTAGTTCTGAAGTTGTTCTTACAAATTGTGGAAACACTAAAGTTTTGGTTGTTAGTGCATTGTGCACACATTTGGGATGTATTCCAATCCCATATTTAGGTGCTTATAATGTAAAATGATCATTTACAATTATAGGGTTGGGTGTGCATTTGTCATGGTTCAGTATATGACAAATATGCAAGAGTAAGACAAGGACCAGCATTGTAAAATTTACCATTCATTAATAACTCAATTTATGATGATGTTATTGTTTGCATTGAAGAAATGAAATTCCCAAGAGAACCAAGTTAAAGATATTGGACTTGAAACAGCAATACATATATATTATATTAAATAACACAACAATCAATATTCAAAAATCAATTAAATTTTAGTTTTGGGACTATTATTATTACTATTATGGTTGTTATTGATTCTGTTGCGGCTATTAAAATTATGCATAAGTTTATTAATTCACTATCTAATTTTGAGTCTGTTGTTGTGGAAGAACATTAAGTGGTTATGATACCGAAGTTGATTGATTTTAATTATTTTGAACGTCCCAACTAATCCTTGTTGCTTTAATTAAGATGCGATTATTGAATAACGGAATCTGAGATGTGTCTGTAGGTAAATCAAGCCAGACTGTATTATGCATTGTTTTATATCTAAATCTAAAGATATATTCTCCCTAAAGTGGAAAACTAGTCTTAATATCTTTAAGGGTGATTTGATCAACTTGTTTACCTATTCTTGTATTTAATATATTAAATTACCCAAAAGCATTAGGTATTTCAATATCATCATTGTCTTAAGGCACAACATAGTAGATTAGGGTAAATTATTTCATTATTTATTATTATTTGTGAATATATTAATCAATTATAGACCATATATTTTTGAGTTGCTGAGAACTTTTAGTAACCTTTGATAACTTTTTCAATAGCTTCTAACAAATCCTTTTCACTAATAGCCTTTCTTCTAGCTCTGATAGCAAACATTCCTGCTTCTGTGCAAACACTTCTGATATCAGCTCCTGTTGTGTTTGGACATAATCTAAATCAAATAATTATCAATAATAACCTTGCTAATAATTCATATCTAATATTTTTTTCCATACTCATAGTTCTTGCATGAATTTTAAATATGCCTGCTCTACCTTCTAAATCAGGTAAAGAAAATTCAACTTTTCTATCTAATCTACCAGGTCTTAACAAAGCTGGATCTAAAGTATCTGGTCTATTAGTTGCCATCAAAACCTTAATATTTCCTCTCGAATCAAAACCATCTAATTAATTAACTATCTCAAGCATAGTTCTTTAAACATCATTGTCATTTCCATCATCATGTCTAGCTCCACCTATTGCATCAATTTCATCAAAAAAAATAATGCAAGCCTTCTTAGTTCTTGCCATCTAAAATAATTCTCTAACCATTCTTGCTCCTTCTCCTACATATTTCTAAACTAATTCTGATCCTATTACACGAATAAAACAAGCCTAATTACAAGTTAAAAAATACTTCAGTCCTATTTGCAACAGCTCTTGCTGTCAAAGTTTTTCCTGTTCCTGGTGGCCCATACATTAAAACTCCTTTTGGTGGGTCTATACCCAATGTTATGAATTTTTCAGGATTTAACAAAGGCATTTCAACTACTTCTCTTAATTTCTTTAATTATTCTTTGCATCCCCCTATGTCATTATATGTAACATCTGGTTTGTCTTCAACTGTCATCATTGTAACTGATGGATCTATCTTTGGTGGCAAAGGTAATTGTATTGCATATTTCTATCTTTCAACTCCAACTCTCATTCCTTCTTCTATATCAGTAGGTGCCACTTTTTCACCCAATCCTGCTACATATTTGGCAATGTGTTTAATTGTGATCATATACAAATCTTTTTATTATAAACTTGATTTGAATATTTTTGTGCATCTAGCCACTATCAATGGATGTTCCTTAATTTCATAAAAATTTTGATACCGATGCTAATTTTTGATCAGCCACTAGATCCCATGTACTAGGAATGCTTAATCCTGTATCACTCTCTTTTATTCCTACCATTTTGTTAATAGTAGTCACAGAATTTTTATTTTCTTCCTCTAATTGTTTAATCTTTTCTGCGTAAGGTCCCATTCCATACTTTTTTAATAAGTTGATATCATTTTCATCTAAAGGCACTGTTTTTGTTTCTTTTTCCCTAAAATTTTATTGTAAAATTTAAATACTCTGTCATGATAAAATATTTAAATTAATACTTATCTGAATTATAATTCTTAATTTCATTTGTTAATTATTTTAGAATCAATTCATTCTATTCTAATAATTTGAAGAAATTTTATTTTTAAAACTCATAGAATATATGCTTAAAATTTGAGTTGATCACTAAAAATTAAATAATAATTTTTATTATGAATTTAGTTGATCAAATATAAAGATAATTCCAAGAACTCTCTAAAATTTTTCTTAATTGTAAGATTTTTATTAATCTGTTTTAGGTATATTTGAAGTATCAATCAATTTAGACCAAAATAATCAACAACTTTTAAGATTAGAACAAATCATTAAATAAGCCGCAATTGATATTTTAGAAGAATTTCCGCTATAAAAAGAAATCAATTAATAACAGAAGTAGATTAAACCTAGTCAACAGTCTTTTCAGATTAAAATAAAAGGAAGAGTTGAAAAATAAAATTAGAACAATAATACTTAACAAGAAAATACAAAAGCCTTAAAAAGTTAGGCACCTTAAGAAGATAATAAAATTGAATAGCTCATACCACAAATAACATTAAAACAACCTTTTAATTAGACATGCTTTCTCTGTTAAAATAACAATATTTTGAAGTAGTAAACTAGTAAGATAATTAATGATAATCAATATTTTTATCACATGGAATGTTTCACAAAAGCTAAATTTAATCATTTAGGTATGGATAAAATGTTAGAAATATTTAAAACTAAAATTTGTAAAATTTGCAATAAAAAAGGGGCATATTATTAATGTGAAAATTGCGAATTATGGTATCACTATGTTTGTATGTCAGAATTATATCAGAATAATAAAGAATGTATTGATTGCCCTTGCAAACCAATAGATATATTCTAAGCATAAGAAATTGATATTTAAGTAGAAGATGTTCCAAGTAAAAAAAAAATAAAAATTGACCATATATCACAAAACACAGATTTATTTTCTGATATCTCTTTTAAAAAAGAATTAAAATTAATGTGATTTATTAAATTTATACAACTTATAATATTTTTTAACTATTTTTAGATTATATTAAGTTATGTTCAAGATCTTGTATGGCTAATGTGATGAATAGATTAAGATCGCGCTAATGTTTTCTTCAATTTTTTTTTTTTTAATTTTATTGGTAATTTTTTTACTTTTTTTAATTTGGCTACAACCTATTCCAAATTAAATCCTGTATCATAAAATTCCATATCTGTTTATGTATCTATTTCACATTCTTAGGCAGCCATTTACTTAGAAATTTCTATTTCTATTAACAATACTTAATCTATATTATAATGTTTAGTTTAATATGAAGACTAGGATTATAATTATAATTATATTGATTATTACAGTTGTTATGATTATTATTGTTACATTTGCTATTATTGCTAACCTAATGGTATTGATGATTATAATAAATTAAATTCTTCTTCAATTTTTTAGCTTTAATCCATTTTGATTTAATTTATAATCACTGTCCCTCTTTTAACATTTGATTTATTTTTTTTATCTATTGCACCAGAATCTCTTTCTTGAGTTCCACAATTTTTATATTAAACATTCTTTTAAATAGAAATTCTAGTAAGCCTTTTTTTTGACTTATTTGATTTTTCTTCATTATTTTAAATTTCTGATTCCTTTCTTTTTGATTCTCGTTTATATAACAATAAATTCTATGAACGAATCTTTTTATCAGATTCTAATTAGGAGTTTGACTCACTTCCTTCCTATTCTGAATCTTATTGCATTTGAAACTTATTACTAATAATAAATTCAGAATTAGGTCCTAATTCATTCAAAAAACCTTTATATTCACAAAAATTGAATGCTGAATTTTAGAGATTTCTCAGTTGGCCAATAGAGTTCTATTTATTAATAATTAATTTACATTACATTTTGAATTTTATCATGCTTCCTTAATCTATATATAAATTTTCTTTGTTATTTCTCACCATGATCATTTTTTTTAAATAATCTCAAGTAATTAGGAGTATAAAATACAAAAGGACATCTAGTAAAAGTATGATTTTATCGGCATAATTCACATCCTCCTAATTTAACCCTCCCATTGAATTCAATCTAATGTTTAACATAATAGAAATGCTCTCTATCTCTTTGATTAAATCTTAAAAGTTCTTAAAGGTCATCATAAGTGATGTAAGCTAATTTAGAAAATTTTACAGCTCTTGTTGAAAATAAAGCAGGATGCTAAGAAATGAAAGACTTTTCATCAATAGCTTAATTTCTTTGATATATTTTAATTATTTTATTGTTACTAATATAGGCTTCAACCTCTCCTTTTAAAATAAAATATATTCGATCAACTTTTTATCTACTAATGATATATATATTACCCTTCAACAGAGATGATTTCCTCAGGTACAAATGTTTACTCTTTGACCAAAATGCATAACTTTTCTATAAATTATTGAGAAAAATTTTATCTTATTAATTTTGAATTCTATAACAAATTCTTATAAAAGTCTATTTTAACTTCTTTGTTAAGATTCCCTGATAGATGAATCATTAATTTTTCACACTCAGACTCTGTATCTCTTTCTTGTTTTAGATAATATTCAAAAAACTTTTTCACTTTTACCTATAAATCTTTGTTTAAACCTCGTTTTTTAAGAAAAGAATCAATCATTGTCATTCTATCTCTGAGATAGTTTTTATTTTCACTCATTTAAGCAAAAATAGCTCCAATACTAGAAATAGTGTAACCAAAAATAATTGAACTCAATAATGTAACAAAAATAACAAAAATCTTCTCATATTTGGTGACCTCAACTTACATAAATAAATGTATACTGGAATTATATCTCCATATCCTATTGTTAAGGTTGTTATACAAGCCCAATAGAAACTGGTAATATATCGATTCTACCAATTATCGTCTGATAATTATGCTCTCTATATCCAAGTGTTATTTTCAAATTCCAATTCTTATATAGCTATAAAATGCCAAAAGCAAGCTATGATATGAGATGCAAACAAAAAAGTTGACATCAAAGATACTATATCAACTGTAGAAGCAAAATTAACTCGAAGATTAAGAGTTTCAACAATATTTTCAAATATATGCATAACCTAAATATTAACTATATACTTTTACTCTTGACACTCTGAATAATAACACAAATTCTATATAAGGGATATTTTATCTACCAATCATAAATGGAATTATCACTATAAAGTCAAGAACAAATTTTCCTTTTAAATAATGCTTAAATATTTATCCTCGATTTAAAACAAGAACTCCTCTTGAATAATAAGCAACATTAAAGTTCAACAATATTTCAAACAAAAATACATACTAAGGTAATGTATCTAAGAAAAAGTCCACACCATCAACCACAGTTATATCAAAAGAGATTTTAAGCGGTATATAAAATATGTTGATCAAAAGAATTAAAAATACCACAACATCCCATTATAATTTTAGTATATTATCTGGCTTAATTGGCTTAATAATAGAAGAGAATACACTCAAGAAATGCATATAAACTTTTAGTTTTGTTTGGAAAGATTGCTATTATAATATTTAATAATAACCCATGATCCTCCTTTTTCTCTTGCTCTTATTAATTTATGGGTCAAATAAAAACTAAAATCCGCTGCTTTGTCTCCAATAGCTTTGAATTATCTATTATCTAGATATCTTAATTTAAATTTATCAGAATTAGTTAATAAGTACGTAACAAACCTGGCAACAAGAACTATTATATTAAGTGCTCTTTCTTTCCAAATCCTGTTTGTAAAGCCTTATTAGTTATCAAATTCATCAGAATCATCTTATGAAGCAATACTCTATTCGCTTGCATCATGAGCAATCTTTATTTTTTCAAGCATATTAAATTAAGATTGCTTAGTTTTAAAATTAGTCAAGAATTCATCATCCTCAGTGCGTGGATTTCTTTTGCTTATTAAGATTAAGGAATTTGCTAAATGAGGACTCGATAACATGTCTTCATTATGGTCGAAGACAGACATTAATTATTAATATTAAAATTTGTATTTCTTTTTTATAAGCAGAAAAAGGTTAGAAAATGCAACAAAATTATAAGAATGAATAATCTTTAATTTAAATTCACCCTGATTAATTTATTTATTACAACTAATAATTAAGTTATGTTTGAAAAAAATTATTTTTCAAATTAATAAAATCATCATTATCAAGATAGTTTAATATTTAACTTTATATTAGAGTTTTTATAACAGATTGAGATAAAGATTTTCTCAAAAGAAATAAAACATTAGTAGATAAAATATATAGTTTGTAGATTTATTTAATACCTTTGTAATCCTTAAAACTTTTAATTAACATTAAAAAAACTTTTGATTTTCCATTCAAATATAAAATAAGAATATAATAAATAATAAATATATTTAATTTAATTTTTCAATAAAAAAAAGGACCTACTTGGATTCGAACCAAGGTCTTGAGGGTTAAAGCCTCAGGTACTAACCACTATACGATAGATCCTATAGTTATTTTCTTTAGTTAGAAATACTATTTCTACATATAGTGTTATATAAATAATAGTATAATTAAACGAAATTAAGTAGTAATAAAAATAAATATATATAATTAAATAGTGAAATTTGATTAAAATTTGATCAAAATGCAGAAAATCATTTTGTATTCATTTTTTTATAATTTCTTAAAAAAAAAGATTTTGAAATTAATCTTGAGCTATCGTTATTGGTTTTTTCCCGGTTTGATTGAGGACTCATATCAGTTTTTAGGTAAAATTTACAAGGTGAAGTTTTAACAACAGTATTAGGTGACTGATTTCTACTATTATGAAATAATAAAGGCTTTAATTTTAAAGGTTCTTTTCTAACATAGGCATTAAATCTATTTCCATTAACAAGTATTTTATTAATCTCTGGCTATAAAAAGGGATGTTTTAAAGCTTATGCAGCTGAAAATCGAATTTAAGGATCTATATCTATCAATCCTTTTAAGAAATTGATTCCACTTTTTGATATTGATGAAGTATCAGTAAAATCAATATGTCCCAAGAAATTTTTGACTATTGTTTCTTTTGTTGTATTTGATTTAAATGGATCTTTGCCAAACATCAATTAATAGCATAAAATGCCTACACTATATATATCTACTTTCAATCCATATTTTTATTTTCTTAATATTTCAGGAGCAACACAACCAGGTGTACCACAATATCTAAATAAATAATCATTTTCAATATTAGCTTTTTCAGCCAAACCAAAATCAATAAGACAAATAGAATCATAACTATTTTAATTTCTTAACATGATATTGCATTTTTTAATGTCTCTATGAAATATTCCAAAACTATGCACATAATCAAGACCTCCTAAAATAGATTTCATAATAATTTTAATTTAATCTTCATCAATTTTTCTGTCTTCTATATTACTATTGAGATCACCCCCTAATAATAATTCTGAAATTAAAATAATTTATGAATTTGACTCAAATACTCCAAAATATTTTACGATATTAGGATGATTGAATAGTTTTAAGTATTATATTTCAAATAATAATGATTGTTTTATTTAATAATCTGTTTCAAGTTGTGTTTTATCAAATACTTTTATTGCATAATTTATGTCATCTATTTTAGATAGAACTTAATAAACCTTAAATTAAATATAATCATTACATTAGCTGAGGATCCTCTACCAATTAGTTATATGATTTAATAATTAGAAATAAAATCTAATGAGATGCACTCTTTCATCAATACATTAATCCAATTTTATATTTGTCCATAAAGTTCAATTTTGTTTTCTTTCTTCTACAATGATATTCCTATAATTTCTTAACTTGAATTCCTTAAAACTGTTAAAAATGCATTTGAGAAGAAGATGAATTTCTAAATATAAACTATAATGGTACATTTTTAGAATATTTAATATGCTACCTTCCAATTGAAATATTTTTTTCTTTAGTAATTTCCTTGCATTTCACAGTCAAACAAGTTGTATACATTGATTAAAAATTTACATTAGTAACCCAAAATTCTGTATCAGTAGATAACAATGAATTTTGAATATCAAAATATTAAGGATATTGCTTATTTCTTATATGCATATGCATATATGTTAATAATTAACTTTTTTAATAATTTAGATATTAAACTAAGAATTAAGAGTTATTTTTTGGCATAAGCATTGCTTAATAATATATATTATTCTTTAAGTATTAAATTTAAAGGAGATATATCCTAAAAGTTATTTTACTTAAGGTAATACTTTTTACAAGTAATCAAACTTCAAAATTTTAAATAATTTTTGTTAGATTATTTATCTTAAAGTTTGATTATATCTTATTCATTAATTAATTAATTAGTCTTTCAGAAAAACATTTGTCTGCTGGAAGAATCAGGAAAGATTTGGGACATTATTTCAAATAAATCTTAAATATTTGAATTTATACTTTATTAAAGATTTGAAATTTAAAGATTTACTTTTTGGATTGCCTAATTAAAAATACGATATCCTCTTTCAATAAAAGTTTGATTTTTTCATTGCTGACCTTAGAAAGCTATGATAATCAAAATATATAGATGAATCAACATGAGAAAAAAATTCAAGATAATATAATATAATTGATATTCCTGTTATTGATCACAATTATACAAACATGATTGGATTTTTATAACTAACTTTATTTCGAGATTGTTTTTAATTCTAAACATTATCAAATATTCTTACATTTTACCAAACAAATATACTAAAAGTAATAATTAAATTTTTTATTAAATTAATAATGATAAAAATCTGTAATAATTGAATAGATTAAGTTGTTGTATACTTTTTTATTTTTACTTCGTTAGATTAAATAATAGGAATTTAAAACTCTTAAATTTCACTTAATTTTGATAAAAATTTATTGATTACACAAAACAATTATATTTGCATTATTTTCAGAAATTGCGAAGCAATAAAATAAAATTTAATTAATATGTATAGTCAAAAATAGCAAACATAAAATAACAAAATTTCATTGCGATTCTAAATACAAAGATATTGATATCTATAATTGAATAAATTTTTAAATGATAAGGTTTAAGTTTAAGTGTATCTAAAATAACTTTTAAACAAATTCATCCTAAATTAAGTGAACAAATAATTTATTAAATAAATTTTAATGATTAAATTGATAGTCACAATAAGTCATTTGAGCTAATTGATTATTCATTCTTGGTTTATGTATTAATGCGCATTGACATTTTATCCTGGAAATATAGCAGAAACTTTATGGAATCAAGTAAAATATTTGACAAATTTTTCAAATTGGGCGATGTTTACTTATTTAATACCTTTTGTCATATATGATTTCAAAAATTACAATGCTTCAAGAATTCAAGATAGATATCCATAAATTGTCAATCTATTGTTTCAAGGAATTAATCCTATTTTATTTTTGGTAATGGCAACTTATTAAATTTTTATTATAATTGATCCTAATCTCTTAGTATTAGATGGATTTCATCCTACTTAATGGTAATTGGTAATACTTGCATATTTACATCTAGGAAATTGGCTTTTGATGTAAAACATAGTTATTGTCTTAGGCAAATCGAGTATATTTTGTATGAGCACTAGCAAATTCCTAAACTAAAGCTATTTGGATTTTTTTTCACATATACATTTATCTATTTATTTATATATGGTAAATTTAGTCAATAAAAATAGGTTGTTATTTTTTAATTAAAGGAAAACATGTTTATGGCTTCTAAAAAAATCTAAGCTTCCCAATTGTTGTTGTGATAAACATCTTTTAATTTTTAATTATATTTTCTGTAGATTTTGTTTATGGAAGAGTGACAAGATCAAATTTTTTCAAGAAGTTTATTCTTGAAAATTATTTAATGAATAATTAAAATAGAAATCAAAAGAAAAAATAATGAATATTATATATTATAATTATATGATAATGATAATATTGTTTAATATTTAGAAACTATCAAAAATAGATTTTCTGCAATTTCAAAATTAATTAGAAAATTATTAATAAAAAGTATTGACATTTTAAATTTTAATCATGCAACCTTATTAATTGATAGGTTTTGATTAAAAAAACAAAATCACGCAGCATTCACTTAAGATTAATGAAGTAAATATTTAGAATTATTCCTCATCAATTAAATTTTAATTTCATTCATATCAAAAATGTGGGTATTAATTATGAGAAATTTTTAATCTATTCAAAAACTGTCAAATCCTACTTATAGGAAATAAAGCAAATATATCTAAGCTTTGTTTATGGCTACAGCAATTTTAATAAAAGCTAAATAAAAGAAATGAAGATCTATGTTTTACCTAGTTATACTTCCAATATTTAGACTACTCTTTTTGTTAATCTCATTCTTTTTTGACTCTCTTTTAATCAAATATTAAAAAGGATAGAATATTACATATAAATTTGCTTATTATTTTTTTAAGAATTAAATAATAATTTTTTTAATAATTAGATTGTAAATTAATAATTAAGACTTCATAGGTTTTGAAATTTAAAATATTTGATTAGATTAGGACAATTTCTAAAAACTCATATGATTGCTAATATGCTGTAAAACTTTCTTAATTTTATTAGGATCAAGCTAATTTTGTAAAGGAGTAAATGGTTAATATGATTATATTGTGTTGAATTATAACTAATAATAATTATAGTCAATTTTCAAAATTATGCATTTCTATTTGTTATCTTATATTTGATTTTGATAGTACATGATCATTAGTTGTTGCTGCATATACATCATATGCAATCCCCTGAAATTAAGGTAATTTTTACTTTAAATTCTTTATATGCTTAAAAAGTGAAGTACACAGAAATAATGTAAAAAGTTAAAGAAATTGCTTAGAGCAAAAACTAATTTCTACTATCAAGTGATAACTATTCAAGGTTGACTTTATTTTAGATATCAGTCAAAAAATTAACCACAATCAGAAAAGTGTTCATAAGACAAAAAAAGATGTAAATCACACAATTACAATAATTCAATTATGCTTAAGCACACCTATATTATGTCTTAATAATACCACAATATAAATGCTGATGTGAATTCTGCTACACCTGCCCACATATCGTAATATAGTTTTCCTAATGCTAAGCATATTTATAAGAAAATTATAAAGAAAATTATTCTCCTTAAAACCTTTGCTTTCTCAGTTGTAGGAGGCACAATGTCACCAACGCATAATATCATTCTTATTAAAATAATAAATTATAATAAATAAATTAAAATAAGTATTGATATAATATTCGATGATTTTGCTTAAAATTGAAATTTTTTAGTAAAATAGTTTTAAGTAAAATAATCGTCACAATATAATTTTTGAATTTTAAGATTTATTTAACTTAATATTAAGTACTTAAGAAGAGAGTCGATTAAATTTAATATCTATTACCTTTTCTGAGCATTTTAATTTTGGATCATTTATGTCGGAACCTCAAAAGACTTCAAAAGATATATTAAAATTTAATCAACTTGCTTTCTGGCATTTTTTTCAATTTTTTTTTCTTATAATTACTCCTATATATCAATATCTTTGAATACGAAATTCTTGTACTTGAAGTTGTTTGATTTACATTTATTATAGTTTCTTTTTACATCAAGAAAAATTGAGATATTTTTTTAAGCTGACTTATTTTATCAAAATTAGTTTAGAATTCATTGTTTAAATTATTATGTTATTAAAAAGCAAATACACTTTTTGGGTTTCAACTCAAAGAACACAGACTAAGATTGATAAGGATAATTACAATGACAATCTATATCAAGTGTGTATGATATTTGAATAATTTAAATTTAGGTAAATTCGAAACAGCAGAATAATTCTGGATGTATTATTAATGGATAGCTAAGCCATCAACTATTCCAGAAGGATGCCAAATTCTATTATTTTAAGAAGAAATCTAACCAATGTGGGAAGATAAGGCAAATTAGAATGGAGGAAGATTTGTATTTAGATGCAAAAATAATGTTGACCGAGTTTGGGAAAACATACTCTTGAGTTATATAGGCAATTAATGCACTTACAATGAATTTGTATGTGGAGTAGTTGTTAATTAAAAAAGATCATTTACCTAAGTTTCTATTTGGGTTAAGAATATGACCTCATATTAGAACTAAGAAGATAAAATAATATAATGGGTTAAAGAGATGTTTGGAATCAATGAATTAGAATTTGTATAGCATCCAAAAAGTTGAAATTATTTATTAATATAAAATGAATTCTTTCCGTAAAAGTTAGACTAACAACATCAGTAGAAGAGAGTCCTTAGAAACTATGCCTACTGTATTTAATGCAGAACTGCTGAATTTGCAATTTGCAAATAAGAAGAAGGAGGTAGACAATAACATATATATATATATTTATAGGTCATAAATGAATATGTTGTTAAAAGAAAAGCTGAATTATTGGAAGAAATGCAATAAGAATAAATACATTAGGATTACGATAGAAAAACTGAAATTTAAAAGTTAAAAGCATTATTGGCTAATATCAAATATCAAAATGATCTTATGAAGTTAAATTTAAAATAATACGATCAAATATACGTTGAATAATAGAAATTCACTACAATCTCTCATAATGACTTGGTGGATGTTAATAATTAAGTAGATGCTGAATAAGAATAAAATTAAGCATTATAGCAACAAATTTAATTATTAGGACGCTCATTAAGGAAAAATTAAAAATACAACAATACACTTATAGAATAATTGCAATTATTTACTCAAAAATAGCCTTAGATTTATTTAAAGGAGTTTCAAAATTAATAAGCCTTTGATGCAGCAAAAAAGTAAAATACAAAGATAAAAAAGGCGTTACAGGAAGAAAAAGAATGGTAAATAAAATACTTATGTGAAAATACAACAAATTATGAACACAAAAATTAAATTGTCAAGTAATTTATAATTAAATTTATTTAGGGAAAATTTAGAAAGTTTATGTTAATAAGAAGAAAGATTAAGATATCTATAGGAATAATTGATTCTAACAGAAAAATAAATTTAGGATATTGATTTAGAAATATCAACTAAGTTCAATAAGATTGAAGAATGTGCAGAATTTTTAGATGAGTTGGATGATTTCGACAAAATTATCTTAATATTTGTGATGGAAGATCCAAAAGATTTTGAACTACCAGAAATTTTGGAAAATGCAAGAAATTAATTATCAAAACCAAAGAATAGAATGTAAATTGCTGATAGCGAATAAGAATATATTGATAGAGCTAGATTTAGCAGTGTAAGTTCAAGAATGAAAATCTTTTTTAAATTTCATAACAATAATTTATAAAAATCAATTGATGATTTGATTTAAGTATATCGTAGATTATAATTTAATGAAATGACTTTAAAAAATAGGTATGAAGATTTATTAGATTAAAAAGCAAAATTGAAATAAATTTTAGAAGATTTAAATTCCTTAGAATTCTATGCAATGGATGACATTTTGTTTGAAAGAGACGATCAACATATGAATATTGAAGAATTAAATGTAGAGGCAGCCTTAGTCTCTAAAAATCAATAAATTAGATTAGTTGAAAATAATGCTTAATTTGTATTGAGAATGTACAGTATGCTAACAAATGTATTATTTAGAATGATTAATTCACTCTTAAATATTAAAGAAGTATTGAAAACCTGTCCTTCAGAATTATTTGATTAAGAGTAAGAATTTATTAAATTTTAGTTTTTATTTAAAATGGACATACAATAAATTATTTTCAAAATTAACTACTATTCATGATTAATTGGAAAATCAATTTAAAATTAAAATAGTTGTTAAAGATCCTGTAATTCGTAATTCAAATCAATTATTGAATGCTATTTATGATCATCTCGAAGATCGTCCAGCTAAAAGGAAAACCTTGCTTCCTATAGCTTAGAAATAAGGTGTCTAAGAGATTTTAGGCACAGTGTTAAATAAAGAAGAAATAAAATAAATATCTGATGCAATTATTAAAGATCCAATTTTAGCTTAGTTTTTTACTATTAATGATTTATAAAATATTGTTTCATAACAAGATAATTACAATTTAGATAGTTTATTGAAAAAGATAAAAACTGATGGATATGAAATAGCATTAACAACAGCAAGAAGATAATTAAAATTCTTATTAAATTTTATAGAAGAAGCTGTCTTTGATTGTAAGAATATTTAAGAGTAGCAAAGTTCTGCTAAATTACTTTAATAAAAATATAAATTATAAGATTTAATGGAAAAGCACATGAATAGTTATGAGTTTAAACCAAAAGAATGGAAAAAGGATGTAATTGAAAGTAAAATAAAATAATTAAGACCATTGAATGGATAACCTTTTGAAGAATAACCATCCCCAATAACTGAAATAAGAATCTAATAATAATTAACTACTTAACCTCCTACTCCAAAAATATAACCTATTCGATTTTGTAGAACAGAATAGTCACCGAATTAAATTAAAAGATTTATCTTCACTATTGATTCTTAAATACCAAACTGTTCTTAATCTTAAGCTAATTAAAAGTAATCTGATCCTATATTTATTCATTTGCATCATATGAATAGAAAGATAAAAAATTTAAATCGATCTTAAACTTAGCAAAAATCAAGTCCTCATCATCAATTTGATGTTCTATTTAGCAAAAAAAGTGTAGAGTTATCTCGTGATTCAATCACTAATTTACAACTAAAATCAACACCCTTATAGTAGAATAAAGTTATTTTAAGAACAGCATCAAAATGCCCAAAATTACTAAATAATACTAATAATAGCACTAATTTAATTTCGACTAGGTCGAAATGTAATACAAAGGCATCAAATGATCAAAAATTGGAATAACCTCAATCAATTTGTAAATCCCAATTATCATCAACATATGGAAGCGCAAATAAAAAATTATAAGATTTCTTTCATATGACAAGCATTAGAAAAAAATGAAAATGTTTATATCATACTTATTCATATATTAATTAATGATTTACTCTCATCATCTAATTCGTCATCTTCATTGACATCTATTTAACTTGCCTTCTTTTTACACATAAAAATAAATATCATCAAAGATGACAACCCTAAAAATGAAGCATTTGCTAAAAAGAATATTACTGCAAACATAGGATATCCTAATGAAATTCTATTTAAATAAATATGAACTATATACCTATTATAAAATGTGGATAAATTAGTCATCTAACAAATAAATTTGGCTTCCACTTTACTTACTGCTTCTAAAGTACACAAGGATTACTATCTTGTTCGAATATCATAATAGTGTTGATTTCCAAAAGTTGCATATTAGGGACATAAAGTCATTAATTGATTGCAAACTACTAAAATGCTTATGTTCAAAATTGCAGCTACTATAAACAAAGATGAAGGTTAAGTCTGTTCTTTTTTTATTTCAAATCCTTTTAAAAAAATGATTCCACATTTAATAATTCCATATAATGTACATATAAAGATATAAAGGGTAAAAATGAAAAAGAACAAATAATCTAATGGAAAATAATATGAGGAATAAACATATAATGTATCGATGGGATTCAAAAAAGTTTTTTCTTAGATTAAATACCCACATTTAAATCCACAAGATGAATTTGTAATCTATCAATTTAAACAGTTTTTTACTTTGTCATAAGTAGTAATCGCTAATGAACTAAATATTAGAACTGAAAAGCATAAGCAAATGATTCCTATTATTATTCTAAACGGAGATATTATTTTAAAAATTGTCTATAAGGATTTAGTCTATGTTTCTAATTCAATAATTTTTTCGTTTTTTAGATTTAAGAACCTTTCTTTTCTTTTTAAATTAGTCAATGCCTAATATAAATAAAAATTCATATATATACCCTTTGATCTCCTTTAGAAATTTTAGAAGAACTCTTTTAATATTTTTCTTATATTGCCCTATATTTTTCTCTTAATTTAGCTAAATCATTATCAACCTATGACTTTTCTTCCTCCAAAGATCTCGCTCCTTTAATTAATTAAAATGGCAATGCAGTTAATCCATATGAACCATAAATTACCCATAAACAAAAACCAAATGTTAAAATGATCGAAATGCAAAATGATATTGCTTATTCCCCTAGATGATCAACATCAAACATGGTTTTAACCCATTCTAATTTTTCAGAAGTATTATAATTCACTTCAGGATTAAAGACCAGTCCTGAAATTAATAAAACACAAATAAATCCTATAAAATATACAGTTTATTTGGCTGATCTAATTATTTTTGATGATAGACGTTTTTCACTTAAATCTAAGTCAAAGTCATTATCATAATTTAATGCTCTTTCTTCAGAATAAAAATAATTAAATGGTAGAATAACAAATGTGATAAATAATAATCCAATATAAAGATCTTAAAGGATTAATGTCATTTTTACATATAAATACTTCCCTTATAAAATACTTATTAATTGGTTGATGGAGGGTGGAGATTACATCATTTGGATGAGAAGTCACAAATACATCAATCGGCACCATTAATATGCAAATCATGGATACAGTAAAACTTAAACATATTGAGTTAATTGCAAAGTTATAAGACTCAGCAGGGTCTATATAGTATTTCACTATTATTCTGGATAAAAAGTAAAGCCCCTAAATAAAAATAATGAGTATACCAAAATCAAAGCAATATAAAGAAACCACGCAAAATACATTTTATGAATAAAATAATATCAAAACAATAATAAATTATCAAATATAATGTTATTTCAGAGATAATCACTCCCTGCTTTAAATTCTATCTGTTATCAATCCAACAATGAGGAATGTGAATAATAACTTAGGCCTTTGTATTTATTGATTCGAGAAAATCAAATTGATGTTTAATAAGAAAACATTACTTTAGTTGGTTTATTTAAACTCATAAAAGTATGCTATAACATTTTCATAGATTTGGAAATTAGATATACCATTTTCAATTTTAGCCAAGTTAATGTTAAATGCAAATAAATATTGTAACTAGTAATTGAATTAAATGATTAACTTACATTCATTTCATCAATTAATGCATAATCCCTAATTATAAATGATTTACAGAAAAAAACCTCGATCGGAAGTGTTCTAATTAATTGGAAACAATGCTTATTTATAAAATTGTTAATTCTCGACTCCTCAGACAATAGTTGGATTATTCTCTAGATTAGGAGAACTGATATAGAGAAAGTAAATGTATCTCAAAATCAATAATGAAAACATAGATGCTAAAGATAAGTATAATTATATTATTAAAATGATGCAAAATACACCTAGAGATTGTAAAATAAGTCCCAGAAACAATTTTACTGAAAAATAAGACAGCTTACTTTTAGGAAATTAACTCTTCAGTACTTAATCAAAAGCTGATAGTATTTTATTCTTAGAAGATAAAGAAGATAACGAAGAAAATGATGACCAATTACCTCAAATTAATTAAACTATTAGATAAAAGTTTCAAAAATTATAGAATGTTTTAGATTTGAACAATTAATAATTAAAAATGAATCATAGAATGAGAAAAATGCATACAACTATGATGAAGCATATGCTTTAACTTAAACAAAATTAAAATGTTAATAAGATAAATAAATTAATATGGTAAACGTAAGGAAAAATATAAATTAAATTACCTGAAATATGATTATTATTTTAATTAAAAATATTTATAAAATCAATGATAACAGAGTCCTAATTTTTTCAAGCCAATAATTAAAGAATTGTAATATTATGGGGAGTATCTAAGATCTATAAACTATCTAAATATAATAATTAAAGAAAAAAATATCAATTAGTTAAATAGATATAAAAGAAGATCGAACTTTGATCCTTCTTAAGAAAAAGGTGAATATATTTTACATAAGCTTCAATTCTCTCTATTTTAGAATATATTTATATGCTTAACATAGTTGGTTTCAAAGAAATTTATGTTATAAATACTATTATAGAGAGAATTCAAGGGTTAAAAATTAAGAAGAACCAATTGGCTTAAATCCAACTCGTTCAAAAAATATTGAAAATTGAAAATTTGGAAAATCATGATATTAACAATTAGTTAATGTTTTTTCACTTTTTATAGGTCTATCAAAATTAATAAACAGAGATCAGCTCTATAATATTTATAATTATATAATACTATTACATTATTTCATAGGATCTAAAATTTGAGAGAAAAATTATTTTAACTTTCAAACATATAGAATTAGGAGAACATTTAGGTATAATTTATATTGGGGATTTTTTGTTGAAAATGCTCTATTCAAAAATATCAATTGGTTTCCAGAATATTTAACAACTTTATTAATAAGTGAGTTCATAGTTCAAAACAATCTCTAAAAATATAAGTTTTATGCTATTTAATGATTCCAAAAATATCGAATATTGTTTTTTGTTTCGATATTTATTGATTCCTGGCTTTTTCTTAACGAATTAATTTTATCTCTAAATAAAAAATGGCTAAGATTACCTAATTAAAAATAAGAATAATAGAAATATCTAAATAAATTTATAGATATAATTGATATTCTAAATTAATATAAGTTATTAATTTTGTTCATCTAAAAGTATGTTAAAGTAAATTGAATGTTTATGAATTAAAGATTTTTCAAATCTTTAAGTTTCATTTTCTCCACTAAATGAATTAGATTTCTTAATTTTATCAAGTTAAATGTATTAATATAAATTTATGAAATAAATATATACAATAACAAGATCATAGATTATAATCATTTTTATTCATCAATTAATGCAGTACTTTTTTAATTTTCTTCATTTCTTTATGCTTTGAATCTAATATATTGTAATTTGATATTTACTTTTTATATTGTGCTTCTTTAATATTCAACATCGAAAGAAACACTTTCTTTGTTTTAGGAAATTCATCTTACTATTTATTACATGTGTTTTATGTCTTTGGTTATTTCATTCCTTTTTTCTCGGATTTTTTTTGTGATTTTGTTTTTAATTTTTATTCATGTGGTTGAATAGGATTAGTGTCATCATGCTTAGGCAATTAAGTATTTGAAAAGTCTATCTCTTCTAATTTTTAATTTAGGATCTTTGAAGTAGGCATGGTTTGATTAAATGAAGCTCTTATGAATTTTGTATATGAAATACTTTAAAATCTGAATATAGATTAACATCTGTTAAAGAATTAATTGTTGTTAAAGAATAAGGCTTTGATCAATGTAATTCAAGCTATTCATTAAAATATAAGGAATTATTTAAAGAAAAAAGATTTGAAGATTTGGCTTAATAGCAAATAATCATGCGTCATGGATTATTTGTGGTAATCCTTACAAATGATCTTGCATCATAATAATTAATAAAATTTTATAATAATTATATTATTATTATTATATATTATTATAATTATGAGCATAATTAGATATTAATTGTTAACTATGACAATTATTATTATAAAAATATAATAATTAATTAGAATATTTTCTTATTGTAATCAAATTTTGGCTTTAGTGAATGAAATTTAAATGTTCTACTTCTTCCATATGCATTAGTGCCATTATTTCCAAAGCTTGGTTTATTGTTTCCATTTTGATTAAACACATAGATAAGACTTTTACAGCCTATGGATTATATCTCAAAATACTTCAACAACACCATATTCTGAAAAGATTTTTCCATTGTTTCAGCATTGGAGGAAACTTTTTTCAAATTAGAAATATGAAGTATTTGGCTAGGAGGTAGTAACATCATCTTATTATTTGCATTTACTCTAGGATTTATTTTTTAACTAAGTGCCTGTCAGTATCTTCGGATCCAACACATAGTGATATACTCCATATAAAGTAACTAGACTAACTAACTCTTCAATTGAATCATCTCCTTATCATGTGATTGTTAAAGAACTTTCAAAAATTTGTAAATTTTGACAATTCTAAAAATAGAAATATGCCTGACCTTCTTTTAGGTACTTAACTTTAGCAAAATTTTTAACTTCAACTATTCTAAATATATTGTCTTAGTAAAATAATTTTATCTACATAACCCACTTTGCTAAAGATATTATATAATTTATGAACATCCATTTATTTTCCAGAAATTCCATTTAAACATACTGTTATTGTTAATTCATTTCTTTTTAGATGGAATTCGCTTTAACTTATTGGCAGTTTAGTTGCGCTGTGCGATTAGAGTCTTTATCTTGTATGACTATATTTAATATTACTATGGAAAACACTATCATTTATTGATGTGGAATGACTATGAACAAGTTTGAAGAGTTGTATATTCAATAGCTTCATATGACCCTATAATAAATGAACTAGATGTCATTAGTTTATCATTTTAATCATAAGAACTTTTGATAATTGGTGATTATAATTGATCTAGTGCTTTTTTTGGCATTTTTTGCTTCTTAAATATGAGATATCTCTACCAAGACTCGACATTCCATAAAGGATCAATTCAAAAATTTTACTGAATCACTGGTCCATACCTTATAATATTACAGAATTCTTTTACTGTCTTATCAAAGATTTAAAATATTAGGTGGATCTATTAATATTATTAATATAGCAATAAGGGCGAAAAATGTAGAGAACCAGATAATTTAGGCAAAGAATCAATAAACATTTATACTTATTAATCTAATAATTTTCATTTTATGTTTTAAATACTTATATCATTAAAGCTAAATCTAGATTTTTGAATTTTATCAACAAACAGTTTTATTTTTATATATTTTCTAATTTAATTAAAAGGTAAGTCATACAATTGTTTTTGGAGTAAGATAAGATTTCAAAATTTTTTAATTCAAAGTAATAAAAAATAATATAAATTATAACTAAAATGGATAAGAGTATATTTTTTGAAAAATTGATATGATTGTTTCTTCACTATTTCAGATCGATGATAAACATTTATAGTAAGTAGGAAAGATCAATTCTATATTCTAAGTTTACTTTTGTATTTCTAAAAGCATTTACAGCTTTACTAACCCAAAGAAGCTGCTAGTCTAAAAATTATCCGATTTGACACTCTACTGTTTGAAAAATAATATAAATTTTCATTTTTATTTAAAAAATTGATTTTGTAGCATATCACTTAAATAATAAATTAGCTAATTAAATAACGCAATATCGTATCATTTTTCTCCTAGATGTTATAAAAATAAAAGACCTTACTCTATAGTAATTTTTAATCAAAAAAATTTCCAATAATATAAACATTTTTACTGAAAACTATTAAAAATTTGTTGAATTTTCTTTCTTCTGATGATAAAACAAAATTTTTCAGTTCATTCTGTTTAGAATATTAAATCACTTGTTCTAAATTGTAATAAATAAATAGTTAAATGATCTTACATTTAATTTAAAAAAAATAATAAAATTTCTACAAAAAGAATTAAATTTAAGAGAAGATGTTACCTTTCAATGAATTTAATAGTGAGAGTTAATTCACAACTTATGCATAACAACCATTAAAAGGGAAAACTTAAATTAAGACTAATTATAACATTTAAAATTTACAAAAAGAGAATAATTTATTCATAAAATTTCAAATTAAATCGAATTATTCAGGAATGATTTAAATGAGTTTGTATGATATTGATTTAGGCTATTCGTTTAATAAGCTATACCTTGAAATATAATTTAATTCTTGAACAGTTGAAGCTCATTTGGCTTCTTATTAACCAACATCAATTTAATAGAAGTCAGAGAAATTAAAATAATTATAAAAGATGACAATTTTACTATTGGAATTATAAGTTTTCCTTATAAATTATTAAAAAAATAGTTAAACCTAGTAAGATAGTATAAATAATTGATTAAATAAGATTACTTTATTTGATCCTAAAGATTATCAATATGATGAAAATTTTATAGAAGATGATTAAGAATAGCTAAGAATATTACTAAGAATTGATATCAATTACTAATATCAAATTGTTTAAAATATAGTTAATTGCCTCCAGGTTAATTAAATTGAAAGGAATATACTTTATTTTTAAATGATAAAAATTATTGTAAATAATAGAGGATCATAAGGCAAGCAGAATAAGTATTCTTCTTTAAAAGAAGATATATTACCTTTTACAGATATGTCTCCATCAGAGATTAAACAATTAGAATAAGAAAAATAGTCATACAAGAAAAAAAAGAATTAAAATATTAAATACAAATTTAAAAATAAAATGAATTACTCCTAAATGATTTAGCTTAAAAGTTACAATTAGGAGTAACAATAATAAATTTAAATGAAATTATTTGTATTATGATTTATTTCCTCTCATGCAATATTTTTTAGTGTTTCTAGTTTATGAACGCTGAATCTTGGGTCAATTATTTAATGGAAATAATTTGGACCATAAATTTCAAGATATTACTTTGCCAATCTTCTTCTTCTGGGCCATTAGATTAGAGTCTTTAAATTTTATTTATATTTACTTCGCATAAAAAGTTTGGATATTGAAGGCAAACTTATTAAGTAGCTAAAAATACTGCCCAAAGACCAAGAGATTTTGCATTGAAACTCCATGTCTTATATAAATATAATCCATAAATTGCATTCATGGCTGAACATGTGAATTATAGTGTATATGATACTATTCCAAGGGGCAATGGAGACAATATTCGATTTCTAATAGCAATAAAACAATAATTACTCTTATGGTGTGAAGAAATTGGGATTCAAAAGCTGCAATTTTTGTAAGGCAAACACAGTTCTATTAATAATTTAGGATTCGGCTATTATATATGATATTGTATTTTACAATAATTTTCGATTGATTTATGTTCATAATTATCTGTATTAATTGTTGGAACATCATGATAAATTAATGATGCAAATGGTCTCAAAATATATGGTAATCTTTATTAATAGAAAGGTTATAATCTCTTAATTTGTTCAGCTTTGATTTCATGTGATAAAGCTGAATCATGATCTTCATGATTATCTCCTCCCATTTTATATTATTTATTAAATTAATATCTATATATTAAATAATAAGTTTTATAAAAATAAACAACTGATTAATTTTATAAATTCATTCGTTTTGGTCTAAGTTTCTTTTAAATCTACAATGCCGAAGCGTTCAACTCATTATCTTCTTCCTCTTTAACCTCTTCATCTTGTTATTATTCTTATCTGTTGCATCAACTTATTATCTTTGGTCATCAGATTCTATTGTAATTGTTAACTTCACCATGTCATCGTATTAACTTTTATTATTATTTTAGGAAATTATGAAGAATATTAACTTCATTATTCTGTGGAGCTTTTCCAGTATTGGTGTGGGTTGAAAAAATTAAGAATACTCTTAGAAGGTCACAAGTTTCTTTACATATTCTTAAAAACTGGTTAGGCATCTTCATCTAATTATTTAATCTATTCAGCAAGCAATTAGGAATTCCATCTTCAAAATAGAATTTGATTTATGATTAAATATAGTTTATGTTTCTTAATCTTTTGAAGTTTAACATTTTCATCAAATGCCTCTACTAAAAATCCTAAAGATTCATATTTATTTTTGACTTAATTGAATATATTCTAATTTTGTTCATAATATATATGTAAAACTAATTTGCCTCTCTGCATATCTAAAATATTCAATGTTAAGTTAAAAGTTCCTCATTCCTAAAAAGTTTTAGTTTGTAGTATGAAATTAATTATTTACATCACTAAATTTAAGACTATTAGTTTAATCATCATATTTCCTATATTTAATGTAAATTAATCGATGATTTCGCTGGCTCTATTGGAAATAGAGAATATTTGATGAAGAAAAAAAGTAAATACTAATAGTTCCTTATTAAATCTCTTAGATTCCTGATTAATTCTGTAAAATAATAAAAATTTTACTTCTCTACTAAGTTGAACTCTTTTCAATTTTGTCAAGGTATTAAATAAACTTAGATGGGATTTAGTGAAAATTATTTTGTGTTTGGATTACAAATTTATTTGTTTATTTTTTATAATTTTTCAAATGGAGCCAGTTATTGAGTTGAACTATAAGGTTATCGATTAGAAATTTTAGCTGAGTCCAATTGAGATGACGATGATGAAAACTATTGCTATTATATTTATTCTTATTTGGCTGAAAAATATTTTGAATTAAAAAATCAAATTAGATTGGGTATTTTATTAAATAAAGTTTGAATTTTAGAAAGGCTCTTTCTTATTTTATTATTATCCTTCAACAGATTGTATCAATTTAATTTCTTTCAAAAAAAATACTATTGAATTTTCCATAATTATTATTTTTGGCATGCTTAAATAAATCTACAAATGGTTATTGACAAATCTCTTGATTACTGCTGTTTTTGTTTGAATCCTATAACTGTATTCAATTATCTTCTAACTTGTAATGTTACAAATTAAACTTCTTCATATTTGCTGGATATTTTGGCAAAATTTAATGTATATATGTATTATATCTTCATTTTTTTTAATTTCATTTAGATTTTTTTCTGAATATACTAACTTGCTAAAATAATTGTAAAGATCTTCTTAAAATTATTTTTCATGTACCTTTGCTATTCCTAGATTAATATAAGTATCACTAATGAATTCATGCTATTATTCTCATATTTTATTAGTTTTAACAACAGCTTATTATAAATATTAAAGTGCTGCTGAAAGTTCTTAAAAAGCTAAGGCTTAATTATTGATGTTTAGCGAAGTAGAAGACTATAGCATATATGTTTAACCCACTAAATCATCTATTGATTAATCAAATTTATATAGAGACAATATTTATAAAGACAATTATAAGTAATGAGTACTTTCATCATATTTATTGACTTTTTTTTTTAATCTTGGTGAGCATTCAATACTTGACCTTAATATATGGAGAACATTTTATGTGAATAATATCATCTTTACTTATTGAATTTCAATTTATTAATTTATACTTGCCATCAAATCAATTATCATTCAAAAATCTGTTATGATATCAGATTATCTTCTGATTTCAAAATTAATTTAATTAATATAAAACTACTTCTTCAACATCTTAAATAATCGAATTGATGTTCCCCTTTTTTTAATTTTTGCTCAAATAATTATAGGTTATTATGATAATCATTAAATGTTAGGAATAATTTGCCTTGCATTATAATTAAGCAACTGAATTCTAAAATCTGAAGTTGTGTCGCTTACACCACTTATAGGCTTAATTAGTTCACTGGTAACGCTGTTTCATAAATAAACTCATCCATGAAAATAAATATAGGTTCCAAATTTCTTCTTAATTTCATATTCTCTATTTTAATTAAAAAAATTAAGTAAATAAGATTCATTTGTAGTTCAAGGTCAAACTTCACCAAATTTTTATTTTTGCATTATTCATCTGTAAATGATCTAAAGCTTAAGAAAATAATTATGATTACAATTATAAAATATAATAATAAATAATTTAATGAAACTAACTTTTTATTTACTCCGAAAAACCGATACATTTGGTGTAAAATTTAATCCTGCAATCAACAACAAAATGAATTTTACTTATAAAACTATTTTAGGGGGACTTTTTTCTTTAATCATTTATTCACTTAGTGCAGCTTATTGTGTATATGAAATGTACAGATGGATGAATATGGATATGGTTCCTATTGTGACAACTGAGATTCATAGTTTTAATAATGACATTGAAAATCTTTTGGATGAATCTAATGCTTAGATTGAATTTGAAATCTTTAATAAAGCAAATGGAAATGACTTAATTAATCCATTCAATTAAACTTAACTTGTATTGACTCCAATTTTGAAGAATTATTCCAATGGAAAGGAGTAAACTGTCGGATATAATTTTTCTTAATTTGTGTCTGAAAATATATTTTCTCCATAATTTAGACTTAATTCAAAAAGTGAATATTAAATTTCTTTTGCAAGATGTACACAAGAAATGCTACTTGAAGGTTAAATTTGTGCAGACTAAGAAATTTTAAATAACTTTTTCAACCAAAGAGGAAACGAATTGTAAGTTAACATAATTCTCAAAATAGTTGATCCAAGGACATTTAAAGAAAAATAAATAAAAAAAACATATGGAATAATTTTAGAAGAAATAGAATGCTAAATAACTAAAATTAGCATGGAATATACACATTATTAGATATATAAAGATTTTATATTTCCAACCCCAATCAATAAAATATTTGTAAGTGAAACAGTTGAATAAACAACTTATGGAACTAAAGACTATTGTTCAAAAAGATTTGTTGAAGAAAGTTATGCTTTATTATGGATAACTACATCTTAGGTTGCATATGTTTAGAGAATGTAATATCCTGAAATTGGAGATGTATTAGCCAATATTGGATCGATTATAGAGGTTTTATTCCTAATAGAGCTTTTCATTCATAAATTCAACGAAAGTTGCTTGATCAATTCTATGAAAGAGCAAATCCTTTCATTTTATTATCCTGAATTATAGTTTATTAAATTGAAAAAAAATTGTTTAGGTATTATTAAGAATTGTTC